AGCCGGCTTTTTTTTTTGCGCAATGAAGTCTTCTCGATGCAACTTGCATTTACTAATTGAAGCTTAAAATACTCGGAATATTTTTTGCCTAGTTCATACTGGCTATCGTTACAATGGCCGACACAAACGCCCCCAAAGGACTTTCCAATAAGCTCCAAAACAAGCGCAAGAGACAAGCCGACGACGCTGCTCCCAAGCAAGAAAAGCCCGAGGCAGGCACACCCGCAGAGGGATCAAGCAAGAAGAAGCAGAAGAAGAACAAAAACAAGAAGAAGCAGGCTGAACACGATGAGCATCAGTCAACACGCAAAGACGGTATAGACGAGTCGATTGGCAAGATGGACGGCCGGTTGTTGGGCGATCACTTTGCGCAGAAGGCCAAAAGACATGATAAGGAGCTCTCTGCTGTTGAATTGAGTGATCTTTCGGTTCCAGGTATGTACACCTCCTATTGTTCTGTCGGCCAAGGCCGAGGGATGTCCTGGACATTAACAAATCTATAGATTCCGCATTCCTTGATACCTCTTCCTTTACCTCCACCCGAAAGCTGGAGCAACTCCCCGAATTCCTCAAGTCATTCAGTCCCAAGGGTGCCGACCTGTCAAAGTCGTCTGAGAAGAACGGCACTCCTCATACACTAGTCATTTCGGGTGCTGCTCTGCGAGCCGCTGATGTTGTACGGTAAGTGGGCAACTTTCAATCTTTTCTCTGGTATGAGTCGAAGCTGGGACTGATAATTGATGTTAATAGGGCACTCCGTTCTTTCCAAACCAAGGATAGCATTGTAGGCAAGCTGTTCGCGAAGCACATCAAGCTAGAGGAAGCTAAGCAGTTCCTTCAACGTGCTCGGTCTGGTATCGGGGCTGGAACCCCAACCAGAATATCTGATTTGATTGAGTCTGGTGAGTTTGCTCTGTTGCTATCTATCGATAGCTTTACTTCGTTATGTATACAGATGCTGATAATTGATCTTCAGGAACTCTCAACCTGGAGGAGCTGGAGCGCATTGTCATTGACGGATCACACATTGACCAGAAGCAACGAGGAATCTTTGACATGAAGGACACGCATATGCCGCTGTTGAAGCTTCTTACTCGGCCGGAGCTGCATCAGCGCTATGGGGTGAAGAAGGGTGTGAAGATCTTGGTGTTCTAATCTAACAGGGCGCTGATCTCGGACTTTTAAACTAGTATACGATTTGAATACATGCAAACTTGAAGGAATATGTTCATATAATTGTTTAGCGTGGTGCGTACTATGTAGATTTTGCGAACTATAAAAACCGAGGGCTTATCGGGAACCCTGTCTTCACCGCCTCCCGAGACCCGGCAAAAATTAAATTTCACTTTTCTCCGCCCGACTTTTTTTTTTGGAGCTTGAGTCTCGTTGCGCTGCAAAGTTCTCCACCTCTTTTCTTGTTTTCCCAAACTACCAGGACTTTCATTCGTCTTGTTTTCTTTCCCATCCCACCATTGTCCCTTTTCACCATAACATTTACCCCCCACACACCATTACAATGGGCGACAAGCGCAAGCTCGTGCAGGATGAGGTGGTCGAGCCCGAGGGCAAGAAGATGAAGAAGGAGAAGAAGGACAAGAAAGACAAGAAGGAAAAGAAGGAAAAGCGCAAGTCGCAGGAGGAGTCTGAGGTTGTCGCTCCCGCCGAAACCGTTGCCCCGGCACAGGAAGAGGTGAAGGAGAAGAAGGAAAAGAAGGACAAGAAGGACAAGTCCGAGAAGAAGGAGAAGTCCGACAAGAAAGAGAAGTCCGATAAGAAGGAGAAGCGCAAGGCCGAGGAGGCCGACGCCGAGCCTGCTGCTCCCTCTGAGGACGCTATGGATGTTGACGTGACCCCTACCGAGAAGGTGGACGCCGATAAGAAGGAGAAGAAGGACAAGAAGAAGGACAAGAAGGAGAAGAAGCAGAAGAAGGATAAGACCGAGGAGAAGAGCGAGCCCGTGGCTGAGACCGAAGAAGAACCTACCGCTGAATCCGCGGAGGGCGAGCAAGCCCAGAAGAGTTCCCGCTTCATCTGCTTTGTCGGTAAGTGATTCCAATCCAGATGGACTACCTCGAACCAAAGACACGGGATTAATCAAAGGAAATTCGCATATACAGGCAACCTTCCCTACTCCGCCAACCATGAGTCCTTGAGCAAGCACTTTGAAAAGAACCCTCCGGCCACAATCCGTGTCGCAACCAAGAAAGAAGACCCCAAGAAGTGCCGCGGCTTTGCATTCATTGAGTTTGACAACTACGACCGCATGAAGACCTGCCTCAAGCTGTACCACCACTCCAACTTCGACGACGGAAAGTACCCACCCCGACGCATGAACGTCGAGCTGACGTGAGTTATCCCCAATTGGAGAAGATGATCATCATTTCCAAGTCTTCTCCAAGAAAAAGAAGTCCAATTGAAACAATAGACTTACTAACTACCAATTCCAGTGCTGGCGGCGGCGGCGCCAAGTCCGAACATCGCAATGCCAAGATCCAGGCCAAGAACGAGAAGCTCAATGAGGAGCGCCAGCGCCAGGCTAAGGATATCCAGAAGGACAAGAGGAAGCACGACAAGAAGGCTGCCCCGGCTGGTGGCTCTGGTGCCAACGCAGCTAGCATGGACGGCGCAGCTGACAACGCTGGCGCTGGCAGTGCTGACAACGATCAGTGGGCTGGTCTCCACCCCAGCCGCAGAGGCCGTGTTTAAATCAACAAAAGCCGCTGGTTCACTATCATGGTTTACTTTAAATTGTCCCAACTCGTTGGTGCATCAGAACAGTGTACAGCAAGGTGTCCGAAGCATCTACAGGCAGCTGGACATTTTGATAGCCATGCATCCCCGGGAGCATCAGGTTTGGCTGGTTTTTTCTTATGTATTCCAAAAATTACTTACTTCATGTCTCTATTGTTTGATTTTGAAGATACCAATTCATATGTTCTTTTCTGTGCTTCCTTCCCGGCAAATATTGTTTTTAGGAGTGAACATCTATCGTGACATGGGCTACAGATAACTTAAAACGACCAGGGTATAACCTCAAGAGTCAACAACATCGCGAATGAATTGGGACAGACTATGAACTATGAACAAGGGCCAAGAGGGCCAAGACAAAAAGTATCCCCAAGAAAAACGGTCAATGGATTTCATCACAAAACAGCACTGAGAGGCCAGCGAAATTAAAAAAAAGCCTCTAACTACCCAGACGCCGTATTAACTATATATTATTCATTATAGCATACGAGAACATGGGGAGACGAGTCAAGCCAAACAAACGTGTTCTACAAGAGATTGCATTTGACTGCCTTCCTCCCGGATTTCGTAGCGGGACGGGGATTGAGAACGGCTCTATAATAGACAGTTAGAAAAAAAAACCGAATATATGCTAGTCCGGGAAAGGAGAGTGAAAACGCACCGGATGGCTTCGTCGAACACGCTCTTCAGGTTGCGTTGTGTCAGCGCCGAACATTCGAGGTACTTATGTGCGCGAATCTCCTTAGCCACGGCCAGGGCTTGTTCGTAGGAGACGGTCTCCATCTTGCGTGCGCGGAGGGCTTCCGTAGTGGCGCGGTCGTCTCTCAGATCGAGCTTGGTACCAACGAGGATGATGGGGACATTGGGGGCGTGGTGTTCGATCTCAGGGAACCACTAGAAGCGGGGGAACAGTTAGTCGCATAGAAATGGGAAGAGCCTCGTAGGTCTCTCATGTTCGGACCGTTCGTACCTTCGCTTTGACGTTATCGAATGATGGCGGGCTGACGATGGAGAAGCAGATCAAAAAGACGTCGGTTTGCGGGTAGGATAACGGTCTCAGGCGATCGTAATCCTCTTGTCCAGCAGTATCCCACAGTCCCAGGCTGATCGGCCGGCCGTCAACCATAACACTGGCCGTGTAGTTGTCAAAGCTGTAATGGAATCAATGTCCGTTCGGGATTCAAGGTTTCGCATTGAGGGGCAGTGGGTACGAACACAGTAGGGATGTATTCACCCGGGAAAGCATTCGTTGTGTACGAGATCAGAAGACATGTCTGGCAAGGGAATTGGATGTCAGCATCTATGGCAAGATTATACGGAGTAGGGATAGGGTGTCTGGGGGATGTACTAACTTTGCCAACTGCACCATCACCGGTCACCACACACTGCAAGCATGTCAATTAAAGCCGCGCATCGCTGATCGAATCAGATGCCCACCTTCAGTGACTGAGTAGCCGGACCCGTCGCCATGTCGCAAAAATACAATCAAACCAAAGCCAAATTCCAACAGGGGATGTTGGGGGAGGGGGCGGGTGTGAGCGATAAGGAGGACCGGATGACAACGATAACAGAAGGACACAATGGCAACAAGGGTATCTTCAGAATATTAGCTTTAGCTTCAGGGGGCTTTGAGGAAAGAAGCTAGGAGGTTGGAGCTAGGGAAAAGAGGGGGTGGGAGAGATGTGGAGACCAAAGAAAATGAAGATGAAAGGAGATTTGGAACTCACCAAAGAAAAAAAAAGATATATAAGGTGGAGAGAAGAAAGAGAGTCAGAAAGGGGAGAAAAAAGGGAAAGCGATCGGACTAGCTCCCCTAGCCAAAAGTCAATAGATTATTTCTATGAAGTGGAAGAGATCGAATTCAAATATGTCTCCACTTATTTCTAAATATTGAAAATGTGCGTATCTAAATATGTAGATATAGATTCTATATAACTAAATTGTGTTGCATCTGGACTACAAAGTCCCTTTCCCTTTCAAGGTTACTCCGTGTGTGATAGGGTCAAATCCTTCCTAAAAATCTCACAGACCTCCTATATATGTTGGTCAGCGATCACTAATGCACCAATCGCATGACAATTGAATCACGAGTGACGCCGGGACATGCCATGGCGTGTATTCGATATCGAATCATTATGGGAAACCCCAGGAGGGTTGTGCTTATGCATGGTCCATCAAGTGTCCTATTTATATCTACCCAACCACCCCGGACTATCAGCTATATATGGGATCCTAAAAACAAACAGAACCATCTAAATTCGCGACACACCCCTCGAACCACTCAGGAACCCACCTGCCCTGATCTCTGCCGGCTTCGTCAACAAAGTGGATAATTTTCCTGCGAAGGTTCGGAAATAGGGCGATTTGACGTGGGTCTGGATCGCCGCCTGGTTCTTATATCTATATTGTAGAGCCGATCAGAATCTTGGAAATTGTGGCAAAGATGCTCTTGCCAAGTTGATTGGGCCGAGGCACGCTCTCCATGCGGGGGAGCTATCAGTGAGCCCTGGAGAGGCCGACCTATATCGATACCCGATGGTTGACTTACCTCTCAACAATCACAATCTCATTCTTGTCCTTGATTTCATATGCGTAGTAGAGCAGTGTGTCCGGTTCGTGTTCTTGCACCTGTTTGATGACCTCGGTTACAAGAGTAGCTACCTGGAGAACAACACGATATGTTAGATATTTGGACTCTGAAGGATTATGAGGCTGGGCTGACTTCTTCAAACTTCTCTGGCTTTGGAATGAAAACTGCGGTGACGTTGATTTCGGACATGATGGCCTGGGGTTGAGTTGTTAGCCATGGGGTTAATGAAGTAGCACTAGTAGCACCAATAGAACAACCCACGTTTTCAAAGTCAAATTCAATGATATTCAGGTATCTTAAGATCGGATATTGGAATAATGACTTTTGAAGGAGCTTTAAGAGTTAAATATGTACTCCGTAAATGTATTGATCATATAATCCATATAATCCACCCATGGACATCGACCTCGGTCCAGGGCAAGTGGGGCATCAAGTCCAAACAGATGTACATGTATCCCACATATATAACTAGTTAACTGTGACTTGAATATATCGAAATATCGGCTATGACTCTTGATGCTTCTTTCATTCCCAGGTTCGATGGTATCTATCCAGCTGAACTTGAATATAAAGTTAAAACTATGTTTATTTATGTAATTCTAGCTGATGGTAAGGCGATATGCGATATGTACTCTCCAATACTTAGTAGTGACAATCAACTACATATCACTATAAAGAGTGTTTGATGGAAGTAGTTATTCAATTCCCTATGCATATGACAACATGTTCAACTACCTCGAAGCTGCTGGATCAGCTGGGCATGGAGAGAGATTACATCATCAATCAATGCCTCAGGCAGAACATGAATCAGCAACCGCCGAGATTCGTCTCGGCATCAAATCTCCCGCAAATCAACGTCCTCAAATCTGCAGTCAAGTTCCCCACATCCCTCTTCAGCGGGCCGATTTCTCCGATTTACGGCACATGGACTCCAGCACTCGTTCACGTATCGTGGGGTTTTATACCGGCTGAACGCAGGCTGATCTCAATGGATTTGGGGTATCGGAACATACTGGCACCGGATGGGCCACATTACTCAATCCCCCCGACCGACTTTCGGTCCCCCACTCTACCCCGGCCACCCCCGGGTATCGATTTCATGCAGAGAAGCTCGGAATCTTGCGAGATGGAGAAGGCTCCGCCTGTCACGGGCAAGCGCCGAGGTGGCAGCCGAAAAGCCTGTAATGAATGTAAGCAGCAAAAGGTGAGTCATGTGCATATCTCAAATTACTATGCAATTTTACCCAAACCCCGACCGTATCGGGTCTCTGACAATGGCGCTGATGTCTCAAACACTGATAGCTGAGGTGTGATATTGTTCAAACGCCAGCTGCGGCCTGTTCGCGTTGTCGCAGGCTTGGGATAGACTGTAAAGTTGAACAGTCATTCAAGCGCATCTCTAAGAGAAGGTAAACCTTTTTTTGTCTGGATTTTTTTCCTCTCTCGCATCTTATTGACTCTATTTAAATAAACAGGCGCAATGCTGAAATGGAAAAGGAGATTGCTGATCTCCGCCGCCGCCTGGGACCCAATTCAGATCATGAGCAAGGTGCAGAGCCTCACGAGCCTCATGGTGGTGATGAAATGTCCCATTGCTCAGAGGATGTCTTTGCTCGCCGTGACTCGGCCGCGATTGAGCAATCTCGACCTGTTTCAGTGCCAGTTGAATCCCACTCATCTATAACTACTCCTTTGAATATGAAAAGGGATGGTTCTATTATATCACAGGATGAGGGCCAATGGAGACTGGAAGATATTTGTCTCTCTAGAGCCCGAGTTCTTCGATTATACGAACAGTATGCGTTCTCCATTTCTTTGGCCCGCTTCTGCGATTAACATCTGTATAGATACTTTACTTATTACCACCCCTTTCTTCCTCTTTTGAATCCACCCAAGCCCCCAGAGGTGTATCTCAACCGATGCCCTCTTTTGGCATGGACTATGATCTGTGTTGCAAGTCGACGGTCTCAATATGAGCCTGGACTCTTGAGCGCACTGTCCGGACCATTTAGCAGGCTGCTTTGGTCAACCATTACCAGTGTCCCACAGGACTACCGGGTGGTCAAGGCCCTTTGTGTTCTGTGTACATGGCCTCTTCCGACTACAAGCCAGCGCACCGATGCAACCTTCATGCTCAGTGGCTTGATGATGCAGATTGCTATGCAGCTTGGGCTACACCGTCCGGTTCAAGCGGAAGAGTTCACAACATTCCGCATGGAAGTTCAAGGTGAAGCTCTAAAGGATCGACTACATACGTGGGTCATTTGCAACATCGTGGCTCAAAAGTGAGTATTTCCTTTCGATATATAGCCATTCATCACAGACTGACTGAGGATTCGGTAGTGTTGCGACTGGTTACGGCCAGCCACCGAGCACAATATATGACTGGGCCCTTGAGCCTGCCTCTTTGAGGGATGCCGACTACCGCCTTCCCGACGACCTGGCCATTCGGTTGCGTATCGAAAAGTTCTGCGACCGGGTGACCAAGGCATTATACAGTAGTAAACCCGAGCCTGCGGAGTTTATCAGTGCCGACAAGCTTGTGGTCGTGCAGGTTTTGGAATGTGAACTCAGAGACATGGATGTCGAGTTTGACGGAAAGATCTCCGGTAAGTCGTTGTCGTATCATTCCAATTTGGCACCGCTCACACTCGCACCAAGCAATCAACACGATCCATCTCCGTGCCGCAGAATTGCACTTCCGATACTTCATGTTCTTGGGGTCCACTGCACGAAGCGACGATCTGATCAAACTTTTCCTTGCAACAACCTCCTTCCTTGGTCGAGTACTAGATCTTGAAACATCGCCAGGTGAATTGATCGGCCACTCCACCAACTATATTCTTCAAATGATTGTGTCGGCCGCTTTTGCTCTCATGAAGTTGTTGAAGAGCAGCTTCAGCCGACACCTCGATTTCAACCATGGCAAGCTACTGTTCAACGGTGCGATCTCAGCAATTCGCCGAATCAGTGTCATGGATCACGACCGTCCCATTCGTCTTGCAGACATCCTTGCTCAAATGTGGAATGCCACGAGTCTAGAGCCCGCCGAAGAAGATGCTCTACAGCTTAAAGTCCGCTGCCGGATGAGTATGAGCCATGTCTACGACACCGTTTGGCGTTGGCGACAGCGGTTCCGACCGGTCAAAAGCCTTGAGGAAATGCAAGGTATGTTTTCTTTGCTTTTTTACCCCTTTCGTTGTTCTCTCCCAGTTTTTAACAAATTTCTTTTTACAGCTGCTGCCATAGCAGCGAACCAAGATATACTAGGCCCGGCAGGACACATGACGCGGCAACAGCAGGATAGCTCCCTGGAGGATCAATCCCTGATGATGCCAGCTCAGTTTGATGAAGGCGGAGCATTTTTCAGCGAATCTGGATTCTCGGAAGTCTTTGATTCTCTCAATTGGGTTTTTGATGGCATCCCGGACTCTTTTGTCGCACCTCCGGTTTTATAGATGCCATTAACTGCCATTGCGGATGTTTTTGTATAATTGTTGATATTTGATTCCCAGCGACGATACCAGAATAAAAGTGATTTTTACTACTAATAGAATAATGCACATAAATACGTCCCACTATATAACTAACTAACTACCTAACTAGGTACGTACAACTACGTACACAAGGCGAAGCCCAAGATCCACTTATGTGGCTGAACCCGCCATTACGTCTTGACCCCAAGAATACCACAGGGCTAAGGACATTCTTATAGGTTCACAACCTTTCAGCCCAAGTGAAACTCCAGAAGGCAGGCTGCCGCATTTCCTGTTCCTGGACTGACCTCATTTTGATCGGCTGCTAACCGCCATCTCCACCTTGCACTGATAATAATAGAGGTGGCCCGTGAGGCTTTCCGTTCCCCCCTCTATTTAACTCCTCCTTCTTGACATTCACACAAGTCAAGACCTTTTCCATGTCGGATCAAGCCCTACACGAATCCACGGCGATACCGACGCTCTCCGATGCGCCTCCGTTGAGCGCCGGTCGCTCATCCCCTAGCCACGGGGGCGACCCGACCCAGCCGACCCACGAAGCCATCTCAGACGAGCTGAAAGCCCGCCTGGACAAAGTTATCTACTCTGATGTGAGCAGTCACAGACAATGCACTGTCAGGTGCATATTAAATAAAAGGCGCAATTATATTAATGATGAGTAGATCGGCATAACCACACTCCTGACACGGTTGAAGCAAAGCGTGGCCTCCGCCAGGGTTCGTAGTCGCAAAAGGACTCCAACAACGATCGCAAACGCTGACACGGTATCTACTAGGATTTCTCAACTTTCCTGAAAAAGCGAGGGTCCCTTGAAGAAGAGCACGCTCAGGGGCTGCGGAAACTGTCCCGCGTGATCAGCGATGCGTCGCAACGCTCCGAGAACCGACAAGGAACATACAGTTCCAGCTACAAGGATATCCACCGAATCCAGGAGCGAATGGTAGACCATGGCCTCCAATTCGCCGTCTCCCTCCACCAGATGTCCGATGATCTGCACGAGCTCGCCGCCAACATCGAGCGTGGCCGCAAGCAATGGAAAGTAACGGGTTTAGCTGCGGAGAAGAAGGTCGTCGATGCAGAATCGCTGGCGGAGAAGGCAAAGGCCAAGTACGAGTCATTGGCAGAGCAGTATGACCGTGTTCGCACGGGAGACAAGCAGGGTGGAAAGTTCGGTCTTAAGGGCCACAAGTCTGCCGCGCAGCATGAGGAGGAGTTGTTGCGCAAGGTCCAGAACGCGGATAGCGATTACGGGTCTAAGGTTCAGGCTGCTCAGGCGGCGCGCCAGGAGCTGGTGTCTACCCACCGACCTCAGGTTGTACACAATCTTCAGCAGTTGATCGCTGAGTGTGACTCGGGCTTGACCCTGCAACAGCAGAAGTTCGGTATGTGCGATTCTTTTTTACAGAGGTGGGCCCATTGTTCCATTGTTCATCGGCTAATGATTTGCAGCCACTTTCAACGAGAAATTGCTTCTGGGCCAAGGTCTTTGCGTCAACCCTTTGAAGACCGACCCGAGCAGCGGAGCATTAGGACCTAAGAGCCTTGCCGATGTTATTCGCCAAGTCGATAACCAGAGAGATCTCCACGAGTTTATTTTAAGCCATGAAGGCAATCCCGGGGCTGTGGCTTCAGAACAGGTTAAATATGAGCGCCACCCTGTAGGTTCTGCATTGTTCCTCGATTGCTTCACTATACTAACACATTGATAGACACTCGGTGGTGCTGGGGCTGTTTCTTCTGCTTCTGCTTCTGCGGTACCCTCGCAACCAACTACTCAAAATAAGCGCGTGTCAGTTATGCCGCAGGCATTCGCCTCGAATAATACCTCTTCGCCGGCGCTTCAGCCACCGCATAGTGGTGACCGATTGCCGCAGTCACCTTATCCTCCGGAGAAGACCTTCACTCCGCCCCCAGCCGGCACACCTCCCTACCCAGTTTCAGGACCGCTTGCTCCGGAACCCGCACCCAAGGTTCAGGTTCCAATGGCAGGACCTCCCCTAATGGACAGGAGTTTACAATCGAATCTCCCTCCATTGAAGCCAGTATTCGGTGTTTCGCTGAATGACCTGTACGCCCGGGATGGAACGGCGGTTCCGTTCATTGTGTACCAGTGCTTCCAAGCAGTTGAGCTGTTCGGTCTGGATATGGAGGGCATCTATCGACTTTCGGGTAGTGCCAATCACATCAGTCACATGAAAGCCGTGTTTGACAATGGTAAGCTTGATCAGCCACTTGGCGAAATCTGGACAGCTTGCTAACCATACTCTCATATGAGCAGACTCATCGCAAGTCGACTTCACAAACCCGGAGAACTTCTACCATGATGTCAACAGCGTTGCAGGACTTGCGAAGCAATTCTTCAGGGACCTCCCCGACCCTCTGTTCACCACTCAGTTCTACCAGCAGTTTGTTGATGCCGCCCGTAAGTAGTATTCGCGTCATGGAGAGAGTCGATAATCTGGATTGACAAACTGACAATGAAATCGCAGGCTTCGACGATGACATCCAACGCCGAGACTCGATGCACGCCCTTATTAACAGCCTGCCCGATGCTCACTATGCTACTCTCCGCGCTATCATTCTGGTACGATCCCCAACAAGAACCCAGTCTTTCTTTCCACGCAGGTACTAACCCAGTCTATTGTAGCATCTCAACAAGATCCAAGAACACTATACCCAGAACCGTATGAACGCGGGCAATCTAGCCATTTGCTTCGGGTATGTCCTTTCACACTCCACATCCTACATAAACAGGGATGATATCAGATACAGACCCGCTAATTCTCGCTATAGACCAACCCTCATGGGCGCCAATTCCGGTGGCAGCATCGCCGATGCTGGGTGGCAGGTCCGTGTCGTCGAGACGATCCTGAATAACACATTCCAGATCTTCGACGATGACTGAATCAATTCGCCCCCGGCCCGTTCCTAGCTTCTTTCTTGTTTTGTTTATTGGAATATGAGCGTTGGTTCGCGGACCGACGTATAATGTTTGGTGCATCGCCTCCCGGTGCTCTCTTGAACCTCTTTTTCTTTTATCCATTCGTACCTCTTGTTCCTGTGTGTTCTGGTGTTTCCTCGGAGTGATACCTGTGCTACACATTAATATTGTGCCTTTGGGCCTTCCGATTGTACATATACATACTGCCCAGTCCTTTTAGTTTTGACTTTTGCCGGTCATGAGCAACGTATAATCGTGTTACCGATGATGTCAGGTTGAAATGCAGCAAATATTGGCCTATTTGGTATCATCTTAGTAGAAAGTACACAAGCTACTGCCAGCGATAAAAACCCAGGAAATTGGCTAGTTGGCATGGCTATCTGCCCTATTATCCTTTTCATGTACTTTTTTAGGGCATTTGTTCTAGGGCCAAGGCAATCGTGCCAAAGAAGCTTAAAATCTGAGAGTACAACATGTTAAGATTGATAGTAGATTGTGGGAAGGACACTCTGAGACATTGATATTCATTTGTACAAGTAATGGCTCAAAAGAAAGGTAGAATTTGATCAAAACAGGTGGCTATGGTACATGGGAGGTGTAAATGCTTCTATATCAGGGGTTTCCCGTGTCAAGGAAAGGGAACAGACCAGAAAAGAAGCTGACCTGAGCCTCTGTTCAGTGTTAGGCCCAAAATGAGGAGTTGGTAAACAAAAAGTAAGACAAGCAGGTGAAATAAAGGATATTGTGTCAAACCCATTTGCTGTTGATCCGGTGGGATGAAAACTCCTGGTAAGACATACAGTCGTCCAGTATTTGAGTTCCTAGTGCGGGTTTTGCAGTCGCAGTTTCCAAATGGCGGAGAGGTCAGAGGTGCAGAACATATCATTCTGACAGGAAAGAAACACAAATCACAGTTTGAGATGCGACTCAAATTTATTTATTGCCCATCGAGTCCTTGATCATGTCCAGACGCTCGAGGGCTGACAAGCCAGACATGAAGTAGGGGTTAGTCATAGCCTCATGCAATGAGGTGGGACTGATGTGGCCCCAGACTCTCCAGCCCTTATCCTGGTCGTTCCAGCGAAGATGCTGAATGACAATGTGCTCGACACAGTCCTGCTCCTTGGCAGAAACGGCCGTAGCTTCCGTAGGTTCCTTTCCGCTGGGGTTCTGGACCTGAGTCGTGGTTGTAGACTGTCGGCTCGTGATGCGCACGACAATTTGACGGATACCGGATTTGGGGATATCGGGGATGGATGTGGCACGATCTGAGATGACGCGGAGGCCGATGAAGTTTGTACTTGGCTTACGCAGGTATTTCACCAGTTTCCAGGTCACTTGCTCATTCTTCGGGCGGCGTTCGATACTTGTGCTGAGTTGCTTGAGGAGGCCGTCGCAGCAGACCTGGCGGATTTTAGGAATGTTGCCTCTATAACAATTCATAGCGGTTAGTCCCGCTCAAAAGTAAACGGAGAAAAGGCGCATGCTTACTCGGCAAATGCTGTATACATTTCCTCCTGTAGCTTTGCAGCGAAGTGGCGCCGCTTGCTTAGGAGAAGAGGAAGGGTGTTATCGCGCTTGCAATATTGGAGCAGACTGCAATATAGTTAGAAAGGATGATCTTTGCAAGTATATGGTATATGCAGCTCTTGCTCAACGTAACCGCCACCAAGGAGATAGAGGGTACCGAATATTCCAAGGATTCAGGGAGAACTAACCTGGCATGGTTGCTCAACCAGGCCTTGAGCCATGTCCATTCCATATGCCACCTATCGCGCGGTGCCTTGAAAACCGAAGGCATATCCCTCCACAACGGTCGGACAAAGGTACCTGGTAATATGCCGATGTCATTTGGCAGATCGGCTAACTTCATGCCCTTGGTTCTGGTTTTGAAGGACGGCTGCACTTGGCTTGGAGGGCGGAAATTCATTTGTCTCCCACGCCATTGTTGGGAGGTCTCGGAGAAGGCCCGACATTGTACGAAGGAACCAGATGGTACAATTCGAGCGGATGTGCCCGCGGGCATTCGTAGGGTAGACGCCATTGCGAATCGGGTTGAGTAAGAGAAGTGGTTCCTGGCCGAAGAACAGAAATCCGCGGAACTGTCAGTCACGTGAATCACTCCGGTCGACAGCAACAAGTAGCTCCCGGGGGATTCCTGTGAACGAAGCGCCCTCTTATCGAGGCAACAGCTTATATCTTCCTCGCTGTTTCTTTAATACGACTGTCATATGTAAAAAGAAGTTGATCGTATAGAATTAAACTGCCCCCGGAAAAAAGACACCGCCCGCCACACACTGGGTCTGATATCTGCCAATTAGGGGACTCTCAAACAGCTTGACAACAACCCAACTTTGAATCTTATCGAGAGCGAACGACTCGATCGCAACGCCCATACTATACCCCTTCCATTCCTTGCGTGGCGGCCGCATACGCCGCGATTCAGAATAAAGGCTGGCTCCTCCTCGACGTAATGCCTCTCCTCCACCATACACTCCCCACGGCTATTCACACCAACATCCACACCGTGGTCCAGACCTGAATCTCGCACGATCGACTCTTCCGCCCGGCTACCTCAGCACTTCCCCTGATCTACTACAAAGCCAGCTGGCTAAAGAGGTGGCTTCTCCATCTGATTCGGCTGTCCCGCCTTCCCCGACTTCCTCCACGTCCCATACCCCACTCAACAGCGATGGCCCTTCATCAGCACTGCACCCGCGGGTCGCTGTAATCCTTGGTGTAGACCGCAGGTGGTATATTCCCCTGTTGGTATGTCGGGCTCTGAGCACACTTCCAGCTGGCTGGTGGGGTTTGCGATGCGCCTTTACCTTCCTCGCTGAGTTGCTGCATATAAGGCCGGGTATGGGACGAGAGGGGTGGGCGGCGGCGATTGTTGGTAGTGTTGGACAGGAATGGGACGTTGAGAGGAGGTTCCGTGTGACGGAGGTGGCATTGGCTATTATGTGGGTATGTGATATTCCTACTTTGATATGTGGGCGTATATCTTTTTTGATATACTACTTACTAGTGTCCAACCGCGCACTTTTATACTGACTCCTGAATAGTGCTGTGCATCCGCATATCTTTCTTATTTCTTTGCTGATTGCATGATGTCTCGATGGTTGGTTTTCTCTTCTCTTGAACGTCTCACTGTGGTCCCCAATGCTAATATGTGATATACTCAGGCTTCTGAACTACACTCCACCGGCTGTTGTGATCCGACTTCTAACAACCAACGGCCTGATTGCATATATCACTTCTTGGGTCCTTTATCTATCTGGTGCATCCTCTGACCCCCGACTCCTTTTACCAGCTTGGATCTCCATAACAACCGTACGTTACCTTGGCTCCCAATTATTGATCTACCTTACAACAGCCACTAACCTTTCACCTAGTCTTTAACCTTTGTCTACCACGCAACGCAAAACCATGCAACCATCAAACGAGAAACAGCAGCATCGCTACTAGTCGTTTCTGTCGCAAGCTTCCTAAGCATGTCCTCACTCCTCATGCAGCTACATCTAACCCGTGAGAACGAACCAGAAGTGCCTGTCTTCGTTATCACTCGCAAACTTTGGGACTGGGCTGTGGCCATCTTCCTGCGCATGCGAGTTGCGGATGACCGTATTCCTGTTGGAGAGCTGTAGCTTGCTTACTTGCCCGCTGGTTACTGGGCTTTACTTTTCTTTTTCTGTTTCGTGATAACTTGCGAATTGACTTCCACAGTCTAGACAAGCTGGACAAGCGTTCTTGACTAGACAGGGGGTGGATGATTTGTACATTTTTTGGGATTTGATTTTGATTTAGTTGAAGACTCTTTGTCTTCGGTGGACTTTGTTGCGCTTATACCCCTGGCCTAGGGATGTTTTTCTTTTCAGACATGGCGATCTTTGATAGATCTAATCTATTATTTTTGTTTATTGATTGATTCACAATGCGAAATTCCACACTCTTAAACTAAACTGATAGATTGGGATCAAGTTCCCTATCTCGAATTTACTTTTATGTTGATGCATCATCTGGAATATGAGACTGAACAACAGTTCAATTTCCTGGTTTCCAAGCAATGGACTGCACCCTCAAGAGAGGGGCAACAACAGAGTGAGAATGGCACAAAGATTAAGTAGACGTTAAGAGACCGACAAAACGGTTCAGCAAAAGCACGCCCTTAGTTCAACCTGGATCTCCTCGATCAGCCAGACTGACAAATTGACCATGGGAATGCAATGGCAATGAGCAATACAGGCAAAGACAATCCCTTCCCTCAACGGATAAAAGAATGGAAAACACACGCAAAGTCATGAAAATAAAAAAAAAAGTGTTGTCTGTCTATGCAGATTAATGGGTATCTACCAACTCCTCGTTCCGTCATAATCCCGTCCTTAGAATAGCGGTCGAACCACCCCGCTCTCCCTGCCGATCATGCGGGAACGATAGGAAGGGGGCACACAGGTGTAGCGGGTCATTTCGACGAAGGGCCCAGGTCTAACACGCCAGGCACAAAGTGGTGGGGGGAGAAAGCAAGACATTCGATCGATGTGAAGGCCAATATTGTATACGGCCGGCGGATGAGGGATGCTTCCTATCCCACCGCTCACAGGGCAACATAAACCGGGAAGAGGGGACTGGAACAAGGCATGATGTTGGTGATGGGATTAGAACCCGTGGACCTAGAATATGACAGATTAGAACATGGTAATGGTGATGGAGGGCAGGTAGTGGGGCAGCGACATACCTTGATGGTCTTGGCATCAAGCTCGAGTCCCTCCTTCTTGTCAGTCAGGAACTCCTGGACATCCTTTCTCTGGTCTCCCTGCAGCTGAATCACCTCGCCCATCTCAGTGTCAGAGACGATGGTGCCATTGCAAGCTATGGTATGGTTAGAATCTGGCCCGGACACATATGGACAGGTCACAAGACATACCGAATTTCTTCTTGATGACCTTGAGAATCTTCTTCTGGTCGAACTTCTTGGGCAGACCCTGAACAGTGGTCAGAGTCTTGCGACCATTGCGTTCTGTTGTGGAACAAGTAGTTAGTATGTATCCCCCTTTTAGCGCCAGCGAGTCGCAAGAGTAGCCATAGGCGGTGAGCACAGGATAATGGACGTACGCTGAATCCGTATGTGGATATAGTTCTGAGACTGTTTAGTCTCGCCGGTATCTTCGTCGGCTTCGGCGAAGGGGTCTGTAAGATACACATGTCAGCCTCAGTCCAGTACCAAATTTCTACCCCGCCGTCATGAAACTCGGTGGAAGAGTGGTGGGGAGAGCTGAAATCCACAGCGTTGTCACTACACATGATGAGGGACGTATGTCTCATCCGCATACATAGTGATCATCGCTGTGGGTATGCGTGCGTGTGTGGGGGTGAAGCCCGATACGCGCCCAGGAGGGGGAAAGTGGCGAACTTACCGAAGGTCTTGAGGTTTTCGATGGACATAAACTCGGCCTTTTCGTAGTAAACGGCGTTTAAAATGGGTATTGATGAAGTGAGCGAAGGGCGAGATTCAATATCTCTGTAAAAGATCGGAGTGTGCGTGGTTAGGAGAGAGGAGATGCTGTGGTAGAAGAATGGGAGAGAAGAAGCGGCAGAGCCTTTTGAGGCAAGAGTCACGTTGTGGGGGAAGGCGGTGTGTGACTAAGCGATTCTCCCGTATCAACCAGGGCCGTGAACATTGTGATGATGCAAACTATTAGGTGGAATTCATATATAATTCTAATTCAAACTAGCAAATAATTGGCAATTATGGTGATAAGCAGACTTGCTCATCTTTGATCACAAGGGCAGAACTTGGTTTGAATATTGGTACATCGTGACAAGAATAGATAAGATGATCTCTCAATCCAGACTCAGAATCTGATGACCCGCGAACAATTGATCCATCGTAGTTCAGATGATGAGACTGTGGAGATTATGAGACGTATGTAGGAGGATATCAAGGAGGTTCGGACGTTCAAGTGGCCAGGGGAGTTGGTGCGGCGGCGCCGGTGGTACCGCCAGGAGCCTGGGGAGGCAAGAAGAGAGGGAAATAGGTCTGCAATGGTTTGTTAAGCTGAGTGCGTCGCAATGCTGTAGGTTTGGGATACGTACGACAACCAATGCCATCACTATACCACGCCATGAGATTAGCCTTGCAAGCACGAGGGGGATACGGAGAGTAACGAACAGGACATGAGAACCGACATGTAGGCCGGTGTAGAAGCGGTCTTCTTCTGTTCTGGGGATTCACCCAACCAGGACTGAAGTGAGAAGACGAAGGATACCCTGTTTCCGAGTCAGATAACCTGGGTAAACCATTAACTGCTCGCCTTGCTCTTACCATCCGATCATGCTGTGTCGCGACACTTGTCAATAATGTCCATAGCTCGTGTAAGATGCGCGACTCACCGGTTTCGGGTAAACATCTAAGAGATCAAGGTCAGGGTCAAGTTATCGCAAGGTCAGATGTTGGGGTAACGACTTACGGCTGCCATGGGCATAGTGCTCGACATTGTGCCTGTTGTATAGCTCAATCAGCCTTCATAGTCCTCATACTCAAGTATCCCATTGCTGAAACGAAGGTGTGGCGTACTGGAGATATCGGCATCGCTGCTGCTCTTGGGGGGATCGACATAGGGGATCGCTTTTCAACGTTAGCTTTGACGAGCCAAAACTTGAAGCAATTACTGCTCACCGAGATCAGCCCTGCGCATATCTTTCTTTGACGACATTGTGTTGAGATATGATATTAAGGTGATGGGTTGAGGTAACCAGAAGGATCGAACTGGCCACCCCCGTGCCAAGGCGGTGCCAGTCTGGGCTAGACTTTCCGAGAACACCCCGGATTGAATATCTCCGACATGGAGGGACATGGACATCTGGTTTTCTTACATATGTACTTTTGATTCTTTTATGCATCTGTATCTTCTGTATTTCCCGAATTGAGCCATTATTAATTGATTCCCCGCTCAATTTGAGAACATTGCAAGTAGGAACCGGAATACTTCAAGTTTGAGCAATAGATAAACACTTGTTGACATCCACTGCTATAGTTAACTGCTATAAATGTACCATGTACAACATACGATTTATATGGAAATAGACTCATTCGGATCTTGGCTATGAAATTAATAGCACGAAGACAATACGAGTAAAAACCAGCCGACACCATACAGGGTTTGTGTAATGATCTGGATGTGCTGCAGGTCAGTGTGATGGCTGTGCATCGATCACTTCCTACATAAATAACATGGTACAGCGGACTCCGTAGGCTTCAACTTACTCACTGCAAATCACCCCTTGCAGGTAGCATATTCCAGTCCTCACTGTAGTTTCATGGAATCTTGGATGGACATGCAGGTAGACATTGATCGGCAGCTCAGGCGGCATTTGCCATTAGACCCAGGCCAAGTCAAACATGCCACGGGGTGAAGAGTCAAACAATTGGAAATTGGAAATGCAAAGACCCGATGGACCCGATACGCGCTCTGCGGAATGTGGACTCATCGAACTCTGGTGATAAGCCATTTGGAAAGCCTCGGGGATTATGCCGCAGAGAATGGGAACGGCCCGTTGCGCTCTTGGACCTCTAGACTGTGTAACAGGCCATGGTCTGGTATTGGATTGGAGAACCCCCAGCCAAGTACTCCGTACCTATGTACTCCATATTGGGAACAAAAAATAATATAATTCCGCGCGGCTAAGACTTGTTGCCGAGGAGGGCATATCACCAGGGAGCTTTCCGGGAGCCGACGGATTAAGGGAAGCGAAACAGAGAAGATATAGGCAACAAGAGGGCTGTAAATGTCAGCCCTGATACATGTAAAGACTGAGAAAGAGCAAATAAACACGGCCTATTGCGATTATCAGGAGAGGAGAAGGTCAAATGAGAGTAAAGGCTGGTATTGTCAGCCCATTACCGTCAAATCATATGATAAAGTGCCCGTGGCGATGTGAACACAATCCTTGAACTTTCTTGACAAGTACATTATTATATATCCAAGTAAGGTTGTACTTACACTTCCCTGTACAACCCTGTTCATCTTTTCCCTTTTCGTTTCTAAAGAGGATTGGTGTTTTTCCCCGACCCCAGATACCCAGATACCCAGATACCCGAGTTGGCCGTTCCCCGATTTCCCCATCAGCTCACCCTGCCAACCCGCCAACTTCCACCTAATTCCGCGCGTTCGCCTCCATTCTCAAATATTGACTCGAATTACTCGAAACCATACGTCGCCTGGATGATCCGAATACTCCTCCCTTTGGATACATCATGAGCCTAAGATGATCCCCCATTCCTCTGCCGGCGGCCAACCGTGGGGCCACCCTCTGCGGACCTTCAATGGAGGTCCCGGACGAGTTGATAATGCGCAGATGTTGGGACAATATGACCACCCCGACAGGTCAGCCTCACTACCACAGCCGCCAATTCGACAACCCGCCGTCGTTGACCTGACCGCAGGCGGTCCGGAGTCGCAAGATAGAGAACCGCCCCCGAAACGACCGAGATTGGATGTTCCGAGTGCATCGAATACATCGGATACTGGCGCAGCGGTGGGAGAAACGAGGGGTACTCCCGGAAGTGCAATTTCGCGACCTGCAGTCTCGTGGCGCGGCCGTCCGGTCTGGTCATTCCAGGCTGTCGTGTCGGAAATCCCGAGCAATGAGAATCGGGGCGATGGCGCTGCCGGATCTAAGCCCCCATCTCCGCCCCCGTTGCCGGCTCAGCCTTGGATGAACAATTTTGTGGCCGAACCTGAGGGAAGTGGTGTCGTGAAGTCGAGGGAAGGCTCCCCAGTCGGGGCTGTACAAACGACCCCGTATTGCATTGAGGTCCCTTCCGTTGCTCCGGTCTACAAAGGTCAAAGTAAGTTAACCTCTGGATTTTTGAATTGTAACGATCGAGACTAATCGCCCGTTTCAGAACCTGCCGATTTCGCCCCATGGACCGGAAACCACCCGGAGGACGTCCTGAGCGAGCAAACCGCGAAACAAGGCTATTATGACCGTACGCAGGTCTCCCAGAATGAATCGAATACAGCGCGTCCCGCGTTATATGCGCAGCTCAAGAATCGCACAGGGTTGCAAATGCTTTCGTCCGTCTTCGCTGCGGCGTTAGAGAAACGACAAAGTCACAACACTATTCACGCTCCGTCAACCTTTAAACCGCCCCCTCGAGTTACGCTCACCGACAACAAGCGCGAGGCGTGGCTTCGGGATCTCGCCAACCCCTCTGTTCCGCTGCGAAGGTTGAGCCGAACCATTCCCCATGGTATCCGCGGCAAGATCCTCCTGGACCAGTGCCTTGGTAAATGGATTCCGGTTGCACGTGCTGTCTGGTTGGCAAAATGTGTGGGTGCGAATGAAATTCGTGCGTTCAAACGAAAAGGCACCAGTGGTGCTTTGGCTGTTGGGTTAGAGGCGAAATGGGTCCGAGATTGGACGACGAATGTCCAGCAATTTGTCGAAGGGGTATTTGCTGCCCCCAAGTCCTCGGATTGGAAGGCGAAGATGACATATGCGTACGTTTCGTGGATTGCCGTTAATTGTGAGCAGCATGCTAACCTTTATCTCCAGAGTCGGGTTGACTGCTCGTTTATTCTCCGAGAACTTACTGGACCATGACCATTTCCTTGAATGGTTCTTGTCATCTTTTGAGGCTGCTTCTATCGGCACGATTCCAATCTGGCTTTTGATGCTCGGCATATACTGGAATAGTATCATGCGATATCGGCGAAGGGGACGAAGATTGGCTGAGCTGCTGCTCCAAAAAGTGCGACAGGTGCGTTCAACTTGCATTGACTACTTGTGCCTGCAGTCAATACTGACAGCTAGCAATAGGCAACTGAAGCTAAATTAACTCAACTTCAACCTCTTATCGACCGTCTTTCTCGCTTTATCAAAAAGCTTGTTCTGGACCATACATCTTCGATGATACTCCCAAATTCTTGGGAGACGTATAAACAACAGGTGTCGTCTGTCCTTGATTTGGGCAATGAAGCAGAGAAAGCTCTTTTCCAGAGCCTCGCAGAGCGCAATGCGCGGGTGCAACCACCCAAACACTCGAAACAAGCAACCCAACGCTCACCCCATCAACGCATCGTCCGACTTCTTGACTCCATCCGCTCCGCTCAGGATCCGTCTTCTATCTTTGGCTATCTTGACGCTTTTGATGACAAGGCTGTTTTGGTCTTCAAGCTATTGGAATGGCTCTCTACCCCCTTCCGCCACGGTCTCTGCCGGGTTTACATTGGTGTTCGCCTACTCCGCAAATGGAAATTGGCCGGCGTCGATATAGACAGTCACATACTGGCCTTTCTCTCGCGTGGACAGAACAATCAAAAGCTCAATATGGATCAAATCTATCATGTCGTCTCTGAACTTGTCAGGTCACAGACATTCTCAGTTGGCCGCTATCTTCAATGGCTCATGGCACGAGGCATTGCCAATGGATCATCTTCAGCCGAGGAGCGCAAGGTAAGATCGAACTTACATGCCAAAACTTTCTTCTCACTAACAGATGTGCAGGTGAAGGACTTGCCAATCGATATTGGACTGATAGCGCAACTCCCTGTTGCCCGTCTTCCAGAACATGTTGGGAACTTGCGGAGTACTCTGCTGACTCGCACTGGGCTATCTGCCTCAGAAGAGAACGCAACTATTGATAATGTGAAAGATATCATCAGCCAACGTCTACCTGGAATTTTCGGCGTCAATGAATCTGCGCCAATGGAACCAGACTCATTACCATCAAACCTGCCTTGGGCTGTCAAAGCCGAAGTTGGCCAGTGGTTACGAAAGGCAATTTCGGAACACAACCGGAGCGCAGAGTAAGCATTTGAACTCTTCTCTCCTAAGCCCGTAACCTATCTTGCTAACTCACTAATAGGTCTACTAACAGAGGAGCGTTTCCGGTTGGCATTGCCTCTGTGGTGTCTGCGCTGACTCCCGCCGAGTTTTATACCGTCCGCGATGCTCTTGAATCATTTGACGACATTTCAATGTTAGCAGATGTGTTGAAGTTTGCATCTAGTTGTGGTGATAGCACCGTTCTCGCCTCGGTTGCAGATACCACAAACTGCCATTTCGACTCTCTTTCCGTGATTGGCGCCACAACTGACCTATTTCGGAGACTCATTGATGCCTACGCCGGAATTAAGAGGTCTGGCATGCCGAGTCTTGATCTGATATTCTCTCTGATCGAACTTGGTTTGCACATCCCGAGTGAACTCAACACTGTGTCCATTCTTCGCCAGGATCTCTCTCGCATGGAGAACAAGTCAATCATGGCCGCATCTTCTCCAGTCTCTGATCACATTCCAGATGGTTTTGGTGGCGTCGATCCCTTCTTTCGAGAGAAGCTAGATCAGCTTTTGCAATCAGGAAATGTCATGGATGAGCCCACTCTAGACGCGATTTTCAACACACTCATAAAGCATTTGGAATCCGATGATGGCCATGCAAACCTGTCAGCAAATGACACCTGCCGTTACCTTGCACAGCTCAGGTCTTTCCATCCAAAGCATTTCGATGGCATTCTTGCCCGTTGGGTTTGTGGTCATTTGCGATCTCCCGAACGTACCGTCTTGCTGCGAATTCTACCGCCTCTAATTGGAGTTGGATGCGTTACTATCAGAGCTTTTTTGGCACTCGCAAAGAGACTCACACTCTCTAAGCCAGCAACAGTCCCCAATGCAGCCCAACTGCCTGCTGACCTTGTCCAGCTTCTTGTCTCCGGTGACGAAGATGGCAAGTCCTTTGATTTGGTGTCCTATCGGTTCCAGTTGGCACAGCAGGAATTTCTCAATAAGAACTCCGAGGAAGCGCTCAAAATTGTTTGCGACGCCGCATCCTCCAATGCCGGAGGCTCTTCCACTGGGCACAGCGACATGGAGTGCTCTATAGTCATGTTGTTACGTGATCTTCTTGTGCGACACCCCGAATGTGCGGCACGGAATGGCATGCAAAAGCTCATCGACCAATACCCAGCCGCTTTGAGTATTGTCCAGAAAGCGCTTGACCTTTTATTGGGCGTCGAGTCACAGTCTGACGGCAACTCAGTCCTCTCAAAGGTCGAAAGGCTTGCCTGTATGACCGACGACTTCTCGCTCCCATTTTGCCAGTTGAAGCTTCAGGTTCTATTCCATGCGGACTCAGGGTCTGAAGACCGAACCAATATTGTTGATGCCATGTTCAAAACTGCCGTATCAGATTGTCGTGCTCACAGACTTCACTGGGTTGACCTGGTTGCACTGATGAGCCCGGACGCCGTACGCCAAATCCGGGAACGTGCCGAGAAGGAGTTTTTCTCTATCCCACTGCTTGAAGAGCCAATAGGTGATATTCCTGATTCGCCGGACAAGCTGGGATCATTGGAAACTGCCAAAATGTATCTTACCATTATCGAGGAGCTTGCGAGTAGCATCCCCGATTCCGGAGCTCCATCTGTCGCTCCAGTGCTTGTGGAAAAGATGGATTCACTTCTCCACAAGATTATCACCATGCACAACGGTACCCTTACCAAGGGTATCGCCAACATAGATCGTTCAAAATTCGAGCGTGCTCTTGCATTCTGGTTCTCTGCTTTGCTGAGGATCATTGTCCTCCATCGGTCCGCATTCGCCCAACCGCCCCCAGCTCTCAAGATCAATCCTCTGCACGAACAGCTCCGACTTCTGACATCAATATTCTGCATTGCACTCTCGCGCCTTCCCGGAGATGTCCTTCGACTATTCCCTGCAGCCGATTACTTCCCGCACCCGACCCCGGCTGAAGGCTTCCGTCCCTGCCCAGGAATCCTCCTACAGACCCACGCCCTGGACGTGGCCGCATCGCTAATCGACGTCTTCCCAGACGAAGTCCGCCACCAATGCGCACGGTTCCTGAAAGAGAAATGCCCATCCTTCGTTCCATTCCAGAACGACTCTCGCTTCCTCTACCTCCTGGGCCCAATGGCAGACCAATACCCTGCAAATGCCCAGCAAGTCTCAGCTCCCTCTCCGGCAGCATCGGGGTCAACTCCAACCCCCACACCTGCTCTTTTCTCTATCGTTGGATCATCTCCAGCGCAGCAGTCTGTCACAGCAGCGTCGGGACTGTCTACCGCACTGCCTGACTCGAACAGTATGGCCAACCGACTTCGTCTTCAACACCGCGGTCGTGTTGTCGGTCCATATCCAGTTCGCCCTTGGGAACTACTTGAGGATGCGGCGCCGTTCCTGGGAGTCAATGATACAGCCATCAATCTAGGCTTTTTCGATGCTAGACGTGTGAGAGCTTGATGATCATGCTGATCACTAATCCTTTGGGAGATGTCACACTCCTATACATATTTTACGCCCATCTTCCCTTACCTATGTATCTTTCTCGTCATATCCCTCCCTCCGTTTGTATTCCCAGCGTTATCTTCTTCATACCCGATCACTTCTCAACTCCTGACCTCCACCTCCACCTCCTACCACCCTCACAGCATATCCTCTCTATCCTCACAACCCACATCTATTTAACCATGAGCGTTTGCATATGGGAATTCGCCATTTTCTTTTCTTCTGCGTTCTTTTCTTTTTGTTCGGCGTGCATCACTATCCCCCACGGGCATTCGGTTTCGGTATCTATGGCATGCAACCTGGCATCGAGAAGCATTTTGTACATATAAACCGGCTTTCGGTCTCGGCGTTTACATGGGCGGGGATCAAGTTGCCGCTCGGCCATGTCAATCAATCAACATTGAAATCAGATCATATTATTATCGATGGGTCACTTCATTCTTTATCGTTGTATATTAACACTCTAGGGCCATCGGGGCAGCTTATGGTAGGTGACTGACGGCACTAGAACCAAGACTACTACGGCTAAGAACTAATATTGGTTACGATGCATTGGATTACTGATAGGAATGAGCAAGCTTGCAGAATAAAATTTGAAATTCGATAATTGAATCGAGCATGTTCATCGTAATATACATGCTCCCCTTTTTTGGTGTTTTGTCTTTTCCCTGAAAAGCAGATACACAGATTCGAATAAAGAAGAACAGACCATAGAGCCAGCATGGAACAAAAAGAAAGAAAAGATAAGAATAAAACGCCCTGTCATAGCAAGCAAATCAAACCGGATAACTTCCTCCATCCCCATTTCAATCATGTGTCAATATCAAACCTATTTACTTCTTCGAAGAAGTACTGTCAACACTGCTCTTATCACTGGGACCGAGACCTTTGCTCTTCCGAATATGAACTCTGCACTCATTCTCTAGCTCCTGGATCACCTCTTGCAGGATATGTTCAGGGACACGCGAGTCAGGGTCAATTGATGCGCGCTGCGCATTTATCTCACGGGTGTACTGCTCAACTGTTTTGCCGGTGTCGGTCTTGGGCTGATACTTTTTCTTGAGGGGCTTGCGATGCTGGAAAGAATGGCGGGCCAGTAGGTGTTTGTTGTCTGGCAGTGCGGGCTCGAGCCTTTTGCTGCCACACTCGGTTGGAGTGGGTGTGCCCACTTCTGGAGACTTGCCTTTGTCTGGAGTGCCCTTGTCGACTGGCTTGAGGGTCTCGACGGTATCAGGGGTCTTGCTATCGGCAGATTTCAGTGAGTCAGCTTTGGCTGGAGTCTGAAGTTTAGCGCTTTCCCGAGACTCATCAGTGTCTGGTGTCTTGGGGCCGGCCTCGGAGGAGGACCCAGCGCTTTCTTCATCCTTGGTGTCGATTTCCAATGGTGGCTTAGTTTCATCAATCAACTCTTCTTCCTTTGGATCATGAGTTGGAGCACAGGTGGACTCGGTCTGAGGCGGGTTGAGCTCAGTCTTAGATTCGGTGGGTTTGTCCTCAGACTCGATAGGCTCTTTCACAGATGCAGCGGGCTCAGTCTGAATCTCGGTGGACTTGCTGACATATGCCGTGTTAATTCTTCCCGGGGGACCATCCAGAGCTTGCATAGAGACGGGGTCACTCTGGGTCTTAGCAGGAGCAGACACTGGAGCCATGATGTCACAGCCTCCATCGGTGTTGGGGTGGCGCGGCCGAACTAGTTGGCGACCTCTCTCAATCTCAGGGGTCTGGACTTTAGTCTGTGTCAAGGTTGACTCGGATTCGTTGGCCCTGGGCGGCGAATTGATGTTCTGCTGACTTTCCATGCTAGATTGGCGACTGCGAGGATGTGGGTTGGGCGGGTAGGGCTGGTTGTAGTCAGGCTGCACGAAACAAGCACCTGGATGACCAGCCCAGTTTGACTGCATATTTGCGACGGGTTCCTCAGTGGGGTAGGGCTCGTAGTAGAGTTGCAGATGATGTTCGGTGTCAAATTGGGGCTGGCTGGAGACAATCAAGGGACAGTCAGGGCGAGGGGGCAATCGCCGGCGACCATGAACAGAACCAGGAACAGGACCAGCAACAGGCTGAGGCTGAGTGATGATTGGAGGAAGAGTATTGGGAGGCTGGTATGGTGGATTGCTCAAGAACACAGGAAACCCTGTGTGTGGCATAGCAGCGTACTCAGCATGATATGGTGGGGGTGGACCTTCAGACATTTGCATTTGGTTGAACACAACAGAAGTATTGGGAAAGGCACCCGCAGCTACGAAGTTTTGATTGGGGTAGTTCGGGGGGAAGTTGTTGCCCTGATAGCCCGGGTGGAAGTTGTTGCCAGGAAAGTTCTGATTGAAGTTGGGGTTGGGATAGCCCTGGTTGAAGTTGTTCTGGAGGAAGCCGTTGCCACCGGGGTAGTTCTGAGAGAAAGAGCCATGAGGCGAATGGCCCTGACCATTGAAGCTTTGACTGTGACCGTGATTTGCAAAGGGTGGGTTTTGCTGTCTGGGGGCAGCGCCAGGAGCATTTCGAAATCCGCCTCTGTTGTTGTTGTTGTTGCTGCCGCTGTACCATGGACGGTGGAAAGATCTGCGGCCATTGTTGTATCGCTGCTGATTGCCACGGTTTGGGGGAGGTTGGTTAGACGGCCTGTGTCCTGCAGGAGGATAATCCTGAGGAAGCTGGGTGTCGTTGGGGTCCATCGTGGATCTGTTCATATAGAAATCGGGGTTGTTTTGAAAATGCTAAAATGGTCAAGTGGTCAGTAGAGTCAGAGAAAATTTGGACAGTCGACTTACCTGGAGGGCATCTGCGTAATCGTCAGGGTATGCGAAAGTGACAACGCCAAAGGTAGAGTCGACCCCTTCTGAGTTGATAAAGTGTTCAATGGCTATGCTCTCGAGACTACCACGTCCCTTCAGGGCAGCAACAACTTCAGCTTTCTCGATGGGAGCATCAGAGAGATAACCGAAATTGGCAGTTCCTAAGTAAAAGAAAAGGTGAGAAGGTGTGAAGGTGTGAAGATGAGGTGATAAAGTGTGAAGGTGCGAAGGTGCAAAAGGTGTAAGGCACATAAGATGAAGAGTCCACCAAAGAAAAAAGAGAACTTACGTCTAGCCTTGGATGATTCCAATCTCAACACCCGATTATGGAGCATCAGGTTTCCATTTTGTTTCAATGCAGAATTTGCTGCTTTGGTGTCCTATTTAGTATGTTAGTATCTGAGATATATGCCATACATACCATATACGGCATATATCTCAGATATCTCATATATATATATATATATATTAAACAGTTGCACTTACTTCAAACTGTACAAAGCCAACAGGGAGTTTCTTCAAACCCTGTGACATTTTGATCTTAACATGACACCGGCCAAATGCAGAGATCATATCTGTAAGATCTTCTTCCAACTTTTCAGGAGAAACCTTAATAGAGAGGCTATTCATAGTTAGTATATAGTAGCAGATAGGACTGGGAAATACGTACTTTCCCACAAAAACACAGCAATCGGGAAGGAAAAGGCCTTGTGCATTTCCCTTGGTTGGAACTTGATTCAATCGGTCTGCACGCGGGAGGTGTACCGGCTTGTCTTCCTCCCCCGGCTTCTTTTGGTCGGCTGGCTTGACTCGTTTGAGTGTGACTATCTTGGATGGATCGACGTGCCCTACTCGCTTGACTAGCGCGAATGGGTCGAGGAGCTCAGATGGCTTGAATGCCTTGACTGCCTTCACTGGCTCGGCTGACTTGGCAGCAGCTTCTGGGGTACTAGGATTCGAGCTACTAGATCCGGGGGCACTGGATTCCGAAGCTGTATGTTCATGGACATCATACCTTCGGATAGTAGGCTCCGGGGCACTACGCCAAGTGGTACTAGGCTCGACGTAATAGATGGCCATTGGGGAGGTATATAATCAACGAAAGTAATTAAGTGTTTGTACTGCGGTAAACGAATGGTTCAACTGCGGTAAACGAGCGTGGTATAGATGTATGGAAAAAGAAGAGAGAAGAGAACGAGGGTATCGAGATAACTACGTGGGATATTCTCTATGAACACCACCTCCGTCGCCATATTGGGATAAATATCGAAAAATCCGATCTCAAGCGCTGGAATTCCCCAGCACAGACAGGTAGATATGAAGCTAACCGCGGTATATTTCCGGGGAGCCCCTCATAGGACTAGTAAGAAGTGACCTTGACTCAGAATCAAACCTTACCCAGGGCTCTGCGGTCTGGGAGACCATCAAACCACTGGTTCATAATCGGACATCCAGAAGACGGATGGGAGCCGGGCTCTCATGAAGAAGTCTATCGCGCATATTATGCATGACTCTCCATATAAAGTTGGCCATGAAGTCTGGATATCCTTCCCAAAGAGGGAATACGCGTCATACCGATTCAGGTGTCGGCCTGGCGAAGTATACGAGATGTTTCTGAGGATCAGAATGTCGTCAGCTATCGGCAGATGCATGGCATTTAGTAACAACAGTACTAAGCTCAACAGGGACAATGGAAGATCAAGTCTTCAAAATGCTGGTGCACTTAGCGTGAATCTTGAATGTTGAGTTTTAAATTCCGAATCCCTGGAAAGTAAAAGTTGCAACATAATGACGTGTATATTATTGAGAGAATATAGAACTCTTCTCAGGTGTGTAAGTATATTATAGGAACAGTAAAATGGAAGTATAAAGGAAGTTAGGGCATAAAGAGAGGAGAGAAGAAGAGAAGAGACCAAACATCCCAAACACTCGAGTAATCTCTTATCGGCCCCGTTCACGCCACCTCGGAAGCCGACATCTTGATATTAAGCAACTCCAACTCCAGGCACATCTGGGCTTCTCCCTATCCTCAATTACAATTACTCCAATATGTTTCCAACTCGACGTCTAGCCCAAGGCGGATTCTTCAAACGCAGCGCCGATGAGTTCGGCCGTCTATCAAAGATCGGTAAGTTGTGTCGATGTCGTCAGTCTTGCAGCTCAACTCATTTGCCGCAGCTTGGAACACAGAAGCCCTCCACACCCCGACCAAACCTTATACCCTCCTGAATTTCGAAGACGAGAATACCGTGACAGGATGCAAGACCATGGCCGACCGCGCAGTAGGAGGCTTTAGCACAGCCAGCCTAGACTACGAACCTGCTGAACCTTCTACAAATACTCCCTCGCATGCGCGCTTCCACGGTAGCATCTCAACCAAGCTTCCTGACAACTGGCGCGTCGAAAGAACCGGTATGTTCTCTACCTCCTGCCTAGTTAGCGACACATCCAATTGGTCTAGAACACGAAAAATTAAAAAATTAAAAAAATATAACAACTAATACCCGCAAACCAGGCTACGCCGCTTTCCGCAACCAAGATCGAGGCTTTTGGCTCTTTGGCCGGCTTTTCTGGGACGTTGATCCCTACGCGTACCTTGCCCTGCGCATCAAGTCCGACGGCCGCCGGTACACTGTCAACGTGCAGACAGACGCGGTCGTCGAGACGGATATCCACCAGCACAGACTATACACGCGACACCACCGTCTGCGCGACACACCAAAGTCACAGGAGGACTATGATTTCCAGGCAGATTCACCTGATGCCGTTGAGGACCTATATCCTACCGGCCTGCCCGCTGCGCTTTCAGACGTCCCACCTGAATCGACGATCATGTCTACCTCTACCAGTACAACGACGTCTGGCACAAATGGATGGGAGACTGTTCTCTTGCCCTTCAACTCGTTTGTGCGCACGAGTTACGGCTTTGTCATTGAGCCTCAGACTTCTTTGACTCGGCAGCGTGTTAAGAGTATTGGCATTGGTCTCACCGACCGTGTTGAGGGTCCGTTTGATCTACGTATTCATAAGATCTGGGCGACGAATGGAATTAGCGAGGCGGAGATTGAAGAAGAGCGCCGTATTTGTGGGGATCATGCGCTGCCTCTTGATGAGGGTGCTAGCTCTGGTTGGACTAATCAGCCCAAGGAGAAGTCCATCAAGGAAGAGAGCAAGCAGCAGGATCGGGTTTCGAATAAGAAGGGCCTCAAGGGGTTGAAGTCTGAGTGGGAGGAGTAAAGGTAAGACAAAATAAGGCCATATATGTGTATAATAATCCCTGCTACTGCCTCCACGGTGGGCCACAACCATTGGACATGATACTTTTATTTCATTTTCGTCTCGAATCAATCATAAACACAAATCTCTAACCTTGGATCATATATATCCCTCGATATAGCGGGCTTAACCATATACCTCACTCTAGATCTTACCACCCGTGATCTTCTCCCAAGCCTCCTGGTACTTCTCCGCCGTCTTAAGCGCAATATCATCAGGCATCCGCACACCCTCCTTACCCTTGAGACCCTCACTGACCAACCAGTCGCGCAGGAACTGCTTGTCGAAGCTGGCCTGGCCGCGACCGATAGCGTAAGACTCCTTAGGCCAGAAGCGGGAGGAGTCGGGCGTCAGGACTTCATCAGCCAGCACGACCTCGCCAGTTTCGTCGACTCCAAACTCAAACTTGGTATCGGCGATGATCACACCACGCTCGAGAGCGTACTCGTGCGCTGTCTTGTATAGCTCAACGGCCATCTTGGCAACAGTCGAGGCGTAGGGTTCGCCCAGGATGGCGACAGCTGTGAGTGGTAAATATTAGGTGGGGGTCTCGTTGTGTACTAACATCAAGTATAGATATCTCAAGCCAACGGATTCGACGAAAAGAACATACCCTGATCCGGATGAATATTCTCATCATGCTCGCCCTGCTCCGCCTTCGTGCTGGGGGTGTAGATAGGGCCGTCGGGGAAAGCCTGGCTCTCCTGCAGACCGGCGGGGACCTTGATTCCATGCACGGTGCCGGACTTCTTGTATTCATTCCATGCCGAGCCGGTGATGTAGCCGCGGACGATTGCCTCAATGGGGAGAATGCGCAACTTGCGCACTTGCATACTCCGGTTCTGCAGGATTGGGCGGAGGGATTCCGGGATCTGGGGAGGGAGGTCGAGGGTGATGAAGTGGGTGCGGAGGGAGGGGTTAGCCTCTGTCAGGGCCTTGAACCACGTTTGCGTGCAGAGGGTGAGGAGAACACCCTTGTTAGGGATACCCTATTTTGGAGAAGAACTAGCATTAGCAGGCAGTCTTATTAGAATTGTGATGTTGGTGTGGGGAATTGTATACATTCTCCATGATCACATCGTAGGCGGAGATGCGATCGCTCGCAACGAAGAGGAGGGTCTTATCGTCAATTTCGTAGAGGTCGCGGACCTTGCCTCTGGCGACAAGGGGCAAGGCACCCTGCAAATCTGTGGTTGTCAGAGCTTGAGCCATTGTGAAATTGTTCAATTGGTGAGTTGCGGAGGAAAGTAGTTATGCGTCATCTTTTTTTTCCCGAGTGCTGTCCCGCATTGCAGCCTTGCAGCCTCAGGTGTCGATCAATTATCCCCAACACGCGCACCCTTGGAACAATACCTTTTGATAGAACACAGCAAGATGTGGCAGCCATAGCGAAGGCAAAATGACGCGTTATTTGACTCCCTGGAGAGTCTCTTTTCTGTGTTTGGTCACCCTCTACACTGAAGGCGTCGTGCCCAATTCTTCTGCTATTGACGTCCTCTCGTTCCTCACAGCGGGTCTATTCCCACTAGATGCCGCCGATAAGCAATGGGAGGAGCATTACTTGCCGACAATTTCAGAGCTGGAAGGATGCCTGTCCCGCCATGAGTCCTCTATTCCTGGGCGCACGCTCTGGGACTTGTTTCTGAAGAACCTCTGGTCCATCGACTCGCTGGATGCGCTGGAAACTTTCTTCGGCGAGGTTATCCCGTCGCTCCTGGCTAAGTCACGCGAGGAGCTGATCCATGATAGGGATAATGGAATTGCACCAGTGGCGGATGATCGCATGCGCTTGTCCAGGAGTTCGCCGCTTGGCGCGTTCGTACGGAGAGCTTATCTTGAATATACGCGGCTGCAGTTTCACGATGCTGTGAAGCTCTGGGCGGGATTTGTCAAATACCGTCTACCCACATACAGCTACTGGAGTCGCAGACATCGCGAGGCTGAGGAAATCGCCGTTGATGTTAATCTACGCGACCTGGGACTGGATTCAACCAGCCACCTTTCACGGGTGGTGTATGGTAACATCGAAGATGATGAGGATGGAGAGGGAGAGGTCAGCGTCAAGGATGCAGAGCGACTGATCGAGTTCCAGGTCGGTGAACTACAAAGTATGCAATTCTTTTCCGGCTTGCCCTGCCCATTGTGCTAACAGACACAGGAATGGGAGGCAGAGTTCCGGATGAAATGAGGGCTCAGCTGAAACGCATCATGACCTCAGAGACTTCAGTCCCAGTAATGATGTATTACATGGAGTACGTTGTTGTATACATCATTATCGATTGTACATTGTACATTGTGATTAACAAAATGATAGATATCTTGACGCCTGGAGGGCTGGAGACTATACCTCAGCCTTTGACAATCTCCACCGCTACTTCGACTACACGATGCACGCGAATCTCGACCGAAGTGCATATCAATTTGCCCTTCTGAACTTGGCTATCATGCAAGCAGATTTTGAGTGTTTCAGTGAAGCTATCTCAGCCGTGCAAGAGGCCGTAGCAATTGCTCGCGAGTCTCATGATATGAACTGCCTGAACTTCTGCATGAGCTGGCTGTATCACTTTGGCAAAGCTTTCCCAGAGCAGATGCGGGAAGTCCAAAATAGTGGTATGCTGGGTAATGAAAAAGAGGGTCTCGCTTTCCTCAAGGCCAAGTCCAAGGAGACTGACATGTGGTCTCTCATGAGTACCACATTACTTAGCGAAGCTAAGTTAGAGATGCAGCAAGTAAGGATTCCTGTTTTCCTTTGACTAGGTTGACGCTAATGATGAACAGGGAGAGAGTCTTGCATCAATAATCGAATCCTTCGTGCGAGCATCACATGTCAATGTGACAAAGGGCGTTGCGACTCCCACGGGTGCATACATGCTGTTAGAGGGCTCCATGTACGCCAGGATAGGTATGATACCAAGTGTATAGTAATTGACATTGCGCTAATACAGCCGACAGGTGCCACTCACCTTGCTTGGCTCAATACCGAGATATTCCGCGAGTGCTACTCGGAGGGCCAACATCATGATGACTTTGTCAAGATCACATTCCGAAATTGCCAAATAGTATGTCAGCTGCCTTTCTCTGGAAGTGTATGACAGAAATGCTGATCCATCACCTACAGTTGGCACAGAAAGGCAATTACAAGGAGGCATTCACACGGATGAATAAGATCGACCCAGAGAAGCTCCGAGCTTTCAGATACAACAACACCTGGACTTTCTCTTCAGGGCTACTGCAATTGCGACGACAAATCTGCCGGTAAGTACCCCCAACTGTATTGCTGATTTCAATCCATTTCTAACAACCTACAGCGACGACAAGGTGGCTGTCGAACACATTCTATCCCAACTCCAGGCAGTGCAACTCCGTGACTTTGACATGCGCCTACTTCTAGCCTTCTACTCAATAGAATTCACCATTCGCCAAGGCGACTACGGTCGCGCTTTGAGAATGGTCGAGCAAGCCGCGCACTCCATGCAACCCGAGAACTTCGACGTCCACTCCCAAGTCAGGCTCCTCTGTCTAAAAGCACAAATCCTCGGCAAATCCGGCCAACCGCAACGCGGCTTCTCGCTCGCCATGCGCGCAGCGAACATCGCGCATCGCTCAAAAATCCTCGCCGCCCTCTGGGAAGCCATCTGCACACTAGCGACGGTGTTATTGAGTCTCCGTGAATTCGAAGCCACGGGCGAACTAGTCGAGAGCATCTTGCCCCAGATCCTGGAATCAGAAAACTACAGTCTCATCGCGCAGGCGTATTCACTTCTCGTGGACGCAAATATGGGCATGGCGGGTGAGTTGTGGAGCTTGCAGGGCCGGGACTCGACGTCTGCGAGAAAGGAGTACATTAACCGTGCCCTTGGGTACATTGACTCGGCGTATGATCATTTCGAGGAAATTGAGGATATCAAGGGCCAGACGGAGATGATAGCCAAGAAGGCCACTGTTATGCATCTTACGGGCGATCCGGTATTGGCTAATGATTATGCTGCCAAGTATCTGGATCTGCGGAGACAACGAATTGCAACATGAATACCTTTCCCAAAGAAACAATAATATACACTTGCAGAATGGTCTGATTATCGTAATCTAAGCAGAAGACAGTTAAAAAGCGAGTCGACAAATATATATGTTGCAGTGGGTATGATGGCAATATATTCTATCCCTCAGGTTTCTCTCGATCATCTCACTCAACTAGCGTGAACTCGACGAAGTTACTAGCTGGAATCATAATCCCAGGCCTGCCCTCATTCTCCTTCGGATCTGTGACCTATTCATAAATCCACACCACAGTATCTTCGTGATCTTCAAAATTGCCCCAATTCCACTAGTCAAGTTTGCCTCCCTTATACCGATATTGGAATCTATCACCGGGCGCTGCATTCTTCGGACATAGAGTAGGGATTCTGATCTTGTTTACATTAAGTCTACGAGGCGGTGCCTGTCAGCCCATAATTCATACACCCTTCAGAGACCGACTTGCTTGTGTTTTCATTCGCCCTTGGCCTACGACCATGAAATTCTAACATCCTCTGGCTAAGTCCTCTATTATATCACTGTTTAAGATCTAAAGTATGATACACTTGTTTCAGCCCCTCTTTATCCTTCTCTCGGGCCTCATTTCGACAGTCAACGGAGCCGAAGAGACAAATTATATGATCAACCCCGTCTACATCAACGGAAAAAGTCCTGTTTGGACATTGGGTGACCAGAAAGTGGTTTCATGGAAGACAGACCTACCGGTGTTCAACGTATCTATATGGCAGCAGAGTCCATTGGGGGAAGCGCCTACAGTCGAGGGAACGTATATGGTAGGCCAGAGGAAGAACCGACAACTAGAAACCGCAAGACTGACAAGAGCCAGCCCAAATCAACGAACAGGATCATTTCTCAAACTTTACCTGGACTGTCCAACTCTACGGCTTTGATCTGGAATATTCACCCACATTCTTCTTCTGGGTCAACCCGTCTGGACCAAGCGGCTTCCCCTCGGCCTATTTCAACATTACCAGAAGATCATCGACTGAAACGACCACCATCTCGATATCGCCCCCTTCCTCTAATACCACCGCCAGCCCGGCCGATCAATCCCCAGCACTCACAACGACATCAAAGCTTGCACTTGGACTCGGAGTTGGGATAGGCGTCCCTATACTAATCGCAATGGCTACACTGGTTTGGCTAAGAGCTAGGCAATTTAAAGCAACCCAACAGGCTGCAGCTAGCATGACCGCTTCTCGTGGGATGGAAATGCAGCAACAACAAGGTCTAAACATGCATATAAGAGAGATACATGGTACCGACCCGACTGGTTTCTGTCGGGAGTTGCCTCAGGATGCTAGCGGGAAACCACTTTGCACTGAATTACCGGATCAGCGTTATGATTGAGTGGATATATAGGTGGGTTGCATATTCCATCGTGAAGGATGCTGGCTGATTCTGAATACTCTACTAGATTGGCATATTGGTGTAGAAGAGTACGAAGAGATCGGCAAAGAGGAAGGTTCCCCCCACATATCTACGGAACCTTATATTAGACTTTCGAATGGCCGACAGGGGAAATTTCTCTAGGGCTAGAGCAATGTCTGTTCAATTGATGTTGCACCCATTGTAATCCCAAGCCCATGGATGGATATATATACCTGCGCCCTATGGAATTGTTCAACATTATCACTTGGACTATTATTTTGTTGTTCCTGTTTAAGATATAGAGTCATTGATCTCAGACGGGAGAACTCGGAAACAAAAACCTAGAATAAGTGAGTACTAACTGAGATAGGCTATTTGCGAGATCGGTTACACTATTTACCGTACTTCGCTCCAGCATAACAAAGAAATGCGGAGACATAGCAGTGGTCCATGCGCCAAACCTTCCAAGGTTGGCATTCATGGATATCAATTGCCGCCAACGTTATTGGTACGCTCTTTAGTGTGCTTTCCGTATTAAGCCGAGATTTCTGGGTCACAGGGAATCTTGACTACAATTTCTCCGGCGTGGGGGGGGGTATCTGTTGCTCCACAGCTCTATCCACGCGGCTCAAGTGGCGTCTCCGCATTCGGCCGAGACGAGGGTCTTTCTACTATATCGCGAGTTCTGTAGAATAGTAGATAAGATAAATGGGGTTTAAACTTATAGAAGCTCTTTATAGCCACATCATCTATATCTTTATAGATATCAACACCTGGTAAAGACACCAAGATCCACCATATCAAAGCTGGCCCCCACATATTCGGAGTTAGGACAGTCTTCCGGTGAGCGAGAACTGAGTTCCGGGATAAACCCGGAATTCGAACTCTATTAGACATACTTAACGCCCTATTTTCGGAGTTCAATATACATATATGTAACTATACTAATCTATATTAGAAGTTTTACTACGTAGTCTTTAAAACAACTGTCATATTCAACCATTTACTTCAATGAACATAAAGCTCAACTCAATTCATAAGCCCAACTCCACACAATGCTGAAGCTCCCATCCCCAACCCCATCCTCCCTAGAAAACAGACGAACCAGCCCACTCCCCAACTCCAAAACCTCAGTGAAAACCAGCCGCAGAACCCTCCCAACCTCCCCACCACTCACATCAGAACAAAACCCAACCCCCAAACCAAACAACCAAACAACCACCTCCGAACCCCCAGCCCCTCCATTCCGCAGCGTCTCCGCCTGCAACAGATGTCGCCTCCGCAAACACCGCTGCGACCAACGCCTCCCTCGCTGCGAGTCATGCGAGAAAGCCCAAGTCCGCTGCGTGGGCTACGACCCCCTCACCAAGCAAGAAGTGCCACGCAGCTACGTAGCCTTCCTCGAAAGCCGCGTCAACTATCTCAACCAGGTGCTGATTGACCACGGCATCGGCTTCAAGCCCGCTATCGCCTACGATGAAGAAGAGACGCTGAAGATGGAAGCTGGGCAGTCGCCGAGGTTTGAGACTCGCGGATTGCGGGACGCGAGAGAACTGCCAGAGCAGACGCAGATGGGGATGGGGATGGGAGCGCGGTCGTCCCGTAAGAGGAAATCGACTCAGTATGCCGAGGACGCCATCCCGACTAGACAGGTCAAGCGCTTGGCGCAGTTAAATGTCCTTCTTACGGAGTTGTTGACGGATGGCTGTGAGCATCGTCATTGTTCCCGTGATCCTGGCAGGGGTTATATGCGTGCTGCTCGTAGGCATCGCGTGCAGGAGGACTCGCTTGAACAGAGATTGCCGTGGTCACCGCGGAGTTTTGATTCCGTTGATCACAGTGATAGCCGCACGACTAGGTCTGAGTCGCCGGTTTCGTCGCATGAACCATTTCAATACCCCAGGACCATGCATGGGCATGGTTCGTCTCTGCTCGGTGCGAAAAGTATATTGGGGTCGGATCATGGGCATGAAGTACATGACACAAAGAGACAGTCTGGGGTCGAGCTTGATTTGGTAGATTACGAGTCCGAGATACCCGATATCAAGCCTGTTGTTGGGGGTACAGATGTCGTTCGACATTTGGATGCTCCGAGTCGTGCTTCGTCGCCAGAGAAGGAGAGTCGTTCTAGTCCTGAGCCCAAGTTTGATATTGCTGCTGATCTTCTTCGGGGACGGAGGGAGAGGGAGAGGGCTAATTATGATTTTCTTGATGAGTTCCTTGTTGACTGGGCTGATTGATTGTTTCTTTCTTGCAGGGGCATGTATATATTAGATGAATCTAATTATTAGTCAGATATACTTGTTTTACAACATAGTATGTTGAAGAAAATATAAAAAGTATCCATTCTGTAAATGCTAAATGCAACGCAAGTAAACCACATTCATAATCATTATCATCCATCAACACAATGCTAAAAGGGAACGCAATATTAAACTATATATCACACGGGGTTCTCTATTCCAAGCTCACCACCAGCCTACACAGCAATTGCCGTTACCGTAGAGAGACCGGCACCCATGGAGTCCTTGAAAGTGTCTACCTCGACACCGTAACTGTGCCCACCCGTGTAGAGAGCGACATTCTCTTGATTGTGGCTGACAGAAACGTCCTCGGGAAGATCGTGCTTCGCGGGCCAGATTTGATGACCCGCAGCCTCCTCTTTGGCATAGTGTTCTGTGACAACCTCCCGGACAGTCTTCTGGAAATGGAGCGGACCCCTCTCCATCTCAGGATGAAGCTGGCCGTTGACAAAGACACCGGCGTTGAGGTTCTTCTGCGAGTGCACGCACAGGTACTTGTCCTCTGACATGATTCGTTTGTACATGTCGCTGATGAGGTTGAAGGCCTCGTCGGTGGCGTCCTTGTGGCGGTAGACTTCGTAGCGCATTACACATTGCGTCGGGCTGGTAGGTGTGAATCGCTGCATGAAGAAGAAATTGGGACTAAGGAGGTTCGATGTTAGTTTTCATATAGTCTGGCGAGGGTGATATCGTTATCATATACTCACGAGATATTGAAAGAGGCATTAGGCCAGAAATAGGTAGTTGCTATCCGGAATCCCTTCTCGATTTGGTCTGGTCGCGGAGCGCCGTAGTGCTGGATGTGACCGGCCTTGGTCTTGACATAGTAGGAGTTGAGGTCGGCGATGGTGGGGATGTCTGGGTGAGCGACTTGGCAGTGGTAGCACTCATTGTAGTTGTCTGCTAAGATCTTCCAGTTGAAGTCGCCCTCCATATCCCATGTGTGGTCGAAGACGTATTCCTCGAAGTTGTAGTGCTCGAACCGGGGTTGCTCATCGACACCCTCGAAGTCGTCTTTCCAGGCAACTTCGGGTGTATCGCTGGCGTCCAGATTCACCCAGACAAATCCATTTCGGTCAATGTGCACATGCGCGGGGAAGAGATCGTTGCCGTGGAAAGCGTTGATGTTTCCATTGTTGTCTTTGGCGACGATGAACTCGTATCCTGCGGCGTCGTAGCGAACGCAGTCACCGGTGTTGGGTACTCGGTGCTTGTGTGTAGTAAGAAGCCACTTCCGGGAGAAGATAGATCGTCGTTCAAGCTCGTACATATCTTGGGATGTGTACCAGGAAGCGGGAAGAGCACGGATAGGCTTCTTCTCATCCTTCGCTGGTACAGCGGAGGTACCGAAGTAGTTCCTCAAGAAGGACATTGCGAATGCAAATTAAAGATGTCTTTGTAATTTAATATTAAAGAAGGTTGAGACTGAAGTTTCAACTGTGATGATGGCACTTTGAAGTTGCTATTGACTAAATTTGGAAACTCGGAGATGTCTACTCTTCTAAATAGCCATCACAATCACTGCCAACTCATGAACCACGGAGCTTGGAACAATCTATCCGATGTATAACACGGATCTGGACCTTTCGAAACCGAGTCCGATGACATAGTTGGAGACTGATTGTATTCAGATGGTCACTTTTGCGGGAGATATACTTGGAGACCGATCAGGTGACCGGTAGGCAACAAACCGGACCGAGTGGCTTGAAGCCTATCAACCACGACTCTAATCAAATGGAGTCCTGGAGTGTGGCAAGAGGCAAGACGGGCAGCTGATAAGGCCCCGAACCGTCAACGGTTCGGGGTAAATCCGACCCACGCCGGCGGTTTACACGTACCTTAAATGGCAATGTTTATTGTTCGCCAAGGTCACGGGGCTGGAAACCCGGGGTATGGGGGAGAGCCTGCTGCAAGACCTTCGATAAACCAAATGGTAATGGCAAGGTAGGATTCATTTCCGGCATCGCCGGCACCAGGCTAGTAGTAGTCACGAGAACCCGCAGGGGTCGTGATCCTTTCGCTTTTGCGACGATTTCTGAAGTAAACCAACATCGTTCACCATTTTGGTGCATCAGGATCAGAACAGAGGTTCCTTGACTGAACCTACATGATTCATAAAGATTCAGAAAGAGAAAGATTCATTTTCCAATGAAGAGATTGTTTCAGGGAGAAAGAAACTCAAAGTCCGGAGTATCCCGGTGTACTTTGGCAATAATGAGGGGGACGAGACCAACAAAGAGCAGTCTCAGGGCTAACGTCTGAGCTAGTAACAAACCCTTGTCTCTTTTCGATACTAATGAATAGGGAGTCCAAATTATTATTTATCGCAAGCTCGAAAAACCCGACGAGTCAGTTCGTATCAAGCTTTCCAATTATGTCCCTCTCTGCAGAAGCTCTAGACCAAGCAACGTCACGAGAATAGCGGTGACACTGATAACTAGCTCCGATCATAAAACAAAAGTACATGTCTGATAAAAGCGTCAAAACGTATTGGCGATCAATGGCACCAGATAAGCAATAAAGCAGGGAGGTAAACAAATTTGGCATGGGAAATGGGGTTATCAGGCCTCAATACAGAATTAATACGAAGGTACTTGTTTCGCTGGCAAATGCACATGTGCAAGAATTCCAAAGTCTCAGATAAACAACCCAGGCAACGCACCCGCGTCGGTCCGAAATTAAATCAGCGCTTAGACCAGACCTCGAGATGATTGGTCGAGAGGGGATCTACATGTAGGTACCTTCATGGGTTGTATGCACCACCGACTATTTCTGTACGCGCACAGCCCGGGCGATGGATCACTTTTTGAGTTGATCAACATATGTATTTCATGTATAAAAAACACCCAATATGCAGTACAGTAGTACATTGTACAACTGAAAGTCACAAAGCTTAACGCCACCCTCCAAGGTGTAGATAGGTACATAATAACGCGGGAGACAAAAAAGGATTGCAATTGAAGCACGTGACACGTTAGCTATGCAGACAGATTTCCAAAAATCGCATCTGGGGAAATCATAATTAGAACATAAATGAGTAGACAAATACCAAGATCGTGGCTGCGGTGGCAACCGTGTATTCGAGCTCGAACCAAGCGGCCTGGCCACCAAAGGCGATCTTTTTACTCTTCTTTGTCGGATGCGCGACACCAGTTTTAGGGTCGCGTGTCAGAAGTTCCTCACGTTCTGGCATGGCTGGTGGGTCGATCGCATAAGATACCGGGGTCCACAGCGAAGTGCAGATGAAAAGGAATGTTAACGGGGGCCAGAAAGCGTGCGTGATGAGGCAGAGGATAATATCTCTGAAGCTATTGTTCTGGGCGAAGCAGCGATAAGAGGAGATGACGACTGCGACAAGGGTGACGTATACGAAGGCAAGGTGGAAGCTGGCCATGTAGTTGAGCAGGATCACGCGCAGGCGGACGAACATGTTCTTCGACTTCTTTGGGTCACGCTCGTTTAGAGCTGAACCCAGAGAACCCGTTGGTTTGAAGGCTTGGGTTTGACCGCCCAGCCAGGTGGGCAGGAGGAAGGCGCGCACAATGCAGAGAGCGATGTAGGGTGACATCCAAAGTTGATAGCGGGAGCCTCGTTGACCGGTGTGGTAGCCAGCCGGGATGAACAGGGCCATTTCACAGAGACGGTTGGAGATGGTTGCGGCGAAGCAGGCCCAGATCAGCCAGCGGAGTTGCTCTTCAGTCGCGAAGGCGACGAGGCGCTTGCCCCACAAAAGGATGACTGGGATAGCAAAGAGGGAGGCAGTTAGCAGGAGGGTGTAGACACTGAGAGTTGCATAGAGGAAGCCAGAGAAACGCTGAGCAGCGGTCATCTGTCGAACGGCGTCACCCCAAAGGCAGAACTTCAACTTGACAGCTGTGTCGACGGTTCCAATTGCCCATCGCGTACGCTGTTTGAGATGTCCACCAAAGTCTTCCGGCACGGTGCCAAATTGAAGAGGCTCGTGGATGTATGCAGTTCTCCATCCTCTGCCAAGCATGAGCGTTGAGGTCGCGACATCTTCAGCCAAGGAACCAAGCGGGAAGTTGCCAATCTCTTCGAGAGCCTCGCGTCGAACGACGTAACCAGATCCAGTGCACCAAGCCACACCGAGTGCATCCTTGATCGGCTCAATAACATGCACGAAGAAATCCAAACTCTGGGCAAGCGGGTCGGATGCAGGGGTGTTGTAGAAAAGCTGTGGCGGGCATGCAAGGGCCATCTTTGGATCCACCAGCAAGTGGGGAAGGATCGCACGAAGCCACTCTTGTTCGGGAATCTGCGGATTGTCAGTCAGTATACCAATTAATTTCAAAGTGGGCTGGGTATTTGTAATTTACCATATCAGCATCCAGGGCGGCCATGAACTGGCCGGCGCCTCCAGGCATAAGGTTGACTTGGTCCAGACCGTAGTTCAGGTTACCCGCCTTAAAGTGGTGGGGCTTTCCGGGGATCTTTTCACGGGCCATGTAAATGATGTTGGGATGGTTCGAGGCGAGTTCGTTGCAGGCAGCCTCGAGGGTGGGAGACTTGGCGTCGTCCAGGATGATGACCCTCATCCGGTCGCGGGGGTAGTCCTGGTCGCACGCACCACGGACAGTATCAAGAACAACCTCGTCGTCCTCTCCACAGCAAGTGATAAACACATCCACCGTAGGACATTCACCACCGGTCAATCTCAGCTTGGCACGGCCTCTCTTCTTCAAAGCCATCATAGTCCAGCAGTTATGCATGAGGGAGGGGATCGCAACAGTAATTTCGATAGCCACAAAGACCCAAGCTCCAGCATATGAGACTCCAGCAACGTTTTGAGCCATAATAATGCAGGCGATTCTCAGACCAAGGTAGAACAAGTAGATTCCGGTGTTGGCAAATGTGAGAAATGGTACCAGGGCAAACACCCACCTCTTCCACCCTTTCCATGTTTCTGCATCATCACGATCGTGGATGCGAGCAATGGATCCAGATTTGACCCAATCTTTTTCAAATGATGGAGGAGCAGGTGAGCTCACTAGGGGAGCAAGACTCTGGTGGCTTTCTTGTACTCCGTGGTTTTGGTACTGTACAGGAAAAAAACTTGGTTAGGCTGTGATCTATACCGAGAACAAAGAGAACAAAGGAAATGTTGTACTAACTAGAGTAGGTGAAGCCGACCGGGAATCATACGGTGTCCGTGTGTCCCACGAGTTGTGAAAGGAATCAGAGTGACCCGACATTCGAGCAGTGGGTTGAAGCCAAACAGGTTGGCCGTACTCATCGGTAGGGAAATGACCCGGTCTGATTGGAGTAAGAGGCCTTGGAGAGACTGGTGAGGGCGAGAAAGGCTCTGGATGTTCGAAGCTGTTGTTTGAATGGAAGCCTCGATAGGTATTCAGCTCTACCTTTTCGTCCTGGTCGTCATGACCATAACGTCTGTCCATTTCGACGACCCCGGGAAAGGATATAGATTATGTAAAGACAATGAGGAATGTGGGATCTTGAAAACGTTGAAAACGAGTGTGATCAGCCCAAAGAGCTGGAATGGAAGGATGGAAGAGAAAAGGTCTCACATTCCTAGTATTTTAGCGTACGGGACCAGCGATCTCTAAGGGACCAGATGGTTAAGCCCTGAGGCTAGTGCATGCCAAGGACCGAGATGCATGGCCGCTTTGGGCCGGAGCCGCGCAAAAATAGATTTTCAGGATTTTTTTAATGTAATGTTTCACTTCTAACGGTGGTTTTCTTACGCAATGTGTCTGACTTTCCATTTCCAGTATTCTCTCTGGTTGCATCAAGCGGGTCTTTTCAAATGTATATTTCAGTAATATTACAATCCTTCCATTTTCATCTACAAAATTGCCACCTAATCGGACCAATCATAATTACCATCAAATGAAAGTTTCCACCGGGTACATGATCTGGTTCTGTACCTGAATTCAAATTCTGTACCTGATCCGTACTCCGTACTTCTCCGTACCTGAATCCCCGTAATTGTACTGCAGAGTGTATGCACATGAGCACACCATTACCACACTAACCTTGCCAAGACCCCCACTCAGGGCCCTTTTCTTATCAACAAGATTTGTGTGGTCAACGCTTAGTTCCCCGATCGCCCTAAACATACTAACTCGATGCGTCTTTGCCATCCACCCCCATCCACATCTTCCGATGTGATACCGAGAATTTCGCCTTTTGCTAATTCGCTGTTCAACTTGCTGGTCTTTTTTTCCTCTCTCATTTTCGAGTTATCATTTTCACTTGCTATCGCTTTTGCTATCGCTTATTTCTTTGCTTTATACTACACTCGCTTTTGTTTTGGTCATGGTCTTCGGAGTAGGCCTACTGGTCAATGCGGTCCTTGTGGCCATCCCAGTTGGGGGAAGTGTTGGGGCTCTCATGGGCATTGACGCCCACCGAGCAGCTACGGGTCAGAAGCCTCTATTCACCGGGGGGAACAATGAGGATGGCACCGACACTGGTACCGGCGGCGGCGGCGACAGTACTGGCGGTGGCAACAATGGTCACACGATCACGAACAACGGCGTGCAGTACCGGCAGTACTGCGATCTGTCTTATGGAATCACCCCACCGTCGAAAACTGAACAATACACACGTGAGTACCCTCGAACTACCAGCGCAGGCGCGGTTGACCCTTGAATGACTACTGACCGAGACTACAGTGAACCCCAATCAATGGGGTGTGAAATCAGACTCGACAGGAAACGGGCTCTGCATGAATGTACGCAATCGAACATACCCATCCGCACTTTTATCAAGAGCGTACTAATGTGACATCTTCACTTAGGTCACGACGTTGGTCAACCAGACTTATGCAGCCCAGACTGCTCCCGAGTTCTCCATCACCTGGCAATACGACCCTGGCCCTCAGACTGCGCCCGTCCACGGATACCCGAATATTCGCGTCGATGATGTGTTGCCAAAGGAGATGGATAAGATCTCGAAGTTGTATCTTGACCTGCATTGGACATATGGAGTGGGTGACGAGACCGCCGCGTCAACAGATGTACAAGCGTTGACGAAGGAAAACCTTGCCACGAACGTCGCCATTGATATGTTCTTGGACGCCGATGCTGATAAAGCCAAGAATGGAACTGATGCGAAGTTCGAGGTCATGGTTTGGTTCTGGATGTCAAATATAGAGGCCCAGCCCCACGGTTGGGGGAGCCCAGGAATCAACAGGACGTTGGAAGGAACGAAATTGTGAGTTGAGAGTTGAACTTGTTGCACCTGACATATCCCACGAGCATACGCTAACATGTATTTTCATCAGCACACTTTACACCGGTAAAAATGACAACGGACAGCAGGTTTTGTCCTGGCTCCCAGAAACGATCCTCGAGAGATTCACTGGAGACATTTACCCCCTCATCACCGATCTGTACAACTTGGAAGGAAACGACTACCCGGCTAAAAACGACTACCTTGGCAGTCTCAGTTTCGGAACAGAAGTCTACTCCGTGAACAACAATGTCACATTCTGGGCCGAGCAGTACAAGATCGATATTAAGAGCTGAGGATGAATGAGGTATATATTGTATGATTATGAGCATTTGTTTTTTTTTTGGTTTTTCCCATCACATCGATACACATCAAGCGTTACACAACATGTCAGTTCTGGAATTTCATCTTCATTTTCTTATCTTCGATGTTTACTACTCGGGCCTTGTCAATCATTTGCCAAGGATGCAACCCCTGAAAACAAGGACAAGTCATCACACTCTTTCAAATCTCCTTTTAAATTAAGAATCTGATTCTTCAAGATAAGCTGGTGTCAATGTCCCAAGGTCAGCTATCAGTAATGAGAACGCATGTCAGACTCGGCCAGTCTCCGGGATTCGTGATTTCTCCGCAATATGAAGCAGCAGGTGCAGAGATGCGCAGATGACACCATCAGGCGTGATAATCGTCGCATCTTTCATTATCGACGCTTGCAACTAGTCAGGCATGACAACATGCGAGAAAAATAAGAGGATACCCCAAAGCAATGGAAGATCACTATCATATAGAGGCGGGATCAGCCCTGGGTTATCGCTTCCAGCTGTACACCCCGTACGGGCTTCAAACGACCCAAGTACCTCAAATATGGAGAATTTACACGCAATTGATACCAAGTCGATCCATGAAGTATCCGATCATGAAGTCCAATCCAATCCAGAGCCACAAGATGGACTATGGCTCCGGTTCCTTACGTATACCAAATGGTATCCAAAGGACATGTCACACCCAGAGAAAAAGCTGGTCCTCAAACTGGATATCATGATCCTAGTCTTTGGCTGCCTTTCATTTTTCACCAAATATCTTGACCAGCAGGCGATCACCAACGCCTATGTATCGTATGTCGGCAATGCCCTCAATCTAGCAGACAACCCTGGTTCCTAACAACCTATCATAGAGGCATGAAAGAAGACCTCAATCTGCATGGCAACGAATTGAACTACATAACAGCTGTATTCTGGGCCTCGTATTGCACCTCCATGATACCGGCCTGCTACTGGTTAACGCGCACGCGAATCAACATTGCGTTACCGACCCTGGAAATCGGATGGGGACTTTTCACATTTGGCTGTGCTTGGGCGCAGAATCTGAATACGATATACGCAATGCGCTTCTTCATCGGGATCTGCGAGTCTTGCTCATTCACCGGCGTCATCTATGTTATCGGTTCGTGGTATAAGCCCGGCGAGGTGACGCGTCGGGTTGCGCTTTTCTTTGTCGCTTCTCCACTTGGAACTATGTTCGCGGGCTATTTGCAAGCTGCTGCGTATACAAATTTGGAGGGAAGTCATGGATTGCCTGGGTGGAGGTATTTGACTCTCATTATATATGACAAGCTTTGGTGTTCTTGGCACTGACCCGTTGGCAGATGGTTGTTCATTATTTGCACTATTATCACAATTCCTATCTGCATTGTGTAAGATCTCCTACCCTGGGCTATTCACTTATTCATTGATCTAACAGAGAACAGCGGATATATCATTTTCCCAGATGTTCCTCACCGCTCAAGGCCCCGGTTCCTAACAGCGACCGAGCACGATATTGCCAACATTCGTCTGAAAGGTCTAACAGCACCAAGCGAACTAAAAGTCTCCCGGGCCATCTTCAAGCGAGTCTTCGGACGATGGCATTGGTATGTCTTTGTGATGCATTGGACCTTAATGGACCAGAACTTCACACCATACTCGACACCCTTTAGCCTATATCTCAAGGCTAAACCAGACATCTACTCCGTCTCACGTGTGAACACCTTGCCGACGATCGCAACGGCACTGTCCGTCGTAGCCGCGCTATTAGCGGGCGTTACCGCTGATCGCCTCCGAAATTTCTGGATTCCCTCGGTGGCGACTAGCATTCCCGTCCTGGTGGGTGTTATTTTGCTCGTTGTCTATAATGTTGGGGAAACGGGGCGACTAGTGGGATTTATCCTCACAGGATTTGAGGGCGGTATGTGGATTCCGATACAGGCTCTCTGGTTTTATGTGTCATTTCTCATATTAAAAAAAAGGCTTGGATATTAACTCTTATCACAGCAATTAGTCCACTCAGTATGAGTTGGGCGACTATCACCATGGCTAAAGATGCCGAGGAACGCGCTATCGTCACGGCAAGCATGAATGCGATAGGCCAGGCCATGGCAGCGTGGACACAGATCTTTCAGTATCCGGCTATTTCTGCCCCAAACTTTCGAACGGGATTCATCTCGAACCTGGTCACTACTATTGCACAATTCTTGAGTGTTGGCTTGATCGCCTTTCTGGTGCAGCGGGACGAGCGAAAAGAGCGATTGTCTTCTAATGTGTGAGTGTTGGATTGCCTTATTATATGCAATATATAAAAAAACATTCATGCTGGAAGCCGCAGAACGTCCATGGATGCCATTCCAAGGTTTTACAATAGGGTTAGTAACCCGTCGAAGTGCCGAAGCTAGTCAAAACGTGGTGAGAACGTGGCGAAAGGTTTGCATTTGCCGTTGAAAAGTCTTGGCATCAAGCACGACATCTGGGGGATCCACCTTTAATTTAATTTTTTTTAAACAATATATCTTCTTCGTCTGTTTCTTGTTCTTTCTTCTTTATTGTTCTACTGTATATAATAGAGGGACTCTTGAGAGGGCATACATTTACCATGGCCCCTCCCATTGAGCAACCAGAAGTTACTTCTGAGCAAATCAACGATGACTCTCAGACTATCACCCGGTCTCGGTCGTCTTGGTACCGCTCCATTCCCTTCCAAATTGCCGTCGCTAGTGGTGTCTCATTCACCGCCCCTGGAATGTGGGATGCACTGAACAACCTCGGAGCAGGTGGTGCAGCCGAGCCCTACGCTGTCTCCGCGGCGAATGCTCTGGTCTACGGATTATTTGCTGTTGTTTGTATCGCCGCTGGTGCAATCAACAACCGTATTGGTCTTCGGTACGGTCTGGTTCTCGGTGCGATCGGTTACCCGATCTACGGTGCCGGTTTGTACACTAACAACTACCACCCCACGACATGGTTTATGCTCTTCGGCTCCGCGCTGTGTGGTATCTCCGCTGGATTTTTCTGGGCTGCCGAGGCCGCTATCATCATTGGTTATCCCAGTCCCAAGGAGCGCGCTTTCTACATTGCTATCTGGCAGACCGCCAAGTCTTCCGGTCCGATTGTCGGTGGTGCAATTAGTCTGGGACTGAATGCACAGAGCTCCCAAAAGGGAACAGTCAGCGCTGGGACTTACATCGTCTTCATTGTCATCATGTGTCTCGGTCTGCCGATTTCGCTTCTACTCAGTCCCGCCGAGAAGGTGCAGCGCAAGGACCACTCTCTTGTGGTTGTTGACAAGAAAGATACTTGGGCCAAGGAATTCAAGGCTGCCTTTTCTCTGATCTTCACTCGCCGCGTCCTTCTCCTTCTCCCAGCCTTCTTCATCAGCTACTTCTACAACGGTTTCCAGAGCACGTGGCTGACCACCTACTTCACCGTCCGGTCTCGCGCATTCTCATCGTTCCTCACCAACTTCGCCGGAATCGCGTCTTCATTCATCATGGCGACGCTGCTTGACCGCCAATCTATCTTCATTAAGACCCGCGCCAGAATCGCTTTCTGCTCCATCGTTGCCCTGATCATCGGCACGTGGATTTGGGCTACCATCCTGCAGAAGCAGTTCTACGACGCACCCGAGCCCCCGGTGTTCGACTGGTTCACAGGCGGCTTCAACAAGGCGTACGCGCTTGTCTTCTTCTGGACCTTTGGTGGCCAAGCCTTCCAGCAATTCCTCTACTGGCTGGTTGGTCAGTACAGCACGGACATCTCATCTTTATCCTACCACTGCGGAATCCTGCGTGGATTCGAGGCTCTGGGACAAACCGTTGCATGGGCCATGCAAACCGAAGGTGGTGCCAATCACTTCGTCAGCATCGGTCTCAACTTTGGAATCACCGTTCTCGCCTTCGTCCCCACGTGGATTGTTCTGTCTGAATTGGAACACAGCCACGAGGTGCAGGTCACCGCGGAGGATGTCGCGACCAAGACAGCCGGCGAATCAACAGCCTGAGCTCGTCACTCGAATTGAGTCATTTGATTCTTCGATTTGCATGGTTCTCCGGATTCAACCCGGGAACCCACGTTTTTATTTTAATAGATAGATAAGATACCCCCCACATGCTCCCACTCAACGCCGAGCATTATGTATAAAAAAATGTATAGAACCTTTCCACAGACAAAACTGGGAAATGGGCCTCAGCCGATCGGCTATTTTTATTCCAGCTTTCTCCAAGGATTTTCGTAGCGCACTTGACCTATTACTAGATCGGGTTCACTTTTAGGCTAAGCAAATATAGAGCTATTGGCAGCTAGAATATATTGGAATACATCCTACACTTGAGAATCGATCCAACTAGATGGTGGGTTTGTTTTTCTTCGAGAAGTTAGACCATTAATTGGGAAGGTTTGAATTAACTTTGAGGCCAATAAGCCACCAATATCACCTTGACCAGGGTATGCGCCCAGTGCTTGATATTTATGGGGTCTCATGGTCCACTTGTACAGGGGTTCGTTATATCAGGCTATAGAACTTAAACGCACGTAGTGGAGTTTAGGCATATATAGCCTGCTCTCTATCCCAGTCAATTAAGCCCTTACAAGGTTTATATCAATCTTAGGTAAACTTAAATGCACCACTTGGGCAAGGCTTTTATTGCTCCAATTTTTCTCGGGTTGGCTAGTAGCTGTGGTGAGCCCTGCTAACTGGATTCCAAAAGGGAAAGAGCCAATGAACCGAAGAGACTATCGCGGCATCTCCTTATCCTTATAGTGACCACTATTATCCTCGCCAGACAAGAATATACTTTGTATATATTGTGGCGCATATATTCCCCACATGGTCATCGCGCGAAGCTCGAGCGGTTTCCCCTTCAGCCCTACACCCCTGTACTAGATCGCCCACTGTTATTTTTTCCACTACAAAAGTTTGAAAAGTTCTCTTGTTCGAATAAAGGCAAAGATCAGCCCTACATATGTAAAAACAAGACTCAACAGCAGGGGTGTGTACCCAGACGGGCCTGTTGCAGCCAAAGAATCGGGATACCCCACCCATGCAGTGTGCCCCAGGGACTAGCCTCAAGATAGGCGTCTAGGTGTCGGCCAATGCTCCGTATCTTTTTCTTATTGTTGGGAGAATGTGTAATAATATATATGGCCCCCTCGGTATCTGCGCTAGTTTCCCCCTTGCATTTCACCATATTTTTCTCTCCAGCTCAGCGGCTGGTTATCCCATCACCATGACTGCCCTCAAAGCATCTGGGCTAGAAATGCAGGACAAGGTGCTCCAACTCATGGAGCGAGATGCTATTCCGGACCATGACCGAAAGGCAGGAACAGCTGTGGATGATAGTGACATGCAGCGGATGGGAAAGGCCCAGGAGTTTAAGGTATGTCTGCTCGTCTGACTGCGTGTAACTGCGTGTAACTGCGTTGATATCTGTCTGACATTATCAACTAGAGAAACCTACGACCTGTGGCTGCTTTAAGTTTTGCGTCGGTTTTGCAAGCAACATGGGAGTTTATTCTCATGTGAGTATATAATATCACAAAATGTTGTTTATTTTAACACATCTCTAATCGAGTGCTGTAATTTAGCTCTAACTACGAAGGCTTGTATAACGGAGGCTTGCCAGGCCTATTTTATTCTTATCTATGGACATTCATTGGATTTGGCTTCATTATCGCCTCGATCTCTGAAATGGCATCAATGGCTCCAACTTCTGGCGGACAATACCATTGGGTTTCTGAGTGGTCCTCGCCTCGATACCAGAAGTTCCTAAGTTATATTACAGGTCCGGTTATCTTATGCTCTGTAGTTGGAATGTTGTCTTTGGCATTGGCTAACTAGTTCGTGCAGGCTGGATGTCAGTACTGGCATGGCAAGCTGGAGCAGCCTCTGGATCATTTCTCACTGGAACTATCATCCAGGGATTGATCAGCGTCCGGAACCCGGATTATGACCCCCAGGGCTGGCAGGGCACGCTATTTGTCTTTGCGATGGTCTTGGTGATTTATATCTTCAATGTCTATGGGTCCGATGTGATGCCAGTACTGAACAATCTTTTGATGATTCTTCATGTTGTATCCTGGGCTGTGATTCTGATTGTCCTATGGGTTATGGCACCGCACCAGTCCGCCGAAGCTGTGTTCGTTACACAGTGGAAGAATCTTGGTGGTTGGTCTACGATGGGGCTGAGTGTGATGGTTGGACAGATCTCTGCTATCTATGGCTCTCTGAGTATGCATCCTGCAAGCCCTCAATATATAGTTCAACATGATACTAACGAGCGATATAGGCTCCGATGCAACGGCGCATATGTCCGAAGAGGTCAAAGACGCAGCTCGAAACGTGCCTATTGCCATGGCCTGGGGCTACTTTAGCAACGGCCTCATGGCCATCGTCATGATCGTCGCATATCTCTTCGCCACGCCGTCCGTGGAAGACTCCCTAGACGATGCCACCGGTTTTCCGTTCCTCTACGTCTTCCAAAAGGCAACTTCAATCGCAGGAGCGAATGGACTAACGGCGATTATCCTACTCCCCGTGATCTTTAGTAATATCCTCTTCAACGCTTCCACCTCGCGGCAGACCTTTGCCTTTGCCCGTGATCAGGGTCTCCCATTTGCGAAATGGATCGGCAAAGTGGACGCTAAGCGCAAGATTCCTGTCAATGCCATCGCCCTCTCCTGTGTTATCAGCTGCGCGTTATCACTTATCAACATCGGATCCGAGACTGCATTTAACGCTATTATATCTCTCAATGTGGCGGCCCTGATGTACACGTATATCGTGTCAATTAGCTGCGTGATCTACCGGAAGATCTGGCATCCTGATACCCTCCCGCCTCGTCGGTGGGATATGGGGCGGTGGGGATTGGCTATCAACATTATTGGGCTGTTGTATTGTTGTTTCGCGCTCTTCTGGTCGCTCTGGCCCGGTGATGCCGAAGTCACTCTGGAGAGCTTTAATTGGAGTGTGGTTATTTTTGTAGGAGTTTTCATTATCAGTCTTGGGATGTATATCGTCAAGGGGCGGAAGGAATATGTTGGCCCATCGGTTATTGTTCAAAAGAATGAGGGTTGATGGTTTAATACATTAATGAACAGGATAGGATGGTGGATATTGGCAGTTCACTTAAATTTATTACTGTAGAATAAATATTGGGCACACAGGATTTATGCCGTGGCTGGTGCGCATAACCTATAACGGGTACCAATCAGAATAAGCGAGCCTGCGCGCCAGCCTCACATTGAAACCCCTTGGCTTAGCCAGTCTTCCAAGGGTTCTATTCCAATCATAACTTTATCGTCTGACCAATATCATTCTGCACAGAATCTAATGTATAATACCACGTACCGAGTCGATACCAACCTCGGAAGACTATGCATGAATTTCTAGATCATGCTATTTTTAGCAGAAAACCCACACGGGCTCCGCGGGTTTTTACTCGACGACGAAGCGACGATCCCGAGGTTGATGAACACGTGTGGTCGTAGCTTTTTAGCTCTATATCTAGTCTAAGTGTGGCTATGCTTCCGGAGGTCGGGAAGTACTATCAAGTAAGAGGTTATGCGAATACGTCGTACCTAGGTAGGAATTCATTTTCATTCGCCAGCCCCAAAACCTTAAGGTTTGCACAACGTAGAGGGCGTTCATAAGGAATGCACAGGACACACATCCTCGAGGACGGCAGATGACACAGAGCACATCCTAAAATTGGACCAATTGGAATAGCCCGGATGATGTGTATCGCGCGTGATCCCGATTTTCTAGAATGGCTGGAAAATTGAAAAGTGAGACTTTTTATGACAGGGCTTGGTATCTTTGGGGAGGAACCCTAACTGTGTACTTTTGCGAAGTATGAATGTAAAGATTGGGATTATATTAGGCTCAGGGACTGTTCCACAGAGCGCTAGAGGCCCTTGTGGTCAGAATGCGAACAATGAACTTGTAAAGTACAATATACATCGGGATCTCTTACCATCAGGTTCTTTAAGACTAAGCGGAGGAACATCACCAATCGCAGCTTAGAACCGAATTGTTGTACCATGGAGACATAGTCATTTGCCAAGACCTTTCAAATATTTTGAATATTCTAAAACCGAACGAAATAAGCTAGAGAAGAATTGGGCATAAAAATAAAAAATAAAAGGGAAAAAAAACACCACCATTACCGAAGAAAAGAGAGTGTACGTACTCCGTACCTGCAAGTACCTGGAAGCCTTGGATTGCGTGGTTCCGATAAAAACCATCCATTTCCCTTTTTGCCTCTAGAACTTTGGAAATATCTTCTTCACTTTCTGCAATTCTGCAACTCAGGCTTCAGGTCAATTACTACATGTACTTTTATTGTACTCTTGTAATTCAGTCTGTGCTCCACTCTTTCACACTTCACATCATCTCGCATTTACCCCAACCACTTGGGCAAGTCCACCGAATCACCTAAAACAACCTCAAATCACCCCCAGTCACTCTCAGTCGGCCCCAATTCACCCCATCGTGTCGATCGGATCCTACTAGTCACCAGCCTTACCGTGTCTCAAATTGCAAACGCGTTGAATTGTGATTGCGCCTCTTGGCAGACCTCCACTAGGACGCTCCACTCCAGCGGCAGATCACAACCGTTTCAGACCTGCCTTGAATCTCGGACGCTAAGAAAGACGGTGGAACTCGCCCTAATAAAATGGACTCCCCCAAATCTCCCGCCTCTCCTAAGAGGAGTCGTGGATTCAGCGTGAAATCCGACAAGTCAGACAAATCGGGATCAACAAGCCACAGACGTGGACCTTCAGAATCGTCAGAAGAGAAAGCTCGTCGCAATCTACACACCAAAGCAGATCCACTCATCGCCATGAACGAGCTTCAGCCTAGTACGTCCAGCGGTTGAGACGTTGGGCCTTGATTCTGGCCCGGTCGCATTTCCTTCCCGTTTCACTTCAACTGACACTTCAATAGTGGCCGTTGCCCTGGAAAAGTCAAATTTGGGCTCGCTGCGAGAGATCGAATTCAAGGATCAGTACGGAAATGTTATCAGTTCGTATCCACTGGCAATCTTTGGTCCCTGGGGCGTTTTTGCTAACTCCTTACTTCTCCCCAGCCGATCCCGACCTGTCAAACCCCACTCGACCGCGTTTGGAGCGCCCGTTGGATACAATTCGATCGTTTGAGGCAGCTATTTACGGCTCATACAATAATAACCGTGCGTCCTATGCCAGAGCAGGTACTTTGTGGCAATTCCTTGTGAAAAGTCAGGAATGTGGGAATATGGGCTGATTTCTTCGATAGATGATGCCGCATCACAGATGGGCGACTTCAGCCGACGAACAAGCTACTATGGAGGTATGTTTTCTGTGATTCTTGTCTTTTATCAATTGTTTCTAATCTTTTCACCGGGTAGGTCAAAACAGCGGCCCTTCCAACAGAAACCACGAACCAAACAGCTACTATGGCCAACCCCAATCGCGACCAGACAGCATCGTGAACGCGTACCAAAACGCACCTCTATCGCCCGAGAACCCGAATCCCTACCCATACACCCCGAGTGGACATAACCAAAACGGATATAGCCAAAATAGCAGAAGACGCCCATCCCAGCATCCACGTGGGCCACCATCGGCGCCCATCACTCCCTCCGAGGGCTACCCAAACATGGCCAACAACTCACAACACGGCTACCAACGGTCACGCGATAACGTGGCTGCCATGTCAAACAATAATTCTGGCAACACATACCCCTACGGCCAGTCCACAGACCCCAGCTCGATGAACAGCTCCAACGACCAATTGCAGCAGCAGGCTCTGCACCAACAGCGTCTTGATGAGCGTGCTCAGGCTGAGTATGGTTCCAATGGTTTCAACTCATCCAGGACTCCCCAGCCCATCGGTGACCCGAGTTGGGGTGGACCTGTTGGAGGTCCTCCGACTTCCACGGGGGCTAGGCCTGCACCATCGACTCCGCGCCAGAATGTGAATCAATCTTCGCCTGGTGAGGAGAAAACGGATAAGAGAAAGAGCTGGTTCAAACGCCGGTTCAGCAAGGATAAATAAATCTGAATGTCTCGGGTGAGGTGTGAGATTAAGATGGATAATGCTTGATACTGTATCTGGATACTTCATTTCAACATGCATGGTACTTTTTTTTTGTTTCGGGCTCTGCAGACTGGCGTTTCTTTTGTTTGTACGGAACGGACATGGATTTGCGGGATGTGTTGATTATTGTTATTGTTTTTTTCATGACTAGTTCATCGCATGCTGTAATGAGGTTATGATACATGGACACATGGGACACATCATGGATTAGATTTGTTTAGTTTGTTTCTGTGATTCTCTCACTTTCTGTTAGTTATTCATATACAATCTGTATCTACTCCACATGGCTATCTCTCCTAGGATATCTATGGCATCAAATCGTACTGTTCAAGGCCATTATATGCATATGTACACGCTTGCAGGTGTCTATACATGTAAGATCCACCCTAAAAAGAGGTGAAAGGAAAACAACAGGAAGCAAGAGAGTCCACTATAGAATCCGGAAACGAAACCGGAAGATAAATTGATACCAGGCTAACCCTCCATCACCACCGCACGAGAAATGGGAATCACGAAAGAAGCACAAGACACAGCAAAAGCAAGAGTAAACAAGCCCCAATTTACCCTACTTCCGCCCCAGCAACTTATACTTCAACTTATCCGCCAATCCCTCATGCGCAACCTTCTTCTTCTCCTTCTCCTTGAGTGCAGCCTCATCAAGATGAACATTTCCCTGTCCACCACGCTACCACCCCGAAAAAAGTCAGCCATAGTGTCCTGGGAAAAAAAGTCCTGGGAATCCGAAAGCGGGGGAAGGGAAGACAAGCAAAACGAAGGGAAAACCATAGTGAAAGGTTCGGGATGGGAATCAATCATAAAACAAATCGAAGGTAAACAATCGAAAGAGCTCTCTGCTGCTTACCCCGGTGTGGTATGTCTCGTCTGTTGAGCCGCGCACCGCGAGTTCGGGGATCATCTCGGCGTCGTGGGGAACCCTGGACGTGGGCCGGACCATTGGGGAGCCGATATTTCCTGCGCCGCCTCGCTGGGTGGAGTCGCGTGTATCAGTGGGAGTTGGAGACTGGGGTTTGGTGGGGTGGGGGGTACTCACGCCGGCGGAGTATGCGCCATCGCCTTGGTCGCCGTAGGGGCCTTCGCGGACGATCTCGCCATCGACATATCTGTTTTAAGGTGTTTAGTAGGTGTCGCTTGTGCGACTGGTTCGGACATACTCGGTGGTGTCGTGGCCGATGTTTCCTTGACCTGATGTTTTGTGGAGCCTGTTAGTTGGTGGTCTTGGGGAAATGGAGGGGAAACCCGTTTAGGGCTGGGAGTTGGCTTGCCTCCTCGGCCGTGAGAGACCATTGGTGCCTCGGGCTCCGTCTTCGCGGTCTTATCGGGCATCTTGCTTAACTGGTTTTCGTCAGAGATTGGAGTAGGTATATGTGTTGTTCTTTGCAAGTGTGGTAATTCGTAGGTGGGATAGTTCGTAGGTGGGATGGGTAGATGCGAAAGGAAGAAGGATTGGGGTAGGTAGAAAGGTATTTATCGATTATCGATGGGGCGATCAATGCAGGTACAAGATGCGATGGCGGGGAAACCCACGTGCTGGGGTGTAACTGCGAGCTTACTGTTTCTTAGGGATCTCAGAAGGGGTTTAAGTTGTACAGGGAGGGATGTAGACAAGTGGGTTTCGGGGGATCTAAGATCTTTTAAGTACGGAGTATAATCCATCCACTTTGATCATATCGGGAAGCTAGATAATATTGGGTTTCCGAGCCAAGAGGTTCCTGAGCTCCCTCGTTCTCTATCTATATCGTTTAGATGTTGTTATTCAACTACATTGAACATTTATATTCGCAGAACTGCATTGGTGACGTCGCTGATAAGATAACGGCCTCCGATTGGTAGAGGTGTGACAAACTGCAATTGGCCGATAGCGAGCTTGGCGTTTACCTAGGTACTATATGGATAACTATCCATTATTAGACAAAATAATAGGAGAGGAGAGTATGTATTGAGCGATAGAATATTCCTGAGAAAAGACATGAATATCAGCGGAGTAACGGCCCAGATAGTGAAAGATAGAATAGTAGAGGCTGCGCATGCTACCCGCATAATCAAACCAGACACGGCCTTAGTTCTTTTTTTTGTCTTCGCCTGAGCCACCTGTGGTAGGAAGCCCCATGAATATCTTGAATGAATCGTAGCTGTAAGTTCAGAGTCAGTATATATCCAGCGCACAGACCAAATGAACGCGAGGGCATACATCATCCATTGGAGTCCGGTCTGTACATCGGAGTCTTGTTAGCACCCAAACTATACCATACTTGGACATAAGATCAACCCACCAAAGTACCAATCATCACAATACGGACAGGCAGTCCGTTCCACAATCCCCGGAAGCCAATGTCACCATAGATGCGGCTCATAGCCGCGCCAAATGCCTCACCCGCCTGTCGGTTCGCGTTCAACTTGCTGACCATAACATCAGCAGGGTGTGACACCGCAGCACACAGAATACCAGCGAGGTAACCAGCCGAGAACGCAACGGCGGTTTGGGCACCTTTGTTGTAGTCGGACTTGTGACCTGGCAGCCTACGGTAGATCATCTCAACAATGGTCTCGAAGGAAGCAAACTTCATCATCGTGTAGGGAACTTGACGGCCCCAGAGCGGGTAAAGACCCTTGTACAGACTGGATTAAGGGTCAGCATATAGAGATTTGACTCAAGAACGGAAGGCGATAGATCTTCAACTCACCCAGCAACGCCCTCCTTAGCAACAACGCTCGAGATACCGCTGAAAGTACCTGTGATTTCAGGTGGGATAGTAGTCTGACCGCGGACCTTGACAGACTCGAATGGGCACAGCGCTAGATCTGCGATGAACTCTGCCGAGGCACTAGCTGTCAGGTAGATGGCAGTCTTGTACCGGCTTGTGTTTTCCTGGCCGACCAGATCGCTGTAGAAGACCTTGAAGTACTCGTATCCTCCATACTTGAAAGCTCCTTGGGCCTATTATTATTGTAATCAGTATAGATAATTAGGGATGTAAAAGATCCACATGTCGCTCAGGCTTACACTGTAGCCGAAGAAAGTAGGGCTCCAGCCCGTGAAGACGCCGCGAATACCTTCAGCTGCACGAATGGTGCGGAAGGCTTGTAGGTTGCTCTTATAGAGCTTGGGGTCGACTTGGCGGCGACATTTGATCAGGTCGAGAGGTGTCACGGCAGTGTGAGTAAGGCCCTGGTATATACGTGAGTATCTAGCTCATACAGCGATCACAATTCAGATAAAAGGTGGTACTGACACATGCCAATATTCCACCAAATGTGCAAGCTGTATAGTACTTCAGCGAGCCAGGCTCGATCTTGCCGGTCTTCTCCTGGGCCTTTTGGCTTGCGGCATTAAATTCCCGGCTCGCTTCGTGGGCAATGTCGTCGGCCTTGGTCTTCACATCGTCGAGTGCACTCCAAGCTGTGAAAGGTCTGTTTTTCGCAGTCGGGCTCACCTTGGTGCTCACAGCACCTAGAGGATGCTGGGCGGCGAAAGCGTTGATCCAGTCGGGAATCATGGTGTACTTCGGGTAGTGGATATAAGTGGAGTCGGTTTGGATATCCGGTGATCTCCACCAAAGGGTGGATTTCGAATGAACTCTGAGTGTATTTCCTTCTGATTGAATCCGTATGAGAGATTGAATCAGGATGGAACAGGGCGCGACGGGGAATAAAGATCTCACAAGGATAATGACGTGTTGGGCTTGTAAGTCTTGGCGGGGAACCAATAAGTCACTTTATGGTAGTACGCCACCTTATAGTACGGAGTACTTTTGAAGAGTATGTAGAATTTACTTTCGATGCGTACTCTGTAGAATTAATACTTAAACTCCAAATCAAATGGCCAGCAGGCATCGGACGGACTTATAGCTATCTCCGTGTGGGTCTGGCTCTTAACATGCTAGTATACATGCATTTGGCCAGGATCACAATCCCCCGGGCCCAGGGGCCAAAAGAGAAACCGGTTTGAATATGTATTTGGGGATATGTCCTCAGCAAGGTAGATTCTATAAAGCTAGCTGGGGTTATCTATCATATTACTTTCTAATAATATGGCTAGTTGCCCATGGTCTGGCAATCTGGAATTTACTTTAGATATTAGTGGGGTGAGGTTATACCGGTCAGGGGCCGTCTTAAATGTGTACTTTCCTACTTTTTTAAGGCCCGAAGATTGAGGATAGGCTATATTTTGCAATCCAAAGTAAGAAGCCCCCCGTAGACAAAAAAAAAAAATAGATGATATGGATGTGATAACCTCGGTGGCCGCAAGAGTCTTCCGTAGTGGAGTTAAAGAGATGCCAAGCTTGACATCAAAAAGTCATCCCGCAACGGCCGAAAGCTCTTGGCCCTACACAACTTAGGTATACCCTACTGAGAAACCCTACTTGACTTCTCAATATCTACACCTGGGCCAATTCTTCTCCATCTTAAACCTACCTCTACCTCTTCTCGATCACCCTCGAACCCATCCACTGCCCCTCACCGACCCCTCATCGCGATCACACTCAGAATGGCATCATACCTGACCGGCAGCGAGGCCTTCACCCGCGAGAAGCAAGCCACCTCCGATACAAATACATCCACAGCAGCCTGGGCCGACAAGTACCGCGGTGTCCGTCTCTCCCAATATAATCATCCACCGAACCCCAAAACTAACATTCAACACAGGCAACAATTGAAGACCTCGACCCTCCCCCGGCGCTTTCAATCTCCTCTCAAGACCCTGTTTCTACAGCCCTAATGGCCGCCTACGAGCGCGACTACACGCACCTTACCGTTATTTCCCCGACAAAGCGATCCCTGCTGGGCTACCTCAGCATCCCACGGCTACGGGAGCTGCTGCAGAGCGGCACCGTGAAAGAAAACGACCCAGTCTCAGCGGCGATGCAGCGGTTTAACCGCAAACGCGGTATCTACCAGGTCATCACGATGGATACGCCGCTCGAGGAGCTCGAGCAGTTCTTCGAGAGCGAGATGGGGCCAAATGGCGAGAAGCGGGAGAAGCAGCAGTTTGCTGTTGTCACTGATGTGGCGCGCAAGTTTGTGCTTGGTGTTGCTACTAAGGCGGACTTGGAGGAGTTTGTCAAGCGCAGACCTACCTAAGCTGATGTGGAGCTGGTAGTAAGCTGATGAAAATGGGAATATCTGAGAGAGTGATTTCTATTTGGCAATGCATATCGGCGTATCTGTCTATACTCAGGGCATGGGTCGAGGTCTTTTTTTGTCTCTACATGCGGTTCCTTCAACATGAACAGCACAAATTTAATAAGGGCCTTGACTGACGGGATTGAAGTGTGGAACTTGATAACTTGGGAATATCCGGGGATATCCAACAGTCAGATGAATAGCTCAGTCAATGTGTAGTTTTACAATCGAGGCCTTAGATGGTCGAAGTTGTTCCATCCCAAGTATACAAAAACAGAAACCCCAACCACCCGAACAATGCCGTAACGCCGAAAAGAGTAATCGTTTTCTAAAATCCCCCAGATCGAGTTTTATCCAATCTACTGGGCTTTTTTTGAACCTGACTTGCTGGCTGCTTGTCTGTCCTCTTGGTCTTCCGTCCAGGCAACATAGATATATGCGAACAAGACCACGTTGGCGGTAACGGCGGCGGAGATTCCGGCGAGTGTCGAGCTCCCTGGATAACATCAATCCAATCAGTATATGTCATTGTAAGTTGGGAGGCAGAGAAATACTCACCACTGAAGATTGTATTCACAGTCAAGAAATACATGCCAATGGGGCCAGCGATCATGGCAGCTGTGAAGCCTAGGAGCTTGTAAATCACGTCTCTAGATACAACAGCTAATAAGAATGTGTCTTCAAGGATTAACTTAAGCTTCTGAGGCTATTATCTTACGCGGGAACAGCTGGGGCCACGTCGGAATTGCCTTGCGGCGCAGGCTTCGCCGCAACATCGGCGTAGGACTGGTTGTGGGGGCGACGGGCAGACATCCTTGTTTTCTTTCGGAGTAACACCTGGGCAGTAATTAAGAAAGTCAAAGGCCAAGATGAAAAAGGGAAGGTCTATGTTGAGAGACAACCTTGGAATGGAACTGAAGCTATCGCAGTGCGGAGATAACTTAGTGTCCGCCGTCATATGCTGGGATTTGATTGGTGGGTTGAGGTATATGTCCATGTGACTCTTTTATTGTTTCATTTCCATTTGGGGAAGCTGAGGTGTATTGTTCATTCATTCTGTATAGAACTAAGCCCTTTTCAATGAATTTTATGAGATTAAACTTCTTCATATGTCTTACTCCTTTGTTCCAATTCACTGGTTAATTGACGGATCTCACACGTGATTGGGCGCGTTCACACATCGCGCGTGTCCGCTTTGGCAGAAAAAACGTTCCTGAATAGCGCAGAACAATTAGATGGATTTCTATGATACCAATGACATTGTTAGTATTGTGAGCAATGGATGAATCTGTCAATAATACTCCCCCTCGAGATATAAAAACCATCCCGAGTACTCCTCCCGGCGAAGACTACGAAACTATCGCCACTCTTCCAGCGATAACCCCGTCGCAAAGATTGACCCAACCAACACAACTACTTGAACATCCTTACTCTCGACATAACAATACCGTCATTCAAGTTGCTGCATCTTCACCAATAGGCCCGGTGTCTTCTCCTCCCCGCCGAGTCCAAGGCGGTTTACTTTCATCCTTAATCGCTCCTTCTGGGACGCAATTCCGACCTCCTGCCTCCGGCCCTACAAAACGAACACCGCAGTTTGATCTCGACGACGGACCGACATATCGAGGTGGCTCCTCAGACGAAGAGTATCACCTACAGAGTACAGATATCAAACCGTCTATGTTTGCGAAAACCATTCGGAGTCCCGAAAAAGAAAAGATCATGGAGTCGCCCGTCCGCCCTGACGCCGGGCCAATGGATCGGTTCCGAGAAATTACAACGTCTGCCATGTACGATCCGAAGAATAATGGAACCGCAATCAAGCGGAATGCGGACCAAATGAGTCCCCCGGCACCCAAGGGATTTGCCACGAAAAAGGCCCGCCAAGATGTGCCCTCTCGCGCACAACCTGTGGGAGTTCCAGACATCCTGCTTCATGAAATCAACGACTTCAGACTCCGCGTTAAAGTTGAACGCATTCTCAAAGTTATGCCGCATATGACTGTTCGAACCTGTATGGAAGCAATGTTGAAAGCAAAGGGCAACTACGACGACGCGCTCCAAATCCTTGCCAAAATGGAAGCTGCCGACCAGGAAAATAGTCCCGTGGTTATTCAATCCTCCGATGATGAATTGAGCGCCTCCCCGGCCACAGGCCCGGTTCCCATGGCCAAGCAGAACATCAAAGCCCGTGGCACCATTCAGGACAAGTGGGCAGCAATGAAGCAGCCCAAGGGCCAAGATTCCGACGACGAAGGAAAGCCTCGCCGCCGACTCATTCGTGGACCCAAGTCTGACGGCTCTTCCCGTATTGTTTCTCCTGTTCGTGCTATCACAATCAACGATGACAGTCCCCCGAAAAAGCAGCTGGGACGTCTTCAGAAGGGTCGCAAAGCTCCTTCGCCTGACCGATCCGAGTCCCCCGAGGCTATGATGAGTGATTCCGACGATTCAAATATCCAGGTCCAAGAATCCACCGCTGGCGGTTTGGATTCCAAGGTCCTGAAATTCTTCAACACATGTCGTGTTCAGGATCTTGCTGATATCGCCTCTATCCCCGAAGAAACCGCTCAAATCATCATTTCGAACCGTCCATACGACATCCTCGATGAGGTGCGTGTTGTCTCTGCTCCAGTTGTAGAGACTGTGAAGCCCAAGGGTAAGAGAGGAGGTAAGGCCCCTAAGCCCATTGGAGACAAGATTGTCGACAAGTGTATTGATATGTGGACTGGATATCTGGCCATTGACGCTCTTGTTGGCGAGGTTGAGGAACTCGGCAAGCCAGTCGCTGAAGAGATGAAGAAATGGGGCGTCGACACCTTCGGGAAAAAGGGCGACTTGGAAATTACCAACCTTGCTCCTCCCAAATTGGAACATGACTCTGGTATTGCCACTCCCGCATCTGAACGCCAATCTTCCGAAAGTGATGAAGAAAGCGACAAACTGGTCGTTTCGAAGCGCAAATCTCGTTTTATCTCACAGCCCGCTGTCATGGCCGACGACCTGGTGATGAAGGATTACCAAGTTGTGGGGATCAACTGGCTGGCATTGTTGTTTGAAAAGAAACTCAGCTGCATCCTGGCTGATGACATGGGCCTGGGCAAGACTTGTCAGGTCATTGCATTCCTTGCGCATCTGTTTGAGAAGGGCATCAAGGGCCCTCACCTGATTGTTGTCCCATCTTCCACCATTGAGAACTGGCTTCGCGAGTTCCAGAAATTCTGCCCGATCTTGAACGTCATGCCTTACTACGCTGGTCTCAATGAGCGTGCTCTCATCCGCGAGGAGATCGAGGAACGACGTGATGAGATCAACGTTGTGATCACTACCTACACGATTGCCAAGGCGAAGCTTGATGCTAAGTTCTTGCGTGACATGGATTTCACTGTTTGTGTCTATGATGAAGGCCACATGCTGAAGAACCATCAGTCTCAGCTGTACGAAAAATTGATTCGGATTCGGGCGCGTTTCCGTCTGCTTCTCACTGGTACTCCTCTCCAGAATAACCTGCAGGAGCTGGCATCTCTTCTCGGATTTATTCTTCCCTCGGTCTTCCAGGAACACAAGGAAGATCTTCATGCAGTGTTTTCCAACAAGGCCAAGACGACCGATGAGTCCCACGCTACTCTCCTGTCTCAGCAGCGCATTGAGCGCGCGAAGTCCATGATGAAGCCCTTTATCCTCCGACGAAAGAAGCACCAGGTCATTGATCTTCCAGCCAAGCATTCCCATGTTGGTTGGTGCCAAATGAAACTCTCTCAGGTCAAGATTTACGATCACGAAAAAGAACAAGTGCGCCAGCTGTTGGCAGACCGTGCTGCTGGAAAGAAGACTGGCTCGAAGTCCGCCAACATTCTTATGAAGTTGCGCCAGGCCGCCATTCACCCTCTCCTTGCTCGTCGTCACTACACAGATGAAACTCTACAGAAGATGGCCAAGGCCTGCTTGAAGGAAGACAAGTGGTCGCTATCTGACCCTAAGATCATTCTTGAGGAGCTGATGCCATACAATGACTTCGAGTGCCACCACATGTGTGTGGAGAACCCCAATTCCCTCGGCAAGTTCAAACTCAAGAACGACGAATGGATGGACTCCGGCAAGGTGGAGCACCTCAAAGAACTTCTCACCCGTTTCATCGCCAATGGCGATCGCACCCTCATTTTCTCTCAATTCACGATGGTTATGGACATCCTTGAGCACGTCCTGGAAACCCTCAAAATAGAGTTCGTCCGCCTGGATGGCCGCACCAACGTCGAGGACCGCCAATCCATCCTCGACGCCTTCCACGAGCGCACCGAGATCCCCGTCTTCCTCCTGTCCACCAAGGCCGGTGGTGCCGGTATTAACTTGGCCTGTGCCAACCGCGTGGTCATCTTTGACTCTTCCTTCAACCCACAGGAAGATGTGCAGGCCGAGAACCGTGCCCACCGAGTCGGCCAGACCCGCGAGGTCGAAATCTACCGTCTGGTGACCAAGGGCACCATTGAGGAGCAGATCTACGCACTGGGCCAGACCAAGCTGGCACTTGACCAGGCCGTGGCTGGAGACGACGAGGCTGGTGCTAAGAAGGGCGAGGAGGCCGGCATAAAGGTCGTTGAGGGGATGATGATGGCCGAGCTGGAGGTGAAGGCAGAGGAGTGAGCGAGCACAAAGAAAAGAAAAAAAAAAAAAAGGGTTTACTGGAGTTTCCGTTGTGAGTATCTGCATGGGGATGCAGATAATGCATTTAATACCGTGCCGAACATGGCACAGTTAGTACATGGTGTTTGGTGGGATTGATATCATGGCGATTCGGGGAATCGCAAATCATTTGTTAGATTAGAGGATCAAAAATCCAACTGCCATTGATTTAGTACACGATTTTCTAAGCTTTGTAAAGCGTAGAGTGATATGTATTGTAGGACTAGTTAAGTAGTCATCAAGGATGAGCATTATGTAAGGGGGGAATAATCTATGGACAGAACAGATGGAAGCAATCATAAACACCTCGAATGCAGATACAAGCAAGGCAAAAGGAATAATAAACTGAGAGAAAACCGAGGGCTATGCATGGGACCGAGAACAGATCGTGAGAAGAAGCAATGGTGGACGAGAAATACAACGAGACGCGCAAGGCAATATCTACGCCGTGAGTTGAGACGGAGCCTGAGTCTGTGCAGCGGGAATAGTAGCCTCAACAGCTGGCTTCTCAGCATCAACTTGAGTAACCTTAGCCGGCTGAGGAGCAGAAGACCGCCGAATAGGACCGCCTCCATGAACAGCTGGCGAGGGCGTCTTAATCCGAACAGCACCGCCGCCAGCCGCACGAGCAGCCTCAGACTCCATAGCATTCAGCACAGCCTTAGACTTAGGTTCAGACTGGGTCTGTGTATCGGGCACATCGGGAGCAGTCTCCCACTTATCATCCAGACCGAGTATCTGATCCACACGCGCTGCAGCAGGAAGCAAATCACCGAATTTCAATACGCGGCAGATATCAAGATACGTCTTGGACAGCTTTGTATCCTTGAACTCCTTGTCCTTGCCGGGGATCAGCATATTGAGTAGGTACTTGGTATTGCCCAAACGATTCTCCGACTCCATACAGAAGCGCAAGTACTCAAAGGTGATATCCCGCCATGGCGCGACGCCGCCATCCTCCTTAGACCGGAAACAAGACGAGTTGGTCTCAGCGGAGGTCGCGATCATCGCCCCGTCAACGCCGTACTCGGCCATAAGCGCGAGCCCCTGGTCGCGCGACGTAACATCGCCGTTCATCACGCACGCCACGCCGGCATCGTGGCAAATGCCCGCTACCATGCGTAGCTGATCGCGGATTGCGCGTTCGCGTGGCCGCATGGGAGTAGTGCGACAGTGCACTGTCAAGCCAGTGATGCCTGTTTTCACGAGGCGGGAGACGAGGGCCTCTGTTTCTTCGGGCTGGGAGAGGATGCGGATCTTGACTGAGATGCCGATTTGGAAGGGTTCGCCGATTTCCTTGACGAGGGCTTCCAGGATCGAGACGAGGAGGTCGGGGGTGCGGAGAAGGGCAGCGCCCATCCCGCCGTGGGTAGAAAAGGGTTTCGGGCAGCCGGAGTTGACGTCGATGCCTGAGACGTCGGCGGCCACGACGCGCGCCGCTTGTACTGCTAGCTCCGGGTTGGCCGTGCCCATTTGGAAGATCAGTCGGCCCTTTTCGCGCGCTGGGTCGATGCGGTAGATGACTGATTCTTTGGTTGGTTTGTTGGGGCGTCCGCCGTTGCTGGGCATGCGGGTGAATTCGATTGTGCCGTTGCGCGGGTTTATGCGTCGCTCGGCGCCGATCATCGAGCGGTCGATTGTTTCGGGGCCCCAGACGAGGTCGGCGCCGTATTTCAGCGCCAGTAGGCGCGAGGGTAGTTCGCCTGACCGGACCATTGGAGCGAGGACGATTTTGTTGCGGTAGTCGACGCCGTTGGCAGGGATGGGCACGCGCGGCACAACGGCCGACGCGGGGGCAACGGTGGTTGCGGTTGCGAGGGTTGCCATTGTTTTGCGGAGAGTTCTGATCATAGCATTCCCAGGTGCTGCGGGGAGGGGAGTATAGAACAATGTCTTTTTTTTCCTGGGGTCGGAGGGACTCCCGATGGAAAGTCCGAGTCACGTGAAGATAGTGCTGATAACTCTTTTTTTTTCAGGGCAGGTGGTCATTGGATTTCATTGTAATTTACTTTATGGTATTTTTCGCGATGCTAATTCCAACCTTGGAAGGGCCGGTCAGCTTCCGAGACCAAAGCAACCAATGATTGGGCTCCATTCCCTGCCAAGGATCACGACATCCTGGCATGTCCAGCTCTGAATCTGATTGTCTACGATTCTGCGAGGGCTTGATGATTCCAAGATTATAATGCTCTACAATTGAAGTGAACACAATTGCAATTGATCTATAGGCCGCGTATACAGCCGACATCGGCGTGTCTCGCAGTATGGGGTCGGGTAGGTACATGCAGTGTACATCCTGTCAAATAGTTGAAAGGTGTAGCGTACATGTACATATGTACCTATTTTATAGTTAGTTAGTATGCCTTAATACGTAGTGAGAGCACGAGACTTCAATTGTATACGATATACAACCACAACTGATCTAGTCGGGATATCAATCGGATTCGGGTTGACCATAAACATGCCGACTTTCGGAACCATGTATTTTCATTTTTTTTTTCCCATACAAACTTCCGGCACAAGGGGTAACACCACCACGCATCGCAACTTATACCCGGGTGAATGAAGGTACAATTTCAAGTTTTGTGTCAGAAATACTAAATAAAACTGAAAAAAAGCTTTAAAAGCATTTCCAACACAGCCAATGATTTGTCCTCCATTGGCCCGACTGGGAAGTGCTACCTCCACCGCCTCCCGCCGTGTTTGGCGCACATCAGCAACGCTGGCTCCCCCCACTTCTACTGCCCCTCTCTCCTCTTCCTTTTCTTCTCCCTTATCCCGCGCGGCCCAAGTATCTAGACACTTTTCGTCCGCTTCACCCAACATGTCTTACTCCATCCGCAAGGTCGGCTCCCCATACACTCTCGAGCACCGTGTGTTCGTTGAGAAGGATGGCGTCCCCGTCTCTCCCTTCCACGACATTCCTCTGTACGCCAACGAGCAGCAGACCATCCTGAACATGGTCGTTGAGATCCCCCGCTGGACCAACGCTAAGCAGGAGGTACGACAACCCAAAACCCCAATTGACCCCGCCATATGCTGATTGCATCATAAACAGATCTCCAAGGATGAGTTCCTCAACCCCATCAAGCAGGACACCAAGAAGGGCAAGCTCCGCTTCGTCCGCAACTGCTTCCCCCACAAGGGTTACCTCTGGAACTACGGTGCCTTCCCTCGCGTAAGTTTTGGACCTCCCTCCCATACCCGTGGATAGGAAGAGGGGTAAAAAAAATAAAACTGACACGTTATGCACCAGACCTGGGAAGACCCCAACTCCATCCACCCCGAGACCAAGGCCAAGGGTGACGACGATCCCCTCGACGTTTGCGAGATTGGTGAGCTTGTCGGCTACACCGGTCAGGTCAAGCAGGTCAAGGTTCTTGGCGTCATGGCCCTGATTGACGAGGAGGAGACCGACTGGAAGATCATTGTCATCGATGTCAACGACCCTCTTGCCCCTAAGCTCAACGACATTGAGGATGTCGAGCGCCAGCTTCCCGGCCTCATGCGCGCCACCAACGAGTGGTTCCGCATCTACAAGATCCCCGACGGAAAGCCCGAGAACCAGTTCGCCTTCTCCGGCGAGTGCAAGAACAAGAAGTACGCCGAGGATGTCATCCGCGAGTGCTCCGACGCCTGGGAGAAGCTTGTCTCTGGCAAGACCCCCCGTGGCGAGATCAGCCTGTAAGTTCTATCCATATAAATATATCCTTGCTTTTGAGGATGTTGAATCTAACCAGCATCAGTGCCAACTCCACCGTTGAGAACTCTCCCGACCGTGTTGACCAGGGTCAGCTCGCTGCTATCCCCCGCAACGAGACTCTGCCCCCTGCTCCCATTGATGGCAGCATTGACAAGTGGTTCTTCATCTCAGGTGCCGCAGTATAAATGATATTTTCTGCAACAGAAATATAAAACTAACCAAAACTTTCAAGCCTATGATCGTCTGCCCGGTGGGAACTACCTTCTTCGATTTCCTGAGGACAGGACCCATTTCTGAATTGTGAATGAATTGCTCCCAATACTTAATTCTTTACCACCACAGCGTAGAGAAGAGTAGTCTGATGGGCAAATGCAAATCCGAACAACTGTATAGTAATGAAACATCACCACTTTCAACACCAGCTTGTGCATGATCTTCAAATCTACTCCACTAAGCCCAATATCAAGTATGAAGCATAAACAGCCTATGTTCTCTACCAAAGTAAGAATAATTCAAGTATTCCAATATGCCCAGCAGCGCCAAAAATCGTCAGATGAAACAAATGATAGGTAATATAATACACGAATGCACAGCTCGAACAATAAAACTTTTCCCTAGTTCTTCAAGCTGGCCTCCCGCTGCAGAGCTCTACCAATACGGGACACCTCCTCGATAACATCGCCAATCTTCAGCCCGCGCTTTCCAACATCCAGCGTGATCTCCTTGCCGCCCTTAAACCCGACAGTCATGGTCGGTGACTCGGTGGAGTTGCGCGGCAATTGCTTGACCTTGATATCGATGTGGGTTGGGCTGCTTGTTGGGATAGTGTCTGGTGTGCGCAGCATGCCCAGGAAGAGGCGGCATGGCCGGGAGGCGCGGGAGAAGGGGTTGTAGGCGGTCCGGAAAGTGGTTATCGTGGCGATGGGGATGGTCATTGTTGCGGTTTGGGGTTGGTGGTGAGCGGGGCGGAGGGGGTTTTGCGGACTGGTAGATTGATCAGTTTTTTGATCTTTCGAGAGCGAATGATATAGCCTGTAGCTCTGTATTGGTTTTGTTGCGTACCTGAGTGGATGAGGCCTGGCGGGAAGTTTTTTGAAGGTGGTGTTTGCTGGGGTTGATTCCGCGGCGGTTGGACAAATGACCCTCGGTAAAAGATTGGTCTAAGGAGAATATTGCGTAGATCTCAGTCGGTCTGCGACAAATCTGACAGGTAATGGCGCAAGTTCAATTGGAAGTTCTAACCACACCAGAGTCTCCGTTGCGAATTGCGGTTGAAGGAAATGGGGCATGTTTGACTCAGATGCAAACACAACACTAAATGACGCCCGTCTACATGGCAACTTTGAGTTGAACAACTCGACACTTATGAAGCAACTTATTGCTTCAGATATCTCAGGTAGTTCTACGCCAGTGTTTATTTCCACAAATATTTATTCAACTCCCCGAACATACTCGAACAGACCGGACTTGAATGCGTGACATCGAATAACCAATACTCTTATCGCAAGATGTCCCCCACGACAGCTCTGCAGGGCCGCGTGAAGGAGCTCTCCGCTTCCCTAGGACAAATCCAGCCCCTCGTGGATCGATTGCGCGATTTTACTGCTTCTATTGGACTGGGCGATGAAGCCCGCCTGGAGCTTGGGAGTGAGATACATTCCCGGCTGAAGGAAGCCGAGCAAGAGTTAGAGCTGCTGCGTGTGGAGGTCGAAGCGCTGGAAGCTGGCTCAGATAGCAGGCGCAAGACATCTGCTGTCCATGGACAGAAAGAAGCTGAGAGGGAGCGGGTTGTTGCTATGGCAGGGCGATTGGCTGAGGATCTCAAAAGGTAAGATACCCTTAGACGACTTGCGCATGCCGGGGAGATTTCCTTGTCGTGGCTTACTTGCTAGTCTTTAAATATGCAGCATATGCTAATCGGTTCTTCAGAACACGAGGCGAATTTCGAACCGCCCAATTACAAGCGAAGCGGAATGCCGAGCTCGCCAAGCGGAAGGAGAGAGAGTTGCTGCTGTCAAGATCGCACACTTCCGAAAAGAAGCAGCCTACAGAGAAGTTTACTCAGGATGATCTTGTTTTAAACGCCTCGAACGACGTGACATCTGCGCTGCGCAGAACCCATCAACTCATGCAGGCGGAGCTCTCCCGCAGCCAATTTGCCCAATCGACTCTTGGTGAGCTACCTCTTCCCTTTTCCCTGATCCTAACAGAATCTAATATTTTTTTAATTAGAACAATCCACAGCCGCGATCTCATCTCTGTCCGAGTCCTATAGCGGCCTTGATACACTTCTCTCTTCATCCCGCAGTCTCGCTAACTCTCTTCTCCGCTCCCAAAAGTCCGACACATGGTACCTTGAGACTGCTTTCTATGTTCTTCTTGCTACAATTGGCTGGCTTCTATTCCGACGTGTCTTCTATGGGCCTCTTTGGTGGCTTGTATGGCTGCCTTTGAAGCTCGTTGCTCGGGTTGCGTTTGCAACACTAGGTGCAGCCGGGCTGTCCAGTACAGCTGTGCAGTCTGCTTCTCAGTCCCTCTCGGGGGATATCTCTACGGCTATTCATCAAATGACCACGGCGGCTGCAACAGGAACCGTGACAGCCAGTAGCGCTGCCTGGGAGCAAGAGCCGTCAGCACCGATCGACAGCAATCGTGTGATTGACAAAATCGGTGACATGGTTGAGCAAGAGAAACAAAAAAGCGTAGACATTGACGATGTCACCCCGGAGGAGAGGGCGAGACAAGCAGAGCTTCCCCGGAATACAAAAAAGAGGATGTTCGAGGGTGGGATGGAGGAACCGGTGCGAGACGAGCTATAGATAGATATTGATCCAAACATTAATGAGATACCATGCAGTCATGACCCTTGCCGCCTTGATCTTTGTAGTTTATAATACCAGTATTGACGGTGGTGATGTATACCAAGGTAGAGCTGCTCTCATTGGTCAGTGTGTTTAAGTGCTGCGCGCGTCACGTGGAGACGCGTCTTGATTGTGGAGGGCGTCAGAGAGAGATCTTCAACACAACGCGGACCAGCTCTCGAGATAACCCTGACTTTTGCTGATTTCGGGCTATTCAACAACAATGGCTGCCTCCTTTTTCAATAATAAGGCTCGTGCCGCTGCTGCCGCAGCATCCAGCAACTCTAAGCTTAAGGCTGGCGACAACAAGGAAGACTCCACTCGACTCCAGCCGTGGGTTGAGAAATAGTAAGTCAATGCTTCATTTCGAGCTCCCTGTGCATTTGACTAATATTGTTTAGTCGCCCCAAGACTCTCGATGATGTTGCTGCGCAAGACCACACGACCAAAGTCTTGCGGCGCACTTTGCAAGCCTCAAACGTAAACCACCCAACCCCGAACGATTGAGACAATGAAATAACCCCAACCAGCTCCCCCATATGCTCTTCTACGGACCCCCCGGCACAGGAAAAACATCCACAATCCTCGCCCTCGCCAAATCCCTCTTCGGGCCCGCTCTTTACCGCTCCCGAATCCTAGAACTAAACGCCTCCGACGAGCGCGGTATCGGCATTGTCCGGGACAAAGTGAAGAATTTCGCCCGAGCACAGCTCTCCCAACCAACAGGCCTAGATGCCGCCTACCGCGCACAGTACCCATGCCCACCATTCAAGATCATCATCCTCGACGAGGCAGACAGCATGACGCAAGACGCACAGTCCGCTCTGCGCCGCACAATGGAGACATACAGTCGGATCACGCGGTTCTGTCTTGTTTGCAACTATGTCACGCGTATCATCGAGCCGCTCGCTAGTCGATGCAGCAAGTTCCGATTCAAGATGCTGGATACTAGCGCTGCTGGTGAGCGGATCGCGAATATTGCGGAGCAGGAGGGTCTGCAGCTTGAGGATGGGGCTGTTGATACGCTTATCCGGTGTGGTGAGGGTGATTTGCGTCGTGCTATCACGTATCTGCAAAGTGCGGCGCGCTTGGTCGGTGCTACGAAGCCGCCTGCTGTGAAGGATGCTGATGATGATGCTGAGATGACGGATGCTGGTAGCAATTCTAGTGTTATTACGATTCGCAGCATCGAGGAAATTGCCGGTGTGCTGCCGGATGACATTTTGGATTCTGTTATGGAGGCTATGCAGCCCAAGAGTGGTGGGTCGGCCTACGAGGCTGTCTCGGGGGTGATTACAGATCTTGTGGCTGATGGCTGGAGTGCTACACAGCTTGTTGGACAGGTTTGTCCTTCTTTTCTTCGTATTCTCAATACCTCTTGCTGACCTCTTCTAGTTATACCGACGTGTAGTGTTCAACGAGGCAATCCCCGATATCCAGAAAAACAAGATTGTCATGATCTTCTCGGAGATGGACAAGCGGCTGGTTGACGGTTCCGATGAGCATCTCTCCATGTTAGACCTGGCATTACGCATTGCCGGAGTCCTACGTGGAAATTGAGAGACAAGTTTTCTATTATCAAATCTCAGTTCGAGCTTACACCCTCATCGTCAGCAGTGAGACTGCCCGGGTACTTGACCAAAAAAAGATGGCGTTCGGGACAAGGACGGCCTACATCTGTGAGGCGTTATATTCAGATTTTTTTTTTAGCACTCAGATCTTGTTCGAATGGAATGATCATGATACCCTTTCACGTTGTTTTTGCGCGAACCACCAAGTGCAGAGCTACACGATGACTCTGAACGACTTGAGGAGTAATATATCGACACACATAGCTGGAGATTATATATATGACTGCGTCTAGAGTTGGCTGCTCGAATAGCAGGCAGACAAGCTGCTGTGATTCGGTGGTTTTGACTGAAGACTTGGGACATTGGGTTTGAGCTGGCTCCAATAAATAACAATCCAGACTTTTGGAAAATGGCGTGAAGTAAATTCCTCTAAATTATAGACAACGATTACGGCCTTGTGTTCCTACATATTCCTGGCCTTTCTTTCATTATAGCTGCAATAATGCAAGAGATAAATACAGGCAATATTAAACAAAAAGCTAGGTAAAGAGAGCCATAGGAGACTAGAGGAGCCCATCTCTCTCTTACTCTGTTTAAAATCAACCATGAGACTCTTTAAAAGTTTGCCTTTTAATTCTCACTTTCTACCAACTCTCATCTCCGACAAAAGCCTGGAATTTACAAGTCTTGACACTCAACATATTCTGCTGATTCTACTTCAGGACTCGTATTTTTGCTTATCTTGATATGGACTCCCCATATTCTGGCAGACAACGCCATGGAGCTAGTCGTGACCCCCGTCGTGCTGGCAGAGCTAACCAAGGAGCTGGTCATGATGATAGACAACAGCATCAATACCGAATCCAACAATACCAGCACCAAAGCCAACACCACCGTCAGGTAACCCTACTCCACAAAGATATGTGCTCCCCACTGCTTTGTAGTGTCGCCTGTAGTACACTATCGCTATCATCGCCCTGGAGAGTGTACTTGGTGATATTTCCACTGCATTTGATACCTTCTACCTTCTCATCTTGTTCTTCGACGTGCCACTCTCATATTGTATATGCCAGTTTGAGAATGAACCCTTTTTGACCAATGACTAATACAGAAAATGGTATGTTATAGAACAGCACCACCTTGACTTGTTATCTCTGCCACGACCCCAGACACCTTCAGCGGAGTTGTCCACTACTCGCCCTTTGGAGATCTGCTATCGAGACACTTTGCCGCGTACAAAATATCCCCAAGCTGAAGCTCTTTATTCATTACTGACAAGATATACTCAAGGACCGCGCTATCGACCCAATGAGCCTTTTTGAACAAATTGACATCGTGGGTATTCATTCTGGAAGAACCTCTTGCATCATAACTAACCTATCGATATAGGGGATCCTTGTTACTGCTCTAGCTAATGCCCTTCCCGATAGGGATGGTGACATCCCTATGCAGTAAGTCATTCTATAAGGAGTTTTCTTTTCTGGTCGACCGAAGGCTCGAGTTTTAGGATGCGAGATGGAAGTGGATAGTGACTTCGACTTTATCGAGTCGTAGAATGAACTTTGAACCAATTGTATGCCTTCGGATTTGAGGGAGCTTCCTACATATCTATTAATAATCTGGTATATCAACCTTGGAACCTCAGAAAGATGGTCGGTTTCGTCGTTCTTAGGGATCTGGGCTGGAGCCCTGGCGGGTCCGGTTCCTTCTGGGCAGGCCCGCCCCCGAGCCGAGGCCCCAGGAACGGAGAACTGGGGATCATCGAGTGTGGAGGATCCCACTTGCCTCGGGTAAATTGATGATATTGATATATCTACCGGTCTCTAATATCTAAATGAACCTGGATGGCATTGCTTCAAGGTGTGAATACCCATATAAAAGGCGTCTTGTCATGGAACAGCCGAATGCACTGAAATGTCGTCCTTCGCGGGCCTGTGAAGTATGTCATTCAAACAAAGCAGTGGTATTCCCCGCAGGTACGTTGTGCACACAGTAACAGTGACACCGCAATTAATAACATTAAAGGTATAATAGGAAGAGAAAGTTCACTGTTTATTTCGTGATGCCGATGATGAGATCTCGGCGTTTCGGTGATTCTAAGGGATCAAAAACAATCTCGGTACTCGGCAGCCGAGTGCCGAAGTAAAAGGACGAGGGCCCCCGCATATAACACGAACTCCGGAGTGAAAATAAACCTTGCATGAAAACCAGGTGGTTTCAATGACCTACCGGGACGACCAGTGATAAAGATCAAGAGATATCATGGATACCGAATACCGTTCTCAATCTGCCCTACAGGAACCCGCTAATGGGAACGAGGTGATACAATACCAACCAGGGGAGAAAAAGTTCCGGCCGAGGCGAGCCAAATGGGCTTGTTATGCCTGTCACAAACGAAAAGTGCGTTGCGATGCACTAAACCAAGGCACATCGTGCACCAATTGCAAACTTGATAGGAAGGAATGCGTTGCCCCACCGCGAAGGAGAAAAAAGGCAGCAGCTTCAAGCCCATATACTCCTGGCGAAGCTAGGACAGATGACATGCCACTATCATCACGTTTATCACAACATTCCGCAATATCAGACCCTAAATGCAACGACGTCCAGTCGAATAGCGCCGTTGTATCATCACGGAAAAGGAAAACTGAGCCTCGAAGCATGGCTTCACCACGTACCAGCTCAAAAAGACAATGTCCTGGCGAAGGCTCATCACACAATGTGGACAATGAAGTCGGGCTATGGATGGATATGCTACCGCCAAACGTCCTAGAACAACTCGAGCTACGTTCTACCAAAGACATGTCGAGGCCCCATCGAGAGAGCATTGATGGACTCAATGCAGAACAGTTCCACGACAAATGCTCTGAAAAGTTGCTCCAGGCTGTAGACATCTTGACTGAAGCCATCATCATGCACAATTCTCTTTCAGCAAATGCTGGCCCATCTGTCCCCGTCGCCCATCCAGCAGCTGATATTGACCGCGCCTCCGAAAACCAATTAGATGATGATGCAAAAAAGAAAGAAAACATGGAATACTCCTCATCTATCTGTCATCAGGCTGGGGAGAATATATGGGACATCGAGAACACATTGGATGAAAGTTCGGCTTTGACTCCTGAGTCCCTCGAATACGTGGCTGGATCAAATTTCAATATTTGGTTGGAATTGAACGACTTAGATCTCGAAAGTCCTTCATCATTGGATTTATATGATGTCGAAGAAGCTGCTTCCTGAATATTAGCATGTAAATAACTGATATTGGAAGATACATTTTCTCCATAAAGCAACCCAGAGCAATCTTTTGGAAAGTAACTTTTCATGTAATTTGAAAAGAAGTGGTGCGAGTAAAAGCAAATGAAGAGCTGCACTAGTGGCCTCAAAATATCCGTACGTGGTTGCATGGTAGTTATCGTATAACAAAGGCATGATCTTTCAAGTAGGGCCCCACGATCGATAGGGAAGTTAAGATCGTATTACTATAAAATATTATTATGCTAATGATCTGATGTAGGGAACAGCACCCTTTTCTCTATGACCTGTATCCTCCCCTCCCCATCAAAGTGGTGGAGTTTATAATTCAACCAATTCCGCATCTTACCCTCCTCATCTATAATTGACGACACACTGAAATCACATGTGCGATACTGAGCTGGTGGGATATGCCCCGGTTTGGCCAGCAGTTCATATACTTCAGAGACCTTTTCTGGCAGGTTGTCGGGGTTCTCTTCTAGCCCTATGAGAATGGCCACGATATGAGCGGCCGGAGCGCACATAAACAGCCCTTGTGCTGGGGGGGCCTCCGCCATGTACCGTAATGCCTGGCGGCGTAGCTCGGGGAAGGGACATTTGAGCCCTGTGATAAAAAGTGGGAGGAATACGCCCATCTCAAACATAAACGGCGGTTGTTTCCCTTCCGAGCTGCGTGTCCATGCAATCGCGGTCGGGGCCAAGTCGATGATCTCGGCGAATTTAGATTCGTAGGCGTCATATACACTTTGATCGAAATTCAGCATGGCTTCTGTTTCGATGAAGACGCTCGTATATGTCATTAGAAGAAGCGCAGTTTCACCGTCGACGTTCGGGCCATGTATAGACTTCAAGTGTGTAAAGAGGCGATACCATTGACCGAGTCGGTGTTTCAGGCGTTGTTGTCTGGCCACCAGCTCTGATACCTCGTGCAACCGACCATCTGCTGCTCGGTGTATATAAGCTTTGGAGTCAATGCCGAGGGCCTTCATTTCGGCTACTATGCTACACAGAACGTTCCTTGCTTCTTCGATCGATGTGAAGCGCTCGTCTGGAACAGCCAAATGAAGATCCCAGCTTTCTTCTGATAGTCCGTTGGAGATGAAGACCCACGTTCCCAAACGGCGGAAGATGGGCTCGAGGGCGGCAATAGTCGAGGTTGCTGTTGACGAAACACCAAAAATCAGTTGGGCACCCTTTTTGTACAGGGCCTGGGCGCCTTTGCGGCTCCCCTGTAAGAGCTCGATGGCAATGAAGAGAATGCAGCTGATCAAGGCCACCATCGGGTCTGCTGTGCCTTGATTAATACGTTGCTGTAGGAGAGCCAGCGAACGCGAGTACCAAACCAGCGCTTCGTAATGGTACCGATGTCGCACCGCAGCTGGATTATTTAGAAGCGACCAGGGCGACGTCTCGTGAATGGGTGGTCGTTCGTAGAGCGCGCTGAGCGAGATGATCGCATCCCAAACAAGTGGCTCTACCCGGCATATTTGGAGGACCGAACCTCTCCAGAAGGCCTGGTCCAGGACTCCTGAAAGTGATGGGCCAGCTTTGTGGAAATAATATTCAAAAGCACGACGCTCTCGCGATCCCTGAGATGAGAAGGTCGTGAGGTCCAACTGGGGCCGTCCAATAGTCTTTAGAGGAGCGGTGCTATAGCCGCACCGCCGTCCTGTACTGGTACATCTCAGGCAGTGTGGTTTCTCCTCGCCACATCTTACACGGCGAATTCTGCGAATCGAATGTCAAATACAGCGAATGATAGAGTTCCTGGGGGGCCAACTGACTTGCATGTGTCGCACCCGGTCTTGGATTTGGTGCCTCCGAGGCGACCAGGACGCTTGGCGAACGAGCTCATGACCAAAAGTATATGTAGGAGTAGACAGTGGCAGTTTCTTCGACAACTCCGGTATTGCCCGTTCATGTCCTCATCCGAAATGCCAGCCTCGTAAGTAGGAAGCAGAAGGGGGGCCAAAGTCGTGTGTATTGAAGTTTCCCGTAATATACAGCAAATTACATCCCATAATGCAATACTATTTTTAGAAATATGTAATTTACGACTGCAAAAAACTGGGTTAATACATGTTAGATTATGGGATGCGAAATAAGTATGTCTGCATAGGGGAATTTGTTGCCATGTGCTTCAGATCGAAGCCGAGGCCGTTGTGGATGTTCACGAAGTCGGGCTTGATCGACTGCAGGACCCTGTACGAGGCTATGACTGCCTCAGTACCCGAGTTCGCCTTTATCGCCGTCAACCACTAGATGTCTACGAGTAGGGTTGGTCACATACAGAAACACTTGACTCCTATATAGGCCATAGGCATTATTTGTATGCTGCTAGTAAAGTTACATGCAAAGTTATTACCGTCTCCTTATGTTCTTCTTCCGAGCTCCCATCCACTAAAATATAAAACAGTTTCATAGAGCATAAATTCGCATTCCGTACAGACGAGTTTTCTATGTAGAGACAAGAGCGAGAATGGTAACGTAGTTTATGTTCCTAGCAGTGAGGCGGGGATGGCTTTGATGGGAGTTGACAGTTGAGGAGCTCCGTCTATATGACTATCTCAAGGCGACACATCTACACATAGCGGGGCGATACCTAAAGTCTTCTACTCTTTAAATGCTAGATACCGTATTTAGGTAGCAAAAGGAATCCATTATTTAGCAAGTGGTTCTCAAGCAAAGTAAAGCAGGACATTTTCACGAGTCTTTCTTATCAGTGGAACCCCGTCCAAAGATTTGCTGCCACCGGGACTTCACTTTCAATGGGCAAAAATAACAATTTGCCAAATGTATAGTATAGGCCGAAGAAAACTCTTTAAGCCTAGTTTCGAAATCTTTGCTTATCTCCTCTTTTTCTTCCTCTGGGAGCTCGAAACCTCGAAAGCCGATACAGCACCCGCACTCTATAGTGCAATGACCTCTACCTTTCTTCCTTTTAGATAGATACCTCTGTTCGCAGCATCCACATTCCCGGCTACAACATCCGCCTCGATCCGAACAATCCTGAACCATCTCTTCGCGCATAAACCATTTAGCATCACGCCTCAAGCTGTCATAAGCTTCTTTAAATGCCGATCTAAGCATAGACTCCGCTCGGTAAAGGGCGTACTCCTTCATTGGAATTTGCGCTTGAGCCACTTCGAGCTCTTTATTTGCTTTTTCAAGCTGGGCCCCATCAGACTCGATAGCCATAGCCTTTTGTAAGGCTATAGCCCTATGGTGTAGCGTTTCCTCACGCTGCGTAAGTTCACGTAGAGCGTGCTCCGCAAGAAATAGCTCAGTGAGTTTGTACCGGGCAATATAGTCTGAGCCGTATTGCACAAGGCCATTTTTATTGCCTGAGAAGTGACAAGTCGTACGCCTATTCGAGAATCCCATAATCCTATCGTAAGTTGAAAGCTTCCAAGCTTAGTATGGGAATATGGTGAGAAGGACTTCTTGGTAAGTACCTCGTGATGGGAGAGATTAGGTATAAAATATGAATAAAGCAGAAGGGATGTGACATGATAGAGAAAATATGTTCCGGCTATGGCTTCGTCACTACGCCGCCGCCCAAAATAGATTAGTGGGCTTTTGCATATGTAGTAACTAATTATGACGCAATTAGACACGAGAACCGAAGACCCAAAGAGCTCATGGACCCTAGCACGACAACGATCCAAAGAAGGAGGGTGAGAAGGACAAGTTCAGGGACTAAATGAAGAAGGATGAAGAGATGGATAAGGAGGGTAGGACTTATGAGGATTTGATGTGAATACTCTACACACGTAGTTAGATACTAGGGTTAGGAGTCTTGCAAGGTAATTTCTAGTTCTTTGATTACATTCAAGGCTAACATACGAATTGATGAGCAACCCCTATACATTTATACCCATGTAGGGAGGAGTAGTAGTAGTAGTAGTAGTAGTATGCTTAATGTCCAAATACTTGACTGTGGAGCCAACCCCGCATCTTATTTTGCCCCCAGATCTTAGCGCGTGGCTTGGTCTAGCCTTCTAACCAGATAGTCAGCTACTTTGCAACACGCGCATCGAGTCCCAGTCCACGTCAGACCTGCACCTAAACTTGCGTTGGAATCCTAGCAGTCGCCCTCAGTAGTGAACTCGCGGTCGTCTTCGTGATTGTATCAGGGTCAATGTTCGTCGGGATAAGGCTGGCAATATACAGCTGCAACCGCATTATTTAAGACTTCGAGGCCCTTGTAACGGCCATTCGTATTACTGCCGGCGGGACCGGAGATCATTGTAAATCCACCAGTTGACAGACGCCCCTACATGCTCGGCATGAATGGTTGCAGTAGCAGCTATAAGGCGAAAAGGAGCGGCGCAGAGAGTAACCATGGTATGAGAAATAAGATCCAGAATTAAAGATTCACGGGTTATGGCTGAGTTTAGCAATTATGTTGTCCTGAATGCTCTTGTTGACGTGCGAGTCAGAAGTTTTTATACTTCTTCCGAATTATCTTTACGCCCCTGGAAGTTATTCTGCACGTTTTATTGACCATTGTGATGCCATTTGACGAGGTTATCCTCCAGAGCCACTTTATTGGTAAATTTGTGTGCTTCCAGTAGCACCTTCCGAGCCACCTTGGGCCTCATCTTGGCTCAAAGGAAAAAGCCCATGCTATTAAAGTGAAGGCCCAGATTCACGGGTGGCATGAACCAAAGGCCTCGTTGGGAACTCATGATCCTGTAGTCGTGCGCTAGTGTGGGGAGAGCAGAGCCTCCAAACACGTGGGTGGCTATTGATGAGGCAGATAATTGGAAGGGAAAATCGAGAATAGTGCGAAGGAGCTACTGAAGCCAGGCATGAAAGATGCAACTATAGAATCTCTTATCAGAAAAGCTGGATAGCTATGGAAATTAGGACCCTTACTAGGTAAAACCCGTCTGTACTGGTGAAAGGAGATTTTTCTTTGTCATGAAGATGAACGTACCGTAGAGCAGTATCTATCATCCTTTCCTTACAGAATCACAGCGCCTTCGGGTGTCTGCTTCCCCTATTGGTGGGTCGAGAGGCAAGTGATATCGACCATAGGAACAGGACACAGCTGGGATGCAAGTAGTATGAAACCAATAAGAAATGAGGTGGTTTAGATAGCTCAATCACAAAGATAGATTCTTTCCTGACGGCCTCGGCTATAGCTAAAATTTCAAGGCAGAGTTGGCCTATAGGTCAATATGAGAAATATATATATATTTGAAGCTCTGTTCAAACTAACCATCTTCTACCTTGCCGTTTCACTTCTCTTGATAAGAACCTGATTTTCTTTCATTTGCAATTTCTTGATTTGTATGTATTTATATCTAAATCCACCATGTAGTAAGTCTAATACACATCTTCCAACCCACTCTATTCCGAGCCCAGCAGATCAGAAAGCCTATCCAAGTAAGCATGAGGCCTGACATCGCCAGAAACAAAGTCCTCCTTAGATGAGACGCCAGTCAAAACACCCAGCGTACCACCAAGTTTGCCCTCAAGTCCAAAGCGAATATCCGTATTCGCACGATCACCGACCATACAGGCCCGGCTACGATCAAACTTGAACTTGCCCTCGATGGAATCCATCATAGCCTGGCTGGGTTTGCCGAGTGCGACTGGCTCCTGATTCAGCATCATTATCAGCGGCGCGCTCATGGAGCCAGCGCCAGGGAACAGAGTCCCAGAGTTCGGAAGGGTGGAGTCGATGTTTGTAGCGAGGAAGACAGCTCCGCGCTTGATGTAGTGGTATGCCAATGCGATCTTGAGGTAGTTCATATGGAAGTCGAGGCCGACAAGCACGACACCAACTTCGGGGTCCAGAATGGATTCATCGCCCGCCGCAATCTTCTTGTAGTCCTCTGGTGTGACGTCGCGACGGTATGCGGGGTCTGTGCCGCCAATGAATGGGACGTTCTCGGAGCGGAGTTCTTGCTCGATGCCTGTCTCGCCGATCACGTAGACTTTGCGCTTGTTTTCGGGGAGCTGAAGGATGCGAGAAATGTATATAGAGGAGCTGTATGAAGAGGAGAAGATCTCTTCCTATTTGGCTGTGAGTCACTGGCCACTGGATGATCTGACATAGTATTTGGTGGAATCACTGACCACTGTACTGGGAATTCCCAAGCCTTCGAGTTTCTTGCGGTAGTCTGCACGCGACTTGGTGCTGTTATTCGTCACGAAGACCACTTGCTTTCCTGCGGGAATTATCAATCTCCGCTTTTGCCCGACTTGATATTCAATGCGCACCATTATTTCGGAGAAGCTCTAGTGTCTCCACTGTTCCGGGGAAGAGGTGGTCGCCGGACCATAAAACGCCTAAATTATCATTGTCTCAGCGGTTGTTGCGACGCGGCGGAGTCGCTGCGGGGACCTCCGCGGAGGGACAGCCGAAATAGAGCGAGCATGGGGGACAGACCGTCACAGTCGAAGAGGAATACCTGTACATAATCTAGTCAGTAAATAAGACCTCTCTGGTACATCAATGCGATCAAAGACGTGTGCTAACATCAAACTTGGCCAGGAACTCCTGGAGGCCGGCCTTATCGCCGGTCAAGTAGCGGGGCGCGACTGGCCAGGATTCTTGCGTCATGGTACCGAGCAGATTAGGAATTCACAGGTAGAGTACAGTAAAAACGAAGTTAACGAAGGTAACAAAAGGGAAGAGGTCAGACTTGAAGAAGACCGGAGCAATGGCAAGAGTCCGTACCACCCGAAGCGAATCTCCGGTGAATCGCGGGGGTCTTTATCTTTCTTGGCATTCGACCGTCGACTATCTACAACATAACCACAACATAACCACAACATAGTATCGACTTATTTTCTAGGCAACGTGGTCCAACTGAACTTCTTCTCTTTTACGCCACGCCTGTCATTCATCTCACCTGTTTCCAGAATGGATGCTGCTCGATTTCTGCAAAACTCACAACTTACCAAATATAGGGCTGTCTGCTGCTATATCTGACTCCCAGGCGGGGCTGATCTGGTACTTGGACACCATAACAGGCGACTACCATGTGATGCTGAGAGACGATACCATGGCGGCTAACACGCAGGAAGGCCCTTTGCTCGGGATCAACGGGCTGAGAGTGCGCGGTGGTTACGTCTATTACGTCAATACGCCCGAGCGGCTGTCCTGTCGCTTCCCTGTGAATCAGGAAACTGGTCGACCGCTGGGCCCAACTGAGGTCATCAGCCGTGGTGCCTTAGTAGATGACTTCGCCATCATTGCACACGGAGTGGGCTACCTAGCAGGTCTCAGGGAGAATATCATTACCAGGGTCTTTCCGGATGGAACGCAAGAGATAGTGGCTGGGAGTCAAAATTCTACCTTGCTGATGACGGCCACGTCGGCTGCGTTTTGAAGGCGTGCTCATTCTAACGTTCTCTATATTACTACCGGAGGGGAGACCGGCCATCCAGTGAACCATACGAGGTCGAGGGGAGGAAAGGTTATTGCGCTTAGCTTGAAGCTTGATATCCCAGTACCTAATTAACTGATATTGCATCACGTATTGATTCTACATGTACCACGCAATTAGGCCTATATTGAACTTACTGAAATAAATCAATATTGTCTTGAGCTGTATATCTGTTAGATATAAATGTTGACGAAACCACCCTTACATTGACCGGTGCCAAGGCCTGAGTGTAGGTAGATCGATGCAAGTTGCTTACAGTGGGGAGCCCAGGCCACATCTTGGTGTCGGTGGATTGCTTACTCTGCAGGCAGTTGAAGTGGGTCTATTCTAATGTTAGCTTGGGTTGATTGAACTAGCAGGCTTCAGAGGGGCAATCGTAGACCATCGGACGATAGAAAAAGAATAAATACCAGGCTTGAGCGCAATAACCACAAGTAAACTAGATTCAAAAAGAGAGGTAGTGAAAACAGGAAAGATGAAGCTCAATCTTGTCACTTTCTTTGCCTGCCTCCCCACCCTCTTCGTTGAAGCAAGCAAATTTGGGAGCGAGAACGTCTCCTTAACGTCGGCATGTCGACGTGCTGTATGTCTTCGATACACCAGATGCTGCTTCAAATTCTCTAATACACTTTCCAGTGCTCTCGTATTGCCAGCGACTTCAACTCGGCCACATCTAATCCGGGAAACGGGAACCTCACTGTCTGGGATGCCAAGCAGCAGGCTGTCAAGTCGGCCTGTCGTGTTGTCCCTGTATCTACCGACGAGGTATCCCGAGTGATGAGCATCGTGGTCGAGGAATCATGTCACTTCGCCGTAAAGGGAGGAGGCCATGCCCGTTATCCCGATGACTCGGTGTCTGTTGGAGGAGTGACTATTGATATGCAGAGAATGAGATCTATCCACGTCTCACCGAATCAGAAAACCGTGAAACTGGGCGGCGGCCATACCCTACACAGCGTGTACGAAGGCCTTAACCCGCATAACCTGACGGTAGCTGGAGGTAGAGCCGCCACGGTCGGTCTTGGTGGATATACCCTCGGTGGAGGCATCTCGCATCTCTCCCCGATATATGGACTAGCCATGGATAACGTGTTCGAGTACGAGGTAGAGAGACGCCACCTTACACTCTGACCCATGGCATACATCGTGATACTGACTATAATACGGCGAAGCTTATCCTACCTAATGCTACCGTGGTGGTAGTAACCGAGGACGCTCATCCCGATCTCTATTTTGCCCTCCGCGGCGGTATGAACAACTTCGGCATTGTGACTCATTTCATCATAAGGGCCGTGTTCCAAGGTCAGATCCACGCCGGAGACAGGACCTACACAATAGATAAGAGAGACGCCATTTTAGACCAAGCATACAGACTCACGACACAATGGAAAAACAATACAGCCATATCCTTCTCTCATGGCTTCGGTTATCACCAAAGTACTGGTCAGTATACCGTGTCCTTCACCCCCGAGTATTCCCATCCAATCTTAAATCCTGCTCCATTTGCCGAACTGAAACGCATTCCCTTTGAAACCGATACCGTTCGCCTCGGCCTTGCAAGTGAGTTCTCTGAGGACGTCTCGTCGGCAACGCCTCGAGGAGGTCGGTAAGATCATCAACATACTCCCCAAATTGACGATTTGGCGAACGCTAAGCGGTACAGCAACCTGTTCGCCACTGCGACGTACTACCCATCATCGGAGCTCGATAAACAGATGCAAGAGATCATGATGGACGAGATCAAGTCGGTAAAATGGGTTCCAGGATTCCATCCAAACATGATTATGCAGCCACTTTATGAGGCTGCCATTCATGCTGGAAACCAACGCGGTGGGAATACCGCGGGGATCGAAGCAGATGGCCCTCTTACTGGTATGTGGACACGATTCTAATAAGTAGGCTATATATTCGTTTCTGACCGATTCAGTTGTTCTATCAACCGTCCTCTGGGAGAACTCTGCCGATGACGATGCAATGAACAGATTTGTCAGTCGATGGGTAGAAAGTGCCACTAGCCTCATCCACAAGTCGGGAAAGGATCATCCTTGGCTTTATATCAACTATGCGAGCAAAGATCAAGATCCCTTTTCGGGATACGGGGAGACAAATCTCCAACGACTGCGAGATATCCAGAAAAGGGTTGATCCTTCAGGTGTGTTTACATCAACAGGACTGTGCAGAGGGTATTTCAAATTGTTGTAAATTATCAAGAGGAATTAATATGAGGTGTGAGGTCTTCTCCTTTCTCCTGCTACCTTTTACTCTCACTGGTCTTTCAAGCTACAAAGGGTTTTACCACGATTATGACTGAAATTTTGGAAATTCATCAACTGCTGGCTACGTATAGACTCAAGATGTATAAGAATTGACCAAACCTCAAAGGATCTATCGCTCTGAGGCAAGAGTGAGATCAAACCAAGCCATACTGACTTTAAATTTAAGCGAAGTTACCGCTTCTAAAGAAACGGTCGTCCCTTCCTCAGGTGCCTACATATGTAGCAGTATGTACCGGATTTTGGGCCGCGGATGTGAATTTCCCGATCGGGGTGCCGCCGCTTTATGAGGGCCCTCAGGGTCTTGCTCACCGAGTATCTCACAGCATAGGGTGATTACTCAGTGACCACTTAACCAAGCTCAGCTAATCAATTATCACACAAGAACATTTCTAATATTAGCTTGAAACATGTGTATTTCGGAAGCCGGCCTGACCTTCCAGGTGTTGCTCCTCCAGATGTGAGTGTATGTGTTTACTACATCTATCCGTAGTGTAACTAGAGTCTTGAATCCCTTTCCTGCACCTGGCAGAGAGCCTCTAATCCAGGTATCCATTCAGCCGACACAGTCAACCTGTCCCTTGTTGGCTGATCTGCCCATCCCTGGGCAACCCTCGTCTCGTCCTCCCTCCACCTCTGCACTTCTGGGCTAACCCACGCTCCAATAGCTGATGCCGTCTCTGCCACCATTTCTAGTGGTAACTGGTGCCCGGATCCTTCAATAATCGTTTGCTTAACCTGTGAATTCTTCACCCCGCCACTCCCTCCAACCCCAGCACCGGTTCGATGCAAGATCTCAGCCCGAATTTCGGGCGTTGATATTGGGCTGCGCTCTCCATGCACATAGAGGACCGACGGACGAACGTGATCAAGCAGTTTCCACGCAATTACTGGTTCGCTCCGGTAGAAGGGCACGGTTTTATAAGAAGGACCGATCACGTCAGGTTGGAACAGGGGGTCATGCGGAGGCCCTTCGGTGGATTCTTCTTGCCCCAGAGGCTTATGGCCTGCAAAGTTCGGTCGTATGTACTGCATGACTTCTTGGTGCTTGGAGCTGGTTAATGTGACCGGGCCATCATTCTGGTTGGCCTGTGAGTCTCCCTGTGATTCTGTCTGTGGGTAGAGAGCTGTTGGGAGACTGCGGTATCCATGCCGGATCCAGCGCTCGAGCACGCGTGAGTTCCATCGCTTGTGCGTCTTTCGCGCGGCTGCAATGGCCGCAGACCGGGATGACCAGGTATCACGTCGCCTGAGCGAGAGCATTGATAAAGAAGGGCCGTGGCCGCTGAAAATATCTGGTACAATTACTGGCTCGACTAAAATCAAAGATGTAAATAAGCGCGGATGCATGAGAGAGAGGAAGACACTAGCAACATATCAGCAGCGAAAATCACAATGATGCCACTGGAACTTACAGTTGGCCTGCCCCCATACTGTGCCCCACGCCGATGATGGGCCGCGGCATTTCATCGCGGAACTGGTTGATCATGTACAGAAGATCACGACTGTGATCAAGCCAGGATGCTTCAATGTGTTAGCCACACCACATTAGCCAAGAGAGAATCAGACATGCTTTACGGTCATTGCCCAGTAGTGCCTCGTTCCGAACGCCGCTGGCGCCGAGATTTGCGGTATCTGCAATCCAGATTGATCGAATTCCAAACCCATTTTGGTGACTTTGTGCCAGAAGATCTTCCCACAGCGGTTCGTATAGCTCCTGCGAATCTGCTTAGCTAGAGATACCCACAACTTGCTAATATGAGGGACTGAGATTTCTACCTTCGGCAAGCCACACCCGTGCGTCCCGATGATGGTTACGTCTCCAAGCTGAGGATCTGGGTTGCAAATGGGGGCATACTTCTTCACTACTAGCTTTAAGGAAGAAGCTTGGGAGACGGTTGCTCGGGGGTATTCGCGGATGTATTGTCCATCGATGACATGCTCTGTCACTGTAAAGGGGAAGGTCGATTTGCTGGTCATGCTTGCTGCAGCAATAGAAAACCCTCCTCGAAGGTGCGTAAGATGGGCTATATTACACTATTTTTATTTTTTCGGAACAAAGCACAAATTCTTATTCTTTTTTGGGTTGGCACTAGTGTAGGATTGTGGGCGATGACAATCAATAGATCTGATAAAGTGGGCACTAAATCATTAGTGCAAATTTCTATTGATTTTAGTGGATCTTTATTTTTGCTTAGTTCTAGGCCATCAATATTCTACTAAATTGATTGGGAATAGGATTTACAGTCAATCAATCTAACTCCTTCTTGCATATGTACTCCAACTTCTCAGATGAGCCCCGAATCTCCAGAGTAAAGCAACAGAAGGAATACCCAGAATCAAACTGATGAATCCAATCAGACTGTTTCCCCAGCCGTAACCCATGACATCGTAAAGACCTCCCCCAAATAATGGGAAAAGACCACCAAAAATTGACTGTACCAAGGAGACAGCCGCCATTGCGGAAGCCGAATTGGATCCGTAGCAGTCGATCACATACATATGCACGTTGATTAGGCCCATGAGGAACCCTGCATAGAAAATAACCCCTCCAATATCGGGCATAATCCAGTGAAGTTTCTTCTCGGCTGACCACCCGTACCAAAACAAGGATACGGGAACCAGCACTGCTCCTACCAGCATCGTTGGCAGTCGGAAATCTGGAGAGCCCACGCCGCCATTGCGCGCCGAGAGCTTCGCATAGATTTTGTCATTGGCGAAAGAGCAGATCTGTGCCCCCGCGATAGCTCCCACGCCCAGGGCAATGTAGTTCAGACTTCCAATTGATTCGGACATTCCGTACTTTGTTGTCCAAAGCGTTGGGAAAGTCGACTCAAGGATGTACGCCACACCACTCAAGAACCCTAAATACAGCGCCAGTATTTGAACAAGCACCTGCGTCCCCAAGAGGCGTAAAGGACGGACCGCGGATCGGCGCAGCACCTTTTCCAGAGACCGATCAGATGGATGGGCAACGTGAAGCTCCGGACAATGGCTCTTGATCTGGAGTCGCTGCAGTTTCTGTTCCAAGATTAATGGGGCGTACGATTCTTCCAGAAAGAAATAGGCGATGACTTGCACCACCGCATCCCAGATGGAAACCACATAGAAAATCCACCGCCAGCTCGTATGTTGCACCAAAAATCCGCCGATGATTGGTCCAACAACGGGACCCAGGATAGGTAGCGCGGAATAAATGGCTGCAGCTGCGCCCATATTGCTTGGCTGGTAGCAATCCGCTAGCACTCCAGCACCGATACTGGTCGTGGTTGAGCTTCCCAATCCAGCGAGGAAGCGAAAAATCAGCATCTGAGCGCTAGTTGTGGATAATCCGCCCACCGTGTTGAAGATCAAAAACCACAGGTTGCTGAGCTGGGCGACCCACACGCGCCCATAGAGCTCTGAGAGGGGCGTCAAGAAAAGTGGGCCGATGGCGTAGCCTAAACTAAAGATTGACAATGTAAACTGCCTTTCGGGAAGTGATGTGATGTCGAGGTCCTGCCCAATGACCGGGAGTGCGGGCGCCGTCATTGTGGATGCTAGAGGTGATATGCTCGCCAGGAGCGAAATCACCACAATAACACGAGTTTTCTTTCCTTTGGGCCAGTTTTGGGGATTTTCTGAGTCATGATCATTCTCCCAGGTGACCTAGAGGAGTTAGTAAGGTTTTTGTAGTGCAAGTCCAAGTTGGCACAGCTGAATGGACTTGGTATCAACTTACCACATTAGGGTCGGATGGCGGTTTGGGTGATATGTTCAATGTGGGCGATATGGGTAGCGTACTATCTGCTTCAGCACTTGCCATTGAAACAAGAGAAACCCCCTTCTCCTCATCTCCTCCATTAACTTTGCTAGAGGGAAGTTTGAACGCTATGGGTGACATTGCGGGTTTTCTGCAATAGGATGTATGAGATGGGACAAAGAGAAAGAGCAACAGGAGGGCCGGAACTATCAAAGTCAGAGGACAGACTGGTCCATAAGGGGGGGGGGAGGGGGTTCCAATCTCACAGATGATGAAAGGGATTTAAAATCATCCACATGAAATCACTAGTGTTGTGGGCACAAGATCACTAGTTTCTAATTGGAACCCCATCAATCTTGCAGAATCGATGGCAAACTGTTACTAAAGTAAATTCTCTTTCCCCTAAAGGAATCACTGGGCCAATCACCGGTAGGCTGAGACAGCTCTGTCCTGCCAAGATGGTCTACCGATCAAATCCGAGGACGATCGTGGTGATTAGAATGGAAGACGTAAGCTCTGATATGTTTGTATAAGAGGATCGCGATGCCGTCGATGTTATTGATTCTCGAGCCACACCAAGCCCAGTCTTCAACATGGGCGCGATATTCCCAACCCCTGTACCAGCCGCCGAAGCATGGGATGCGACTGAAAAAGCGACGGCTGATAACCTGAGCACGACTTTTCGTCAACTGGCCGAGAGATACCCTAACGAAAGCGCGGTAATATCCCTTCACCAGCATGAAATCTCATATGGGGACCATGGAGAGAAAGATACCAAGCCGATTCGATGGACTTTCTCTGAGCTACACGAGGAGAGTCTGAAGTTCGCGAAGCGCCTCTCAGCGAAAGGAGTCACACCCGGAAGCCACATTGTCGCTATTATATTCAATCAGGTCGAATGGGCTCTTACATTTTGGGCGGCAGCACACCTGGGCTGTCGATTTGTGCCCCTTGACCCTCGAGCATTTGCCCGCAAAGAAGATGCTCAATATCTGCTTGGAAAACTCCCCGTATCTGCCATTGTGGTTTCCACTGAGGAGATGGCAATGAAGGCGAATGACGCGCTTTCGACCCTGCATATAACGCCTGTTATCCGCTGCATCACGAACATCAATCACATGGAATCAAAAATCCCGGGGTGGACAGGTCTATCTGATAGCTCAGATTCGTCAGAGATCAACGATATCACACTTCCCAGCTCCCCAAGCACACCCCAGGAACCGGCCATCATCTTTTTCACGAGTGGTACGGGCGGGGCTCCCAAGGCTTGTCCACAGAGTGCCATTAATATCCATGCAGCAGCCCTTGGTTTCTCAAATCGGTTGGGTCTCGACTCCAGTAACAGTGTGTGTCAGCATTTGCCATCCTTCCATGTGTTCAGCGTGGCTATTACCCTGTCAGTATGGCTACGAGGAGGTAGCATCATTTTCCCCAGTTTGAGTTTCGACCCCTCGAGCAGTATCCAGGCAATTGAATATGGCCGCAATGTGATTTTGCCATGTGTGCCCCTGATGGCCCAGGTAATCGCCAAATCCCCGACCCTACTGAAACCCTTTGACACCTTGGACTCTGTCATCATGGGTGGAGCACCAGTCTCTCCAGAGGCCATAGAGGTCGTTAGGTCATTGGGCATGAAGAGGATTGTCGTGGGCTTTGGTATGAGCGAGGGTGTGATCACCCTCCTCAATATGATGAATGCTGACGAAGCCAAGCCCAACGCGAATGGTGACGTCTCCTTGGGTACTGTTGTCTCCGGTTCTAAAGTACGCATTTGTGCCCCCGGAAGTCGGAAACCTCTTCTTCGCGGTGAATTGGGTGAACTCCATCAGGGAGGTCTCCCAGTCTTCAACGGCTATCTTGACCTGTCAGACGAGTCATGTTATCAGGAAAACGGTATCAACTTTATTGTCACAGGCGACCAAGCATACATGGATGAGGAGGGCCATGTCTACGTTCTGGGAAGGTATAAAGACCTCATCATCCGTGGTGGCGAGAACATCTCGCCCTTAAAGATCGAAAATTTCTTGACCCAAGCTACAGGGATTGCCGTAAGTTTTGTTCCACATACTTTACTTTGCGCCGACTAACTCTTCCCAAGGCCCAGGTCGTAGGAATTCCACACGATCTGGCTGGGGAGGTTCCGGTTGCTATTTTGCAACAAACCGCGACTATTAAAGTATCACTCGAGGAGCTACACACAACCATAGTCTCCGAGTTAGGCGCTGGATTTGCTCCATCAATGCTTCTGGACCTGAAGGCCGATCTCGGTCAGGACAATTTTCCCTCCACAACCTCCGGCAAAATTCAGAAAACCACACTCCGGCAATGGGTACTCGACTATCTAAGCAAAGCACAGCCTGTTGAACTGAGCTCCAATAGTGATGCGCTGGAATCTGAGTTGACTGTCTTTTGGGCGACTCTTTCCGGTCGGAAGAAGATCAAAATTCCTACAGATGTATCTGTGCACCGGTTCACTGATAGCATGATGCTTATTCAGTTCTGTTCACTGGTATTTGAAAGGCTTGGAAAAAGAATTACAATGAGGGATCTTGTCGACTACAACACAATCCAATCACAAGCAGACTTTCTCAGAAGTCGCCCAGAGGTCGGTCACCCCTCAGCCGCCACAAAGGAAGTTGAATCCAAGTCAATCCCTTTCTCAATACTATCACGATCTGGCGGGGATCAGAGCCGTCTTTTATCTATCAAAGATGCTACATCCGAGCACCTGGGCTCCATGGAACTGAGCTGGGAGCACGTGGAGAAAGTTGCTCCTATGACTGATATCATGACATTGATGTCCAGAGGAGCCAGACCCAACTCCTGGAACCATCGGCATTCGATTGTGATCAAACAGAACAATATTCCAGACCTTAAATTCATCTTGCGAACTTGGATCACAAAGCACCCTCTTATGCGGTCGACTGTCGGGTCTGATGGATCGGATGTTGATTACTATCTCATCATGGCGGCCACTGATGCATGGCTCCAGCATCAAATTTTCGATGGCGAGGAGATTGACCGTTCCGAAGATCTCATGACCTACAGACTCAATGATGCTGCATGGGACTTTGTTTCTCCTGCGGGGCCATTATTCAAGGCCACCATCTTGCCCATTCGAGATTCGTCGGACATAGGATTGATCTTGCATTGGCACCATGCTATGTTTGATGGATTGATCATCAAGCGGTGGTATCTTGAACTGACCTATCTCCTCAACCACAAACCATCTCCTATCTGTTTCCATCCCTTCGAGCACTTCTCTGACGCCTTCTACAACTACCGTCAAGGCCCATCTGCCAAGGAGGCGGTAGATTTCCATGTTCGGAGACTTCGGGGCATTGGATCGAAACGCGAACAGATTTGGCCAGTCCAAAGAGCACCTCGGTGGCTTAAAGGTGAAACTAGTGGATGGAAGCATCTCAGCGGCGAGCTTGGAAATCCAGATGAGCGAGTTGCTCTCGATGGAGACAAATCCATTGGTACCATGGGATCGAGCCTCACGGTAACTGTGCCAAATATCCTCAAAATGCGAACGGAACACGAGATCTCTCCGCCCATCATTGTCAAGGCTGCCTGTGCGCTGTTCAATCTGCACATTATGGGTGGAGACGAGGCTATATTTGCTAGCATCGAGTCAGGTCGATCGTGGCCAGTTGCCGATACTGCCAGCGCTGGTGGCCTCGATCCTTCTGACGACTTGATCAACCCATTGACGATCGATGGGCCGACGATGACCGAGACCATCAACCGGATTCGTCTTACTCCCGGCGAGACGGTTCATCAGTTTCTGACCCGCCTCCGTGAGGAGCAGCGTGAGATTGATCTATATTCGCATGTCCCCATGGCAGCAGTTCTGGATCGCCTAGAAGACCCAGCTGACGTCGAGACTGTGCGGGATGTTCTCCAACGTCAGATCTACGACTGGCTCCCGGCCGCAAGACCGGTTGAGCAAATCGAAAACACCATTACTGAAGAGAAGAGAGAGACATCCGATACCAAAGAAGCATCGTCAATGGACCTCCTCGAATGTCTCGGTCGAACAGATCTCGGTATCGTGTGGTTCCCTACTTTGATTAACGAGGATACACTACATCTCGATGCTACTTGGGATAATGCCCAGCTACGAGCCAGTGAGGTTAACGAGGCCATGCTGAAGTTCATGTTTGCTACTGTGTGGCTATCTGACCCGGAAAACTTGGAGCGACCCCTAATAGATTGCGAGTACCACATTCCTGGTTTGGAGGTCACAGATTTGGGGCCGTTTGAGAACCATCGGAATTGATTCATGTATTTTAGTTAATTAGTTATCTTTCTTGTGAAGAGCTTTGGAAGATTCGTGGTGGATTAACGAACAATGGCTAAAGGATAACGGAAGCAGACTGTTTACAAATGCACTTTATAACGCAAGCAGTATCAATTTGGGAAAATCAGCTCCAGTCTGCGCTCATAACTAAATATATTGGGCGCTACATTTGGCCAACCGATTTTTATAGCCATATCGCGCGGCCTAAAATCCGGTGTATATGTAGGTATATAAGTAGACCACTTCCCCGTAGAGTACAGCTCTGTAAGTCTTATGCTATCTTACTATATGATACATATGTACTTTAATGGCATGGAATTGGAAGGTTTGAATGGCCACTCCTTCCTCGGGCAACCGCGTCCAGGGACGGGTCCTACCTACTACAGCTCTTGACTCTCTCAAGATTTACAACACTGTCTTCAGGAAGTCGCCTAATGGGCAATCCTCGTGCTGATGGGCCATGGATTATATTCCACGTTGGTGATGATACATACCTTGTGTCAAAATGGCATCAAACGCAACAGTCCTGATCACCCCAACCAAATGCCCTGAGGCCCCCAAATGCCCTGAGGCCCCCAAATGCCCTTCCGATTTGAAGACAGCTCTTATTGCTGGCGCGTTTGGCCCGACTGGGTCTGTGCTTCTTTTGGGACTTGTGGCTTGGATTTTCTGGTATGCAAAGTCTGCTTTATTCGCTCTTGCTGAGTCGGTTGTGCTAATATATGTGTAGGTACCATGCCCGGCAGGTCCTACTAAACCACCCGCAAAGGGTGATGAACCACGAGTACCTCTAGCAGAAGAAGGAGGAGAAAAAGGGGGAGCGGCGGCAGAGGCGGTGGTGGAACCTTCGGGCCGATAATGGTGAGCAACTCGAGAAGCGCTTGTGGGAAGTGTAGGTCTTGGCGTGGGAGAACCCTGAGGAGAAGCAGCTCGCCCCTCCCCGCCTGACCATCTTGTGTGACGCCTCGGCCGAGTCGTCCAGTGCGGACCTTCCCCTGGCACAGATGCCAAACTCCGAGTTTCCGTAGGAGTCTGTGGCGCCGCCTTGCGGCCTCCGCCTGCCACCCCAACCCGGAGATGCCAGCGTGCTGCCGGCAATCCTCGATGCCCTAAAGGACAAGGGCAAGGGCAAGGAGTAGGGGATCTTTTGGAAACATGCATGTTGTGCTTGGCTCCTTTGTTCCAACCACCTACCCCGGAACCGCCCAAGATGGTGGTTTGGCTTATTCGGAATGGACGCTGCTCAAACCACAGTTGTCACTGTCGTGGGTCAGGTAGGCGCCTTGACCGGCGGGTGCACAACCGGGTACACCAGTACATTCTTTGGCATACGTTTGACCATGCTTGTATCTTGTGTGCTAGGAGTTGCCATTATCTCTGCATACATTCTTCCACGAAACATGTCGCTTGCACTGCAGCCTCTGCATTTTTCGAGTAATTTTTCGTTGGTGGTGTCTGGGGTCCAATGCCAATTTACCTCCTCGAGCTTTCCCTAATTACACTCCGCTCTCCCATGGTCGGACTGACCTACAAACTTAAGAAAACTCGGATCTTCTGGGGACCTGAAATATCCCAGGAAGAGCGAGATGAAGCGGTGGCTCGGTCTGCGTTCAGAAGCGCCACGCCGTTGAGAGTTCCGGCGGGAAGAGTCGCAATTCGAATGGGAGTGCGTTGTGTGCCGTTATTCATCTCGAGCCTCCAGACAATATTGGGGGTTATAACGGCGAAGACGTCCGGAGACAGCTCAGCTGAACCCGTGGCCATCTTAGCGTCGTCGAAATGGTGCACTAACGATGCGTGGCCCTTGGACTGCGCAGATGGTGTGACTTCCCATAGTTCTAGAGTGTTTGCTAGGGTCACCAGAAGATTGCCGTTGGGTCGGACCGCGATATTTTCCACCCACGAGCCATTAGGAAACTGATAGACTTGGTGGAGATGGTTCAATCCACGGAGGGAGGAGGCCAATCCGAGGCAGAAAAAAAGGAATACGACAAAGAAGATTGTTTGACTGGTCATCATAGGTAAATGCATATCCCCTCGTTTGACATGCTTCGATAACAATCTCTGCGCGAAACAAAATGCATTCTTATAGATCTTGGTGTCCGGTTCTTTATTGGCGGATTCCAGTGAGTTGGCGGATCTCGGGAGACCCACATGTCATCCTGGGATCGTCGCCACGATGTTCTTATCTCCGTCATAATATGGGGTTATGAATTCGTGATGTTGTCATCCTGATATTCCGTCCTTGGCTTAGAGTACCTGGTTTTCCAGTGTTCACTCCGATATTTGATACTCCATCCCTTAGTTATTAGTCCCTACCACGTCAGCTTACCACCGAAACATTAAATACTAATGATTATATCAAGGAGACAAACAGAGAGCAGACCCTGGGGCACTCCATACTCCGTGGGTCTTGTCGACATGTTGCCCGCTCTCAGCTCAATATAGTGGAACAGTTGGAATATTGCTAGTGGAATAACTGACCACTGTACTAATGCAACTTGCTTACGGCTGTGTAGGATCCATGGGTGCTAAATGATAGTATGGGCTTTTAACCCCGACGAAAAAATACGTCTTCCGAAAAGAGCTCAGACGGTGCTGTTTATGATGCACGGCTTCAAACATAAGTCTTGGAGGATTAGAGGGGGACAAACTAGATCAGGGATTGACGTGCGGGTGCGAGAGCACTAGAGAAATCATGGCGTAGCGTAAGAAGGGTAGCATCGAGAGGAGATTTTGCTTAGAATATTGTCGGATTTTATAGTCCTCAGCAACTTGGTTTCTTCAACTCTTTAATAAACTCACATTGCACTATGTGTGCATCTTGACGTCTTCGTAGACATCTCCTGACAAATATCTAGATTGAAAGAAGGAAGAGGTAAGCCACCATATGACGTGAGAGAAGTAGTGCGCATAGTGATGCTCTAGAGCTTGAATTGCAGAGATATCTACGGCTGAAGCTATCCATCGATCAACTTGAATGCCACTGGTTTTCTATGGACAATATCGGCAAGGTCTGCTATGGAACTGAGATAGGTTGGCAAGATTATTAATTCCATACAGAATCAAATACTGACAACCTTCAACATTCACTTACTGCAACGTCTTGTTGCTTGTAGGTGATAGTGGCCGAGTCCTGTACATATATGTACCTATGTAGGCATAGCGATACGCAATTGGATTAGTGTAGAATAATTTCGCAGCAAAATTCAAACCCAAGCATACCCACAAATGTATGACAAGATATCTATCTAAGGTTCAATAGTCTGCATAAGCCAAGATAAAATGAAGCAAACATATCCCAATCTAGGATCTAGATCTTCGTAGAATTATGATCCATCACCGCAGCGATGACAGCTCACTAGTAATGCAGGACACACCGCATTAGCGCACCAACCTACATACCCACAGGTCCAGCGTCCATACGGAGCGAATGTACAGCAACTCCGAAAAGTCGGTGACGGCTATCCTCCAAAAAAGGGGGTAGTCTAAAGCCAAAGTAGACTAAAACCTGATTTATGTCCTGCACAACAATGTTCCACGGACTATCATCAACGAACAGCTCAACTAGACTGGACACCGCTAGTTCTATGGAGAGCTGCTTATCGACACGAGGTTATGGTTACGCGCACTCACCCGGAAAATGTTTTTCGGTTTGCTGTTACACTAGAATCGAGCAAAGAGTTCATGTCACTGGTTTACTCCTAATTTAACATTTAGAATTTGGTTTCGTCCTGTTTGATTATTTGGCAGATGGGTCTGCAATATAAAGACCCTTACCCCTGCAGCATGAACCAATTGGAATATTCAAGTCTAGTGGCAAGGTTTGGACTCCCCGACTAGACTAGACCGGAGTGGACTTAACATTTGACTGTGAAGGCGGGTGTATATCAAATATGACTGGAATGATTGCCTGGCAGTGGCGATCCACGTTAGTCATTTTGTTGGATTGCAGCTGCGTCTGTGTCTGCATCTGTGCGCTACGTACGTGCGTACATGTAAGAAACCAAGCATATTAGATGCACCTGTATAAGTGGCCTGATATAGGTGTTGTGCAGATAAGTTTAATTGCGGTTAATGAGTTTAACGATGCAGATTGAATATCCATAATTGAGGGAATGAACCTGAAAGCTGGCATTGATGTCCATTGAACCTAATTGGGTAATAATTCAGATTAAAAGAATTTATCAAGGAAAGTGGAGAAATATGGAGGATCGAGAGGTGAGTGAAGACAGAATGATACAGATAAAGCCAAAAAAGAACAAAGCGGGAAAGCGAAGAGGGTATAGGTATAGATATGATATGTTGTCGTGAGATGTCGTGAGATGTGTAGTGCTGAAAGACAATAAAAAGCAAACCAAAACAAGAAATGTCACAAGTAGCTTCAGCAAGCCAAAAGGCCAAACCTCAAACCCATGGATCGGCCTGCACATAATTATGCGGGTTGACAGGCCCAACCAACTTGATCCGAGCCTTCAACTGCTCCCTTCTGCGATCCTCCTTCGACTCCACAATCTTTTTCTTTGCACCCAGGAACACACCTCGGGGATTATGCTGGGACTGCTTCCGCAGCGGAGATAAAGAAGGGATGACATTTGCATAAGATAAGTTGGGAGCCGAAGATGAAAAGGGCTCTGCAGCTGAGTCGGGCGAGGACTTATATCTCGGGAACTGAACGTTCCGCTTCTTGGATTTCTTGGGTGATTCCCAAATCACGGGGCCGTGTTTCTGGTACGCGGATAGCGGAACTGCTAGTTGTTTCGGCCGGGCTGTTGTGGGGGTTGAGAGCGAAGCAGGCGATGTTGGTGATATTGGTGTTTGAAGATGGAACCTGTGGTTGGTATAGTCATACTCGCTGCTCGAGGATGTAGCGACGGATGTAGCTCGCGTAAAGACCTTCGTGTTCAAGGCCAAGGTGGATTTATGTGGTGCCGGGGCTGTGTTGGAAAGTGTACCTCCTACATCATTGAGGTGGCGGTCCATGGGCGCTGTCGCCGGGCGGGGAATTTCCTTTGGCTTATTTTCCGCTGTGCAGTCGCGCGAGAGAGTGCGGTGGACGTAAGTCTTGATTGAGTCGCGAACTCCGCCGAAACCACCGCGGTCCAGCGAATGCCAACGGTACTTGCCCTTGGCAAACTCCAGTGGGTTGCCCATTTTGCGGGATTTAGTGTTCGGTGCAACCATATTTGGGCTGATGCGGCCACTGGCCTGTAGAGCGGAAGGCGCCAATTCGGGGAAATAATCCCACTTCTTCTCGCGGAAGTAGTGATTTGTGCCTGTGCGGCTTTGGTTCCAATTCGATGGACGCCCGTACTGTGTGTCGGAAAATGATGACGAAATTGATACTGGGGGCTCAACAATTGATGGGATATTGATATCGATGGAGTCCGTGCGTTTATGTGGAGGCAGTTGCGGGGATAGTCTCAGAAGCTGATCGGCGGATGGAGCCGGGTGATCGACCAAGTCGTCGAAGTCGGAGCCAGAACTGACGAAGATGGGATAACTATCTGCTGAATGGCGGGGTTCACTGGGTCCGGTGATACTATCGAGTGTACTTTCGGTGTCGCTGTCGCTGTCGCTGGAGTCACTCCACATAGCCGAACATTCTGGTTGTTTGGGAAGGGGTTCTGCGGGGAGCGGCTTGTTGAGAAAGAGATCGGAGCGACTATAGAAGGGAGGTTGTGGTGAAAGTGGTGGGATTACTCGCTCGAGTCCTTCGAGCGAGCGTGAATGTCGGACGGGGGGTGCCATTCGGCCGTGATACGAAAAGGTTGAGGAAGGCATTTCCATGGGATTCGAGGAGAATTTCGAATCAATAGGAAGTATAAAAAGAATACATCAAAGAAATGGAAACAGCCACAGAAAATAATATGTGAAGAGGGTCTAGAGACAAAGAAATCAAGTCAGAGAGAGGAGAGAGGAGAGAGACTATTATTAATATCAGATGTGAGGAGAGAATGAAAAAAGTACATGTAGTTCTCTACATATGCACGCTCAGGGCTTATAAGATAATAATATACGGTAATATCTCACAGTAAACATCGTCAAACGAACCATGCCTGACGCAAGGACAGTTCGGATCGCCCTTGCTCCGCTTAAGGGATAATATGATTGGACGAGTTGACTCTGTTATATACTTGGGCTTATTAGGCCTGACATGTCCGTTTATAGTGCACAGTCCTCCCTAACTAAGTTTGGCTGCCTGCTCATTTGCACCTAATCGGCCTAACTGGCGAATTTTGGCGATCATCTCCTCGTCACCAAAATGACTGTTATGCTCGAATTCTGGTTCCTGCGCGTATGCGACACGGGCTGCATCGACAATAATTCTAGCTGTCATACCAAAGATACGATAGACTTGATCTTCTCCATCTCCAAGTTTGGATCGAACAAAGAACTGGTGCACTAGTGGCGTTGTTAGTATCCACATATCCACATGGGGTTTTTTGCTTCTTTTCTCCTTTTCTGGACTGGGCCCCCTATTTCCTGTTTTGGAACAAAGACACGAATAAAAAAGAAATCAAAAGCAAAGAAACTAAAATAAACATTCCATGTCCACCCTCGGCATGGTACTCCGTACGACAATCCCATATGGACAACACAGTCTAGAAATGAAAAAGAACAGAAAGAAAAAGGAAAACTTACTCCTCCATTGTGAGTTATGCCACATTCCCCAAGATCCACGATACCATTCATGTCCATTCGGTACACTTGCTCTCAAAAAATCCTTGAATGGCGCAGTAAAAACAGCCTCAACCTCTTTCGCGTCCAAAATAGGGATAAGTGACACCTCAGGATCGGCATTCAGCCCCAAGCCCGGGTCATAGCTGTGGAGGAGAGCGACACAGGGACGTACAACCACCTCCGTTTTGGCAAGATTTGCCGGGAACTCGCAGAGATGCTCCACGCTAAATGGGGGTGGAAGCTTTTGGCTAATATCGGGGAGGCCGATCTCCTCACTTGCCTCGCGACGCGCCGTTTGGAAGGCTGTTTCTGTGTTATCTGCTCGGCCTAGAAGGGATCAGTTCTTCTCCTTCTTTTTCCCGATTCATGTTTTAAGGCGTCCAAATTGGCTTGGCGTTCGGCTTTTTCTTATTTCTTTTTTTCTTTTGCTGTTTTTCTCTGTCTTTGCCTTCGGGGAAAGGGGAAACTGTCAACTTACCACCAGGCAAAGCAGCATCTCCTGCATCTACACCCGAACAAGATTAGCCTAGTCCCGAACAACCAACCCATGCCATGCAGCCTCCTGAAAACAGGGCTGATCCACGTATTTTCCCCTATGTTGTAGACTTACACGAACTTAGTGTCTTAGCCCGGATCGTAACAACCACCTTAAGGTCGCCCTTGGCATCGGCGAAGAGCAGTATCAGCACAGCCGCCCTCCTGCTTAGCGGGACAGAGTTGTACACTGTTGGCGGGGAGATGTAGTTTCGGAGTCTGGTGATTGCTTCCTATGGATACATCATAAGTGTCAGAGTATTCTATCCCTGGGGTTGGGTTTCAACACTATCGGGATGGCCATCCACGGGGAAAGGGAATGGAACGGTGAGGTCTCAGTTTGAACAAAACCTTGAGCTTGACCGTGAAGAACTTGTCTTAGACATGCGGAAAGAAAAGAATGTTCCATCTCTCACTCTTCCCCAAATCAAAAGGTTTCAAGTTCAACGCACGATGTTAGACTTGAAGCCGAAACTCAAATGACCATATCTCCCAGACCTCCTTGGATACACATCCAGGTATGATCGCCCCCCAAGAAAAAGAAAAGAAACATGGCAATTTAAGACAACCCGTGGCTAAGGGGGGGAACACAGGGGGGAAACGGCAGGGATAATACGCATGGCAAAATGGACACAGCAGATTCACATTACACAGAAAGACACGCGGTCATTTCGGGTAGTTGCAGGGAACAAGTTACACGTACCTGAGATGTGGGATTTAGGGGCGCCATTATTTTGAAAGTTTGGGGTTCGGGCTTGGGGGTGCTGGGGTTGGAGTGGAAGAATAATTTGGGTTGAGTTTTGTTCTGGGGGCAGGTTGTACTGAAACGAAGTGTCCGGAGGATGTTGAGCTGTGGTCTCCGCATTTCAAACAAGTTCGTTATACCGAACTATGTACTCAGTACAGTATACTCTGTACTCCGTAGGGGCGGTTGGCTATACTGGGGAAAGATGGGGTTTGGCCCGTGTAGTAGCCGAGGTAACTTGAGAATCTCGGTGTCGGTGACTAATGATATAATCCATCAGAGAATACTTTGTTATCTAAAAGTGTTATTACGGTTATTCACTTGATGCAGTTGTCCAGTATTCGACATATCAAATAGCCAAAGGGAATCAATAGAGTATACAAGCCAGTCACATCACAGGGAGAAGGGAGCAATAAAATAAGGTAGAGAGAGGTGGGGATCAAATGGTCTATCAACATAGCGAGAATAAATAAGACAGGATGAGAACTGAAGGGGGAGAAAACAAAGCAACCATCTATATGACAAGTACAACCCAATCCAAAACATGCGTGAAATCAAAAGCACAAAGAAATCGCCAGCATATTCATATCAACTACGAACTTTCGTTCTTCTTCGCCTCCTTGGACTCGGGGGCCTTCTCGGCGCGCTCGCCTTCCGCCATGGCCTCATTAGCCTCAGTAGACTGCTTAGCGCCATCAGCTAGAGCCTCGACCCTAGCCTCCTCTTTCTCATCGATATCCTCGATATCCTTAGGCGCGGCAACACCAGTGCCCTCGTTCTCGCTGTTCTCTTCCTCAATCAGCTCCTCCTGCTCCTTGATGACCTCAAGACGCTGCTTGTTGGTAGCAGCACCCTCGGCATTGTGGACCTCGAGCTCGATCTCGTGGAACAACTCCTCAGGGATGCTGGAGAGCACAGACTTGAGCGCGTCGATTTGCGACGCAAACTCGGACTCCTTGCCACCCTGTGTGTATAGGTAGGCGTTGCTCAAAACCAACAGAGTTGAGGGAACACCCTGCTTGAGACGCAGCTCGAGCCACATGCCGAGATCCTCGCGCAGGCGCGCAGGGGAGACACCGTGTGTGCGGATTCCGCGCGAGGCGCTGGCCATCTGCAGCTCTGGGACGGAGAGCGAATCAACACCCTCATAGAAGATGGCGCGGTCATCACGCTTGATCTGGCGCATACGGTGTCGGATAGTGTACCGGAGCATGGCGTCGGTACCGAAGGAGTTCAGGTTCATGTAACGGCAAATACCGACCAGCTGGGGTCGGGACAGGTTGTCAAGGGTCAGATCATCCTTGAAGATCTTGCAAACCTTGATGACATCCTCTGTTGAGGGTGACTCGCCGGTGGTGCGGATCTTGCGGAAAAAGTCTGTGAATTCGTCGTTCTTGACAGTGGCGGCGGTCAAGGGCAGACCGGTCTCCCTTATGGTGTTGCGCAAGAATCCGGAAACTTCTTTGCGGGTCGATCTGAGGTTCAAGGCCTTGGCATCGCGGGCCTTCTGCCCCTCGTAGGTGCTGGGGAGCATGTTGGGGAAGAGCTTCAGGGCGACGGGGAGCAGGAGTTCGGCAAAGGGAACGATGAGGAACATTGAGAATGGAACCAAACGTCCAAGATCCTTTGTAGTACGTTGGAGCTATAATCAAACTTTGGTTAGCCAAACAGTACAAAATATCGGAAATATTGCTGGTGGCGCAAAGCATACCTGGCGGTGCTCTCGGCGACTGAGCTCATAACCACCGGCCATCTTCAACGCCAGTCTCGAACTAATCTTGACCTCAGTGGAAAGCAACTTTGTGCCATCCCAGTAGTGCTGCAACTCTTTCTTGACCTTTTGTCCAAGTGTCAGCTTTTTCGCGCTCTTCTTCTCGGCCAACTTCTGGTCCTCCGGGTTCGTCTTTCCGACAACTCCAGCGGCGGTTGACTTGCTAGAAGTTGACTGTGTCTCGGCTGGCTGGGTCTTCGCAACTGTAGATTGTGACTCCGAGGTCTGTTCTTGGGAGAGCGGCTTCTTGGCTTGCTCGGCATTGAACCCGGGGGGAGGGTAGTTCTGAGAAGAGTTGTTCGATGTGGATTGCTCGGTCGCATATCCACGCTGTGGGATCAGAATGGCAAGCGCCGACATTTGTGATGGCAGGTCGCGGCCATTTCGTAGAAGGCTGCGGGCTGCAATGGAAGCCGGGCTCAGTGCGCTGGAACGACTACGGCCTGCTGAGGAAAGTATCAGCAACTGGCATTGTCATCTAGTTCTTTGGGGTTCTTCAACACTTACCGATCAGGGCAGACCGGAAAGCAGGTGTGCCGCGGACCAATCCGGTCGATCTCATCGTAGCGGACATTTGCGGGAAACGTTGGGGCGAAAAGGTAAGTGCTCGAAGCAACGAGCAAGGAGTTTGTAGAGGCAACAATAATGGAATAAATGATCAATCCTAATGTCCACGGGATGAACCAAAAAAATTAACTGCAATAAATTGATGGTTACAAAAAGTTTGGAATGTCCTGGAACCGGATCTGATGAGATGTTCTGATGTACTGCCGCTGTCATCTTGCACGTGACAGCCGATACCGCCTCGGGTTTTGCTCGGGGTTAAACAGATAGCCGGACAGTGCTAGAACAGGCGAAGATATGTATTTCAATGTGCAACTATGATTCGGATTTTTCATAACAATCTGAACAGCCAATTATGTACATACGACTATGAACACTCGCTCAGCAATTTCAAGGTTCTTGAATCTTGACAAAAAAAGAAACCAACAAAATCAGGGTATATAAAGACTGGCATAAACGATGGCAACAAGATAGCATGTTCCCTAAGGTTCAAATTCGCACTCGAACAAGAGAGTCCTTGTTCGAACTTTCCTCCGCGGTATCAGTAGAAGAGACTTCGGCAGTATCCAACAAGGGGATTCGATCGACGCTGTATCGCTTCTCCTTGCTGTGTGCATTGATAGCTTCACTGAGAGGACTGGGCTCAGCGAAAAGGAGAGGACTGGTGGTTCCTTCGGGAGAGCTCTGCCAACGCGCCACATCTGTCTTGAGCTGCTCCAGCTCCTTCTGGAAGCGCTTTCCAAAGACGTCGATGTAGTAAGTTGCTCCATTGTGGATGCTCCAGACGAATAGCGCAGACATGAACAGGCCGCTGGCCCATTTGTACCAAAACCAGATCGGACAGGGGATCATTGTGGATAAAGCAAACCCGTACTGGATGAACATGAAACATGGCTCTTGCAGCGCCTCAGGCAGACTCAGCACAAATCGCCCAATCCAGGCCTTGGAGTATGACTTGCGCAGCCAGGTGAAGCTGGTCGGGCGACCCGCTGCGATTTTCTCGCGGCGGCGTACGGTGATCAGGAAGTGGTACATGAGCTGCCACACCAGGTAGGGGCCCGTGGACCAGATTATCATGGCACTAAGACCATAATGCTCTGGGTCCCCGGGCTGACTGAACTTGATGTTGTAGACAGCAGGGAAGCGTTCTTTGAGTTTCTCAACTGAAGTCAGGTGCACAATGCAGTGCAAAGTTACGGGTGGCATAATGTGGATGAAGAGACTGCAGAGACAAGATGAGCGAGTGAACTTTATCCTTTTGATATCTAACGTACCTGACAACCTTGTCCATACTGTGGAAGACCATAGAGTTTCGCCACATGGCGATTGCAGCCGCATTGTTTCCGAAGGTCAAGCAGAAGGTGCTAATAAATAGTCGTTTCGAGTTAGGGAAGACCCAAATACTCAGCATGCAGAGCAAATTGACAAAGTAGCAGAGATCGGCCAAGAAGTAGTGGTATCCTTTGGCATGGTACGTAAAGTAGCGGATGGGCATGAAATATGCCAGCTGGGCGCTAAACCAGATGTAAAAGTATTCTGGGCAAGCACCGATCAGGTAGCCGCTGATGAAGATATTGAGCACACCAGCAATAAAAGACATCTTCTCCCGGAGGGTGACAGTCGCAGTCTGGTTCCACTGCTTACCCAGGCGCTCTACACCCTGCTTCATCCGAGCACGATATTTTTCCAGCTTCTCATCGGCGGTCGGTGCCCGGCGCTTCCATTCACCCACAACACGATCCTTAGCGTTCAAGGAAGACATCTTGAGCTTTTCCCGCTGCTTGCGCACCTTCTCCTTTTGCATGGCGATGGTCTGCTGCCATTTCTCCAAGCGCTGTGAGAGCTGGATGTTGTCGAGTAGGTCGAAAATAGTCAGCTTGTCCAGCGGTGGAAATGACTCCCAGTCCTCCAGGTACGAGCTGCTGTTTGAGAAAGAGCCGTTGCGCGACAGACTTCCTGGGGAGGTGGGAGCAGAGCCAAATTCATCGTTGTCGGTGAAGTCGTCTGAAGGGAAGGGTGCGTCGATTTCGTCCAGGCCTGGCGTGGTGACCAGCGGCTCGGCTGACATGGTGGGATCGGACTTTCTTCTCGAGCTGGTGCTTTCTATCCAAAACTGTTGTTGAAAGCAGAGTATCGTCGGTCCGTCCCGGGTGTTGGGATATGGTCGACTGAGGAAACGATTGAATGTTAGCATCCCCATAGTTGCAACAAGCCCAAAGAGCACAACTTCGTAGATATGTGCCAAACAGGCGCAAGTGATCAAAACAAAAAAACCCTTATATAGACAAGAGGGGCAATTAAAGGGACGACGGCAACATTACCTTATCTGTAGATCACGCCTTTGTCACAAGGCGAGAATGGCGAACTGTGGTTGGCGATCCACAAAGTAAACAACTGCGGACTCACTGGCGCATGACACAAAAACGGCGATACAGAAGTGCCGCTGCTTTGGTGTAGGTCACAAAGGTTGAGGAGATACTCAGACAAGAGCCAGCGAGAAGTTGAGAAATTGACGTGTGCTTGTGGTGTGAATGGTGGTTGGATGGAGGAACTGCGCTGGGGGATCGTCATGCGGATCCAATCAGCGAGCTGTCTTGGCCCAGGTGTAAGGTTGTCGCCTGAGGCAGCAAACTTTATCGGTCGAGAACATGAGTTTTTTTGCTCTTCCCCTACTTGCACTGTTCTAATGTAGTGTTTGCCATAACTATATGAGTTTTTCCATTAATTTGTTGCACATTCTCCCTAACTTCCCGTATACGAAAGTGAGTTGACAAACCATCCTAAGTAAGAAAAGAAAATATATAGAAAAAGCAACCAACGAAATCCCATATCCGTGCCCAGCCAAACGCTCACAAACTCCAGGTCTGTACTGGTGAAAACAAGAGAAGGAAGGAAACATAACAACATCAATATCCAAATTGCGACGCAGAGCTGGCATGTGGCCAGAACCCGGGCCCTTTCTCTGACACAAACGGCTGCGAGTAGTACCCAGACAGATAACTCGGGTCTGGATGCATAGATTTTGTGACATTTTGGGACTCGAGAGGGGGTATTACATGCACTGATGGTGCTATGCCCATTGGGTAGCCGAAGCTGCCTGTTGGGCTGTGTGGACCACTTGACTCGCTAGTGGTGGGTGAGAGGGGCAGACCATGCGAGTGCTGTAGCTTTGAGTCATCTTCTTCCAGCGTGGAAATGCCGGGGTTATCACCTGCATCGTGCATGTCATGTTTGGCCTCGATCATGGGCGCTATTACCGGTGCTGCGTGTGCACGGGATGATAGTTCATCGCCGTCTTGGAAGATTGCTTCTGGTAGATGTGTTTGTGTGACCTGAATCAAAGTGCTGGCGTCTATAGTGACAAGAATACAGACATGGTTAGTGGAACTGCTGATTGGGCCTTATGTTGGGATATGGTGACACATACCGATTTCACCATCCAGGAACTGTTCTTCCATTTGTCGCACGAAGTAGATCTCGTCTAGGACCTGCAGCCTGTGGGCAGGGGTAATCTGGCGTCTTACGTCTTGGCCAGCATCTCGCAGTTTGTCTGTTGTGACTCCGTGGGTATCCTTCAGTTCGCAGAGGATATGAACAAGAAGTCGCAGTCGGTCTATCGTCAGTTAGTATTAATGACGGTCTCATATCGGTGCTACTGAAAGGATATGCTCACCAGGCTTGAGCAGATGATCAGGCTCTTTGTGTAAGACACCAGCGGGCCACCACGCAGGCTTGGTAAACTCCGGGTCAACACGCTGTGAGACACCGGCAATAACCCTGCGTCCGTTGTACGGATAATGGACCTGCTTCCTAGGCTCGACAAGCTTAATATAAGATTTTGCAATAGCGCGGCAGTTGAGCTGTTGGAAATCCTCGAATGCCTTCTCGTAGTACCGTCGCAGCAGCGCTCGGTTACCGACACGAAGGACAGTCCGCCCGGGTGGAGGTGTGGTAGGTGGCGGCGAGCTAGATTTAGGTCGAGACCTGGACACACCGCCGGCACGCTTTGACTTTTTTCGGCTTTGCTGTGATGACCATTGGAACGGAATCATCTCGGCCTGTCTCGCCTGATTGGAGCCCCATCCCGAAGATGGTTGCTCGTCCCAAGGGGAGTGGGGGGCTTGGGTTGGGTCTGCAAGGAGGCGAAGGAAGTCAGTCTTGTCGTTCTGGAACTTGAACTCTAGAAACCTGGCTCACTTGTGAACTGCGGGCTGGCCTGTGGGGCTTGGCCAGTCATTTCTATGAATCGGTCTGTAACATCAGGTGTGAAGATTGCGCCTTCACAGCCTGCAATTGAGGGTGAGGCTTGTAGTTGCCATTGACCGTTATGGTCAAGGTATATCATGGCGAAGTGAGGGTGTGTGTATTCGGCGGTATGAGGTTGTTTAGGAGTGATCGGCTATTTGATTATTAGCCAAACTTGATACTTGTTGCCTTTTGTTTCGCAATTGGGAAGTTATATTACCATGTTCATCGGTGGTTGCTGCGGGATGCACGTATCAGAGTGTCTTCGCTCCAGCACCTCTCCGGGAAATGGATATCCACGATTCATATCCATGTTTTGAGATAGTATGTGGTTTGAAAATCGAATCCACAAGATCGGGGCTCACTGCGCCTGTCAAATGTAGTAACTTGCAAATGCAAAATAGAATACAGAAAATGGACCTGGCTCCCTCGACAATCGTCGGCCCACGGTGCCAGTTAATAGTAAAAAGAGTAAACGCAGCTTGCCAATGGATAATAAATCCGGGACCATTCGATCGGGGGCAGAGTCCAGGCGAGATAAATATATACCACGACTACGTAGTAATAATACGGCACCATATCCATGATCTCCCAATTCCAACGCCAAACCCCGAGTATTGGCATAACTCCACATGACATTGATGTCCCCTGAAAGTGCGAATCGGCTTGGTGCTAATGCAAGGAAAAATGAATAGCTGCAAAGCTGAGCGTGTGGCAATACGAAAGCTTCCGTATCACTTCGTTTTGCATCTCGTGATTGGCTCATCCACTTCTGCCCCTTTGCTATGTGTAGTCGATGGGTCGAGTCCGTTCTGCGCATTGACGCTCGTTAGGGCTGTGATCCATGGAGGAGTGTCACATAACCTTGTTCGATCCATGGTTCCCGTCGGGGGATCCGAGGTCGGCCCAAACACTGCTTGGAACGTCTCAACTTCTCCGTTTAGAGACCAGCCACAAAGATCGTCAATTGTTCGAGCAAACAACAGATCAAATAGATCCAAGTCCCTCAACACTTTCTCCATTAGCTGCACTACTTGTAGGCTATCTGCAGCAAGCCGTTGTATCCATAAATAAATTTCCCGCTCCAATACACCAAGTTTACCCTCTAACCTTCCAGTTTATCAAGAAATGGTAGGCATAGCAGGAGTTGCAAACTGTACTGAATCGAGCGACCGCCCAATAAACCCAAGGTGGAAGCATTTATCTATCCAATCGTATTAACCGATCGGCGATCCCTTGGCCACATCAGCCACGCCAGGTGATAAAGAACAGCGGTCGTCTTCGACGCCTCTGAGGTCATCTCCTGCAAGCCAAGAGAGGCCAATGGACAACTGAATAATGCGTGGTCTAGGTGAATCTCTCCAGCTTCAATGGATCTACTCCGTATGGATACTTACTTGCGTTGCCAGTGCGTCAGCATAGCACTGGGCTTTTTCATACATCGTACACGCAGCTGCGCCCACAGCTCAATATTTTCTTTACTGCTTTTTTCCCCTTCTTTTTCCTCGGGATTTGTGGGTAAGATAGTAATGTCAGGCTTCCAGTACGGAGCACAATGTTTATCTCCACCGGGCGCTTGGTCCAAGTACCCTTGTCCGTGCGGCCCTTCTCCAACCTAATCTTTAACGGGGTCTGAAGACCTGGAAATGAATCTTTTCTGTCTGCCTGTGCCCGAAAGCTGAGGCCCCCGGGGGTCAAGGCCGTAGACGCAACCATCGAATCTTGAGCTTATTTTCAAGTTTCGCGGAAGTTCGTTTGTGGTTCCGGACGTGCGGATACCAAACCCAAGAAATTAGTCCTGGTCAATGTTCGTTGTTTCCCTTTTTTGGCCTCTTGGTCTCGCTCACGATCGCTTCCTTCCTTTTTTTTCTTCCCCAGCATGGTGTAAATACACACCACTGGAGGTATGTATCGAATCGCCACTAGCATGGATTCTTAGGTAGGCGATTCCAAATTCTGCTGTCCTGCGGCATCGTGCATAAGCGGACGTGGCAACCCGGAGCTAGAGTCGAAGCATTTTGGGAACACAAAAAAGGACAGATATTGTCTGTATCCATAAGGAGGAAGATCTCTAAGGTTAATTGGATTTGAACTACCATTGGGATCGGTTCCCTGCTCCCGGATCGACAGTGTCTACTGGGAGCGGGGAACCGCGGACGGCAGACCAAGAAGCTGATCATCGAATTTGATCAACCGCTTCAGTATATGGTTTTTAGGAATTGTTTCTTTTTCGGGGCCTGGTGGTAAACGACATAACAATTGAAAATGGTCATGATTAGCTAGCGCCACCCAGGATCTCGGCCTGCGGCGGCGGGGACTGCAGCCAGCTGTAGAAAAGCCCAATGTTATGAGGGTCGTGATGTATTATTATTATTATTATTCCTCCACCGTCTCTTTGGTTTTGTTAATTTCGTTTTTGCTTTTTTTAGGGGGCACTTGTAATATTGCTATTTGGACTGGTTCCACCCACTAACATGGAAAACCCACTAACATGGAAAATTTAACCTTGTCACTTTATTTGATGCTATTTGATGCTATTCAATGGGCCTCCCGGGCCGCATATTCTGTACTATTGTGCGATATAATGGTACTGGTAATTTCACTTTATATTGCAATGAGGAGAGATATCGAGGTTCTCGATCTTGAGAGAAGTCCGCACTTGACTACCGTTGAAGATAGGGACCCAGCAAGTATCGGCTTTCTATACTTTTTACCCATCTGCCTGATGTCTTTTGGCCTATGCATCGTATGGCTCGACGTCTAGAATTTATTGGATAGTCCATGGCCCGACGTTCTTTTGCCAGTTAGCGTTATTATCATTGGCAAAAGCAAGAAAAGAACCGAAAAAGAAAAATGGGTTAATCCCAAATCAATAACACGGGGCTAGTTACAGAATACGAAATAGCACTTGCACCTAGACTCCAAACCAGGAAAGCAAAAACATGTACTCCGTACATTACCATTCCCTGAGCCGCATTGGCCCCAAACTTTGTAATGGTCAAGGGTGCACAATCCCCGCAAGAGAATCGAATACAAAGCCCGATACAAAGCCCCCTCAGAAGGTGGCGTGGAAAAAATATGCGTCCCTTGCGTATATGTGCGGGCCGCAACACCCAAGAGGTGAAATGATCAACAACGGAATACATGCGGAGTACACTGTTACGGTCAATTCTATTATTGTACTCTTTATTCTGTACATTGTAGAGACACGATCTCTCCTTATCATGACCACATTATGCGCATGAGCAGATCTCCATCTGCCCGTGGACGCTAGCTGCTCCTATATGTGCTGTACCGTTGCACAACACCTCGAGGGATTGCATATTTGAAAATACTGCATCGCTTTATTTTCGTGCTCGGTAACAGAATATCCAGTGTTCCTGCTGTACATAGTATACTTACATTGCGCAATGTTATTGGGCATATAGGAATATGTGCGTCTCGGCGGGTGGTGCTCCCGGGGCTCCCGCTTGTTGACATTCTGTTGCCATTGCTAGCTGGGTGCAGATGACTGAATCCTGGAACCAGGATACTGGTGCAGGAAGCCTGCATTATTGGAACTCTGGACTCGGGTCGTCTCCGTATTGTCCGGGGGGTTTGACGCTGGGTATGATTTGCAATGTTCGTTGGGGTTACAGTTACTTGGATCGTGGCGGTGACTAGGTATACCCAAGTAGGTAGACTGCACCTGATGACTCCGTTGTTCTTCTCACCGTACTTGGCGTCGGGTTTCCGGGAATGAGATTAGAGCTATTGGCTAAGTACTCCGTCGAAGCTTGGTTTTATTCTTAGTGGTCACGAATTCCGCCGCTCTCGCTTTCCTCGGTCATTATTTTTATACCTGTAAAGCGCTATCTCCACCTGGGGGCTTGTCAACGAGCCTAGAACCAGTTCGACCTCGAATTATAGATAAGGGATTGTCTGTCCGGGTGCAACCGAATATAGAAGGTCGGGGTCAAGCACACTGACCAGTCACAGTGGCCCTGAAGATATAGAGAAATAATTGCAGTACATTATCAATCGGGAACTGACTTTAACCCCGGATACCAGTGGGTCCGAATTAATTTGACAAGCCCTTAAGCTTTCCAAATACCTTGGGATCCATGGAGCCGATAGAACAGACTCAAAATCGAGAGCGGGTCTCTTCCCGTATCAACTTACATGACTAGGGAGGCTCAACTTTGAGCCCTCACTCGCATCAACCGATTTGTCAATCGTGACATTGCCTTGTCGCACGGACTCTCGATTCTCCAATTACAACATAGTGGTTACAATATATACGACTAGGCATCCTAGGTAATGCTAATACTGGTAGCCTCGCTCGCGATGGCTATGAGCCAATGAGAAATAGGCGACCGGTTCGTTTCCGATTTCCTAATAATCCTCAGTTCCGTCTTTGTGGACTTTTCACGCAAGAGGTCATAACAAGGATTTCATCTATGCCTACGGTGCTATTTGTGCTAGGCACACCGTTCCGGTGATTGACGTCTTCGGACCTGGATCGTATAACTAGAGCAGGTCTCTGTACATGTTAGCGGAAGTAGTTTACGCAGCTCTGTGCTTACATATAGGATAATTGTCTCTAACCCTGATATGGAGTCTGACGTCTCGGAGATCACTAAATTTGGGCACTCCGTGCACCTGCGAAATCAGGGATGGACCAAAATTCAACCGAGGGAGGATATGCAAATCCTGTTGACTTGGCCCTGGACAGACAGGATCTTTGCTCCTCTCCAGCATTGATCTCATCCCTCTCGCTTCAGTAGAATAGCTCAATTCACAATTTTTCTCCCCTTTTTACCTCCGCCGTTTGATCCTCAAGATTGCGGCAGGCTCCTCCAGCCAAACCAAAACGGCCTAGGACTATACGGAGCTTGAAGCTCATGCACATAATTATGTGTGCGACTATGAGATATCCATCTGTAACCTTCTTACATCTTTTACTAATGCGTGATAGCAGTTAGTCCAAAGAGTTCGAGCCGGAAAGGATCCTAATAACATAACTCTACAACTGAGCCGCTACATATCTGCAGTCGTGAACAATTTTGATGTTTATATTGAGTATGCACTCATTCCAGTCCTAGTGGTCATTTAATCAAGTTCGAGGTACGGACGCAGCAGATATATATATTCTTACTCAAACAAAATCAATGTTTCTGATCATATTCTACCTAAATATATTTCCCCGGGCATGCTTTATTTTCACTTGCTCGTGGTTTCACATTACTAGGTGATAGGGCTTTAAGAACAACCATCGGCATTCCAAAAGATATATCTCTCCATCTCCTATTAATATCTTAGTTCTTTTTCTACTCTAATTTCGTATTTTCGTTGGGGTAGTAGAACTGTAGGACATTTGCGTGGCTTCCCCTTCCCGTTTTAGTGCTCGCCCCTTGCCGCTTTTTGCTCCCCGAATAAAACCGAGCACGCCCTTGAGCGCCCCAGCCACTAGACAATCCGTTCTTTCAACAGGCCTTTACTGTGCTATGCAACGGATAGAAGAGACTGTATTTCGCACTAAGATCAGAACTTGCTAGCAAATAGTAATCTAACCAGTCCGAAACATTCCATCTTTGTCCGCCGCCGCAGCTCTCTCGCCTCATGATCTCGACCCCATATAACTAGTCATCATTTCACAACTCTCACAATTTCGTCTTCACAGCTCCGTCTTCCCCCCCCGCTTCCACCTGCAGAATACCAAAGCTCCTTTAGTTTTTCAAAGTGAGCACGGCAGGCTTCCATGGTAGGGTATTGTAGTTGCCACCGGCGTTCGGGTCTCGCCCCTGGTAGAGGAATTGCAGGTTGCATGGATCGATGGTCATTGTTTGGTCAGGGTTGGTTCTAACTAAATCACCGTGACTGATGTCGTTGGTCCAGGTTGCACCACTATTGGCTTTTCCGGCGAAGGGCCTGCTCTCGCTTGCTGCCTGCGGTGCCCACGAGCCGCCGAGACTGTTGGAGGTGAACGAACGGAAGTACCGCTGTCCCTGTGATCCAATTGCCTCGACGATCATCAGGTACTTGTTCTGGCCTTTGACAGTGTACACTTGAACTGCCTCGAACAGGTTGTTCTTAGTGTCACTAAGTACCACCTCTGAACTTGTCCCGAAGTTTCCAGGGAAATTGTTGATGGGCATGCTGGCGCGATAGATCTTGCCATTATCTCCCGCAAAGAAAAGGTACATGTGCGTGGAGTCACCGATAACGGTCTGGTCAATGGCGCCAGTGTCTGAGCCGGTGATCTTTCCCGAAAAAAGGGCTTGCTCCGATGACCATCCATTGGCATTGGAAGGATCACTTGATGTTCGATAGGTAAACGTGCTCGAGCCCCATTGATAGGCCAGGACCCAAATGTTCTTTGGCTGGAAGAAGAACAAAGTGGGCGCAACGGCTGAAAAGCTCGTTTTGACTTGACTCGCAGTTGCCATGCCAGACCAATCCGAAAAGGCGCCGAAGACCATCGAGCCGTAGTTCCCACTTGCGTCAGAGGTTGATGCATAGACGATGTGTTTGTTATTGAGAACCACGCTGGTGAAGTCCTTAAGAGCGGTCCATCCGGACTTGGGATTCGCTAGAGGGCTAGTTGATGTCCAAGTATAAGTCGACGGAAGTGCGCAGTCGGCGACGACGACTGGCACTGATGCGAGCAACAATATGCCAGATGACACCAGGCCAGCTTTTGCGTTGAAGAATCTCATTGTCGTTGAGGTTCTAGTCTGTGATGGTTTGTTTGATTGAAGGACCTGAAGCAGAAAGTCAAACCACCTAGGCAGGAACCGAGCTTGTTTATATACTACAAGCACAGCTCATAAATTGAATTGTTTGCCCGGAGCAAATAAATTCAACCAATCCCTTGTTTTCGATAGTAAAATCTACAATGTTTCAGCTGGAAGGAAATGACCCTTGGTATTCCTTTTTGATTTGCCACCTTCAGAGAGATAGTTCAGGATAAACTACATTAGCCAGAAACAATCGTCCGCCGGACTATTGCCTTTCTAGAAAGGTGCAGACATAAACTCCGCCTCAACTTAACCATTTCAAGCCTATTTTCAGACCGAGGCTGGGTAAATGCGTCGAAGACATCAAGAATCTAGCCATGGGTCCTGATGGTGATGTTAGACGGATTGATTCCTTACTGACATATTGTCATTATAGGGCTGTTTCACTATAGAAACACACTAGTCTCAATCAGTTCCTGCTTGGTGGTTAGTATCTTCTCAATGTGGGTTGCTTCTTGCTGAAGCTCATAGAAGAACGTCAGATGTAATCCTGCTCGGAGCTGTCTCGGGGGATTTAGCGGGGAAAATTGAAAAATAGCTGAGCGTTTTTCAGAACGAGAGAATCCCTGTTTGGCGACTTTGGAGCTACTAGCTATTTTGGGCGACTTTTTAACCTACCGGTGATAGACGTCGTCTCCACACGGGAGGACCCCTCTTCGTTTCAAACTGAACGGATTATTCAACTTTTGAACACAAGCCAAGATTTGTGGATCCTTTTTTTTTGTTACATATTGGGGCCAGAACTTACAATGGGCCTATGTACTCCGTACCTGAAAGGAGCTTGGTGGTTTGATAGTATTCAAAGTTCAAGTTACTACTCCACATATGTTCTAGGCTGAATTCTTCTATGCGAATATTTAGGCTAAAAAATTGTCCAAATATTATTCCATCCGAGTCATTTCTAGAAGATTGGATAAAATAGGCAAAGTACGTTCCCCATTAGTGAAAGAAATAGATGATGCAGCCCCTGTTTTGAATCGGGGAAGGGTTTCCATTTTAGCCAGTATCTCAACTATGAACTTCTCTTCCCTAAGAAATGTTTGTTCCTGTCCTGTATAAGTATCGTCTCGATCCCTCCAGGACGGTGTCTTCTATCACTCACATTTCCATCTATCGACTTGGAGAACCAACATGTTTCTCAATATGATTCAAATCAAGACCGCTGCTCTAGTCATGCTTTTCGCTGGCCAAGCGCTTTCCGGACCCGTTGAATCCCGGCAAGCCTCGGTGAGCATTGATGCCAAATTCAAGGCTCACGGGAAGAAGTATCTTGGAAACATTGGTGATCAGGGCACCTTGAACAAGAACGCAAAGACCCCGGCAATCCTCAAGGCCAACTTTGGTCAACTGACCCCGGAGAACAGTATGAAGTGGGATGCTACTGAGCGTGAGTACAACCGTCTCGTGATAGCTAGAGTATTAGAAGCTGATTTAAAAAATAGCAAACAAAGGGCAGTTCAACTTCGCAGGGGGGACTATCTGGTATGTACCCGGCCTTTTCCACAACAATTACCTTTTTGCCTGGTCCTTACAGACCCTAGGTCAACTTTGCCCAGTCAAATGGGAAGCTGGTCCGTGGCCATACCCTAGGTAAGTGCTTGAGGCCCTGGAATTCAAGCATATCACAGCAAGAGAAGAAGCTAAACCCGTCAAGTGTGGCACTCCCAGCTCCCATCTTGGGTCTCTTCTATCTCCGACAAAACAACCTTGATCAATGTCATGAAGAACCACATTACCACGGTGATGAACCACTACAAGGGCAAAATCTACGCCTGGGTATGTTGTATCCATAATATGAGTTCAACAAAGTTACATTACTGATCGATCCAAGGACGTTGTGAATGAAATTTTCAACGAGGATGGTTCCCTTCGTAACAGTGTCTTCTACAATGTTATTGGCGAAGACTTTGTGCGGATTGCTTTCGAAACAGCTCGTGCTGCAGACCCAAATGCGAAGCTCTACATCAATGACTACAAGTGAGTTATAGCCCTTTGCTCTTTTCATTTCGGATGGATTCTGATTTTACGCAGCCTGGATTCCGCCTCTTATCCTAAGGTCAACGGTATGGTCAGCCATGTCAAGAAATGGATTGCTGCCGGTGTCCCAATTGACGGAATTGGTAAGATACCTATGATTCCAGCTCACCCTTATAATTACTCACTCGTTTCAAGGCTCTCAAACCCACTTAGGCGCCGGTGGCGGTGCTGCAGTTTCTGGATAAGTACCCTCTTACTTCTTATCCACCGAAAATTAGCTTACACCCTCTTACAGCTCTTAATGCCCTAGCCAGTGCTGGAACGAAGGAGGTCGCTATCACTGAGCTTGATATTGCTGGCGCCAGCTCTACTGACTACGTAAATGTGAGATTTTACAATGCCATGACTAGTAGGATTGACTCCTTACTAAATCTCTATTTTGATAGGCTGTCAAAGCTTGCCTGAACCTGCCAAAGTGTGTCGGAATCACGGTTTGGGGAGTTGCTGACCCGGTAAATGCCCATTTCTCCCCAGGAAAAAAAGACTGCATACTAAAACCAGATGTTTTGTTAGGATTCGTGGCGCTCCAGTTCTAGCCCATTGCTTTTCGACTGGAACTACAACCCTAAGGATGCATACAACGCTATCGCAAATGCCCTCTAGGAACGGTGCTTTCGATCTCTATCTCAAGTTGCGAATCCTGCTACTGAGCAGGCTACACTTCAAATTGGAGTGTCAAAAATGATTCTGAGACTTCGAGATACAAGGGCGGTGGTAAAAACGGGCTCTAGGAAAGAATGTTGTTATTTGTCATCGAATAATTGTGTATTTGAGGGAGATAATCTCGCTTTACTAAACCAATCGAAAGGTCTTTCCTAGTTGTATAGAACTTGCTATCCTGCCGTAATTTAATTCAAGAAGATGTAAGGATGTAAGCGAGCATGGCTAGAGGATTCGAGCTATTTCCATTGGCCATAGTGGTATACATTTGGATTAGCGTTAGAACTCGCAGGTAGAGGAAAAGTCATTCTGTATCTTTTTGTCTCACCCTTTCTGGGCTCGTGGATATCATGTTTGACTCTATTCACGTGGATCGTGAATGGCAGAGGATTGGGTATTCCCACCGATATATTCAGCTAATAGAAATTGAACACGCACATTTGCGATACCTCGCGGAACGGTTCGATGTTTCACGGCAGAGCATGTAGTGCGGCGAAGAATATTTAGACAAGGGGTAGCTGCATCCACATAGAGGGACCAGACCAAGCTAGGTCAAACTAAAAATCTACAAGGAGGCATGCTCCGCAATTTTTGGACCCTGGCCTTCAACCCCACCTGATTAGGCCGCTACACTAGCCGGGCGTGTTTCCCGATTTGGCAAGTAATACGGTAGTTTGAACATCAACATCTACCGAACAGAGTGCAGGATCCTCCATTTCAACCTCAGGGCTGTGATATGCAGGGACTTTGTCTCAGAGTACCAATTGCCCGACCAAGCTAGACTAATTAGTGGTGGAACCCCAGGCTATAATCACGTTTTGGAAAAAAGCTCCTAAATTAAAACAGGGATTCTTCCCGGTGGTCTCACTTTATGTGATGCCTATGAGAAACTAATCCTTCAATCGACCGAGCCTGGTGCACAGGGGCTCTTGGCTCATGGACTGTGTAGTATGGCAATTTTTCCGGATCGAGGTTATTTCGCGGGAGAGGCACCCCTGGCCGGCAGAATTTGACGAGGTTTCATGGCCTTGATGGGATATGATCATCTTCAATCTATCTTTTTATCCTAAAGGTGGGTTTCTAGCCTATTATCCAGGAGATGTAGATGTCCTCTTAAGAGACACACCCAAGCACCGGACTCAATCTTTCTTCGTTGAACCATCGCCCATCAAACATTTTCAGGCACGAATCTGTTCAACATGAAAATCTTTTCCGCAACACGTGCTCTTGCTTTTTCTGTGGCTGCAGGACAAGGTCTAGCTACCGTTACGCAGGGCGTCTCTGATGGCACCTACAACCGCCTGGTTGAGATGGCCACCATCTCCCAAGCTGCTTATGCAGACCTGTGCAAGATTCCGGCGACCATAACCACCGTGAAGAAGATATACAACGCCGAAACAGATATCAACGGATGGGTTCTCCGCGACGACAGTCGTCAGGAAATTATCATCGTCTTTCGCGGCACTGGCAGTGATAAGAACTTGGAGCTCGATACCAACTACACTCTCACTCCTTTTGACACCTTGCCTAAATGCGTCGGCTGTGCCGTGCATGGCGGATACTATCTTGGATGGATTTCTGTCCAAGATCAGGTCGAGTCACTTGTTCAACAGCAGGCCACCCAGTATCCGGAGTATGCTCTGACGGTCACCGGCCACAGGTATGAGAGTTTTCCCGTCTGCATTTTCACAATCATCTTACCCTATTTCCATCCATTGACTGTCCTTTCTTGACTTGACTGACACATGATCCAGTCTGGGCGCCTCGATGGCAGCGATAACTGCCGGCCAGCTGTCCGCTACACACGATCACGTCAGATTGTACACCTTCGGCGAACCACGGACCGGCAACCAGGCCTACGCATCGTATATGAATGAGAATTTCGATGCGGCGAGCCCCGAGACAACCCAGTACTTCCGGGTCACCCATGCCAACGATGGCATCCCAAACCTGCCCCCGGCTGAACAGGGCTATGTCCATTCCGGCGTTGAATACTGGAGCGTTGAGCCCCATAGCCCTGGTAGCATGAGTATCTGCACTGGGAACGAGGTCCAGTGCTGCGAGGCTCAGGGAGGACAGGGGGTGAATGATGCCCATGTAACTTATTTTGGGATGGCGAGTGGAGCTTGCACCTGGTAGTTAGAGTCAATTCTGCTTGTTCTGGTGGCCACAGAATGAGCCAATGAGCAGATTTCAAAAAGCGGAAGACAATTTTATTGGCATTCATTAGAATTCATTGAAGCCCGCACTAAGCGCGCCCAAGTGCGCTCACTAAACACGCAATTTTGCCCACGAAGCCCTGGAGACCTGGAACCCTAGGGCCTTGGAGCCGGCCCAGGGGGAGCTAAGGCTGGCACCGGGTAAGGTTGCGCCCGGAGCCAGCCCTGGAGCCCTGGAGCCCGAGCGTGTCGCGTATTAGTCAACACACCCGTGCTGACGTCTACACAGTGATCCTCCCGGGCTGCCCAGGTGAGCCCTAAAATCGGCAGCTCAGATAGGATCCTGTTTATATAGGTGCATATTCCTCCACCCTTTTCACCTGACTCATAATTTGATGATAATAGAGGCAGACTTTGACGTTTTTTTTGGCAGGAGAAGAACAATCTCTTTTGATTTTGCTCGCACTTTCGGGTCAGTATGGGCAAATATTTACGGATTTAGAGGCAGAAGAATTCTAGTAACTTCCTTGGGAAATTGGTACCACTATGTACATATCTAAATAATATCTCCCTGGTTGATTTTCCTTCATGCTTTGCTTTATCAATTTGCTCGTGTCCCAACATGCCTGCAGGCAGATTTTCAACGACAAATGCTGAGAAGTAGACTTCCACGGGCAAAAGAGCTCTAGCACTTATACTACCTAGGTATATCTAGATAGGTAGGTAATATGTCGGCTTTTCATTTAGCTCGCACTTTCGCGTTACTTGAGGTAGTACATATAGAAATATATCCATGAACCCATCTATAGATAGACCAGTAACGAGTAACCCGACGACAAATGTTTGCCTTTTAATTCGGCTTTTTCCATCAAGCTCCATATAAGATAGTAGGTAGAAGCCTACTACATATGTAGTATTAAAGCACAAATGTTTGCCTCAATTTGCTCAATTACGCTTTCACATGACGTGAGGTTTCTTGATCTCATTTGCGATCCCAACCTTGGAAGATCTCAAGCATTTACACCTCGTCACTTCCTCCCTGCCACTGCCTCTCTGCCACTGCCTCTCTGTCACTTTCCCTGTCACTTCTTCTCTGCCACTTCCTTCCTCTTTCACAAGTCCACTGATCAATTCCTTTTCACCACCAGCAACTCTTTCCTTTAACACCATCATGGAAACACCGAACTATCTCTTGCTTCCCGCTATTGCGGAGTTCATCAACGCGTACGAGAATAAGCCAACCGCGGAGAATGCCAAGATCATGGTGGGCGGTCTCCTCACTTACGCCTTCGATTCGAATGATGGCTGGGTCCTCAAATGGCAAGATGACGAGGAGAACACCCACTCCAACTGCTTCATTGTGAAAGCTATTGGTGAAGACAGGACCCTGCACACCATAGTGAAACTTGTTCTTGACCCCTCTGGTTCAATCCAGCAAAACTGGGATCAATCCGTCCCCCGCTTGATCAGTGCCCCCCTTCCTAGTGAACGATGCTGGGCCATTCTCATCCGTGGTATCAAAGTCCGGCTTTACGAATACCATCGTGACCAAGAGCCCGACTACCGTCTCGTTCCATGTGACTTCAAGATCAACGACAAGATCAAGCATGCGGTTCACATTCGCAAAAATGCTGACGCAATCAACGATCTTCTCATCAGCATCCCTAACCAGGTTCCTCAGCCACTCGAGGAGGGCGAACGCGGCAACCCGGCTCCGAATGATTCTGCTACCGACAAGACAAATGGCTCGCAGATTTCCCTTGATGCCACTCTTGATACTGTCCCTGGCTCTGGCCGGTACCTCGAGTCAACCTCTGAGGATCCCCCCACTGAGGCCAGCGAGGAAAAGACGCCTACCGAAGCCGAGCATGTCACTGAGCATGAGACCGCTCCCCAGGCCAAGACAGCAACCCAGGTTGATACTCCTACTTCTGAGACCAAGCGTACTACTGAGGCCAATGGAACCCAGGCCAAGATTACTCCTCAAGCGAAGGCTGCTCTTCTCGCCAAGGCTGCTGCTGGGCTTAGGGGTGCTACTCCGGCCAAGATTGCCTCTCAGGTTAAGCCTGCTGCTGGAGTGAAGAGTGCTACCCAGGCCAAGACTAATCCCCAAGCCAGGGCTGCTCTTCTAGCGAAGGGTGTTTCTGGGATGAAGATCACTCCCAAGATCAAGCCTGCGGCAGGAACTGAGGTTGTGGGACAGACAGCAACAGACTAGTTGGCATCTGACTTATCGGGCCACGATAACTACCTCTCGCTATGGTGGTACCTCCAATAGGTCGCAAGTCTCGCACGGATGACAGTCTTTTCGGTTCACGGTTCACGGTTTTCGGTTTTCGGTTTTCGGTTTTCAGTGCTTCTGCTTCTCTTGTTTCTTCTTTTACGCCGGTACTTTCAACAAGTGCCTTCTGCATGGTGGAAGTCAGGTTCTTGAATCTTTTGTCACATAAAGTGCATTGAAAAAGAACTAGAAGTCGGCTGGTTCGTGGTTTTACAGGGTGGACGTTCTTTGCTATCTTTTGCGCGAGGCCTTGATATCTCTTATCTTTTGCCATGAAGTGGTGCATTCTCTATGGAGTTTTCAACACGGCGGCCTCGGCACATCTAGTGAGATGAAATTAATTGAATCTATTCGTATCTACTTTCGGGAGATCCTCTAAGAAGCATTGTCCAAAATCTGTAGAGGTATGGACAGTTGTTATGTGAGTTGTTCGGAAACGGAGATTTTTAGGGTTGCCCGCAGGTACGACGTATGAGAAGGGTTGGAACAACTTGAAAAACAAAGCACAGAAACTGGTATCAATTAACAGCCTCGTCGATAGAAACAATTTCCCAGAATAGACACGGGAAAGTTTCAATAATCTACAAAGATGAAGAAATAGGAAGCAAAGCAAAAGCAAAGGGTTATCACACAATCCGCATAAATCCCACCTGGAGGATTTAGGTGTACTTCCGAAGCTATGAATGATCATTGTCAGCATATTTCCATATCGGCGTATACGGAACACATCTTCAAAACTCACATCAAGGGTTAACGATTTGCTGCTGTTCTCGACCTGGTCTCTGTAGATTCCGACCAGAGCCTCACTGTTTTGGAACAGTCCGGTCTTCAAACTAATCACGATGAACTGCATGCCAGGCGCGGCGTGGTCATGGATATAATTGGCAATGCGGGCGACGTTGGTGTTGTCCAGGGCTGCGTCAACCTCGTCCAGCACGAAGAATGGAGACGGCTGGTACGAGTGGATGGCGAACAGCAAAGCGAGTGCAGCCATGGTCTTCTCGCCACCAGAAAGATGCTCCATATCTCGGAAACGTTTGAGAGGAGGCATGGCGTGGTATTTGATGCCGTCCAAGTAGGGCTCGTCCGAGTCCTCAATATCAAGGTAGCTTTTGAAATGTTAGTGATCGTTCAGAGTCAAAAGCTATAAAAAAAACACTTACGCTTGACCACCCAGGGGGTAATTGGCGCTGCGCGTGAGTTCACGGTAAATCGGCCCGATCTGCTCAGAAATGTGGGTGAATGCCTTGTTGAAGAGGTCGGATCGCGTCTTCATCACGGACTCGAACTCTTCCTTGGCCTTTCGTGCAGACTTCCGGGCGTCCTCAAAGTCCTTTTCGGTGCTGCGAAGTTTGTTCTCGACACTCTCCAGGCGCTCCATGGCACGAGCATTCGGCGCCATCTTGTCGAGGTCACTGTTGAGAACACGAACCTTCTCGAGCAGTTCATCCTCGAGCTTGTCATCGGCCTCCTGTAATTGAATTAGCATTTAAGAAACTAAAGCGATAGGAACAAACACAAACCTCTTTCAGGGTCTCTCCCAGAGAATCGAAGTCGACCTCAATACCGTAATCGTGCACGGGAGGGGCCTCGTCCAAGCCATCTCCTTCATCCACCTCCATGGCATCCGGGTCTGCTGCTTGCACAAGGTCGTCAATTGGAAGCTTGTCAAGGGAATTGGAAGACTCGGTCAAAGGGACATCAATGTCTTCAAGCTTGCAGCGGCGCAGAAGAGCGTAACGACTGGAAGAGTTTCTCTGAATCTCTGCTTCGAGCGCATTGACATTCTTCAACGCTGCTTCAACGTGCTTGCTACGCCTCTGGAGTTCACGGCGTTGCTCTGCCAAGTGTTCTGCTGATTGGCCATAGATTTCCTTCTGCTTCTCGAGGGCCTCTCGGAGGAGCTCAAGTTCCGCTTCGAATTCATCGAGCTGGTTGCGGATTTCTTCTTGCTGACTTTGCAGCTCTTCAGTCAGGCTCTGGTCGCGCTCATATTGGGCCTTCAGGCCGTTGATTCGGTCCTCGGTTGCTTGGATACGCTGTTTCTCAAAGCTGAGCTGGTTCTCGATTCGGCTCTTTTGGGTGGTGAACTCAAGCTTCTTTTGCGCGGCTTCTTCCTGCATAGAGCCCTGCTGGGCCTCATATTCCCGGATGTCATCATAACCTAAGCGCTTGCAGAATTTGTGGTAGATCTCATCTTCAACAGTGCTAACCGAAGCTTGTGACGTTTCGATTGTCTCGTCAAGTTCGTCAAGGTTTTCCTTACGCTCGGTGTATTTGGGTCGCAGATCCTCCATCTGGCCCTTAACGAAGTCCAGCTCGCTACGTTTGCTCTCGAGGTTCCGTTCAAGGGCCTTCAACTCATCACGGGAGTAAGTGAGGCGCTGCTCGAGACCGACAAGCTCGCCCTGCAGTGTTTCTTCTTCGGAGCCTCGGCGGTGGCTCTTGGGGAGGGTGGTGAGATCACTCATGAGCTTCTCCTTTAATTTATACAGGTTCTCGACCTCGGAATCTTCCCAGCGCTTGGAGTTCTGCTGAGGACCACGTCCACCAGTCATGAGACCGCCCTTGTGGATGACAGTTCCATCGAGGGTGACAGCCTTCGCGTCCACATTTCGCTCGTAGCAAAGATACTTGGCCGTCGCCAGATCGTCACAAACAATAGAATTGCCACATGCGTAGCTGATTGCTCGCGCAACCGAATCATCATAGTCAATGGTCTCAATGGCAGGGCGCATGCCGCGATGCATGCCCTTCAGGTTCGAGTTGAACGCCTTGACTTGAATGGTTTCCAGTGGAATGAACGTGGCCTGGCCTGCTCGTTGGTCGCGTAGGTGCTGAATACACTCCTTGGCGGTCTTCTCGTTGTCCACAACAATGGCATCGAAGTGTCGACCCAGTACGGTGCTGACTGCATCGGAGTATTTCTTCTGCTTCGGCCGGCAAAGATCACTGACGCGGCCTTTGACACCGGGGAAGATGCGCTTTAAGGCTGAGATCAACTCCTTGGCCCGGAGTTCGCGTTCGGTCTGCTTCTTACCATCATCGGCCTCAAGAAGCTTCCTTAATACGACCTGAAGCTTTTCCTCTAGCTCGGTCCGCATTTGCGAGACCTTCAAACGCTCGGAAGTTAATGCGTTCAGCTCCTTCTTTTTACGCTCGATGTCCTTGGAAGTGGACTTGACGGTGTCATTGAGAGATGACTTGCGTTCGTTCATGTTCTGGACATCGGATCCAACAGACTTCAGTTGCCATTCGGTGTTCTCGAACTTGCCCTTCAAGCTGTTGACCGCTTCAGCCTCGGTCTTTCTCTGCCGGCGCAGATTGTCAAGGTTCAAGGAGTCCGCTGATGAACGCCGGTTGACTTCTTCTCTGAGCTTATGGTACTCCTGCTGATCGGCTTCGCTCAGCTGGCCACCCTTCTTGCTCATCGTCTTCTGCCATTCGACTTCCCACTGGGCCTGAGCTTTCTCGACAAGCCTGAGATCTTTTTCTAGTTGCTTGCCATTGTTGGATTGTGATGTGCGCTCCTTTTCAATCTCAGTAATCTTTGAAGAGTATCTCTCAACCTTCTTCTGGGTGATGTCGATCTTCTCGTCCACAGGTACAAGCGAGTTGTTGAGTTCTTCGATCTCCCTCTCCTTTTTCGTGATATTTTTCTCGGCCTTACCGACATCTCTGCCGACTCGAGCATGGTCTTTCTTGGCGTCTTCGACGTTCGTCTCATATTTCTCAACGCCACGGCGGTACTCCTTGAGCTCATCTTGGTATTTCTGGATATCAGCACTGGAGTCGTCGATCAGCCGCTGGAAGTGAAACAGCTTCCAGAGGATATGAGTGATAATGGCCTGGTCGCGCTCTTCGGCCTTTTTCGCGTAGTTCTCAGCCTCTCGCTTCTGTTCCTGGTATTGCTTGACTTCGGAATTGATGCCTCGACGACGGTTGAGCTGGACGGTTTGCTGTTCTGCGGCCTCCTCTGCCTCTGCCTTGAACTTTTCATAGTCGGCCTTGTACTCCAAACTACCAGAGATTTGTTCAATCAACCGGGTAAGGTCTTTGGGCGACTGGGCTGCGATCGCCTCGACATCACCCTGGAAAACAAGGAAGTTTCGCGCCTTGATCAGGATGTTCTCTTCCTCCAAGGCCTCGTTGTATTGGTGGGCGGACACGATTCGGTTGTTGATGCGGTATTCGCTAATACCCTGGCTAGTGATAGATCGGCGCCATTGCTGCTCCTCGCCCGCATCATCCTCATAGACTGCCATAACCCAAGCGGACTTCGGGTCGTTTCCACCGGCATCTTGTTCGACATCCATGCTCTCCGGCTCCTCCTCTTGCTCGCCATTCTGCCCATCAGCAGCAGGCTCTCCGTCGACTTTAGATGTGCGCAAAACACGGCCACGGTACACGAGATCGCGGAGATTGGTCGATCGCAGGTGAGAAGACTTGATTCCTAGAACGAAAGATATGGCATCCATCCTAATGCGCATTAGCGTAAGGCTCTTTGTACTAAGACTAGGAAGCACTCACGAATTTGACTTGCCAGACCCGTTAGGGCCGATAATCGATGTGAAATACGCATCTCCGAATAGGAGGACATGATGTCCCTTGTAGGACTTGAAGTCTAGTGACAAAGTTAGCTACTGCCTGCGGCGTATCTTGCGGTCGTACATACTGAAAAGCTCCAAACGAATGAGTTTTCCCATCTTTCCAGCGGCTTCCCTGAGGGAGCAACGCGCCGAGAAATTCAAGAACCCTGTTATTTAAGCAAGAGATTGAGTTGTGGGCAAGACGTGGGAGGGGCGCGATAACGGGTGAACCGCGTCCACCCAAGACGCGCCGGGGCCATCACGTGGGTACCCAAATTTAGTGATACATAAAGACCCTACGACACTACATACTACAACGTATTCTGACAAGCAATAAGACTCTTATAATAAACTTATTGTGATTCTCAATTGAAATCGCGTTCTTGGCTGGTATTACAAGTGCTCCATCGCTATCTAAGAGACAAAGCCAAAATGATGTACAAAACTGAACTAGATAGCATACGACACGAAAAGACCTTGGTGATACTTGGATAATGATCACCAATTAATCTCTGAATGGCATTTTCACATTCACCATGCGCCCAAAGTGCAGGAGATCATCCGAGATGTATCCATTGGAGTCCAGTCGGAAATGTGCTCTGTGACCCGCCAACTGCACAATGATGAAGTCCTCGTTCGTGAAAAGTTGCCGCACGCTCTGGAAAACCCGACGAGGCATGGATTTCAGTGTTCTGAAGAAAGTTGGCTCAGTTTCCAATGCACGGCCAAGTTTGGTACTATCCTCGTAACGCTTCATGGTTTCCGGAGAGACCGAGATTCTGCGCTTGAAAGAGAGATCACCTGGCGCCGCTTCGACCTGGTAAGGCTTCTTGAAAGGGACCATGCTTCGGACTGTGAAGAGGACACGCATACGACCATCGGAGTTGATCGCTCTGATATTTCTGACTAGGGAGCCAGTTCGGGAGATGAACAATGTGCCTCCAACGCTCATCATGATACAGATACCACCAAATAGAGATTTCTGCCACATCGGAATAGGAACCAGAGGATCCCGGAGAACCGCGTTCGAGTTGTAGATGGAATAGGCGAAGCAAAACGCGGACAGACCATATGCAGTTAAGACATATGGGCGATGAGAAGGAGCCTTGAACAAAAGCACTTGTCCGACTTGTAATACTTTCGCTTGTAGCTTCGCAAGGGCGCGGGGGTTCTTGTTCCCATAAGGACTTGCGGCTTGCCACGCGGAATCGACAGTTCTGGCCACACCCTTGGCCTTGTAATGAGGCGCACTAGAACTGAAATAGCGCAAGGATGACGTCGAGTTCATCTGAAAGCCAGGTCGCATTGGACTTTGTAGGCATTGGCGCCAGAATATTGAGAAGGTGGGTGGTCTGACGGACATGGTTGCACTGAGCCTATGCTCACGTTAGTAAAGCAATCAAGGCCATGACACGCAGCCAATTGACACCAATGGATCCGAATATCAACGACTAAATAGGTTCGCTCAGTAACTTACTAGGATGAGATATCAATTGACCGTCGTTCTTGTCGGAAATCGCCGATAATGGCCAAAACAGTAGGCGGCAGAAAAATGTTCCCGTCCCGGCCGCCGGTGAAAGCTCCCAACGCCCTCAACACCTCCAACGGTTGCTTTGGATTATCTCTCCAAACACACGACATCCAACAAATTGAACTCGGAGATTTGTGCGCTTCGACCTGGTGGTGGGCTCTTCGTTGATCCTGCTCGTTCCTTTTGAATCCAGCGGCCGCGGCGAGTTGCGACACCGGCCGAAGATCCCAATCGGCACCGCAGCACTCCCAATCTTCCAAAACTCCAGAATCACATAGCAATGGCAGCCAAGATCACAGTCGGTCAGGTTCCGGCCATGTTTGCCCGACGTCAGCAGAAGGTGTTCGGTGTCGGCAGACGTGAGTTTCCCATCCACGTTCATGGCAAACACCGTCTCCGCAACGGAAAGCCGCTCCTCTGAGCTCAACTCTACGGCGGAAGCTACTTGCGATATAACAATCATTACTTAACATCCGCTAACACTGTCATCCCTTCTAGGCCTGCAATCCACCTCTCCTACAACCCAGAACCCCGCCTATCCCCTCTACCCCTCCGTCGCTCAGCTCCTCCGTGAGAAGGGCATCTCCAAGTCCGATGTCTCCAAGATCCCAGCCTCGGGCCCCAAGGGTCGTCTGTTGAAGGGTGACGTGCTTGCATATATCGGCCAGATTCCCGCGGACTACCCGTCAACCCAGGCCGCCACTCTGGCCAAGCTTTCCCACCTCGATCTGAGCAACATCAAGATCGCCCCGGCCCCGGCCCCGGCCGCGCCGGCTGCGGCCGAAGAGAAGATTGCCGCCGAGCCCTTGCCCATGACTTCCGTCGCGATCTCCATCTCCCTGGCTGCCGTGCTGTCTACCCAGAAGAAGCTCCAGGATAACTTGGGTGTGACGGTCCCGCTGTCCCGCTTCCTTGCCGTGGCTACAGACCTTGCCAACGACGACCTGCCCCGCTTGGCTAGTTTCAAGCCCTCCGCCGATGAGCTTTTCGATGAGGTTCTCGGTGCCGAGCCGATCAACACATCACGCGGTGATTACGTTCCCGAGGTGAACGCTTTCGAGGCTCCTAAGACTGTCCGCTCTAAGCCTGTCACCGAGGACCTGATCGATTTCCTTAGTGCTAAATCGTCCAAGAAGTCTGTCCCCCCGGCTTCGGTTGAGGGCTCCTCTGGCGTTGCCTCCAATGTTTTCAGCTTGACCATCCCTGTTGGTGAGGAGGTCCGCGCTAAGGAATTCCTGGCGCGAATCAAGACTCTTCTCTCAGTTGAGCCGGCGCGGTTGGTGCTTTAGATTTCCCTTGGTGTTTCAAATCTCCCTTCTTCGAGCTTTTTCTTTTGTTTGTTCCCGGTCATCTGAGCCAAAAACTGGGCAGGCGAAGCTCATTCATGAATGTATACAGTATAGCATAGTTAATCAGATATTTCCTTGATTGGGTTACCTCGCTTGAGAAAAAGAAATTAGATAACAATACTAAAAGAATGGTCTTAACCAAGTTGAATAAAACACTTGGACCTCCAAGAAACATGTACGTGCTTATCAATTTCGATTCTCATTTCGTTTCCGGCATGGTTTAGATCCCATGAAGGTCGGTTGGCACAGCTAAATCCTCTGAAATGGGAACACAGGCACAAATTCGTGCGGGAAAAAAAGGGTCATGTCATCATCAAAAGCAACCCTGGAAAGGACAAATTGTAACGAGAACCCCTGCGCAACGCCGCATACCGGCAACCAGGAAACACCACAAGCGCCGTCGCTCAAAGCCTTGAAGAAACGTGGATGTAGAAAATGTTCGCTCGACTCCAAGGCATCCGGCCAGTATGGCCAGCCTAAATCACAGAGAGAGTTGGGACGAACCAATGGAAGAGGTCAAAGAAAGCAGGAGGAAGCAGAAAAAGCAAAGAAAAAAGAAAAGAGAATTCAAACAAACAAAAAACCCATTCCGAATGAAGGAGCGCCAGACGTCCACCCGCGAAATGCTTAGAACCACCGATTGAAAGAAAGATGCAATAGATGCGGACGCATAAAAAGACGAAGACTCAGATCCCTCTCAGGCCATGCAATGATTTTCCCCCAGTGACCAAATCGAAGCGAACCGAAAAACGCCATGTCGAATGCAAATGAAGAGGCAAATTAGAAAGTAGAGGGAATTAGCCGAACTACCGGATGGTGCCCCATTCGGCCAGTTTGCTGCCTTCCCGACGAGTGTCTCTTGTAGCTCGTCTATCAAATATTTTCCAGAATCTGAGTGTTTCGTCGCCTGCTCCAGTTACGACAGTCTGGCCGTCAGGGCTCATGGCGAGGTAAAGAACACGGAAAGTGTGGCCGGTCAGCGAGACGATTTGTTCCATACGTGGGTATTTCCAAATGACGATTTGGTTCTGGCTGTAACCGTGTGTGCTGATGATCTCGTCTGAGTTTTTGGACCAAGAGAGGTTGCAGACCTGGCTACCAGTGTCCACCTCTTTGATCATTGAGCCGGTTTGTGTGTTCCAGAACTTAATCGTGCGGTCAGCGGTACCGCCGCCAGAAGCGAGAAGATGATGTTGATGAGGAGACCATGCAATGGCCTTGACTGCAGCATTATGGTCGGAGAAACGGTAGAGGGGTGTCTCGCTCAGCTTATCCCAAACCATCAGTTTGTTGTCGTTGCCGCCGGATGCTAATTGGCCATCTTCCGTATTCCACTTCAAACCACAAACTTCTTGTTTGTGACCAGAAAGCTTTCGAATATACTGGTCCGGAGACCGAACGTCACGGTGATAAATGAGACGGTCTCGAGATCCCGATGTGAGGATGTGATCGTTCCACGCCAAAGCACCAACTCGGTTGGTATGTCCAATCATGGTTCGTAGCCGCCGACAATGCTCAGCATCCCATATTTGTACCAGACCTTTACCCGTGCCAATTGCAAGATGTGTACCCTGTAGTCCATGGTGTAAGTATCATGTCTGGAGCTTTGACATGGAGATTCCTTGCTTACCCTTTGAATCCAGCTCACGCTGGTCACTGTATCATCCTTCAGCTCGCACAACCTCGTAACTCCACCAGTGTGGGAGTTCCACATGTAGACAGAGTTGGCCAATCCAACGCCAAGAACATTACTACTGCCCCAGTCCACCAGGTTCAAATAGAAATCATCTTGAAGATCCGGCGCATCCAAGACCTTGTAGGGCACCTTGTTTACATACCGGGCCTGTTTTCGAGGTGTTTCGAGAATACGCTGACTGTCATATCGAATAGGAGAAAGACTGTAGAGTTCAGAGCGAACGTCTAAGTTGGGGCCATGCACACTCCGAGGGGTTTTAGAGGGGGTTGGGTGTCCCGATCCGGGCCGTGAAGGTCCATAGTTGAAGAGGTTCTTGTGTGGTGTGGTGGGGGTGATGCTAGCGGGAGGGAGATTGGCAGCGATATGGGCGGGAGGTGTATGGGATCGAGTCTTATCATTGATTCCATTGCTGAAGCCGAGCAATGGGTCGGATGGCGCAGAGTTCAAGTCGGGCTGTGGGACCGTGTTTCCAAACAGCTCACTGCGCAAAACTCGGGAAAATGTACGGTTGGCTTCCTCGGCTGCGGTTAAAAGTCAGTTAAAATGTACAACACATTGGGTTCCGATATGTAACACACTCTTTTGGAAATGAAGTTCGGAGTGAGGGGGGCGTTTCTTGGCCTTGGAAGGAGTAGATGGGCAACCATCTTCATGCAACAGACTATAAGTCGCTTGGAGATCTTGTCCGTCGCGATTGGGAATGAATCTGGATTATGGTCAGTAGCTGGGTCATAAATGACTGCCATTGTTTTGTCGCAGGCTTTCTGATTGAAAACCATCAAAAGTGTGGCTTACCGGTCCCCATAAACCCGCTGTCTTTTGCGACATGGACTGGAGGCCGGGGTCCTGTCCCGCCGGCTCCCAGCAGTCTCATAATCTTTCAATGCTTTTGCAAGCGCACTAGGGTCGATTGCCTCTGCTCCATCTTGCCGTTGGCGGCTGCCCGAATTTGAATTGTCTGGGAAATACATCGTGCGTTTTGACGGCATGCTTGGCGGTGTCTTCGATCCAGGTGGTGATGCGATGTTTGAAATCTGCGATATTTGAGGTCTTGTTGCCGACCTGTTCCCGGCCTTCTCTGAATTCTGAGGTCTGTCCGCCATGGCGATGTCTGGTTGTCTGTCTGAGCCCCGAAGACAAAGTGCAACCGATCAAGACAGAGAGAAGAGTTGCATAAGATGGAAGTGAAGTGTCTGTCAATCGACGATGTGAAACTTTCAGAGATTTGGGTGTAGGGTCAAGGGTATTTGAAGGGCGATTCGCAGAGGGTCCGTTGTTGTTGATCCAGAGGCGGGATGATGGCCCCAGCCGTTGACGCCTGAAGATGGAAGATGTTCCAGGATTAAAGCACGATCAGACCCTGTTTCACCAGGCAGGTCAACAAAGAAGTGTCTGAACTGCAAGCAAATGAATGAATGAATGTCTTCAAGGGAGTGACGGAGTTGCGCAGGGCGACTCTCTGGGTCACGCGTCGGGTACGCTAACCCGATTTAGCGAAGGCAATCGGGTCCCATCAACCAGGTCAAATCAGTTGTCCTTGGCTTTGACCACATTAATATTTTATTAACTATTTCAAAAGTGGACCTCGGGAGTCTAGCTCTTTACATATGTAGTTTACTCTCACAAAGCAGTCTTATGCTGGTTGCCGAGATTTTTGGAAACGTTCTGTGTCAGCATGGCTTTGTTGCAATTGAGACTGATACCACACTGTTAGTCCTGTTGTTTACTGGAAGGGACGCGCCCAAACTGGTCTAACTGGACCACTGAAAGTGGGGGGGATGTGAGGGACCTGTACATTCCGTATGGGCCGTTTTACTAACGCGAAATCTGCAGATTGATTTGGTCTACGCGCTTGCTTCGACGCGACGCGACAAAGCTTGGGCCATAGCAACGACAATACCAAGCCTGATTTCCCAAGAAATTCTATAGTGGGGTCGACCAAAGAACCAATAATCTATATGCATGTATGGAAATACTAATAGTAATAATTTAAACGTACAATGTCTATCTAAACACCTAAATACCAATGGTTCCAAGACTACGCTCTAGTTTCACTGGTGGCTTTGTTACGTGACATTTCCGCAGTCACCGCCAAACCAATAAAACCTCCGGCGGCAAAAGCCAACTTTCTCTCTTTGTGCACCCTGCAATGGTCCTTAGGCGTCTTTGTCCTAATATTATTGGTTGTTCTCATCGTTATTCTACAATGGCTGCCAAGCAACCTGCTCTGGACTTCTTGTCCTTTGTGAATTCTGCTCCTACCCGTATGTAGTCCCCATCCAATGAGGTGGAATGTCACTGATCTGTCTTATCTCCAGCTTTCCATGCCGTCCACGAAGCCAAGCAGCTTCTGGATAAAGCTGGGTTCCAAGAAATCAAGGTCTGTTCAAGCTGAACATCGTAGTAATAAAATTGTGGCTCATCTATCAATAGGAGAGAGACTCTTGGGCGTCGACCTGCCAGCCGGGAGGCAAGTACTACTTGACTCGCAACACTACTACCCTTGTGGCTTTTGCGATCGGCAAGCAATGGCAGGTGTGTATCAATCGCGGAACTGTGTAAATGACCTTTCAACTAATCATGCACATTAATCATGGATATAGCCGGGCAATTCCATCTCTATGATCGGTGCCCACACCGACTCTCCGGTGTTGAGGGTCAAGCCCGTTAGCAAGAAGAGCGGGGAAGGTTTCGTTCAGGTCGGTGTTGAGACCTACGGTGGAGGCATCTGGCACACTTGTAAGCGCCCTTGGTTACCCTCAAGCTATTACTGTCGCTAATTTCATGCAGGGTTTGATCGTGATCTGGGTGTTGCTGGCCGGGTTATGACTCGTGAAAGCGATGGATCCATCGTGCAGAAACTGGTCAAGATTGACCGTCCCAGTATGTTTTATGTTGACCCGATAAATGTGCCTTGCTAACATAGTAGTCCTCCGTATTCCAACACTGGCCATCCATCTAGATCGCCAGGAGAACTTTGAATTCAACAAGGAAACACAGCTGTTCCCTATCGCTGGCCTTATTGCTGCAGAGCTCAACCGCAATGGAGGAACCGACACCCCTCACACAGAAAAGGGTGAGGAATTATTCTCACCATTGAAATCTGTCACTGAACGTCACCACTCTCACTTTGTTGAGCTTATTGCTGCTGAGGCTGGCGTCAGTCCTGGCGATATTCTGGACTTCGAAATGATCCTGTTCGACACTCACAAGTCCTGCCTCGGTGGTATGCTGGAAGAATTCATCTTTTCCCCTCGCCTAGACAACCTGAACAGCACTTTCTGTGCCACAGTTGGTCTGATTGACTCGGTGGCCGACGAATCAGCCCTCGACAACGAAGAAGCAATCCGCCTGATTGCCTTGTTTGACCACGAGGAAATCGGAAGCCGCACAGCACAGGGTGCGGACTCGAACATTCTTCCGTCGATCATTCGCCGTCTGTCCGTCCTCCCATCCTCCTCCTCCAAGAGCGCCGACCTATCAACTGCCTATGAGCAGACTCTGTCCACCTCCTTCCTTGTCTCTGCCGACATGGCCCACTCGGTCAACCCCAATTATGCGGGGAAGTACGAGTCGGACCACAAGCCGGAGATGAACAAGGGCCCGGTGATTAAGATTAACGCCAACGCTCGCTATGCGACGAACTCTCCCGGAATTGTTCTCCTGGAGGAGATTGCGCGCAAGACCACCAAGGAGACTGGCGAGCACGTTCCTCTCCAGCTCTTTGTGGTTCGTAATGACTCTAGCTGTGGCAGCACCATTGGCCCTATGCTGTCTGCTGCGCTGGGCGCGCGGACATTAGATCTGGGTAATCCCCAGCTCAGCATGCACAGTATCCGTGAAACAGGCGGCACCTATGATGTTGGCCATGCCATTCGTCTGTTCACTGGCTTTTTCAAGCATTACTCAGAGCTGTCGAAGACGATCCTGGTGGATTAAGCTTACCGTGAATAAGTACATGAAGTAGCACAAACAATAAACTACATTCAACCAGAGTATTATTCCATTTTAAAGCGAAGAACATCTTAAAATAAATTAGAAACCTACTGTGCATACATGTAGTACCTTGGGAGAAGCACGTGGTCCGGACCGAGGAAAGTCCGCCTTGTCACATCTCCGTCTCCAACCCATCCATACATACCCCAGCTCACTAAACTACGGGGAGTCTCCACCTCGACTCCGTATACCTCGCTTGTTGGATAACGTCCAAGCCCTCATGACCCTCTATGACAGACGTTGGTGCCTATCGGGATGCGGAATACATCGCTGACGTGTCCGGCATATCCTATGACGATGCGGAGCCCCCGATGCCAACTGGCACGCTCAGCAGCCAAAACGCGCGTGTGAAGAAAGTCAAGTCGACCGCCAAAGTGGCCTTCATTGATCGATTGCTGCGCGATCTCGACATATTAGTTTATTGTCAACTCTCCGCCCTGTATTACATGGAGTAAGTCCAACCCAAACCCCGGCAATGATCCCCACCCCTCTTTCCACTGCGACAAACCGCTAACATCTGTCTCTCTTGGTCTAGCTGCTCGATTATCCTATTTGCCATACGTGCCATCGTCGAATTGATCTTCTTCACGCCAAAGGCACCGCCCTTTGAGCCCACACGTAATCAACCGTTTGTCGCCGCCATCATCGGCAGTAACCTCATCTGCATACTCTTCCATGCCTTCCTGATTCGTCCCGAAGCTGGCGAGGAAACACGCGGCTACCTACATGGGGGACTGTTCATCGATTTCATCGGGCAGACTCCCGTCTCTGTTTACCGGCTTCTCTCGTTTGACCTTTTAATCTTTCTAATCGATTTTATCATGCTGGCCTTGATTATCGAGCGGGTGAAGACTAATGGAACCCCCGCCCCAGCGCCTACTCCACCGAATCCAGATACAGCCACAGATACAACCACAGATACACGCCTAGACGCGGACGAGTCCCAACCACAAGACCATGATGCCGAAGAGCGTGGCGTTCTCCGACAAGAAAACGACGATGAAACAATGTCCCGCGCTCATCATAGTTCCGATTCACATCACAGTAACGGCATCGACGAAGAGGTTGAAGAAGAGCGCACAACCCTCTTGGCCGACCCGGCCGACGCTGGATCTGACAGTGGTGCTCGGGGCGAGCATCCGATGGATACATTCGCGGCTGGCGAGGCTGTCATTCTCAACATGAGCTTCCTAGGTACAATTCGTGATCAGTGGCGCCACTCAAATGCGGCGGCACCGTCGACGTCGGGCTTCGTGCCATCACCCGAAACAGCAACGTTCCTCCGACAGCGGTTTGGTCTCCAGGTTGGGACTAATGGTCGCATTGAGCGTGCAAATACAATATGATGCAAATCTATATCTCAGCTCCGGTAGTAAACTATATATGTATTAGTAAATTCTCATGAACAAAAGCTTTACTACCATGCTTACAGGTTGTTTTGTTGGATATATATATATCCCAGCAGTATCCAGAACCAAAACTACTTTGGAAACAAACTCCCAAGTAGGGAAGAGAATATTATTCTGACCGGTTTTATTAAAACATAATCTTACAAAGCGGCTGATAAAGTCCTATGGGCCAAACAGGAGACAACGAGAACTCCTAGTATATACCAAAGCACCATAAACACATTATGCAATTTACGCAGTAGGAGGCTTAGACTCTTCCCCAGCGCCCTCCTTCGCCTGGACTCTACGGTCCAGAATCTCATCAATAACACCTAGCTCGAGCGCCTCGCTGGCACCCATAAAGTAGTCGCGCTCCATAAGCTTCTCAATCTCATCGAGGGACAACTGCTTCTTGCCAGTAAGGTGGCGTTGGTAGATCTGATTGAGCTGAGTGCGCACGCGCAGGATCTCTTTCGCATGAATAGCGATGTCGGACGCTTGTCCGAAGTAGCCGCCTGAGGGCTGGTGCACCATGATCGAGGAGTGCGGGAGACAGTAGCGCTTGCCTGCTTCGCCACCCGCGAGAAGAAGGGAACCCATCGAGGCGGCTTGGCCAACGCAGATTGTGCTCACGGGAGAGGCGATATATGTCATTGTATCGTAGATCGCGAGGCCTGTGGAATAATTAGTTAGTATAGGTCGAGGATGGCCATTGGGGCAGGCTCACGTACCGGCTGTTACTGAGCCTCCTGGTGAGTTGATGTAAAGATGGATTGGTTTGGCAGGGTTATCGGCTTCGAGGAAGAGGAGTTGGGCGACTATCGATGCGGAGAGGGTGTCGTCGACTTCGCCGTTAAGACAGATGATGCGCTCCTGCAAGCTTGATTAGCACGGGTAGGCTGCGGAGGGGGTATTCTCCTAGATTATGGTTACCTTCATTAATCGAGAAAATATATCATCTGCGGTGCGCGATATAGGTTAGTAGGTTGATTATGTTTCGGGCCATTTACAAGCTTCGTCGACGGATTCAATTGCGCAACATACAAGTGTGCCAGCCGCCTCCCTGTTCAGTGTGATTAGTTTATGCGCATTGACTAAGTTTTGCCCATAGAGGGTATCAAACATACCACTGTCTCTGTCACGAATGGCGTCGGTGTCCAACTCCGCGGGGGCTGAGCAGGCGAGGGTCCTTGGTTGGAGAAGCATCGTGCAAATCTGGCTGCGGGCCGAGCGATAGCAACGGGGGAATTCTGGATAGACCGCCCTAGCTGGCGTAGAGGAGCTCTTGGAGGCATCTTCAAAAATATGCAAAAGCGATTTGTAGTTGTATGGAGTTGGAGATGCAGAGTCGGGAGACCCTGGACGGTGAACCATCTGATACGATAAGAGCGGCGCTAAGATAAGGAGCTCGAGTGAACAGCGGCAGCAACAATGCCACCCGCAGTGATGGTCTTCCTCTAATATCAACTTTCTCAGGAGAATAAGATGCTTCTGGGAGAAAGTTTTGATATCCGTATTATCTGAGAACCGAATTAGGTATTCTCACCCCTGTAACGCTATTCGGCAATCACTGTTCGATCAACAACTTCTCCGCAAATAAGGGGCTCCGATTGGCTCCTGCAACAGCTCCGAGATCATCTTTTCCGCCCTGAACTGAACTCGACTCACCATCAGCTCTATTCCCCCAACCGTCCAAACAATGGAGTGTGTGGGTACGCGCATCCCGTACGCAAAGTGGCGCCTGAGTGCGTTCCGACAATTACTAGCGACTTCACACGCTCAGGCAGTCAGTCGGGGCATCTCGACCTCGCGACAAACCGACCAACTCAATAAAACTACGTTGGAAACAAAGACAGGCAATTCGAATGCAGACTCCATACCTCCTTCGCAGCGGCTCCCACAGTCTCCTCTCCTCACACGTCCTCGCTCTGGGGCGGAGAAGGTTCGCAAAAGACGCCCCACGACACAGGAGGAAGCCGACCTGCTCAAGAACCCATGGGCCCTGATGCTGGCTTCGCCGGCACGTATGTGCTCTGTAACTGGTGCACGACTTCCATCTGCCCTGCTGGGGAATTGGGGGCTTGTTAGACAACCAAATTCAGACAAGCTTTATATGATGCCCGTGGGTCTGCTGCAGGACTCGCTGCAAAGCAATCAGACCAAGAACTTCGGCTCCTCATCAGAGCCAGCGATTCCAGACCAAAACGAAAGTCCGATGGGGATACAAGGCAAGGAAGAGGATTCCTTGGGTGCATCACCAATTCCAACAACCCCGGATAAGCAGACTGGACGCCAGCTCGTGCTTCGCATTGCTGAGCTTCTTCCACTCATTCGATCTATTTCAGTGCCACTCTCTAAGAGGGGCGGGAAAAAGGTAGCGATTATGCGGCTGTTGCCGTTTCGATGGAAGCACCCCCAGGGTCCTGTGACGGCGCACGAAGAGAAAAGAATCATCTGGTCGGAGGATACGCCGGAATTTGTATTGCGCAGTATGAGGGATGTTGTTGTAAAGAAGCTGGGTGCAGTCCTCGAGAAATACAAGCGCGTCGGCACCCCCAATGGGGTCTGGAGGGCTCTGGATCTGCCCGAGTACTCGGATGATGCGCTGAAGGACGCTTTGGGAAGTCTGGAGCGATTTGATCGTATGGAATGTGGTGGAGTCCTGCTTCTTGGCTCAAAGAATTCTGCGGCTACCGGTCGTACGTCTCAACCGAGTGGCTCTTTGGACTCGGTGGCTCTCACGCAAACCGGCTCGAAGGTTCCTGTGTTTGATCTGTCAGTGCTTTTTTCTGAGTCTGATATCAACAAACTCCGTGAATCCCACGGTCAGTTCCAACACACTGCACTGTTCTTCAGACCAGAGGATCAGCTCGGTATTGATGCGATGATATCCCTCTGGAAAATCAAACGACTTCTTAGTGGTGTTGATCTGACAGAGCAACGAAGTCGTCGCATAATCAAATAATAAAGCGATCTAAAGGCTCAGTTGTTCGACCTTGGTGTTGTGAGGATATATCGATCTGTGAGGCCACAGTTATAGGGATCATCTCGAGGTGGAGCCCAAATCGATGGGAATCAGAGTCACATGCATGGATTTGGGCAAGAACATAGTGAGTTGAAAAATGCAGCATAACAATTACGCTAGGGGCAGTTATATGGCAATGAAAGGAGCCATATCGTGACGAGAACCGCAACGATGAGTCCGTGTCTACATTTGATATATACAACTGTTTACAGTCCATTTTCACATTTCTTCTTGGATCAAATGTCGATTGTCCTATCTCGTATAAGATCCGTATCTGATCATTTCAAGGTTGCACTCATATCCCTCCTGCGAAGTCAAGGTTTGCTTTGGCTGTGTTTTTGCCTTGCGGATCCGGCCTTCATTTCACCCCAGTGTGTATATATAGAGCCATTCCCACCGGTTTCTCGGGAGATCAACTGCCCTGCCTCTCTCCGTTTGTCGATCAATATCAAATGCCTCTATTTTACATACTTCTATATAGTCTTGACGTATAACGTCTTGAGGCTTGTTACCATCCTCGGAGTTTGGACATACTCACTGTCTCTCTCTGCCCAGGTATTCTGCGACAAAACATTTAGGCGCCGGCCCCTTCAGCTATAAAATAAGGATACGAAGAAAGAGAACCATTAAGCTCCTTTTCATTGACTTTCTTTCACTAGGTTTTCATTTACCATGATGGACAACTGAAGATGAACAAGGTAATTTCCAACCTCATATTTTTCAAACCCATGAACTCACTAGCTACGATAATATCTTCTTCTGAGCCTCGTCCTCCTATTGTCACGACCTTATCAAGCATAAATTTGCCCCAGCCCAACTTTCAGTTGTATTTGTAATGGCTTAAGCCTACTTTTGCTCCTTCCAGTGCCATTAGTAGGGGTGGTTGACCGGGTGATTGGAGTAGGATCAATGGCATCTTTGCTGTGCATCGACGCCTCAGAGCTCAGAGCCAATGGTGACGGTCTTGGTTTCCAGACCTCAAGGGATCGAAGTGGGTGGGGTACCTGCTGCTTCGCGCGACCCATCAGGCATAGCTTGGCATATGAGATGGGCGGAGTCTGAGTTATAAGGACCCGGAACTATTCAATAGTAAGAAGTATAGACGAAAAGCGACATTGAGACGATATAAATTACTGTGGTCATAGAGGCCATGTTCCGGCCTGACTCGTGGAAATTGCGAAAGGCACACTCTCTCAGTGGGTGGCCGACTCGGCCGCACGCTCGACCTGGACGTTTGGCTGCCTGTAGATATGCGCAGATGAAGTCAGCTACCAGATTAACAATGAAACAAATGTCTGTGTATTGAGGTCTGTATGGCAGCATCTCCCAGTGTATATGGGCCGCCCTTTGATGGCTGAGCCGCGCCCATCTAGATTGCGGATCCCAAACCGAAGCCCACAATACCAGAAGCACAGCATAATGGAAGACCGAAAGAGCTTACCATGATAGTAGGTGTTGTTGCCACCCAGGGTGGATAGAGTTTTGAGAGAATGAGGATGTAGAGGGAGAGGGGTTGATGGAGGTGGTCTTTGAGGAGGGGGGAATGGGGGACCTAGATGTTGAGATGGTTGTGGAAGCAAAAAGGAAAGAGCTTAATAACATACGTACTAGGTATTTGTAGACATCTCTGGCTGGAAATACATATATACAGATACAAATTCAGAGCAAACCAACGACAAAGTGAGCAAATACGAGCTCAGTTTCCTAGAACCTTGAATCGGATTTTATTGACCAAACAAATCTTACAAAAGTGCCAATGATCATGATCTTTGCTTCACCAAAAGTGAAGGTCTATGTAGGTATCCGGATTCTCGGGGGTTTCGTTCACGTTGTCCGGGTCCTCACTTTTCTCACTATCAAAATTGGCCCCATAGGGGTTGTTGTTCTCCGGACGGAAGGAACACTTGTTCGCACCGCTTGAGAAGTTACGACTCGCGCACGCCCAGGACCATTGAATCGAGGGTTGTTTCGGATCGGGAAGAAAAAGGACACGACAGTTCACAAACCGCCCATTCCCCTTCGCACAACTGTCGCACTCTTGGCCAACCGGGGCCTGATGGCCGCATAATTGTCCAATCACAGACCGTAAGGGCATGCCCGCGCGGGCGGAACGCTGCGCATCGGCACGGGTGGAGCGCCAGTCAATGGCCGTAGGCATCGGAAGCATCCGTGCGAACTGGGGATCGGAACCGGTCTTGTTCATATTCCCGAGATACGGCAGGCCGTTCGTGTCCATATTGGAGTGGTTTGCTACCAAAGGGTTAGTACGGAAACCAACATGGGCCTGAAAGTCACAGTATTAGAGTTCTGGTTCTATTGCATTAGCTTGCGAGTACTCAAACTTACCAACTGTGTTCAGTGCTCAGATAGGAAGTAGTGGGACGGGGCACCAATGTGTTGTTAGTCGCAAAAGTTTTCGGTTTCGCTTTCTGTAGTATAATAATCGGTGGAGACGTTGCACGTGGGGGAACGAGCAATGGAAGCGCGGAGTCCACAAATCTCAACGTGCGAGGTTCAAGAGGCACCGGTGGACGGTAAACGGGAGAGTCTCCAGGTTGTGGATAAGAATCGCGGAAACGTGGCTGCCCTTCTTCGACTGCGGTAGCCCGTCGCTATTCGGTCTTTAGCCTCGCTCATAGGAAGAATTGTCCCTTCTTGTGGAGATAGTCAAGGATGTGCATCCTACCCGGAAAGTCATTGCCCCATCCCTGAGACCAGAAAAGATGGTAATTGGGCATCCCAAGCTAACATGACTGCTACCTCTGCAAACATGGCAATGAGCCCGCGCTTCCTAGAGATATCCACATATTATGTTAGTCACCAGTCAAACCTCGTAGAGATATTGTATATAGGTAGCATGGCATTGTGCATGCTAACAGACAAGGCGGATCCAGTCTCAAGATGCACGACAGCAGAAGTCAAACGAAAAGACATAGGAGCGGTAAGCCTGATTAAAGAGAATGCACACAGTATCCAAGTGCAGACTCACCTTTGCAGTGTCTCGCTCACGAGCTCCTCCATTGCCGAGGGGAACTGAGGCTGACATCGTAGATGTTTGAGAGACAAAGGGATTGTTGATGAAGAAAAATAAAGAAGAGAAGCAAGATCTCAGGCGTAACTGACTTTAGTTCAAAAAAGGAAAGACTAAAGGAAAGACTAAACACAGGTATCCGAGCCTCAAGGTGGCTTGTGTCCGATTTTCGAAGGCTATTTGGACAGCATCTTCTCAGAACCACCACACACTCTACTCAGATTTTGCTCACTTCGAGTGATTTAGTCATGCTTGCTTGTTGCGTATTTATTGAGGCAAGCCCTTAGCTACTGAATCTATCCATTGCATTTGGTATGCAATTCGACGTCCATTTAGTAGACTTCCTTTCAGCTTATGCAACCCAGTTGGAGATGGAAGTGAAAGAGACAGGATACGAGTTGTAGACATAGAAGGTATTTGACTACGAATAAGATATAATTTATGGCAAACTATCTCCAAAGTGTAATAACAACCTCTCACTTTCCATTCAACTTTGAATCAAATTCATTTACCCACATGGTCACTGTATCTATGTAGGCACAACCTATTCATGGATATTTTGTTATACCTTCTTAGGTAAGAGCCAACCTTGGAAAGCTCAGTCAGTCACACTTTTCGGGCACATTCTCATCTTTCTTGTGCTTCGATATCCAATCTCAATTTCACTATGTATGGGAGTTAGCCTCAGGTTAGATTCATACATATGGAACAGGGTCCGAGACATCCTAAATTCTTGATTTAGAATCATGAATTTTGAATCATAAGATTCAATCCTCAGTACAACAAATAGTGCAAAGAACAAATTCAAAGCAAGATGGTCAGATGAGATGGAATCAAGACGGGATCAGGGATCAGCAAGGAAAACAAATTTCATCCCTAGGTAATCTTGAATCCTAGGTCTCAGATTCGGGTCTGAGATCCCAGGTCCTGGGAATCTCTGTCTTATCCGGTAGCCGATCCCATGATTCCATCTTTTGGTGCAATTCAGGGTATTCTTCAACGAGGTCTTCATGCTGAGTCACTCGATCTCTCAAGGCTTGTACTTCTCGGCTCAGCATTCTGACGACTGCTTCCAGGGTTTTAGAATGAGTTTCACTCTTAGCAAGTTCAACTCCTTTGGCCTTCAGTCTGCGTCGCAATTCAAGTATGGTATATTTCTCCTTAGACAAGGAAGGTCTCTGATCTTCCTAAGTAGGATGGCCTGGACCGGACTGGAAGGCAGGATTTGAATTGGAATTTCTGGGGTCTTGAGTTGCTGATGGGCTTTTGCAAATCCTCAAACTTATTTGGTGCTTTCAATGGTGAAGTTGGATTTCTGTGTATCGCGAGTCGTATGGCTATCAAACCTCGACGAGTGCGAAGAAGAAACGTGTGGTGACTCTGCATGGGATGGAATAAGTATTGGGATTGCGGGACCCACGTGTCGCAATGCGCGTGGTGCAAGTGGCACCGGTGGGCGATGGACAGGAGGGTCGCCAGGACGTGAATGGGCATTCCGCATCTAGATGACTGCTGCTATGGCATATTTTTCAATGCAGACACGCTTTCTAGATATATGCACGTGTGATGTTAGTCGGCAGTCCAATATTGGAGAAATATTGTGAAGTGGCATAGCATTATGCATGCCAATAGGTATGGGCAGCCAAACTTAGATTTGCAGTGTCGCGTTCACTGGCGTCATTCGGTTGACGCTGATGATTTCCATTGCTGGGAGGAATCGGGGGTGTCATAATGAGAGGTTAATAGAGAAAAGGTTGACGATGGGAATTTGAGAGAGGGAAGGGAGAAAAGAGAAAGAGAGAGGAGCAAAATGTCAGTCGTGGTTGTCAAATGCAGGCAAATATCTGAACATCAAGGTGGATTGGACTACTTTTCGGATGCCATTTACATCCTACTCAGGATTTACTCACCTCGTCTGATCTAGTGCTTTCTCGTTGCTTAAAACAAGCTCTTAGCTCCTGCATCGATTTCTATTTCTTTCATTGAGCACCTCCCTGGTTATCACCCTCTTCATCAAGTTTCCATTCAGGACCACTGATTATCCATGAGTCCACACCCACCGGGGGCCGCTACCACTACAACTCGTCACATCCAGATCCCATGTACTCGTCGAGAGACTCTTACCGCACTTTACCACAACGCTCATGCCCATCTCAAGCCTCCGTACCATAGCCACGCCTCTGATGCCTGACTAAAGGCCACCCAACGCGCTTTATAACCACGGCGATCTCAATACCTCTATACAGGAGCTACACCAATGCAACGGGAGAGAGTTGGGGCACGGGGTCGGCTTGGCATACTAAGGTCCAACTTCCAAGGTTACTTAAGTACTCTACCTAGGTACTTTATCAGCCCTGGAAGGCTTTTCAGGTGACTCCCTTGAAATATAGTCCACGCGAGGCATTTACTTCTAATGATAATAGCCTTGGAAACATTCGGGGGCTTTGGAACTTTGAAGGCTCCGCTTTCATGAAAACTTTCAGTCCAGCCCGGGGAGATATGCAGTTCCCCCGGTACATATACTAAGTCTGCTAGCATCGGCTATTAACCAATTCAACGCCGAACGCAACCTAAACCCCAATATTTCCCACCTCTCACCAAAATGCCTGGATGGGTGATAGCTGTTATGGACGCATTCAAATATGCGGGTGCAATAAGCTTCAAACCCGAAAACGATATCCCAGATCTGACCGGGAAGGTCATCTTGGTCACAGGCGGTGGGTTGAACCGTATACCAATGGGGCATAAATGCCGCATCTAACGATATGCACTTCCACAGGAAATGCAGGATTGGGCAAAGAAACAGTCCTCCAGCTAGCCAAGCACAGTCCGAAGAAGATCTTCCTCGGTGCGCGTTCAGAAGCCAAGGCAGAGGAAGCCATCAAGTCGGTGAAAACATCCGTTCCAAATGATGTTGAAATTAGCTGGATACCGTTGGACTTGATGTCAGGTAAATCGATCAAGAACGCAGCGGAGCAAGTGAACGCCCAATCATCCCGTCTCGACGTCCTCAATGCGGGTGTGATGGCTCTGCCCCCTGGCGAGACTGAAATGGGTCATGAGATCCAGCTTGGCACAAATCATACCGGGCACTTTTATCTCACGAAATTGCTGCTGCCAATACTCCTCAAGACGGCCGAGGAGCCTGGCTCGGATGTCCGTGTCGTGTCGCTCGATTCTGTGGGGCATATTTTCGCGCCGGCATTTGAGAAAATCCTGGATCAAGAGAAGCTCAAAAAGGTCAGCACAACTTCTCGGTACGGAGCGTCGAAGGCTGCCAATATTCTCTTCGCCGCGGAACTCAGCAGGCGGTACCCGTCAATAACGTCGGTGGCGGTTCATCCAGGGATTATCGTAACGAATTTGTATGACGCTTTGAATTCGCAATTTCTGTTTGCTGCTTTGGGCACTAAGTTTCTGCGTTTACCTGCCTCGACAGTGCACCAGGGCGCGTGCAACTCGCTGTGGGCTGCGGTTGGTGCGAAGAAGGAGGAGCTCACAAATGGAGGATATTATGTGCCTGTTGGAATTTTGAAACGTCGGAACAAATGGGCATGTAATAAGGATATGGGTAAGCGCTTGTGGGAGTGGACTGAGTTGGAGCTCACCAAGGCCAATCTCTGATAAGATTCGAGTATTTATCTCTTTGTAAGCTGGCACATGATTTCAGCCCAAATTGCCAAGTAGTTACAGTGATATTCGAAATCAGCTTTAACTCTATAATCTCTCTCTCTTTCTTTCCCAAGGCCCACCTCAATCGCGCTAGTCCGTATTAAGATACCTTTCCGCCAACCTTGAATCCGTCGATATACCCTAAGTCTGCGTAAATTACAGTAATTGTATCAAGTGGAATTTTCTACCTCTTCAACATAACGTCATGACTTGCCGTAAGCTTATCACTTCTTCACGATCTGATCTTGCTAAGACAAGAAGATAACAATGATTAATCTAACTCAATCACCGCATTAGTCGAACATCCACACTCCATCATTGGAACCATTCAGTCAGTAGTCTTAAGTGATTTAATAGCATAGGGAGCAACGATACGGTAGTTCGTACGGAGTACTACTCAGCGGCTTCTTTAGACCAAATGGACCACACATTTTTGTTCGAGTCTATCTCGAACGATGTCACGTCCATAGGAAAGGAGCCAAATTATATATAACTATATATCCCATGTGCCCGAGCAACTTCGCCCAGAAGGTATTTGGGGTTTGACGGCGTAATGCGGTTTAAGATTAAGCGGTACTATAGCCGGTCCTGGCGCTGACTCCTACATTTAGCACAAAATTGAGTATAAAAATGAAGGATCTACCTACCGACTTTGACCAGATCGTGTAATTTGGTTAAAAGATGATGGGCCAGAAAGGCAAAGTACAGTAATCCTAGTTCTATAACGACGAGAAAGAGAACGGAGGCAATATGCACGATTGTTGGTGGATTCCACCCAGAAGTGGTAAAAGAAACAGTGGTCGTCATCTTGTTAATCTTAGTAAAAAAGTGAGTATGTATAGAAAGGCTATATAAGGGAAGGGAGTCGTCGACCTATTGAACCTATCAAACGGGTCTCCAACGACCTACTTATAGCTGGGTATACCTACCTGGCTTTTCAGATAGAACATTTGTTTTCCCTATTATCAAGAAAATCCAATTCCGAATTACCTTATACCTAGAATCTCTAGGGTTCGTTACTCGATAGATTGCTCTATTCGAACGTTCTTGTGACCAATATTCTATGGTACCGCTCCAAATCGTCATAGGTGGCTTGGTTTTGCCGAATGATATACCAGCAAAAAGTTTTTCTTTTTTTTTTTTTCTATGCAAACACCTTTCCTCTTTGAGAGGGATTGCTATTGGCTTCCCGAGCATAGCCCCGTGGATTCTTAGACCGATTGTAGAAGCTGAAGAGGGGGTTGGTACCGCGATATTAGGGAAATATAGCCCAGACACCGTTCGTTTTGACAACCGATGTGGTTCGCGCCGAAGCTACATTCCCGAGTCTCTGCTAGCCCGGTCGGTTGAGCCGAGATACTGTGAGAGCACTCCCATAAATGAAGCGTGTAATATTCACTAGGCAATTGCCCCCTGCCGATAATCTGCGACTAGTCCTTCTCCCAGCTATTGCTCCTAGCTCGCCAAAACCAGTGTGATCCTCTGATTATCTGAAAACTACGGGTTTTCACTATAACTGTATGGTTACTTTTCTCACCAGAAACTGCCCATGATTGTGATGTGACAAAATGTAGAGCGGTCAAAAGCCACTTGGATGGCGTGATCGCCCGCTGCTCTGGCGTGTGACCTCAAACGCCACAGACAGTGGGCCCCCATCGGGAGTGGACCTCAGTCCGCTATAATGGGGGATGAACTACGGAGTAGATCTCCCGTGGTTCTGTTCGCCTTTAGCTTTCTCGGTTCTTTCTTCTTCGATCCCTTTCTTCCTATTTAAACCTCCAATGACCCGACGCTCGCTTTCTTTGGATCAACCACCACAGCACCACAGCCCTTACATTTAAGCCGCACGCAGACCCTTCTCTTCAACTGCTCAATCCGGCCCAATACGTTCCCAACGTAAGCTGATTGCGCACTCTACCGTTGTTTCACCGCTGCGTAGGTCCTTGTTGTCCGACGCTTCCCATTCAGGCCAGCCTGCTTTTCCAGGGTATCTAGCCTCCTTTGAGCGGTCCAATTGGGCCCTACTTTGATCTGCGCATACAAGAGATGGTCAGCGATTTAACTTCGGTGAGTACGCAGACGGCAGTGCCAGCCTCGAACCTGTCAATTCTGGACCGTCGAATAACTTCTGCGAATACTACCGCAGCAGGGTCCGCTCAATTCGACTATCATGGCCGATTCCACTCCAGAAGAGGCGGCCCAGGAAGCTAGGAGTCTGGCAAGGGTCAAGGAGCAAGATGAGGAAGCGATGCGCCTAGAGCGCGAGGCCGTGCAAAAACTTCGAAAGATTCGAAAAAACCGAAACCTAGTCATATGCGTTGGTTCAGGCGTGACTCTCTTCTCGACGAGGAATGATGACGGGGAAACCCGAGACCGATTGAAGTGGGCGGGCTTTATTGACAATGGCTTCGGCTACCTCCAGAGACAAAAGCCGAGTTTCTACAGGGACAACCAGAGGAAATTTGCCCAAGCAGCGAAGATGCTCGACGACAAAGACCGCACAGTGGAAGAGGTCCTCTACGTCGCTAGTACACTGACACAATTTATGGGCACACAATCTATAGATACACCTGACTATTTTGCAGATTGGTTTAGCACACAATTCGAAACGCTCTATGACTACGTGAAATATCCCGCCATTCTCGATAGTCTGAATAAACTCCACGAAGCCGGTGTTACCCTTATGACAACAAACTACGACGGCTTGATCGAGCGCCATTGCGGTTTGCAACCCCTCGATGGCTCTCAGCCGCAGCGACTCGTGCGCTTCAACCGGAGAGAGTTATCCGACACGGTCCTTCCCCCCCACGGCTACTGGGAGAACACAAAGCATATTGTGTTGGATTCCCGACAGTACTATGAGGTCCAGCGTAAAGACAACGACGTGCGACAGACGTTGGAAGACATGTTGAAGGGGAGGACGGTGGTGTTTGTTGGCTGTGGAGCGGGCGTAGACGATCCCAACTTTGGCCAACTCTTGCAGTGGCTTGGTAAGCAGCAGAGGGATGTTAGCTACGGCCACTACATCTTGCTTAAAAAAGGGGATGATTATCCAGAGCTAGAAGGCTTGCCTTTGAGAAAGGTCCATGTCGCGGAGTTCGAGGACATTGCACAATGGCTGGATGACCTGTTGTTGGATCCGAGCGGGAGCTCAGACGGCACTCGTGAGTAGATTAGCATATTCGAGCCATCCATCTTTGCGCAACAAAGCTCTTCTTTCCTCGAACTGACAATTTAGCGAATGCGGAGATAAACCTCCGTCACCGGGCCAACCCACCGATCACCTCAACACTACCTCCTGTTCCAAGAGTTAGAGTAGATGCCCCTCCCTTAGCGGCGGCGCCTGCCGACCCACATGCCCCTTTCGATGCAACAACACGTATGTCGCCAACCGCCTTGTGCGAGGAAGGCTCAGGACTCATGCGCTCGTCGAAAGGCAACCGAAAGGCCGAAGCAGAGATATTCCAAAAGACGGGCACGCTTCATCAAACCCTCGAAGGCCATAGAGGCTGCGTCGAGGCCGTCGCATTCTCGCCAGACTCCACAACACTTGCCTCGGCTGCAGATGACAAGACTATCCAGGTCTGGAATGTAAACACGCTCCATAGAATCACTCGCCTCAGTACCAATTCCTATGGCGCTATGGGCAATGTTAGAGATATTGATGAAGCGTTCCAGAAGGCAGCTGAGAAGGGCCACATGCTGGCAACAAAACGGTTGCTCCAGAACTGTGAGAACATCGCATCCAGACGTGACTTCTGCGAGCATAAAACATCAATAGCATGCCAGCTGGCTTCTATAGGGCTCTGTTGTGCGTGCGCCGATCAAAGGCCCATCTCAGACCACTATGAAATTTACGCCGATGGTAAAGGTCTCACCCAAACCACAAAAAGGTGGCTGCACTATTGTCCATCATGTAAACGTGAGCGTGGTCTACCTAATACAGTGAGGGCGCTGGACTAACAAGCTAGGATGCAGAATATTTACAGAAGAATATCTCATCCATTCAAGCATAAATTCTTTTGACAGCTACGTCTCTGACCCGGGAATTTTCAATGGATGTGTCTCTTTCGGGCTGCTTGGTGCGGCAGCCACATTAGAGGCCGTCACGTTAAATCCAGGAGGGGGAGATGGGAGAACATTGATGTTGATAGGTGGATACGGCGTGCCATCCCCGAGAATGTTACCGGTTTTTCGCTTGTCTTTCTCCAGCCGCTGCTGCTTTTCCATGTATATCTCGTCCCGGATTTCGTCGGAAACATCTTTATGCGTCTCCGGAACACCACCTTTCTCGGCGTAGGTAACCGGTCGCTTAAGGGATTGTGTGCGGAGTTGATAATGCTTTTTCCCCACTGGATCTAGGCAGCAGTCGGGGGCTTGGTGGCATGCAGCTCAATCGCATTTCATCACGTCATGAAAGCGGCGCCAAATTGCTTGCTGACAACATGCATTTTCTTCAGCATCTAGCTGCGAATCTCAATCATCGAGCATCCTCTTTGTGATAGACGATTTCGCTCTCTTCTCCCCTTTCCGATTATCGGACAGAGAAGTACAATCCTCTACGTAGTTGAAACAAGCACTCAGCGTGAGTCACTTGTTGTTTTTGGATTGGTGTCGAGACAACGTCGGTCTTATTAAGCGCCTGGTCAGATCACGCTGGGACCGATCGTTGACTGACACAACAATCGCCGTGTTATTGACTCTGACCCTCTTGTTGCGGGAGACTTTCTCTCGGACAGTCTGTAGCTTCTGCTCTAGGAACCGCTGCTAGTAGGCGCTCGGGACCAATACCAGGTCTTCTTCCGTGTCCTTTACCACGGCCTTGTTGTTGAGGGTGACCCGTCATTCTATGAAGTCGTGGATGCAACTTGGCGGATACTCGTCGTAGGTCTGGCCTTATTCCCACTCAGATTCCTAGAGCACTGATAAAGTATTTTGGTCGGCATCGGCTTGCGGTATTGTGTTCATCGTCGAGCAGGATAGATGGGGAGGGACTACAAGTGGATGGATTAGCGTAAGGGCTTCGGAAGTATCCCGGGGTAGGTGTATATTGTGAATCCTGCTCCCATGGTTCAAGATCTTGGGCCTGAGAGATGTAGTCAGCATGACATGGGCTATCATTTATATCTACACATGATCGAAGTTCGGGAGCCTGCGTCAGCTTATGTGGGCGGTTCCAAGCGAGCATACACCAGGAGCGAATAGAAGAAGCAGTGTGGATAGGCTCCTTGAAACAACATAAATGAGAACCATATTAACCTACCAGGGTTAGTTCTCTACAGCAGTACCACAGCCTTTGTCATGGAAAGAGACAGATGAAGACAAAGACTGGAGGATAGGAAGAGAGTGGTGCTTGAGGTAGATCAAGCCACACCGCCAGATCTCTCCCCACCCCTTCGAGAACATTCGTAGGAGATTTACAGTATTTTACAATGACTCTGAAATCAAATACGTTCTGAGATGCGATGCCCTGAAACAAACGTAGGGAGAGGAAGGCTTTGTAGTAAACACGGCCGCGGGTGCGTCCGCATTGCTTTTTCTATATACGCTGCTTTTGCCACGCCCGTTTCTCATTGGTCGTGTACTAACTGCTTCTGCTATGGCGTGTTTGAAATATTGCCTCGGTGGATGAATTCAATGTATCCATACCACATTCCACCATCAGCGACGCCCTTTATTGAAAAAGGAGATAGCTCGTCAAGGAGCAACTGTGCGACATGCAGATTTACCCAATGAATCACGCAGTTTCAATTTTTCAATTGTAACTCTCAATCTCTACTCGTGATGGCGATCTTGCGACAATCTAAATCCAATCCCTGGCACCCTGCTCCTCAAAAGTAGGCTGCTACATACAACACTCACGCTGCTCAGCGCCATTGCTAAACTGGCCCAAACCGGGTCGAGTCTAACATGACCTCCACTGGCTTTGACAGGATATAAAACTCCAGCAGCCACAGGTAAGGCGATGAGATTATAAACCAATGCCCATGCGAAGTTAAACTTGACCCTCTTAAACACAATGCGACTGAGATCAATCAGTATCAGCAATGAGTCTAACCGAGACGAAACAAGAACGAAATCAGCAGAGGAGATGGCAATGTCGGATCCAGAACCGATCGCAACTCCCACATCTGCCATTGTCAAGGCGGGGGAGTCATTTATCCCATCGCCTACCATAGCGATCGTCGCCCTCCTATGTGTGTATTCAAGTGTTCTTCCAAATGCATTCCGGGAGGCTTTCAACGTCATTTGGAGGGACTGAATTTTTTCGGCTTTCTGCCCGGGAAGCACACTCGCAATTATGTTCTCCTCGGGGATGCCGACCATTCGACCAACAGCAGTTGCGGTTGTCTGGTTATCTCCGGATAGCATCCAAACGTCTATTCCTCTCCTTTTCAGCGCCTCGATAGTAGCAAAGGCTTCTCGTCGTATAGGATCAGAAATTGCGAGGGCCATCACAAAGTCCCACGATGTAGAGACAGTAAGTGGTAGCCCAGTTCCATCACTCGAGGTGACTTTCATGGCAACCAACGAGATCGATTTGCCTTGAGCTTTCCAGGTGTGAAGTGTTTGCGCGGTGGAGTTTGGGATATGGACATTGTAATCAGCCATGAGAGCCTCGTTCCCGATAATGATCATTACGGTCTGCTTCATAGTTGAGAATGTCCCTTCCATACCCTTGCCGGCGATCTCATCCATGTTTTCCACTTGTACCGATGTTGTCTTTTCCGACTGGCAAAATGAGACAACAGCTTTCGCGATTGGATGGTTGCTGTTTTCCTCTAGTCTTTTGATCATGTCCCGAATCAAACCTTCATCAGCACCAGGCACAACCTCGTGGTCTGTGATCACCGGTTCACCGCCCTGTGTCAAGGTGCCAGTTTTATCGAAGACGACGCAATCCAGTCCACTGGCTTCTTGGAACGCTTCTCCTCCACCTTTAACAAGGATCCCGTTTTGAGCGGCCAGGCCACCACCAACAAAGAGAGCAGTTGGAGCGGCTAGGGCGATACCACATGGGCAGGCTATGACGAAGACGGCGATGGCAAATTGTAATGACCAAAGTGGCCAACCCCCCTATCGATATCGAGATAATAATCTGGAAGTACGCCAGAGAGGCCCAGGCAAAGCCACACGGCCCATGTGGAAATGGCAATGAGTGTGACGACAGGTACAAAATAGCTAGTCAGAATGTCCGCTACACGTTCAACTGGGGCGCGTCGAGTTTGGCCTTCCCTGACCACATCGACGATTTGATCCAACATAGACGCTCCAGAAATGCCACTAGCTCGGATAGAGATGGGACCGCCATTGTTCACGGTACCCGAAAAGACCTCGTCACGAACCGACTTCTTCACCGGTCTCGACTCGCCTGTAAGGCTTGATTCATCAAAACAAGCCTCGCCCTCGATAATGTGGCCATCGCATGGCGGAGAACTGCCGTGCGGAACTCTGACGATGTCACCAATTTCCAGAAGGTCTGCACTAATTTGTTTCGCCTGCTCTCCGGATTCTCCATGAACAAGTGTGGCCTCCGTTGGCCGAAGCTTCGTCAGCATTGTAACAGCATCTCCTGTCTTTGCTCTGCTGTACGCTTCGATGAGCTTTCCAATGAGTAGAAACATGGTCAGAAAGATGACCGAGTCAAAATAACTCGCGCGGTTGGATTTCGTTGCCAAACTTGGCGAATGCGTAGCTGCCATGGCTAATTCCGCGACAGACGAGAAGAACGCAATAGAGGTGCCCAAGGATATGAGCATATTCATGCTTCCAAAACGGTAGAACCTTTGGAGCATCGGCGTTGTGCTCCCAGGCTTCCACATAGCGAATACCTCCTTTAATGCCCGACGATGGAAGATATCAGCGGCAAAGAAGTATACAGGGCAAGCCATGAGAAACGAAGCCCAATCTCCACGCTGCACTTCACCAGACCACATCGGCCGCATCAAAAATTGGCGAACAGTATTCCCTGACGGTACCAAGCTCATAAAGACGATCGTAATGAGAAAGGTTGGAATAGCAACAGCGACAGAAAGAGCAGTCCGAAGTAGAAGACGTCGTTGCTCGCGAGCATTGATCCTTTGTGAGCGCTCTTCCAACGTTGGAGGATGATAAAGGGATGCCTTCAAATTGGGGTCCGCCGTTGGGATCGAAGCTAGGATGTGCCGAATGGTGAAGCCTGGGGTGTTCGGCGTATAGCTGACCTTCAAGATCGGATCGGTCATACTCAACATTTTATCAACAGTTATTTCCCCAGCACACTGCTTCAGATAGCCAATGATTCGAGGAGGGCAATGGTCACAGTACATTCCACTGACGTGGATTGCGATCTCTCTCCGCCGATTTTGATATAATTTACGGTCCAGTTCTTTCACGTCATTCAGGGTAGCCTCGTAACCAATCTCCTCAATAACCCCCGCAATCTCAGGCAGGTGATCTTTTCCTTCGAATATGACCGTAGCGCTGTTTGATAGGAGGTTTATGTCAACCGTTTTTATCCAGCCAAATTTATTGAGCGCCCCTTTGATCGCCCCAATACAGCTACTACAGGTCATCCCACCCACAGAATATGATGCTCGCAAAGTGGTAGTCTTCGGCTCGCAGTCGGTCTCCCGTAGATCAGGACGTTCATCGATCTGTTCTACTGTCGCCTCATATCCCACGTCTTCTATGGCCTGGAGGATATCCGCAACGTGGCCTCTGTCCCGAATCGTAACTACAGCACTATTGGTAAGAAGAGTAACATTCACAGACTGTACCCATGATTGCATCTCGAGTGCTTCGGAGATCTTGCCAACGCAGGTGCCGCAAGTCATCCCCACAATAGATATGGTCACTTTCACAGCCTTCGGAGAATCTGTAGATTCGACAACAACGAAAAGTTCGTTTGTTGCACCTACTTTCATATATTAGTTTCTGTCGCTATCTGTGTCGCCAAAATTGTAGTTTATTCGAAACTCTTACCTTGCCCTGCGGTGGAAGCGGAAAGTATTTTCTCATCCAAGTTCGCCCCTTTTTCTGCACGGCAAATATCGCATCGTTCAATGTGTCTGGCTATTCTTTTCTTTTCAGACTTATTGGCTGACTTATAGCGCTTCGACCATCTCTCCACGGCCCGATCGATCCATCCGTCTTGCTCTGCCAAAGCGCTCTCGTTGGGGGTGCCATCGTCAGTATTGGGCCCAGTTTCCGCTTCTCGGATCACATTGTAAATGTCAAACCCAGCATCCACAAGCGCTTTTGATAGAGTTGACTCAGGTAAAGTTGGAAGGTGGCGAACCGTGACAGTCTGAGAGACAACAGACGAATCCACCGAGCTAGGTCTTGGGACAAGCCGGAAAAGAGTCTCTTCAATGCTTGACACGCAAGATCCACAATGAAGGTTTGACAACAGGAACATCGTGGTACGACTCCGGGAATGGGCACCTGGCCCAGGTTCAGACCCAACCATTTTGGAACCGGGACCAGCTTTCAACGGTACGACTTCAGTTGGAAGTTGTAATGGTAACAGCTCCTCGTCGAATCTTCAGGGTGGGAAAAAGAAGTGTGTTAAAACTCTGGTCTTCAGTTGCTTGTGGATTTAGCGGGCTTAGGTAGTATGGTGCCCGCATCGGGGTCATGTCAGCTGGCCCCACGGTCCAAGTCAGATCCCGTTCTATCTATACAGCCAATCGAATTTCACTACGACTGAGATCCAACCAAAATCGCGTCCTATGAGAGCAGATTTGAGCCACTTTTATCAAAAGCTTCTAACCCCACACTGCTTCCTCGCGACCATCGTTCAGTTTTTCTGGTCTGATTCTCTTCCTATGAATTCGGTTTCATCTTGTTAGTTTCGGAATCAAAAATAGGAAAAATGGGGAAGCATAATACATATAAATATAGTAACACCAACCAGTAACTGGAACTCGCCGTAGGCGGAGTGTAACCATGTAACCACAAGGCACTGACCAAACGAGATAAGAGAGTCGAAGAAAAACACTCGGAAAATTTTCAACTTGCATGTTAAGTCTATAGCGCACATACCCACCTGGCAGGAGTGGTGTGAGAATTTACTGCGAATAACTCAAACCTTTTTTCCTGCAGTCATTCCTAAGGGCTAGTCGTGCGTACGAATATAATGATGTGATTGGGCGTGCTTTCCGCCGAGGAAACGCACCCTGTCATCTCCAGCAGTGACTGAAATATGTTCATTGATTACGAGGGTTAAGAAATAGGGGCTGTATTAAGAAGATATATTTTCTGTAATATTAGACTGTATGCATTAGCAAGAATACTGTTAATGACGACTCGGAATGGCACCCAGTTTAGCACATCCGACGGCGCTTGGGAAAGAAAGAGAGAGAGATTAGAGTTCAAACTGATTTCGAATATCACTGTAGTTGATAATAAACTTGAGTTCTTTTCACCGTGGGATTATCAAGTAAATGTATGTATATGATTAAATATGGGCAATCTTGCTATATATCTGACAAAGGAAAAACTACGAATTGACAACTTTGATAACTACCTTCCCGAGACCTCCCTTCCCACTGTAAACGATTTGGCATGCTGATCGCACCGCCTCGATGTCAGAAAGCTCGGCAGTGGTTCCAACCACCGTTCTCAACCTGTGTTCCTCAACATGACTTGTCAACTCATCCAAATCTCGACCACTTGATTCCAGAAACATATATGAATATTCAACACCCCACCGCCATGCCCTTAGTTTACGGACACTATCGAAAGCATTAAGTCCCATTCGTGCAGCAATAGGAATCTTAGGCTTATGGGGCAGATCGTTCATCGAAGATTTCTGGAGCTGATTGCCCGATGGCATGGTCGCAACCGACACGATGCATCCAGATTGTGGTTTCATTAGACAGAGGTTCTCCATTGCAGAACCAACTGTGTCGAAGAGGAAGTCCACGGAGCCAGACTTGATGACTTTTCTTGGGTCGGATTTCGTGTAGTCGATTACTATCAAAGTGTAAGTAAGGGTTTTGTCTAAGCGGAATTTGAGTGCTTACTCTCGTCGACCGTTCCCTCGCCTAGGAGCTCGTTGACCTTTTCCACCTTTGAAGTTGAGACTGTGGTGATGACCTTGCCTGCATGGAAGACATTCTTTGCCAATTGGCATGCAAATAGACCTGTGCCACTCACTTTAATCATGTTAGACTCATAGACAACAGTTTGCAGGACACAAGCAACATACGGCCGGCGGGCACAAAGACAGTCTTTCCAGCCAGATCTCCTTTGTATTTTTTGAGTGCTTGAAGTGCAGTCATTGCTGCCAGAGGGATTGAAGCTGCATCCTCGAACGACAATGACGGCGGCTTTAGGGCAATGTGTTTCTCTGTACATCTGACAAATTCACTGCAAGATCCTAGTAATCGAATGTCAGTGGGATCTTATTTGATCGTCGGCCCAGCACATACCTCGAGAAATCTCCGGTAGTCTAGTGTAGACTTCAGCCCCGACTTGAAACCGGGTCACATCCGATCCAACTTCTGTGACTATACCGGCACAGTCATAGCCGATTTTATATGGAAAGCTATTCATGTCAGGTATGCTTCTCGCAATGTACGTGGGATCACGTACGTGTCTTTTATCGCCAACTTCAGCATTCCATCGGCCTTCTTCACGTCGATTGGATTGATGCTCGCTGCATGAACCTTAATGATCACATCTTTTGGGTCGCTGAGCTCCGGTTTGGCCAACTCAGAAAGCTGGTACCCCGATGGATTTGAGTATGATGGAATGTTCAAGGACAACATATCTGGTTGAAATTTTCAGCGAGATGTAGAAATATGAAAAAAAAAATGAATGTCGCGACCACACTATATAAATGGGTTAAGGGTTCAAGTAAAATAAGGGTCCAGATGCTGGATCCGTCATAGTTCAACTCCGGACCCACATCAACGGGTCAACTATCTCTCCGATACCGTGCAGAGGCTGAGATTATTCAACATGCCGCGGTTCTCAATCAATTTTTACGATAACACGTCGCAAAGATTTAACCAACATGGAATCTTCGAGATATCATCAATTAATCAAAATCAGTAGTATTGCGGGAAGAAGTTTTGGACACATTTTGTTCGTTGGGGTGTGCAAGATGGTACATTTGTTAGTGTACCTTTAATGCCAAGTTGCCCCACACACAACTCCATCAATTTTCTACAAAATGCATATCACGACACAAAGCTCGCAATCAAAGGCCTAGGAGCAGGAGAAAAAGCGTATGAATACCTAAAACATATATAGCTAAGCTCTTGGGTGCGAGTTTGTATGCCGGCGAACCATCCCGGTTGGAAGCGTGCACCTGTAGGTCCACGGGTGGATACGTCACCACCAAGCCTTGGGTCCTTATTCTGTTACCCATGGATATCATCATCCACTCAACGCAAAATTCACCACATTTCAACTCAAGATATACAATAGGTGTCATATGACTTGGAGAGGTCAATGTACGAGACTGGCTTTAATATTGACTAGACATTCCACTGCGATATGATGCAACAGGTCTCTATCGTGAATGCTGACCGCTGGACTATGTATATAGCGTACGGTACTGAGTAGACCTGTATCTCATGTGCGATGCCGATAAACACTACTCGTATCGGCGTGAAATACAATCTCTATGTGCACGAGCCCTGCGCTGCCTAAGGTAAATGGCTAGAAGCAAAAACGACTCAGGTTGACAAAGATGGCCTATTGATCGGTCACTGTGCTAACGGGGGTTCTAATCGCCACATATGTACGGAGTACGGAGTGCAGAGTACAACATTTGTACGCATGATGTCAGGCTTCTCGCTACATTGTACTCCGCAAATTTTCCACCATAGACAGGGAAAAGGGGCTGGGATTCTCAGGGGCTGGCTTGTAGGAGGCTGTTCGGGCTGATCATTTGAATTGAGACGATAGCTGCAGAGTCTAGCCATTGTAGCAAGTGACGATCATGGATTTTTACAAAGTACAAGATACCCCTGAGAAATTTCTGCGCTCATACATTGATTTCGGCTGTGCATACGGAGGTAGTATGGCTGGGATTTGCGGATCAAATTGTCCATGGGCAGATCATTATTGATGTTCTACATATCAAAGATTGTCGGATTCTTCAGGACCTTGCTTAGCCTCCAAGCTTCTGTACTATTGCACATGTCGGCAAATCTTTATGGCTCACCTCAACCATCTTGGACTAATCCGAGATCTCATACTCCGTACTTGAGACACTGGAACACAGGATTAGACTTCAAGAACCTGCCAAAATCCCCATGAGAAGGTTAAAGCTATGATGTATATAGTACTCCGTATTGATTAAATTCTTTTTGGGACAATATTAGCAGATTAATATTATGACTACTTTGACAAACACGAAGTGTATTGTATAAAACAACAGTGACAATTAGCTTCTTGTACAACGAGTAACCACGTGGACGAACTAGTCATTGAGGTTCCAAACATTCCAATTATTGTCCAACAGTGTCGTATGCCAGCCGTATTCGCCATGTCTTGGCGTTTCCGGCTTCTACAACGGACTAGGCCAACACGGAGCTGGCAGGACTCATTTCGGAGATCAGGTGGCCGTTTCTTAATATGTATCAACCAAATATACGGAGTACATGCTTCGGATATAAGTTACTAGGGAGTACTCATTGTGAATTCGAACAAACAAATATTGAAGGGTTTCTTGCAGGTTATTGCAGGCTATTTAGAGTTTTGCATGATCAGCGACTTAAAGCATATATTTCGAGCCTTGATATGTTAGTAGTCTCTAATAAGAGGTGATTCCAAAAAGATCGAGCGTATGCAATTGCAATCTGAAAGTGCTACAAAGCGATCATAGATCGCTGGTGGCTGGCCTCGTGTCCTAGATTTTTGGTTAGGTGGGTGAGGGTCTTCAGTCTGCCGATCACTGTCATGCTTCCTGTGCAAAGATGTCGCATTGAATTGCATGATCCAGCCTCGGAAGTCCGAAAGTACATTTGTGATGAAGGCTGGGCACCGGAGGCGATCCGACCGAAATCATTGTTTGATAGATCGATGATCATTCTGAAGCGTACTCCGTACAGCTGTACAACATAAACTCTTCGAGGTAAAAGTCAAAGAGATTACGGAGTAAGAAATAATGAATAACGGTGATCTTCTTTCACCTTCTATTGTGGGTTAGGCAGGGCGGAGAAGTACGCGTTCACAGTTAAAAGAACTTTGTCTTACCGGTGAGACTGTCCCGAGAGCAGGCTGATCGTCCCCACTGCACTATGGATAACCTTGACGATTACATCGTGCTCGTGTCTCGTAGTGTGACTTGTGTATTAATAATTGCAGGGTGGACGTGGTCATTGCAGTAAAAAAAGGTGAAGCTAATGGGGCTGTAGTCCGGGTAGAACTATGATGCATGATATAGTAGTCCTAATAGGACTGAATGGAATCAGTTGAGTTAAATCTACAATAAATCTACTCCATACTATGAATAATTGCCTACAACATAAGTAAATTAGGAAAGAAAAACAAAAATTCGTCTTTGTTTGAGTGAGACCACGGGCATTCCTAATTAGGCAGGATCACCTTCGATAGGCCTGAGAAACCAGGCCACAATCAGCCACCAGCGCCTCGTCGGTTATTTGAACATTGCAATGCAACCCTACATATTACCTCGCCTCTTTGTCTTATTTTGTGGACGAGACACGGTTCCCACATGCTTAGTTCCAAAATCTATTTACAATTCAAGTCCGAATGTGATAAAGTGATGAAGTGCTAGATGCATGGATACCCGTCACATGCAATTAAACCCTGGAAAGTACCCGCAGACACGGGTGAATCATCCAGGTACCAGGGGAGAAATTCAGGAACACAACACACAACCAACCGGAATTCAAATGTTCAAACTCTCTCTCTCTCTGTTCAGCCGGAAGGGCCAGAAGAGGAGGCAAAAAGGACGAACTTTGTCATCGGAGTTCCACATGGATGATCTTAGCCTCCCCACATAGGGCCAATCACCAGCCCACGAACGGGGTGATGAACACTAATGAACACCAATGAACGCCCTCATGAACTCGAAGGACCAACTAGGTTCGCCCACAGGGGCTTAATGCTATCTGAAACTGACCAATCGCTCCTTAACCAGGCGACCGGGTCCCCTCTCGGCCAGTGTTTCAGCCCTTACAGGTACTATACCCTCCCGCGCAAGGCCCAAAGCCCGCTATTGGACCACTTTTACAGCCACCTCTGAACGTAATTCGATTCCGCTGCGGGCCTCGACTGATCACTTTACCAAACGAGAAAGGAAGGGCAAAGGGCACACAACTACTCGTGAGTACATATACTTTCGTTCCCCCGTTTCCTCTTTTCTTTCTCTCGACCGTGCAAGCAGGGCTTCTTCCACAGTTCTTTAAAGTTTCTTTGTCGCTTCAATTTCGTCGTTCCTCATTCCCTCCATCAAAATGTTCTTTCCTTCATTGGTATGTCTATACTTCGCATGAACCGGTGGTCGAGCGTGACATGGTCCACAGCTCCACCCCCAACCAACCATGTAACCATCGCTAATTTCGCACAGATCCTGGCTGCTGGCAGCCTGCCGACTCTCATTCAAGCCATTCCCCATGGCGCGAAGCCCCATCACTCCTTGCACCGTCGCGCCGCTGCCACCTATGCTATCATGGGTGGTACCGGCGACGCCTCTGACGGATGGCCTTCCGTGAACCAATGGTCGGAGTACGAGACTCTGTGAGTAAATCAGCCTGAAAATAAACGCAGAGCGTCGAGCTAAACGTATTTTTCAGCTGGAATCTCAACCAAATTCTCATTGCCGCATCTTGCGACAACTCTGACGACGAAACAAACGACATTAACACTTACATCAAGTCGATCGCCGGCGAAACTGGCGTCGACGCTCGATTCATCCTTGCAACTATTATGCAAGAAAGTAAGGGCTGCGTTCGTGTCCAGTCCACGAACAACGGTGTTCTGAACACTGGTCTCATGCAGAGCCACGCTGGCGAGGGCTCCTGCAACAAGGACGGCAGCAAGACAACTCCATGCCCCTCCTCCATGATCAAGCAAATGATCAAAGACGGCACCGCTGGAACCAACCAGGGCGACGGTCTCAAGCAGTGCTATGAGGCCCAGACCGGCGCAGAAGCGGCCAAGTACTACAAGGCCGCCCGCACTTACAACTCTGGCTCCATCGACTCGTCCGGCAACCTCGGCCAGGGCGGCGCAACCCACTGCTATGCCTCCGACATCGCCAACCGTGTCCGCGGCTGGGCCGGCGACGTGACCGAGTGTATCGAATCTACCGTTGGAACCATTACTAGCGGCGTGGAGTCAGCCCTCGGTGGTGTCGACGACTCGAGCAGCTCTTCTTCCTCAACCGCTGCTGAGCAGCCCACGGAGACTGCTGAGTCTATCCAGACCTCTTCCTCGACCGCTGTTGAGCAGCCCACCGAGACGGCGGAGCCTATCCAAACCTCCGCTCCTGTCGAAGCCGCCCAGCCAGCCGAGACATCGTCCGCCGCATCCACCGAGACCGTCCCCGTGGCACCTGCGCCCACCTGGACCCCCAACGTGAACGTGCACGCGGCCGCGCAGACCCCCACCGCAACCCCATCCTGGACAACCAAATCCGCGCCAGCCGTGACAGCTGCACCAACAGCCCCCAGCTCATCATCTGGAACAGCCCCTCTCTACCCCTACGCCAACTCATCATGCCAGAAATACTACACCGTCACGGACGGTGATTTCTGCGAAAAGTTGACCGAAACTGACGGAATCTCTTTCCCCGATCTCCGCAGCTTGAACCGTGGCCTCGATGAGAAATGTTCGGATCTGTGGCTCGGATATCAGTACTGTATCAAGGCTTAAGTTCGAGCCTCTGATGGATCTACTTTTGGATCTATTTGTCTTCTTTCACTGATTCTCAGGATCTTTTGGATCTACTTTTACCCTTCTTCCTCTCTTTAAGGCGGTGCCTTCTTTGTACATAGCATGAGCTTGCTCTGCAAAAATTGGCCATTGGTGATGCTGGCACCCGCCCATGGTCTTTTTACGATGAATGACACCAGCGAACTTTTTTTTCACAATTTAAACTTTCCACCTTTCTTTGATCATTGTAGAGTACGTGTAGAGACATGGATAAGCCTAGTGCTGCTTGTAATCGACAAATTACCACCCACAAGACTACGGCTTTTCTCTATGACTTAGGCTGCGCTTGAGCACGTTTTACAACGGATCTCGCAAGGAGTGTGGCCGTCCTTCTCTTGTAACAGAACAGATGGAAGGACATTCACACATATTTGCAGTCTCTGGAGATAGGAATGTCCGAGTAGCTGTGATGCGATTTGAAAATTCCATATCTGCTAATTTGGATTTTCCCTCCGAAGTTGATCCCTCGTCAGATTGGGACATGTCCACGGGTGACTTGTCCCTAGGGATTAAGTTTATTGTGAGTACGTTAGACACAAAGGAAGACAAAGACCAACATTGACTTTGGCCATATGGGATGCATTGGAAAATTGACAAAGCTATTGTTTGAAAGAAAGATCAATGTCTCTACTAAAGGCCCGAAATCAAAGAATATGGTCAAAAAGGCATCGTGGCTGTCTCTGATCTTCTATTTAAACAACTTTGAACCCCGTGTACCTGTTCATAACCAGCCATTCTATTCAGCGATTTAATATATCACACAACTAACCTAACAGCCAGCAAGTCTGTCAAGAAACTCTCAATATGATGCAACCAGGTATGTTCAGATACAGATTCGGGGGTCCGGGACTCCCTGAGTGGGAGATGAGTGACTATGAGTGCGTTTACTTTGTGACGGTGCATTTCCACGAGAGATACAGGACGTATTCCAGCGAAAAGCTCATGCAAAGTATGATCCGTCGAATCAAGGATGGGAAGGCCGAGGTCAGCCTTAAGCCTCTCCATCGCCTCACTCCGCGGTGTATCTCAATGCCAGTTTATGGGCCCTATGACGCCCCGAGTGCTGTCGTTCTTGCAACCGCTAGAGAAGTTGCAGAGGCGCGCTTGAATGAAATTCACCAAGGGTTCGTGGAGATCGACATGGATCTTCTTTTCGGCCGTGAACATTAGAAATACCAGGCTTCGATGTTTTCAAACTCGTCGTTTCGGCGTGGATTCTATGAAATAAAAACTTCAACTATTCCGATCCAATCATATTCTATTGTAAATATTTGATAGATTGTATACTCCTACTTTGACACTTTAACACTAGCACAAAAGGCCTTAATCTAGTAGAAAACCAGTGGCTGTCTGTCGTATCGTAGAATGAAACATCCGACTAACCTGAAAACCCTGCATATCAGTCGAACTAATTGCTTAGTTGCAATTAATGACAAGAGAATACATAGTCTGCCTCATCTATAAATATATACCATAAAAGTGATCCTCCTACCAGGAAGATTGTAGTGCAAATAAGGAATAAAAAACAAATCATTTCAACTGAAGTTCTCCCCCTTCCACAGACAGTCGAATAACCTCCTTATTCAATCCCTCCCAGCGAGCCCGTCCCTTGATAAACCAATATGCAAAAGCAAACAAAGTAGTGGCACCAAAAATTGGTGCGGCATAATTCATGTTTTCACCAGTAACTGGTAACGTTGATGGGAATGCCAGCCATACTAATACCCAGGCAGTATATACCAAAGCAAAGACATTAACCGGAAGTCCCCAGATGCCCATATTCCAGTCCCCAAGAGGCGCCACATGCTTCTGAAACCGATTATGCACCATGCAACTAATAGCAATAAAGTATGACATAAACAGCCCAATCGACCCCAGTGCAACGAACGCTCCACAGGCGGCACTGTCGGCGATGTTCAAACACGATAGAATCATGACAACAAGTACTGGGAGCCAAACAACACGAATTGGCACGTTGTGCTTGCGGTCGATCTGCCCCGTTCTTGTCAGCAAATATATTCTACGTCATCTTATATTGCACCGTCTGGTGCGGGTGATACGTACATAGCTAAACCACTGGGGCAGGGCTCCGTCACGTGCCCACACCCATGTCAATCTGGAGACAGACGCGATACTCGCTAGATTGACCGACAGCGAGATCACAAGTAACCCGCTTACCATTGCAGTGGCAGCTTTCACAGACCCAGTTGCTTGCCGGCAGATCTCGATTATCGGGAAACTTGATTTCTGGGCTTCCTCCACCGAGCCCATTGTGAAGAGCATACAGATGACCATTGCGTATGCCAGGACACCGTTGGCGACGACGGTATAAAATATAGACCTAGGAACGGCTTGTTTTGCTCGTCGGACTTCTTCACTCATGTGTACTGCGCCGTCAAAGCCTGCGGTGATTAACTTGCTGTCTTCGAAGTATGTAGTGTGTACGTACCGACAAACCCCCAGACAGGGGTGAGCAGACCTATGTTCCATGCGGGGAAGTTCGCCCAGCCTGAAGTGCTTTGCGTGTGTAGAAAGACAAACTCCGGTTTGTGACGGGGTGCTAGGGCTGTAAATACGACCAGGAACACAACCAAAAGGCAGATATGCAGAATGCCCGCCAGCATTTCAATCCACGGAATCAGCCAAAATGTATACATGTTCATCAAAGCTTCGACAATAAGCATGCCGACAATGATGAGGGTTATGTGCCATTGCTTTGGCTCGTAGTCTGGGTAGTTCACACTCGCTAGGCCCTGGATCATCGTGGCAGTGATGTTGGCAACACCGGCCAGTACGGAGATCCACGCAAACCAGGTCACCCAACCTGCATAATGTTAGCATTGAGCCAGGCAGTACTCGACAAGTGACATACCCTGCATCCAGGTGATGAACTTCTTCTGAATCGTCGGTGCCAGATAATGTGTCCAGTGATATTGAGCCCCGGCAATTGGTTGCATCGACGCCATCTCGGCTAGCGAGGCAGATTGAGCCATTGCACCAAACACCACAATCACTATACCCCAAGCTAAGGCTTCAGGACCGCCATTTGAGAGCACCGTGCTCAAATTCCTAAACAGTGGATGTGTTATTAGTGCTGAGGCACAACAAGGGACGAGACTCTCATACAAAGCCTGAGTTTCCCAACTCGACAAGTAAGTAAGTGAGAAAAAGAATATCTGGGTGAAATTGAAAAGTCGCTGTATACTGTCTCAGCTCGGCAAACTTCATCACGTTAACGAATCGTACCTTAGGCGAAGCCTGCTCCGTGTGTCCAGTTTTTTTACGCGGGCTGTCATAGGCATTGGAGGTATTTGCATCTTGATTTGGAGGGGCCTTTTCCAATGGCCATACTTCCTCTTTCCAAAGAGAGTATCTCAAGGCGCTCCATTTGTTCTCGGCAGTGCAAAAAATCAGTTGATCACGGAGAATAAAACATAAGACAAGTCCGGAGGGAAGACCGGGGACGAAAAAGCAAAACTGGCATTGAGGCGATGAATACGGAGTACAAAAACAAGGATCATGCAGAATCCTTGTCTTACGGTGGATTGTCCTTGTCTTGCCTGGATGGGATCGGCGTATGCTGCAGAACCAATATCCAGCCTGCTTTCCAGGTGGGACCAGATGGGACCAGACGATGCACTGTTGTGGAACTTGAGATAGACTGATAAGTCGCAAGACAGGAATGATCGTGCTCGTGTGCCTTTGGTGATGTGGAAGATCCAATAAAGAACCTGATATGAGGGTACTCGAACAGTGGTTGGGTTCTGCATATACTCGGCCGTGCGCAGCGGGTGTTGGGCCGTGCGCTGGGCCGAGTATGTACCGGATTTTAGGCTGCGGTCGCGATTTTCCCGATGCGGGGTGCCGCCGCTTTATAAGGGTGCTCAGGGTCCTGCTCACTGAGTATTTCATACCTAGGTAGCACAGGGTGATTACTCAGTGAGCACTTAATCGGATACAATAGCTATTGTTATACCGTTAATTTACCGTACTAGAATACTTCCAAGAAGACCTGGCTGGGGTGGTGTAACTGTAATTAATAGGTATAGCGCAATGCATGATAGAGTTCAAAAATACATAGAAGAAAATAAAGTGGTGAAACTGATTTCGAGCGCCTCTGTATATAATCTCTTGTACTCCCTCGGAAATGTGACAATCACTCATTCTTCTGCATTGCAACAGGTTATGAGCCCGAAAGCAAACTTTCGGGCGCCGTCTCCCTAAGGACATCACTTTCTGGAGCGAGGTAAGAGCCCTCGCTATTACCTGTCGTGGCCTTGTTGCCATTTTCAGCATTACCCATAGCGTGGTTTTGATGAGATTTTGTAAGAAAAAAGCAAACGAACTGAACGTGACTGGTGACTGAAATAAAGCAAGTTAAGATGCGCAGCAGATTCAAAGGGTATTTCGCGGAATCCAGGAAATCCAAGAGACTTTTAAACATATTAGTATATTATATCACCGAGCAGCACCGATAGGTTACAATCGATGCCGGGGTTGGCGGGCCCAAAGGGAGTAGCGAATGAAGGTCGGTCCGCGGCGACAAGGAGCGAAACTGGAGCGCAGGGAACTGATACCTAACTTGCAGAGGGTTCGAACCGATTTGACGATTCCGCATTATTGTACTGCCAGCGCGGTCAAAAATGGCGTTTGAAGAGAAACAGTCCGAGGTCGCTGGTAGTGGTTAGTAAGGCTTTATTGGCGTGATAAGACCCAGGCAAAGCCTTAGCTTTTCTCAAACTCGCTGGCATGACGGGCAGGGTGCTGGGACAGGGACGGTGGGTGTGTTCGATTTCGCTCGTGCGTTGGTAGCACGATAGGCTAGAGGTAATGCCTAGCTACCACACTCATAAAATGTTGGGTGGTAGTTTACGAACAATCGATTATAGTGGGGAAAGATGGCGGCGAACACCTTGGCTATGTCGTCGTTGTGTCGGTAGGTTTTTGCGACACTCCGCGTTGGGTTCTCGCCCGCCGAACAGCACATTTCTGTCTCCCCAAGCAGATTCTGGTTTTTTGAAGCGATGTAGCTAACCATCGCTTGAAAAATTGTACCAAACACCCATGTAGAGGTGTCAGCATATCGCTGGGGCTGAAGTACATAATGCGATGAATGCAAAATTCGATCGTCAATTCTCCATGCCTGTAGACAAGCCGGACACACCAGCATCTGCCCGCACCTGAGACAATGTCCGCGACTGTCGGCAACCTATGGACTCGCCGCCGCTGAGGTTCGAGGCGCGCCGGCGCACACGGCGTTCCAAATCAGTAGTATCATGCTTTTTGAGCGCGTCAGACGGCAAGAGAACGGCACGGTCAACAGTGTGAGGCAGACCACGGTGGCGGCCACGAATTTCCAAAGCGATAATCACCAACTTGGAAATTATGTTGAACTGACTGGAGAAAGACGTGTCAACACCGGGGTACCCTAACGATAGACCGACAGTACTGTAGGCCGAAACTACCTCAAACAGGACGGTAAAGAGCTGGAAGCTATAATCATCGGCGGCGTCCAAACGATCATTTTCCGCGATGGCGATGAGAAACAGTCCTAAGAACATATACCATAGGTCAAAACCCAGCTGGCGCTGCAAGTGAGCTCCGATATAGCTCGGCGCTGTCTGGCCATCATTTTCGTCATCCTCTTGGCTGTAGCTGGAAACACCCAAATTCTGCTCTTCGTACACGTTGGTGCGGCGCATGGAGATAGCAATGGGGAAAACCGAGATATACATCATGATCAAGTACGAAACTTGAACGGCAGGATGAAGTTGCGACAGACTCACAACCGCGAAACCACCAGTACGAGTAGAAACAGCCTGGAAAAAGCCATCAAGGACACGGATACCAGGTGGTAGTGAAGTCACTATCGGGTTATTTAACTGTAGAAAATTAGTAAGCATCGAATGTCGATCGAGCCATTAGCAAGCAAACTCACATCCAATATAATAAAAAAGATCAAATCAATGCCGTTCAGCGCTAAAAGAATCGCAAATAACCACCAGGTGGCATTTCGAGGGAAGAGAAGAGTAAAGCAACGACGAGGATGATCAAGAAGGAACTTGAGCTCTTCCCAAAGAGCCGTTCCCGGTCGAGCAAATTTCGTAAGAGTCCAAATGATTAGCCGAAGCATGCACGGAAATCCCGTGTTGCCGATAATGATCAAAAACGCCATAAGCAGCAAAGGAAAGACGGCCTTCTGGAAGGAGATCATCGAGTCCGGTGTCAGGGTAAAACCCATATCGGTAAAGGCAGAGGCAGAGGTGAAGATTCCCCACCAGGGTCTACCAACTCCATCTTCCTTGACTATATTGCCCCATCGGTCTTGAGTCATGATCCAACCGACCAAACTGACCATGCCGACAATGTGGAACCCAATATAGTAGGAGATCAGTACGACCGTTAGGGTTTTGAGCGCGCGGTATTCAATGCCACCAAGCTCATCACGTTGCTCCTCGGTCAGATCAATGAAGTTGGAGTTTCGAGCCACAGTTGCGTTCCAACCGAGATATGGCAGAGTCGAATGATCTTTCTCCTTAGTCAGCGACCGCCATATGCCCTGAGCGATGTTCCGCCTGCCCGATGGACCCAATCCGCCGGTCGCCTCGTTCACAGGCGTGGTATCTCGGACAATCGGCCTCGTATTTAAGTGCAGGGACGTATTTCCGCGAGTGTTTGCCTGTGTTATATCAGGCTCGTTGATGGCGATGTGTGGCCCTTCAACGGGGCCAACCTGATCGATTTCGTCTGGATACGTAGGACATTGCCGGCGGTCGGATTGCGGTCTCGATGGCTGAACCGATTTATTCACCTCGTCTCCCTCCCTGTCCAATGTTTCCGGGACACCGCCGCGGTCGTATTCGCGAGGGCTGGGAATGCGCAGAGCACCTTCGTTCTTCCGCTGGGCTTCCAAGAAAGCGATGTGTTGCTCCGGATTGAGCTGCATCGGTAACCTCAAGCTGCCCAATCCGAATCGATGTTCTATCCGGTCGTTCTGGAGATCGTCGAGACTCGATTGGCCACTCTTCTCGCGCCTATCGGAGGCCTTGGTCTCGAACTGTGCATCGCCGGCAATTTTACCTCTGAGATCGTAGAGTTTGATACCTCGCGCATCGCCAGTATTGTTGCGCAGGACCGCGATTGAGCGACCGCCGACTCCCAGCTCTGCGCGATGGATCCCTTCGCTGTCGTTGTCTTGCCTGACAGTCTCTATGCGAGAGCGGGTAGTACGTAAGGCACGGGCATCTCGGACCACTCGCTGGAACCGCTTTTCGAACCAATACAACCGAATGAAAACTAGCGCACTGTGGATAAAAATCGGAGTGCAGATGATTGTAATGATGTAAAACACGATTTGCTGGTAGAGGTGCAGTTCATTCAGGTTGACAGTGTTCAGGCCGCTCTGAGTGGCGGAGCTGACCGACAGGGAAAGGGCATCGATATAGGCGATGCCGCCACTGGGGAAAACGATGACGGAGCCGATGAGCGCCCAGGTGATGATGTAAGTATAATGGAGGAAGATAAAGTTGAGGTGCAGCTGGTTTAGTAGCGGGATGCGCTTCTTGAGTTTGTGGGCCCGGCGGTAGAAAGCTGAGCAATGGATGAAAACCGAGTACATGGTATGCGAACCGCCGTCTTTCCCGAGCGGACGCACAGTGCACGTAGATGAGGTTGTCAGGAGATATTGGTTTCGGTCCTGTCGCGATCATTGTGACTAACGTTCCAAGGTTCACTGACCCACACTGCGACCTTTTTTGGACCCCCATGGGGTTGTGGATATCAAGTCTCGGCCCCGGCCGGTTTCTGTGAAGAAATGGATCTACAGAAAATATACCCGAACTCTGCCTTTAACCAGTTTTATCTCGGGGACTGATCAAATGAATTAATTTCCGAATGTTTTGTAGTGAGTAATGTTGACTCATGGGGACTTGGTGGGGCAATGTGGGTTATATACTACTCGACGAAACACTTTAAAAGAGACGTGTGTCAAAGCCCCCTTCTTTTGTTTTCTAAACAATGACAGACGATACTCTTGATATACTAGGTCAAACTCCAGGCCTCTACAAATTGTACACACAAATATGTTCTATTTACCGCATCTCCGAGGAATCTTCTCATGACGGCATCATCGATACTCTAACAAACGGACTTGACCGATTGGCAAAAAGTTTCCCATGGCTTACTGGCCATGTTGTCAATGAGGGCGCAGGGGATGGCAATACAGGCGTCTTCAAAATAACTCCCCTCGACAAAATCCAGCTCGTGGTGAAAGATCTACGACATGACCCCTCCGCACCGACAATGGACGGGCTTCGCCAGGCCAAGTACCCTTTTACCATGCTCGACGAGAACACCATTGCTCCTTGCACGACTCTAAACCTACCGGGTAATTTGCCAAGTATCACGACCGAGTCAGCATTGGTTTTCTGTGTCCAGGCAAATTTCATCGAGGGCGGGTTGATGCTCACGCTGGTCGCTCAGCATAATGTCATGGACATGACTGGCCAAGACTTTATCATCGGCTTATTGTGTAAGGCTTGCCACAATGAGCCTTTCACAAGCGAGGAACTTGCAATCGGCAACATGGATCGGGGTCATCTCATTCCATTACTGGATGATTCGTACACCCCGGGCCCTGAGCTCGCTCGCCAGATTGTGAAACCCCCGCCAAGCGTCAAAGATGTTGTCTCGGATCCTGTTACACCCCCAAAATCTACCTGGGCTTACATTGAACTCTCTGCGGCACAGCTTGACTCCCTCAAAGCTCTCGCCACGAATACACTGCCCGCCTCCACAGATTTCATCTCTACGGACGATGCTGTCAGCGCTTTTATCTGGAAATCCATCGCCCGCGCCCGGGCTTCTCGTCTGGAAGCAACTTCTGAGTCGATGCTTACGCGCGCGGTCGACATGAGACAGCGTTTTGGTATTCCCCAGGGATATCCAGGTCTCATGCAGACTTTGACATACAATACCAACACTATCCAGAAATTGTCCGGAGAGCCTGTAGGCATCGTTGCCGCCGAGCTTCGGTCCCAGCTCGATCCCAAGAAGAATGATCTTGTATTCAATACCCGTGCCCTCGCTACAGTTCTCAGCCGCTCGGCTGACAAGACCAAGGCGTCTTTCACTGCCACGGTCAATGTTTCATCGGATTTTATGCTTAGTTCGTGGTCGAGGATTAGCTGTTATGATCTCGATTTCAATCTAGGATTGGGCAAGCCCGAAGCCGTGCGGAGACCACACTTTACCCCCGTTGAGAGCTTGGGGTACTTGATGCCTCGATCGGCTGCTGGTGAGATGCCTATTGGTATCTGCCTGAGAGATGAAGACTGGGAGCGGTTAAAGGTAGATGGGGAGTTTACGAAGTATGCTAAGTATATTGGGTAATGATCTGAATAATTATCAAAATACTCTAATATATATATCAATAGATACTATCCATATATACTATCCAGGTACAATAGTTGAGGGTCTACCGTAGCATCCACTGTCGATCACCGTCTCCGCATTCCGTCATGTCTCCGCATTTGGGAACTTGGGTCTCCTTCCTTCACCTCTCTCACCACCTGCTCTTTCACTCGATTCTTTGCAATACTACTACTTAGGATTTCGTTCAATAACATTAAGTCATCGTTGTTTCTTCTTCATAACAATCTAAAACCGTCAGCCGTCAACATGGGTGGGGAAGTTCCCTTTCGCCCCGCTCCTCCAGCTTTACCCCAGTTAGCTGAACGCCCGGTCGGCCAACGTATCAAGAAGATCTACACCGATCGCCTGAACCAGTTCACATCGAACGGCCAGTATGAAGGCCAAAACCTCATCTCAAAGTACCACGAAGCCACAAACTCGGACGAAGATCATGTCAAGCTCTCTGTTTACTCGGTTCCGGACCTGCAGCGACCGACTTTCAAAGAGGCGACCTCTCAGGAATTCAAGCCAACTCACATAGGCGCTTCTTTTGGCCCCAGTTGGTCCACACATTGGTTCCGAATTCACCTCACAGTGCCCGAGGACATGCTCAAACGGGAGCATCTAGAGTTCCACTGGGATGCCAACAACGAAGGTCTGATCTGGACAGAGAACGGTCACCCGCTGCAGGGCTTGACTGGAGGCGGAGAACGGACCGAGTTTGTTCTCCCCAAAGACTGGTGCGATGGGAAGGGGCATACCTTCTATATTGAAATGGCCTGCAATGGCATGTTTGGCAATGCTCCTGGTGGCGATTCGATCCAGCCACCAAAACCTGATAAATACTTCACGCTCAGCACGGCGCGAATCACCGCGGTAAATCTAGCTGCCCGAGCACTTTTCTATGATTTCTGGATCATTGGGGATGCCGCTCGGGAATTCCCAGGTGAGTCATGGGAGTCGCATGAAGCCAATGTCGTGGCCAATTCTATCATCGATACCTTCATTGCCGGCAATGGAAGCAATGAGTCCATCGACGAGGCGCGTAAGATTGCTAGGAAATATCTCGGCAACAAAGTGGATTCGTCCGATGTTTACGACACAGACACGCAGCCAATAGTTTATGCCATTGGCCATTGCCACATTGATACTTGTTGGTTGTGGCCTTGGGCTGAGACTAAGCGAAAGGTAGCACGGTCGTGGTCTAACCAATGTGATCTGATGGAACGGTATCCCGAGCACCGTTTTGCTTGTTCTCAGGCTCAACAGTTCAAATGGCTCAAGCAGTACTACCCATCCGTTTTTGATCGCGTCAAGCGCTGGGTAAAGAAGGGCAACTTCCAGCCTATCGGTGGGAGCTGGGTCGAGCACGATACAAACATGCCAAGTGGAGAGTCGCTGGTCAGACAGTTTTTGTATGGACAGCGATTCTTCGAGGCAAACTTCGGTAAACGAAGCACAACCTTCTGGTTGCCAGATACGTTCGGGTACTCAACCCAGATCCCTCAGATATGCCGCCTGGCTGGGATGAGCCGTTTCTTTACCCAGAAGCTCAGCTGGAACAACATCAATAACTTCCCTCACACTACATTCCAGTGGGTTGCGCTTGATGGCAGCCAAGTCATGTGCCACATGGCTCCCGCCGAGACCTACACAGCTGAAGCGCATTTCGGTGATGTCAAGCGCAGTGTCACTCAGCACAAGTCGCTAGATACAGACAAGACATCGCTACTTGTATTCGGAAAAGGCGACGGAGGTGGTGGCCCGACCTTCGGGCACCTCGAAAAACTGCGTCGCTGCCGTGGTCTCAGTGATCAGGTCGGCTCATTGCCCCGAGTAAAAATGGGCGAGTCGGTCGATGACTTCTTTGCAAAGTTGGAGGCGAAGGCTGCCTCTGGCACTGACTTTGCTACCTGGTACGGCGAGCTTTACTTTGAGTTGCACCGTGGAACATACACCACTCAAGCAAATAACAAGCGCAATAACCGAAAGTCCGAGTTCTTGCTACGTGAGATCGAGCTTCTTGCGACCTTTGCCACCATCAATGCTTCCGATGGTGGATATCGGTATCCCAAGAGGGAGATTGACCAGATGTGGGAAGGAACCCTCCTGTGCCAGTTCCATGATTGCTTGCCGGGTAGCTCCATCGAAATGTGCTATGACGACTCAGATAAGTTGTATGCCGAAATTTTTGAGATCGGAGCCAAGCTGCGAAAGCATGCCCTCGAGGCTTTGGGACTCACTGGCGATGTCGCGGGTGGAAATTTCATGGCCCTCAACACTTTGCCATGGCCCCGATCAGAAGTCGTTGCAGTTCCTCCAGCAGTGTCCGCATACAATGGATCTAGATATGTTGTGGCTGATGGTACGACTGGGGTGATGCAAGTCCAGCCCGCTGACTTCAAAACAACCACTTCGGTGACCGTGGCCGAGGTCAAATCTGGTGTCTTCCGCCTGGAGAACGGAAAGCTTAGGGTTGACGTTCAGGACGGGGTTATCACATCCTTGTACGATATGGAAGCCGATAGAGAGATCGTCGCAAAGGACCGCAAGGCTGGCCAGCTAGTTATCTTCGACGACAAGCCTCTTTATTGGCAAGCATGGGATGTCGAGGTGTTCCATCTCGAGTCACGAAAGGAGTTGCCTGGGGGTAAGACGACCATTGTAGAAAATGACCCGCACCGGGTGAGTGTCGTGACTGAGACACAGATCAGCGACAAGAGCTGGATCAAGACCACAATCAGCCTGTCGGCATCCACATCCGATGAACCCTCATACGTGGAAATGGAAAGTGAGGTGGAATGGCAAGAGACGATGAAATTCCTCAAGGTTGAGTTCCCCGTTGATATCAGCAACACGGAAGCATCGTACGAGACCCAGTACGGCATCGTTAGGCGTCCGACCCATTATAACACAAGGTATGCACCGACCTTCCACATACTTCACAACGATACTAATTACTCCGCAGTTGGGACATGGCCAAATTCGAAGTCTGCTGTCACAAATGGGCTGACCTCTCCGAAAATGGCTACGGAGTCTCCATCCTGAACGACTCTAAATACGGCTTCGCAACATGCGGTAACCTGATGCGCCTTTCGCTGCTCCGTGCCCCCAAGGCACCAGACGCCCACGCTGACATGGGCCGCCACCACATTCGCTATGCAATTCTTCCCCACGCTGGTGCCCTTGATGACCGAACAATCCGCGCAGGCTTCAATTTCAACAACCCACTCATCGTTGAAAAGGCCGGCCCTAAAGCATCTACTTCCAATGCCCTGTTTAGATCTTTATCTATTAAGGGCGCACCGTCCTTGATTCTGGATGTTGTCAAGCGCGGCGAGGATGATGTTGATGTTTCGTGGGATGGTGCTCCTACCCGTCCTGGGAAGAGTGTTATTCTGCGAGTCTATGAATCGCTTGGTGGCAAGGCTCGTGGTACCATTGAGACCACACTGCCTGTGAAGAGTGCTTTCAAGTGCAATATTCTTGAGGATAATGAGAATAACGGGCTGGATATTGAGACTGAAGATGGTCGTTCGGCGATCAAGATTGAGTTGAGGGCGTTTGAGGTCGCTACGTACCGACTGCAACTGTGATTGTGAGGAACATATATATGAGTGGCAGGCTTTAACCAAGCCCAGAGAGTATCGCTATCGCAAGGCACCCATCGGAGTACCTAGCTCGTGTCGCATTCAATCGGAAGCAATGAAACAAATGATGTATCCGACAACGCTGTAGTCTGTATAAGTTCGTGATGTACATGATATCGCATCGTAGGTGTAATAAGACAGATAAATCCCATTCCCATTTCCCGCTACGCCCGCAACACGACTCCTCCCAGGAGTCATGTGAAAAGACAAACCAACCAACTCCGAATTCGAGAAAAAGCCAAGCAGATGCAAGACGGGCGCAGAACATAAAGAAGGCTGAATCTCCAAAAAAAAAGAATCAGTCTCTCCCATAGCTGATCTTCAACCGCTTAACAGAAGGCTTGTCCTCGTCAGAAATATCCTCGGTCTGGTTCTTGCCCTTCGTATTCTTCGACCCGCCAGTCGCCTTCTTCTTGTTTTTTGATGAGCCATTCGAGCTCTTCATCCCGCTACCGGAAACAGACAGCGGGTCAATCTTCATAGACATGCTGTTTCCGCCAGTCGTAGATGTCGGCGTTGCTGCGTGGGAAGGCGTTGTTTGTACAGAGGAGGGGCCTGGGGAGTCCTATAGACACAACAATAATCGTTAGTCACCAGTTCAAATCAAAAACACCATACTCAGCATCCAAAGCAGGTAGTTCCTTGTTCAGGTGCGTTCTACATACCAACATGTAACTCGCCGAGCTCCGCGAGAAAACTCGATCCGATTCCGTGACCTGCGCCTTTCGCCTCGACCCGCCCATACTGCCGCCTAGACCCAGTCCCGCGGCGCCGAGACTCGACCCATTCGCGGAGCCTTTGATGTAGTTATCGAAGCCCTTGATGATGTTTCCAGCGGTGGTTTCTTCCAGGTATGATTGTTCGAAGCGGAAGATTTGATCTTCAAGTTGAGCCTGGGGGAAAGGTGTATTAGCAACACATCACGGTAAAGCGGACATCCATAGGAGCGATATTGCTAGACGATGCGAGACTGGAGAACATGCTCGCGCAGCGAAAGAACAAAATTGCAGAGTAACCACGTCCGGTCCCTGGAGGACGAGAACGCGCGGGACTGCACTCACCATGCTCTTATCCATTAATCGCTTTTTCTGTAGTGTATCCCTCAGCTCTCGGCGCAGTTTCTCATAGTATGGTAGCCCGCGACTCGCGGCATTCTGATCCCCAGGCGCATTCGGTGCCCCTGCTGTTGCGCCGGCTGTGGGCGCCGCAGCTCCGGTCGTCGCGGACACGGGTGTTGGAGCCGGTGCTGTGTCTGCCATAATTGGAGGGGTGGGACGCAATGAGAACGATATTTGTTTTATGTCAAAGGGAGTATCGTATGCGCAGACTGGGCGAAATGAACTCGAGATTGAGGTGGAAGTTGGGTCAGTGCGTAGTTCATGACCGCGTTGAGAGTTATAGCCGCTTGGAGATCTTATCAATGTTTGCCTTGTTTGCATTCCCCTCCTTGATCAGCGATGATGTGCTCTTTATGTTGTCTCTCCTTGTACCGCCTACCATCTTACGAGTATATTGTCGTTTGTTTTATTTTGAGATAAAAGAGGTCTCTTGTTGCTGTTCTCGCATATTTATTTACTACTATCAAGATGGACCACTCGATGCATATGGGCATGGGTCATGGAGATATGGGTCACGGTGATATGGGCCACGGCGATATGGATATGGGTGGGAAATGCAATATGAATGTGAGATATAGCCTTCGTCTTTCTTTGATCTCATGCTAATGTTTAAATGTTTGAATCATAGATGCTCTTCAACTGGTCATCCGAGAATTTGTGCATTATCTTCCGCAGCTGGCGTATCACCGGTCCCTTCTCCTTCCTCGTGTCCCTCATCGTTATCGTTATCCTTACTGCGGGCTACGAGGGAGTACGATCAGCAACTCGGAAATACGAGATTGCCCATGCACAGCGGCTAAGTGCGTTCTTGAGCACTTCTGCCACTACTGGTGGTAAGTGATTTGCTCTTTCTGTGGGTCAAGGTTCAATGTCAAGGATACTACATTCCCCAAGGTTCTTGCTATGTTTTCGTTTGATATTGGAGACATGATAGGGACATGGTATACTCTGAATGAGCAAGCTTCTTATTGATGCCCCGGCTCTCTGCAGACGCTGAGACCGCCGACCCTATCATTGCCAACGGCCTGGCGGATGCAATCAATCACACTCACCACGAAAGCTCACCACTTCTTGTAGGAAGGGAGAACAAAGCGGCATTGGCGCGCAAGGGCAAGCTTACGATGGCGGCTTTATATGCCATCCAAGTGTTCTATAGCTTCTTCATCATGTGAGCGCCTCCCAAGAAACCATCTGCCCTCGTCCTAGCTTGCTGACTTGGTGGTTTAGGTTGCTCTTCATGACGTATAATGGGCCGGTCATGATTGCGGTTGCAGTGGGCGCGTTCGTTGGGTACTTGGCCTTCTCCGAAGGAACGCCAGCCGAAAAGACAATCGCGTGTCATTAAAGGATGTAATCCAGGGTATTGGCGAATTTGCAGACTCAGAGGCAAGTGTAGAAAACAATGACCAGTATGTCAAATTTTGTTCTGGTTTGGGATTGAATTTGATGGGTTTGGAAGCCCTTTCCGGTGGAAAATGGGGTGGCGACCTCATTGTTTTGTGGTTCCATCAGTCTCTCCATATTGCAATAGTAGTTCATGGAACTTCAACATCACTCCCATCATCACCAAATCCAAAACTGAATCCACCTCCTTCGGTGTCTTGCCCATCAGGGGTATCCTCTGTTTTCCCATGAACAATATCCTCCCACTTGCGCTTCTTTCCTTCGTTCTTCTTCTGCAACTCATCCCAAGCGTGCTGCAGGAGGTCGGGATATGCCTCGCGCATACCGGTCATAAACCGCTCACATGGATTAGCCACGTTCTTGCGGAACCCAGACACCTGGTCCGGTTTATTAGACAAGAAATCTAAGGCAGCGCCGAGATGGCCTCGGGGAACAAAGTTCTGCGTAATAGCGATCGACGGCTCCAGGTTCACGACCAAATGCCACCACCCAGACGGAACATGTAAGATCTCACCCTCGCCGCAGATCCCCTCCACACAGCCCTGAGTCCGGCGTGCCTCGGCGTGGAAGCCCAGTAGCCATTCGGCAATGCTCAGTGGAGAGGTCACCTCACTCTGATCGTCCGACACAAAGACACCAGGAGGCGGGGGCTGTTTCGTGCTGGACGGAAACATGATCCAATATTTGGGACCGCGTAGCACGGCATTCCAGGCACTAGTAGCATTAGGGTCTTTGTGGAACTTGCTGCCGGACCGCTCGGGCCCGATAATCAACCACTGATGATCAGGGCGGTCGTCACCAAGCACGGAGAAGAAGTCTTCAGCGAAACACGCTGGGGGCCAGTACGATGCGTCGGGTGTAGTTTTGGGAGATCCAACGGACAGTCCCATCTTGGAGACGAAGGACCGGTCGAATAGGTACAGCGGGCTCTCGTCGGAGTTATCTGCCATGTAGTCGCCGTAGGTGCGCATGGCCCAGTCCACGGCTTCGGCACGGAACTTGGTCTTCCCGTATCGGGCTAGTAGTGAACCGACGGTCCAGTTCTTGTATGCTGGCCAGGCCTTGACAGGCTCAGTCAAGATGAATGGTCGGTCAGTCCAATTTGCTTGGAATTCCTCTGGTGACAGGTCTGGAAGTCGTGCAATCTGGTTCCGCGCCGGGATCTTGGAGACATAGGGGTCGAGTGAGATGTGTGCGCAGTTGAATGGCCGGTATAGAGAATCGGAGAATAGCTGGGAACAGTCTACCATGGGCACTTTGGAGGCGGGGATATTGAGATATGTTGACCGCCATGTCCCTCGCCATGTGAAATCTTCTCTTGGATCACTGCAATCAGACTTAGTATGGATATCATGTGTGTTCATTGGGACATTATTAATTTATGGATAAGTGTAGGGCTCAGGACCAAAACATGACTTCGGATCTACATAATTCAACTGGATCTGCAGGCTTGTGGCTTACCGAACAAACAGCGCCTTCCACAGTTCTTCAGCCCGGGTAAATGCATAAAAAGCCTTGCATGTCCGCCCGATTCTCAACAGGCTTGGCCCGTCGAAGCCCTCCAACAACAACAGGATTAGTTCGTCTGGCAGATGTTGAAAGGTCCCTATGGCGTTGCGAAGACTCCAGGTAGCCAACAGAGCATTCCCACTTGGCTTCACGCCTAGCGGGTGGGAGGGAATTGCCTCCCTTATGATCTCTGCATCCTGTGGTGGTGGATGACTCGGCAACGATGTGATGTCAGGCATGGTCGTTGGCTGGCACTTTTAGGGCTTCAAGTATTGTTCGTGGTGACCTGACCCAACTGGAAGGTAGTTCACCAAATAAATGGGAACCAAAGAAACTAAATTGACAGAATCAAAGACACTGAATAGAGCAACAATTTGCACCACACTAATCAAACCAAAAAATTAAATATAATCAACAAGAGGATGTTTTCATGTTCATCTCGCCCACTCTAACCTCGCTTGGGCTTGGCCACACCCGAACAAGGAAAGCGGTGGGATAATGCCCCGTAAAAAAAAAAAAAGCGTAGCAAATGGCGCCGCAGTTGTGGCCATCCGATTTTTTCGCTTTTCTTCTCTTTCTCCTCCCACCCCATTTGTGAATTTCACATCCAACCACTTTTTTCAACCTTTCCTAGTATCCTGTAAAAAGACTCTTTATAAAGAGTCTAAGGTACTAGAAGTCAACTTTCCCACGCAGCGAACCTACACAAGTTCGCTAAAACTACCCCACCACACCGATCACAGCCAACGCCTGTGATCCTTTCTATCAAACCGCAAATATGGCTGACAAGGGTCTTGAGGATCTCGCCGAGGGTATGTACTATATTCCCGTCACTTTTCCATTAAGATCCGTTACTTTCCTTCTGGAAATCGCAACCGCGATCGCATTCAGTCTTGGGTGGCGTGGGATACGGAAGGCGTTATGAAGATGGAGGCTAATATTACCATTTTCGTTAACAGGGCAGATCGAGTCTAACTACGATGAGGTCACCGACTCCTTCGACTCCATGGACCTGAAGCCCGAGCTGCTTCGCGGTTAGTACCCCTTCGTCTTATCAGGTGGGGTTGGAAAAAAAATACTGACTGTGGGATTCCAGGTGTCTACGCTTACGGTTTCGAGCGTCCTTCCGCCATCCAGCAGCGTGCCATCATGCCTATCATCAAGGGTGAGTTTTGTTTCATTCCGAGTCCACTTTTGAAATTTGCGCCTAACCTGTGAGGTCAGGCAACGATGTTATCGCCCAGGCTCAGTCCGGTACCGGTAAGACCGCTACCTTCTCTATCTCCGCCCTGCAGAAGATCGACCCCGATGTCAAGGCCTGCCAGGCTCTGATCCTTGCTCCCACCCGTGAGTTGGCTCAGCAGATCCAGAAGGTCGTCGTTGCCATCGGTGACTTCATGTCCCTTGACTGCCACGCCTGTATCGGTGGTACCAACGTCCGTGAGGATATGACCGCTCTCCGCGCCGGTCCCCAGATCGTTGTCGGTACCCCCGGCCGTGTCCACGACATGATCCAGCGCCGTGTTCTGTCCACCACCGCCATGAAGCTCTTCATCCTCGATGAGGCCGATGAGATGCTGTCGGTAAGTTACTGTAATTGATATTACGTGTATCAATCGGTTCTAACTCTTTTTTTCAGCGTGGTTTCACCGAGCAGATCTACGATATCTTCCAGCTGCTTCCCCAGTCCACCCAGGTTACCCTGCTCTCCGCTACCATGCCCCAGGATGTCCTTGAGGTCACCACCAAGTTCATGCGCGACCCCGTCCGTATCCTTGTCAAGAAGCAGGAACTTACCCTTGAGGGTATCAAGCAGTTCTACATTGCTGTTGAGAAGGAGGAGTGGAAGCTCGACACCCTCTCCGATCTCTACGAGACCGTCACCATTACCCAAGCTGTCATCTTCTGCAACACCCGCCGAAAGGTCGACTGGCTCACCGACAAGCTCACTGCCCGTGATTTCACCGTCTCCGCTATGCACGGTGACATGGAGCAGTCTCAGCGTGATATTATCATGAAGGAGTTCCGTTCCGGTTCTTCCCGTGTCCTGATCGCCACTGATCTTTTGGCCCGTGGTATCGATGTCCAGCAGGTTTCCCTGGTCATCAACTACGATCTCCCCGCCAACCGCGAGAACTACATTCACCGTATCGGTCGTGGTGGTCGTTTCGGTCGCAAGGGTGTTGCCATTAACTTCGTCACCGCTGACGATGTTCGCATGCTTCGCGAGATCGAGCAGTTCTACTCCACCCAGGTTGAGGAGATGCCCATGAACGTGGCTGACCTCATCTAAACACCCTAACTCTTGACGTCTTGATGCGGTTTACGATCGCAGAATCTGCGTTAAAAGTGGCTTTCTGCGTTTCCGCCTGCAGTGTGCCGGGGAAGTGAATGGGGCTATGCTTCCGCATATTGAGTCGACAAGTCGACGCCTCGGGATTTTCCCCGGCCCTTGCTATGGTTTCCTATGTCTTGCACCAACGGAGATGAGACATGTTTGCGTTCACCTCTTGCTGCTCCGTTTTCTCTTATTTTTTTATGCATTTCCCTCTGTTTTCCCTTGTCTGTATCTAGCTCGCTCTTGTTGGTTAAGGATGCTGCCTATTCTCGTACTTAATCAATAGACCGGGCCAAAATGTGACTTGTTCCTCAGGGCGTTGTCCTTGAATGATATTTAAATTCGTATCCTGTTTATTGAATAGATATACCTAATTTAACCGTCGTCAACTTCTCCCCGTTTGTTCGATAACTGTTATCTAAATTCATCTTGTATTATTCTTCTTTACTCTGGCAAGTGTCGCAGGACCAAAGTGGCAAACAAGCGCAATTCGAGTCCCTTTGGCAGCCATTAAGCCTCTATCGTCTTGGGGCCTGGAGATTTGTCCTTCGTAGCCCAGGCCTCGTCCCGAATTGGACATTTTCATGAAGCCGTAAACATGTAGTTTCTGGGGCCCCAGAGCTTTCACAAACTCACATCCATCCATAAAACGGAACCCTCCCCGATTCGCCACGACCAAGAGCTTCATGTTCGGAACTCGCAAGCAAAGCCAGAGGGTTGTCGTCCAGCCCTTCTCCGGAAATAACCAGCTCTCTGAATCTCGGAGGCGAATATATCAGCCCTTGGGATGTGTGAACTGTGAACGGTCCCTCCACCTCGTCAATTCTGAGTCTTTCGAGCAATTCCAGTGCCTTGACTGTCTCCATATCTGTCACTTTATTTGTCTTCTATAGAATTGAATTGCTCGGAACATGTTCCGATGCTCGGACAAGCGAGCCGATGATTCTACATTGATATGAAAATTATTAATATATCAATTCTAGAATAATGAAAGCTGTCCCTAGCTAATTCAAGGAACAGACTGTGGTCGTATTTAAATTTTTGAGCAAATAACCTATTTAGATCGAAAATAGAAGTATAAAGTTGGATCAAAAATGATATATATTGTGAGCTATACATATAGTAGCGGGGGTTGATATCATGTTGAAGCAATACCTGAATCCACTAGTAACAGAGATATAGATACGCATCTTCAACTTTGTTTTCCTCTGTCTTCCAGCATGTTAGTCGTCTAGAGAGTGGGTAAAGATACAAGCGGTCGGCGCAGAAACCCGCCATGACAGTTCTGGAGTTCTCCGCATCTTTCGGAGAACACCCGAACCTCCGATTAACCCTCCCCCACGACTTCTTTCCTTAATTCCTCTTCGTCAATCGCATAGCTTCAATTCCCTCCAAAATGGCTTCCATCCGCGCCAACTGCCGCAAGATTATGTGTATCGGCCGTAACTATGCGTGAGTCTCACTGTCTCCCCGCGCCTTGTTCCTTTCGGGGGTTCCGACAGCGGCGTCGCTTCCTCTCTCCCTCGGCGACAATTGCTAACAGCATGGATTGATACAGCGATCACATTACCGAGCTCAACAACACAGCCCCCAAGCAGCCATTCTTCTTCCTCAAGCCCGCATCATCCATCCTTACCCCCGGCTCGGGTCCCGTCCTCCGCCCCAAGGGCGTCAGCCTGCACTATGAGGTCGAACTGGGTCTGGTGATCGGCAAAACTGTGCGTGATCTCGATCCCAACGATGAGAAGGCCGCGTTGGACTCGATTCAGAGTGAGTACAGCATGCAATCCAGATCCGAGGCAATACCGCATTGTACACCACCGCGGTGGATCAAGGACATGGGCTCGAAGAAACAAGTCGCTAATAAAACAAACCCATTGCGGTAAACAGGCTACGTCCTCGCTATTGATATGACAGCCCGCAACGTGCAAGATGAGGCAAAGAAGAAGGGCCTTCCCTGGTCCATTGCCAAGGGCTTCGACACCTTCCTCCCTATCTCGCAGGAGATCCCCAAGTCGCGCATCCCTAACCCGCACGACGCATTCCTGCGCCTCCGCGTTGGCCAGACTGAGCGCCAGGCTGACTCTACTAGCCTGATGCTGTACCGCATTCCGCAGCAGCTGGCCCAGATCTCGCGCGTGATGACGCTGGAGAAGGGTGATATTGTTCTTACTGGTACACCCAAGGGTGTTGGACAGGTCAAAGCGGGTGATGTTATGAGGGCATCGATTGAAGTTAATGGGAAGGAGATCGAGGAGGGACGGATTGACGTTGAGGTGCAGGACCGGGAGGGGCGGTATGAGTTCAAGGAGACTTAGTTTTGTCTTTTGAGGGTTGTATATTTTGACTTATAGAGACTGGAAGTATATATGGTGAAATCATCCTTTGGGGATTCAAAGAAAAAGCGTCCGAACCAGAGGTAGTTCTTCTATGATCTACCGAGAATACATTCAGGAGACGACAAATATACATACGAAAATGAATAATGTAAACAAATTCAAGGAGCGCTGGAGTATCTATACGAATATCTCCTCGTCAAAGTCGAGCGTGGAAAAGGAACTGTGAATAAGTCTGCAAATGTTCCCCGTCTGCCAAGACATTGCGATGTTTGGCTCTGACTTCCAAGGACACCAAATGTCTCTCTCGACTCACAGCCCCATACCTAGACCCATCAACATGCAAGTCGCAGAGATTCTCTCAGATATCAATTCACTCCGCGTCTGCGTAAGTATCACGCTTCCTTCCTCCGAGAGGCTGCCCCACTACGACAAACGCGTCCAAGCCGCGTCTTGGACAAGGGACAACCCTACCAAACAATATGATAATGCTGACAACATGGTACAGGGTCACAACGAGGCCCTGGCGCTAGTGAATGTGCACAAAAATATCACAGGCTCAGATTCAACCGAGTCTGGTAGCGCATCGCCAGATAAGAGCCCGGCAGACGACAAGGCCGATCTTCGTCGTGCAAAAGAACTGGTTGAGCTACACTATGAGGTGAAGGCACGACATGCCAACGGAACCGTTGATATGGAGCTGAGTCAAGCTCGGCAAGATGTCTGGCGAGTTCTGACAGAGCTGTCGACTGTCTAATCACAGTCACTGGGACCTTTCTTTTTGGATATGGCGCGGGCGTTGAGGATCGCGGTTGCTGTTTTTTTTCCCTTCCCTCCTTCGAGATTTTCATGATCGAGCGCATGGATTTCGGTTGACTAGTTTAGTCCAAGTATTTTATTGGTTTGCTGTTGACTTGGTCTTTACTCATGACATTCTCCCAAATGCATGCCCACACGCCCTGAGCTCTCGAGAAAGGGAACTGTGGAGTGGAAGCCCATCACTCAATGGATTCATTGCATCTACAAACTCTCACAACCCTTTCTGGGCGTACTGCACGATCTGATCATGAGCAACTACGCGTCCTTCGGTTGTCTTGCACAAATCTCCAATGGCCCTGGCACGCCTCTGCATCCCTTTATCTTTTAGCACTCGCAGCAGGGCCGAAGACAGCTCAGATCCATTTATTTTTGGTGCCACATTGCGGCTTCCGTGCAAGCCAATACCTAGCCATTCTACTCGGGCCGGACAATCGTATGTGTCGAACCACTGGGGCAGAATGACCTGCGGAACACCAGCCCTGGGAAGAGGCATTAGCACCTTTTGTTTCATCAATGTGTGACCTTGAGAAAAACTTACTTGCATGCCTCGAAAAATGAGTTGGCTCCTCCATGGTGGACATATGCAACTATATTACCGCCTTCCAGAACAGATATAATCTCTGGCTGAATCCATGGGACAATCCTTACCTTATCAGAATTGACAAGAGGTCCGAGAATATTCCTGACCGTCGGGGAGCTTTCCCATTCATATTTCAGCTTCCACAAGACCTGCATATTAGGAAACTCGCGTAAAACAGCCTGGGTTGCCATCGCCATTTGCATCGCATCATTCTCTGGAGCTTGAACATGTGACCCAAGACATATCAGAATCGTTGGCTCTTTCAACCATGAATCCAGTGCTGGATCGCTTTCTATAAGCGACGAAAATGACCGGACGATCGGACCACAGCTGATTACATTATCCGGGACGTATAACGGAAAATCCATCTCTCGGAATGCAGGAGAGAGGTGCAGATGGTCTTCGCAGTAAGGCGCCACGTGGGGAAACGTAGTTCGGATTCCTGCTTTCCTTCGAATGTCCAGAAGATCGCGCATGGGTTTGCCCAAGCGAACCATCCATCCGAAACAAAATACCATGTATATATTTGCAAGGATCAGTCTCCATGGTAGGGGGTATGGATATCCTGATCCGGTGCTGAATGTTAAGTCAGCGAGATACTCGAACCCCATCCGGGAGATATGAGATGCTCACAGGGGGTATTTCCAAAAAATTCCAGCTCTGGGCTGGACAGTTACCACCACATCTTTCAAAGGCACAGGCCAAAGTATCACGATTCGCACGTCAATACTGCGAGCGGCATCTAGTCCTAGATGCAACAGCGGATCTGCAACCACAACGACCGGACGAACATCTTTCAAGATCTCGAGGCAGCTTCGGTATGACCGTATATATTCGTCAGGCGTCCATCCCAGAACGGAGATATTGATAATGTTACATGCATCAAGCGTGCCGGCAAGCCCTGGCGGGTGACATATATCCGGTGTTGTACGGGTCACGATCTCAGACAGGGACGGACCTGCGATTGGATGAAAGTGGATAACTTGGTCGTTCTTCGGTTTTTCATTTATCGCTTGCACGGGAGCCGATAATTCCCTGAAGGAGGCGATGTGGACTTCGAACTCGCCACGGCGCAGAAACTCTTCGGCCACTGCAAGTGCGACGTTGGACTGTCCATGCTCGGAGCTTGTGAGGAAGAGGATAGTCTGTTTTGGAGGTGACATGGTGTTGTTTTTTTTTTGCCCAAGTTTTCCATGAGCCTCAATCAATTAGGTTGTTCCTGGTCACGGATTTTATTTTAAGTGTCTGAACACGCATCCCACCATTATAAGATTGCGTTGTCGCATTCTGTGAATACTAGCCGATGTATGGTTACTCAGGGATGATTGAAATGGACAAAAGGGGGTATTAATGGCCTGAGATCTTTCATATTGATTCAATAGGGAAAGTAGTAGCCGGTTGTCATCTTGGTGGCTAATCTCTCATGAAAGGCCCGGATCCAATCCTTGAGCTTTAGAGAACTGGCTTGTGTACCATTAGACATCCTTTAATCAATAAGAATATTTACTCCCATAGTAATGGGGACATGGACCTCGGATAAGTAAGAGGAAACGAATCAATTAATGGCCTATATCTAATTTTCGACCCAAGTTTCCAAGTTTCCGCAAGCAGCCAAGAGTGACGGCCAAGCCGACCAAGTTCAGCGAGAGCAAGAACCAGAATGCAGCCTGATAGCCTCTCATCCAGGTGTCTGGGGATTGGAGCAAAGAAGTAGTTTGGTCGGGGGTCTGAAGTAGCTGTGTGCTGACATCATTTGAAATAAGTGCACTCAGTGCCATACCTACGGAGGCTCCAATCATTGCAACAGTGCATAGCACTCCCATTGCAAGCCCCTGGGTCTCTGCAGGCAAAGACCCAGCGACCATCATTGTGGCAATTGGGATAACAGAATTTGATGCCACCGAGCTTAATGAAATGGCGGGCATTGCACATTTCCAGTAAGGCCAAGCTGGGCTCAAGACAGCCATCAAGAGTGGAGAGAGACTAGAGAGCACTATTGCAATAACGAGAATTCGGTTGGCTTCAACACGAGATAAGAAATGTCCAGTGAACAGACTGCTCAGCGCACCGGTGATTGGGATTGCCAGATATTGCCAAGAAGATTGTAGCACCGAAAGCCCTTGTGCTCGTTGGAATACGAAGATCATAAGCTGCGAAGTAGAGTGAGATGACGCGTAGATAAAGAAAACAACCAGACCGATGGAAAGGAAATGGCCGTTTGTCCAAAGAGAATCTTGGATGCGCTGTGTGGTGTCTCTTTCCCAGCAATCATGCCAGAACAGGAAAGCAACAAGGAGGATCCAACCAAGAGCAAGGGGAACGAAGAGGTCCGATCTGCCAATGTTTGCCACATTGTTTGTGATGACACTATTTGATATTAATCAGCGTTCTGAAAATATAGACCGTCGATGACATGGGAATACGTACGCCAATGCAGATAATAGGAGCGCCGTTAATGAACTAGCCAGCAGTGTTCCAGACCAATCGATATCTTCAGCCAGTTCAGTCCAAGGGATATATTTTAGATCTTGGGCCGGTTGGGGAATCGACCAAATTGATAGGAGAAACACCAATAGGCTCAAAATTGCGGCGCAATGAAAGCCCCATCGCCAACCAGCAGTCTCCGAGAGTACTCCACTAAGGACGATGCCTACCCCAGAACCAATATATTGACTTGCACTCGTACAGTAAAATGCCAAATTGCGTAACTTCCCAATTGGAAGATGCTCCCTGTGAATGCTCATTGCAGAAATAAAACACATCGGGTAAGCCACGCCGGACACAAATCTGACAGCAATAAGCTGCGCGCCAGTTCGGGCAAGTCCACTAGCCAGATGGCAAACAGTCTGTAGAAAGCATCCGGACAGAAATGTTCTCTTGCTGCCTAGGACATCTGCTAAAGATCCTGCCAGCAGGAACGTGCAGCCTTGAGCGAGATAGTACATTGACATTGGCCTGTCAAGTTGTGAGCTTGGCTTATTCTGTGTAGCTTAGGCGCTGGAGTGTCTCTCACCATAATTCAACTCCGGGGTCCAATCCGAACTCGGATGATAATTGCGTGATGTTGAGGGTCACTAGGCCGTTGACTGCACTGGCAATAAACAATATCGAGGCAGTGCAGATTATGATGGCAAGTCCATGTTGAGAGTGGGTTTCCGAGTGGGTGAAGGGGGACCCGAGAAGCGGCTGAGCCTCAGGGTTCTGACGAAGATCTTCTAAACAGTCATATTCCGACACGAGATTCAGTCTACCTTTTTGCATCCTTGGAATGGTGAGATGTTTTTCTAACATTCTGAAAGGAACAAAAAGGAACAAAAAGCAAATAAACGCGAAGAGCTGAAAGTATTGTAATTTCACGTACCAATCACATGTTGCTCCACTATTCAAGATCGCTCCTTACTTGGGATTTCATATCATTGGTCAGCTTTGTTTGCGCTTGTCTGGCCATTTGTCTTGGTCTTTCGGTATTTTTGGCCTTGCAAGACTTAAGGGTTCTTGAATAGTGAACCGGACTTTTGGTCTATATTTTCAGAGCAATAACTACTATCAATGATCAGTTGCACGTAGGTTATAGCTCAGATTATGTTACTTGGCTTATAGACTAGGGTAGGTCGTCTGTCAAAGGTTATACATAGAAAAGGCCTGTGCAAGCAAGGGTGGGCGCATTATTCCTTTCTGAGACAACTTCACTCTTCTACCTCCAACACCCAAGGATCCTAGTAATAACGGCCAGGAAACCACCCTTTTCCCGAGTCAAAACGCATCTTGATCGTGACTATTGACTTCCATCCAACTCATACCTCGGCAGATGATTTCAATCTTCTCGTTGAATCTTTTATTGTTGTAACAGGCCCTTGATCTTGATGTTCTTGACATACCCCACGCCAAAATGGTTGCACAACATTTACTTTCGGTGCAAGAGGTGATCAACCACCGCGAGGCAAATGACTGCTGGATAGTGGTTGGAAAAAAAGTGTGGGATTTCACGCACTTTGCAAGCGTTCACCCAGGTGGTGCTAACGGTATGTAATTTCAAAGAGGACTAACTGAAGCTCAGTGACGATGACTGACTCAATATAGTCATTCTTCAATGCGCAGGTCATGATGCAACACATTTGTTCCACCAGGTCCACAGCGATGGCCTGATCGAGAGCACGCTGCCCTCATCTAAATACATGGGAGATCTTGATCCCAACAGTATCGACAATGCATGGCGACAGCGCTCCAGCGCCTTGTCATCGAAGCATTCACCAACAGCTTCGGAGTTGTCTAAGCCTCCTCTGTCCAGCATACTCAGCACTCATGATTTTGAGAGAGTCGCCAAAGAGACTCTGTCAAAAAAAGCATGGGCATTCTATTCATCTGCGGCTAATGACCTCATCTCAAAAGAAGCAAATCAGTCATTCTACAGTAGGATATGGTTCCGACCTCGACTGATGCGAGATGTTACAAATGTGGATACACGATGCCAGTTTCAAGGGGTCGAAGCATCTTCACCTATCATGGTCGCACCTGCTGCTATGGCTAAGCTTGCTCACGAGACAGGAGAAAAAGGGATTGCGAGGGCTGCGGCAGCCAGAAACATAATACACTGCGTACGTCGCTCGCATATACCTCAGAAATGCAACTAACAACCCGATAACAGATCGCGACCACTGCATCGTACCCATTGGAAGATATTGTTTCAGCAGCCCCGAAGGCAAATTTCTTCTTCCAGTTATACGTTCACAAAGATCGGTCGGTGACTAAATTACTTCTCGAAAGGGTTTGGGCAGCGGGCATTCGCGCGATTATGGTGACAATAGACGCCCCCGCCGCTGGAAAGCGGGAGGCAGATGAACGTGTGCGCACCGAGCAAATCATCTCAATGCCTATGACTGGAACAACGGCCAGAAATGATAAGTCAGGAAGTGGACTTACCAGAACAACCGGAGGCTTTATTGATAGCTCGCTGAGTTGGGGAGATATGTCATGGCTGAAGAAAGTCTGGAAAGGCAAGGTGATGCTGAAGGGGATTCAATGCGTCGAGGATGCCCAAACTGCCGCTCAACTTGGAGTTCAAGGCATTGTACTGAGGTGAGTCTGCATTTAATTATTGTGGGTTTAGATTCTAACAGGACGCTACTTCAGCAACCACGGAGGCAGAAACCTGGACACTTCGCCGCCGGCACTTTTGACCCTGCTGGAGCTGTATTATCAAGATCCGGACATTTTTCAACAGACTGAAGTTTATATTGACGGGGGGATAACTCGTGGAACGGATATTCTCAAGGCGCTTTGTCTAGGGGCCAAGGGTGTACTTGTTGGGCGTCCATTTCTATATGCTCTCAACTACGGCGAAGAGGGCATAGTCCATTTGATTGACAGTATGCTCAGGAGTTTCCTTAGTCTCGTGCTATATGTATTTTCTAACTCGTTTCCTAGTTTTGCAAACCGAACTGGAAACTGCTATGAGACTTGTTGGAATCACCAATGTTTCGCAGGCACATTCGGGGCTGCTGAACACAAAGGACATTGATCACCTGGTCACCACCATGAGTCCCAACCCTCGGCGAGAACTCAAGCTATAAGCATGATTCATTATCGTTATTGCAAGGAAATATCACAACGAAGGTGACATCCTAAGCCTTGAATCAAGATCATCCAGAGGAGTCGAGAGAGTCGATACGAAAAGCGCCATATATCACAGGCAGTCAGCAAGACAATTATGCGCATTTCAAATGAAAACATTGATTAAATGTCTTCTAGGTCTGGTGCATTGCTCGCCTCCCATGGATGTTTCTGCTCCACTGAACGAATGAGGGATTCGTGAGCCGCACTGCGAGGTTCGATGTGGAACTTCCATGGTACCGGATGACTGATGACTCCAGGCTGGAATTTCGGTTGGACATCAACTTCCTTCCCATCTTCGACGGCTTTTCTGATATTAAAGGCCGCAAGGGATTGCGCTGCACTCAAATACAATGTGTTATCTGCCAAGTGACGCGCGGGACAGATGCGACGCCCAAATCCAAAGGCAAGGTCATGAGGATCTAGCTCGGGCTCACGTCCATCAATTCCCAAAAAGCGCTCCGGTTTGAATACCATAGGATCGTGATAAACAGAAGGATCATGCATCATAGCCCTTTGTTAGGTGTCAATAGTCCATCATAAATTCGAGAGTCGGTGCATTAGTTGGGACCAAGACTCACCAGATGTTAGGCATGAGCAATGAGCCCTTTGGAATAAAATATCCTCCCCAAGTATCATCTTCAGTTGACGCGTGGGGAAGTCCCATAGGTGCCACCGGATGCCACCGCAAAACCTCCTTCACCACAGCGTCGATATACGGCAAACGAGAGCGGTCGCCGACTGTTGGAAGTTGACAAGGCCCCAAAACCCGATCGATTTCATCTTGTGCTTTACCTTGGACCTCGGGGTATAGTGTCATTGCAAGGAAAAAGCATTCGATGGCACACACAGTCTAGAAAAACTTAGTCAAAGTCCAGAAAAGAAGGTCGAGCATCTCACGGTATCAGCACCACCTGCATAAAGTGATGCAGCCGTCCATTTTGCAACAAACTCATCTTCCGAGCCGCGTGGAGGAACCCCTGTTGTTTTAAATAGTCCAGAGAGATAGGATGGCTGATGCGTATTTCCTTCCGTTTGCCGATGTGCGAATGCATATGGCTTTTCCGCCAAAACTTCTAGATTCTTCTTCCATGCCTGAGCAGTGCGTTTGAAACTTGCTCCGGGAAGCCAGGACGGGATGTGTTTTACTGTTTTCCGTTAATAACACCTCAGCAACTAGTGGCAAGGCGAAGATAAAGACATACGAGCTGGAATAATATCAACCAGCCAGACACCCGGTGTACTAGCCTTGGAAAATTGATCTAGGACCAGATTTGCAATATGCACCAATGAATCCCGCTTGTGCGACTCAATAGTATATCCGTATGCAATTTTAAGAATGATTGCACCAGCCTCTCTGTGAGAACATAAGATTCAACGTCTTAGTGTTGGAGGAGATAACCGGGGCATCTACTCACGTTTGAATGTGCTCCATGAGCTTCGTCTGATCTTCGAGGACGCGAAACAGAAAGCGGTGGGTTTCTACCTCTTGCAGAGGATTGAACTGGGCCACAGCCGACTCAGATCCAATGTATGGTTGCATTGCCTTGCGATAGGCGCGAAATCGAGGAGAGTATTTCTGCATTGCCAAAAAATGCTCCCATCCCACCCTGTGTTGGTTATCAGTGCGTCAGCTCTGTATCCAGATGCAAACAAGCTGGCGTACTGACATTTCGGACGCAAAGACTAGGTTTGGCCTCGAGGAGTATTTTGAAGAGCGCTTTGCTAGCAGTTCCACAGCCACATTTGCGTCACTCAATATAACGATGGTTTGTCCCAGCACCGTGATAGAGCTGATCGGCCCTGGAAATTGATTGCGTCAGCGTGTGCTTTGGAAGACAAGAACCGCCGTAAAATCAAACCGTAAGCCTGTTTGTGCTGAAGCCAATGCATCCAGTCTTGTGTCCCCGACGGCGGTAGATCAGATATGTTGCCAAGCACTGGGGTCGGCCTTGGGCCCGGTGGCAGGGGGCCAGCAGGCCTCTGGCGGCTCAACAGCAATTTAGCGACATAGAGGGCGAGGGCTCCCAGAAAAAAACCAAATAGGACGGTGGATAACATCGAGGTGGGTGGGTACTAAGACTGAAGATGGTGGAGGAAATAAGGAAGGTTATAACACGAGCAATATGAGACCTGCCAACACAACTTCGTGACTTGCAGTTCTTGCTCTACCCGGGTAAAAAAATTTAGGTTGTGTGAGTAAAACTACGCTGACGTCCAAGGTTCCCCTATTGGCTTTAAGACTGCGAGAGTCCCCGCAGGTACGTGCCCTTTGCTCCGCTGCGCTGCATAACACCATAACCAGGCTGTGTAAAGTTAATCATACGAGAGTACACATCTGGTAATGAGCGCTGGTGACGGCCAAGGGCACTGGTCCCAATCTTGCGGCTCGACCAAGCACCTCGGAGCACGTTCCTAATAGCGTAAGTCACTAATTCCACCGTTGCTCGCTACGTGGTCGATAAGGTTAGACACGAAGTTGCCTGACATTCAATGGCGATGCCTCTATTTAAGACCAGCTTACAATTAGGGACCGTTTTTTTATACCATGAACGAAATTTCATAAGAAAATCCAGCGAGACGGACATTTACACATCATGATCACCTTCTTGGAGGCTGAAACCTTGAAGATTTGAGATAGCGGCCCGGAGATAAGGTTGAAGCCGCTTTTGCAACCATGGTCATGAACTTACCGTGATCCATCCATGGATGGCCCTGGGGATTCCGGTTCCAAGGTCGAGCAGAGCTTATTCGAATCTAGAAAATGCAACGATTCTAGACCTGGTCAAAGGGTTATCTTTTTAAAACTTTAAGCCTACGAGGAATGCATTCGGATCCAACCAACTGGTGAATAAATTGACTGTGGATCAAGTGTGGGTCCAGCTTAAATCCCAATGAACGTCAACCGAAACCTCGTTGACTCTCCCCTCTCAAGCCAGATGCCGTGATGTATGGGTTGTACCACTCGACAGGTGCAAATATATTAGAATTTCTCTGCTTCTACTTAGTTCAGAATGTGGTCCCTGCCGCCCTCATCATCACCACGCGGAAAAGCTCTCCCCTACGCTACCTGTGCATTCCAGGGATGATATGGACAGCCAGCCGGTTCATCCGTCCATTTGGCTCGTCTGGCAGTCCAACATGGTGCCAGGCCATAACACAACTTGTCATTGCAACTTTGCAGGCAACACATTTGTTGTTACTTAATCCTCTGGACAACTCAGACATCTCGCGCAACGGAAAGAGCATTCAAAACCTCGGATCTAGGTTGATCGCAGCATTTCGCTTACTTGCTCAAACCCGCGCTGTCAATACACAATGGCAGGTAAAGAATGTGCCCTCCCTTCCAATGTATTACCTGCGGCGGGGTATGCAGGTCCCAACACGGGGTCGATTTTTGCTACGACAGCTAAATCGTCGCATGGCAGTGCTTGGTGCTGGACATCGTGCAAACGGTCTCGCTTCAGCAGGCTACAGAACGTGATTTGCAGGAGGCTGCATCGTTGAAAATCGAATGGATTGTGCCTGTGGGACAATGGGCAGAGCGAATAGCTACGCATCTGTCTATCTGGTTTGTGGTAAACCGTCTAATCAGTGATCTTGCATATCGAGTACTGTCAATATTCTTCGTCGGGATCGGGCTAGATTCCCCTGCAGACTGGCCACCAGCCTTTGGGAGTATGGCCGATGCATTTACATTGCGCAACTTTTGGGGGTAAGCCATATTTAGTTACTAGGATGGATAAATATGTTGACAAATTTTGCAGGAAATTCTGGCATCAATTCATGCGCCAGCCCTTTACTTCTATCAGTAATTTCATCGCACGAGATGTTTTGAATCTTACCCAATATTCAATATTGGAGCGATACACCAATATTTTCATTGTCTTTCTCATCTCTGCCATATTCCATGTTATCGTCGATATACTGCAGAGCGTTCCGATGGAAAGCTCCGGCTCGATGCCATTCTATCTAGCGTTTGTCTTCGGGATAATGCTCGAGGATGGTGTGCAAAATATTTGGAAACGAGTACAAATATCAGACAATGAACATGAGAAGACAAAACAATCATCAGGCATCGTGCCGCTTTGGAAGCGAGCTACTGGGCTGGTATGGGTCATGCTATGGCTTGGGGTCACCTCGACGTGGTACTTTACTCCGATGATTCAATCCACAAATGATGATCTGCGGGTGATTCCTTTTAGTATTGCAAAATATATCGGGTTTCAGCCGCTCATAGGTATTGTCGTGGGTAGTGGAATTGGCATTGCAATTATGTTTGAAGTTGAGCTATGAGACACAAAAGCATCCGCTCTCAGAACAAGAACACCAATCACCGGATAGAAATTGGGGGCCTGGAGGTACTGTGCTCCACTGTTAGGATCGGCGAAGCAGAGGGTAAGGAAAACCCATGAACTGAGTGATGTCGCCCCGAGAGAGGGAAGGAGAGGAAGTACAGGTCCTATCAGCCTGAGACACCAGCCCCAACAACGGTATAAACAGATTGTTTACATCTCCACCAAGTCTAGACGTGACAAATTATTCAATTCTACCCAGGAAATGAAAACATTTTGGCTTTGACTAATGACTCCCAGCAAGCGCTATCTCGCATCTATAGATCGTCGTACTTATATGGCTTGTACTCACTCTCTCTACTCGCTCACAGGTCACGGCAAGAATTCATAATCCGACTTCATGGGATCTTTCGTCCGAGTTGGTAGCAGATTTCGCGTTGCATCATCTGGGATGGATAAAATCATCAAATCGACGCATCAAGACGAGCAACACCAGCAAGATCCAATTCATGCACGGTTCCCCAGTTTTTCTCCAGCTTCTGGATGGCCCGTTGTTGTCCATATCGAACCAAGAATCGGTAAACTGCCACATATGCACTGTTCAACGAGCCAACCGCCCACCCATGATGAACACTAGCAGCCTCCCCTACAATATGGAACTTTCCATCGGCTGCTGGGAAAGATAGGGAAGGGTATAGATTGGTGAATTGCCCCGGGGCAAAAAGCGCAAAGGCCCCCGACGAAAAGCGTGAATTGCCCCAGCAGAAGGAATGATGATCCCGGTACAGGGTTTGCAGTTTCTCATACGTGATTCCATGCTGCTGGTGTTGCTGAGCGAGATCACGGAGGACAAGATCCAGTAGCTCATCCCCCTCATCCTCACCCCCATCGGAGCTGGCGGAGGACCGACTGATCAGAGCCCCCATGCGGGTGGCATCCTGACCCCAGGTGTACGAGGCCAACAGCACAGCTGGCTTGTCCAAGTCCTCTTCGGCGATATTCGACGGGTAGACGCAGGTCCGTGAGGGGAGGGTCGACGAGGCACTACCGCCCCCTCGAATCCCGCAGTCTACGATCCACCATGGATACGCAAACTTGATACCCACCTTAGTAGAGTCTTCATACCGCAAACACCGGATGGCTTCCTCTTGAACAGGATCAAGTTGGAGTGACCTGGTGTCGATGCGCTGCAGGCATGCTAATGGAGTAGTGCTGAACACCGTCGCATACCCATCGCGAACCTCTTCCTCGCCTGCACACGATACCGACAGATCGGGGCTACAGTCGATAGCAATGCGACGAACTTGTTTCCCGAGCTCGATGGTGCTGGTTTTATTGATTTGATGGCACATTCGCTCAATAACCAGGGAAGAGCCGCCATCCACAGAATACCATTTCACTGCCCCACTGTCTTTGGACCCTGTTGTGGGTTGATCGAGGTCGAAAGAGTCCATGACACTCTCTGAAAAGGCTTGATCAAACGTCCCTGTGCCGGTGGTGTTGCTCTCGGCAGACTGTATTGTCATGAAGTCTGACTTGTGGCTGCCTCGGAGGTATTCACGGGTGCTCATTGCATCTGCTTGCATCAGAAGCTGGAACCCCTGCACGAAATCCTTTTGCATGACCTTTTTATACGGGCCGAAGGATTGACTGAGAATATTGGCGGATAGGCTATCTTTAGTCCTGGAGATCTCATGGCCCTTCGTGTTCATGTTTATCTCTCGCATATCGAATTCCTTCAATGGCACTTGCATTCGGCGAAAGAGATCAAATACCCGAGACATGATAGGGATATCCGGAAACCGCATTGCGCCTACATCATAGTAGTCGTTGTGCGCCTCAGAGAAGCGATGGGTATAAATGCGCCCCCCAATGCGATCTCGATTGGCCTCAAGGATATCCCAGGAAAGATTTGGGATTTCCAGATCTTGCAAAATCAGCGCGAGATACAGACCTGCAATTCCGGCCCCGATGATGCATACTTTGGTACCTTTGTCCAAGAGAGGGTCTGGGCTTTCTTCCTCTAGGTAGCTCGTGAGAATAGAAGGGACAATCTTCTCTGTTTGAGTCGCTGCATGATTACCAGGACCGCATATTGAACAGCCTGGACAACAAGGGCATTCAAACGAATGGACACCCGGGTGTTTCAGAGGATCCTGACATAGAGAAACCCGTATAGACGGTCTCGAGAACAAATCACGATATGGAAGCTGGAGCTGCATGACGAGGTCCAAAGAAGAACGCAGACCTGTGCAAGTGGGCTATAAAGTAGCAAAGTAGGTAGAAGGTATGTATGAAAAAATGCTTTCTGCTGTACGGAGTATGTAAACGAAAGACCATCTTGGGTAACTTTGGGGGAGTGTACCATTCCCATCAATTATTACAAGGAGCCCGTACCTGGTGCAATTTATCCACAGACTACGCCGATAGCTCCCATACGATTAATGCCGGTGATATGATCAAAATGGAGGATACATCCACCTTGGCACTCCGTCGGAGGGGTAGACACACAGGGGAAAAGTTGGCATGTGCATTGAGATCATCTTGCGTAAAGGTTCAGGATCATCGAGTGCATAGTACATCTTTGGGGCTGACTGGATTATGGGTCGAGCATAATCAGCAGATGTGAAGGATTGTAACTGGAGGGGAACGTGCATGCAGCTAAATGATGACAGGATCCAGGCGTATAATGATGCATTATTGCACGTCTTACGGTAATCCGGGATGAATTGGTCCATTTTTCAGTGGCCAAATGATGTACAATGAGCCAGCATGGAACTTACAGCGCAGGGAACTAACTTGGTTTCTATCTATCTAATCCCTAAATCGTAACATCGAAGCTGGATTTTGGGATATAATCTCCAATGCTCAATCTGATATTATATAATATCCCAAAGTACGTTCTAGAAAGAGGACTCGAGCCCCGTGGGTTTAGTTCCTCGAGACATGTTTCAGAGTGTATCCAGCCCCGGCGAGAAAATCCACTTTCGTGCATACAAACTTGCTAGTACAAGCGTATACACCTCATTTACCTTTTTAAGCTAGCATTAAATTAATGCCGAAAATGGATTTCCTCCGTAAAGTATCGTGATATTCGTTTGGCATTCTATGGAGTAGTTATATGCTCTAATGTTGGGGCGGAAAAACACAGTCCCCCTAGTCCAAAGTGCCCTACCTATCCTAGCTCGCTAGCTTCCTCTACCTCCTGTCTTGCCTATTACCGGCATTATCTGGGGTCGTCGGATTAAAGTTTTCGTGGCAGCATTAGTAGGGAAGAAGACCCTGAAGTCCCCTCTTTGATATCAAAATTGCGCAAGACCTGTTTCGAAGAATCTTAGCTGCAAAACCCCACAAAACAGATATTGTCAAGCTACATAGAACACTTACCGTAACCAAGGTCTTATATAGGACCAGGACCCCTATGTGTCGTCCGGGACACTTACGATAACCAAATCCCCAGTGCGCATCATACGCATTCCACACTCGCAACTGCTCCTCCGACGCCTCAAGCCACCGCTCGGGAACAAAATCCTCGGCATTGTCACCGTAGAGCTGAGGATGAGTGGAGATGGCGAAGGGACTTGTAGCTACAGCAGTGCCCGGAGGGACGTCCCTGCCTAGGAGACGCAGTGGCCTGTCAGGCGAGCAGCGCCATCTGGGAGAGGCCGTCGCTGTAATTCGCATGGCCTCATGGACACAGGCATCAACAAAGGGGAGAGCGCAGCATTCTGCGTAGGTGGGCGAGGGACTGGAGAGAGTCTGCTGGGTAAAAGCATTATCGATCTCTTGGTGGGCTCGCTGAACGGCCTGGGGATGTTTGGCCATCGTGGTCACCAGATGGTTAATCGTGGTGGCGAGTGCATAGGGACCACCCAGTCTGTGCGAATAGATTTAGTATGTATTGAAAGCGGCTTGCCTGGTTTGGGGGAACTCACACATCAGAAACAAGCTGGTCTTCGATATCCGATAGGGGAATGCCTTCTCCTACCGCAGATTTTGCCGCCAGCCATTGATCCAACATGGAGTGTTCCCAGCGTGGCTTTTGCTCTGTTCTGAAAGCTTCAATGCGCTTTTGAGTAATATCATGCACTTCCTAGACGAGGCTTAGAGCTGCTAGCCATGAAAAATGAAAGAGGCACTTACAGTAGTCCACATGCCCATGCCCGTTGAATCATCGCGGCCACTAACAAATAAACGACGACCCAAGGACGTATGGGCGGCTAGCCAAGCGATTGGGCGATATCGACTGAGCGTCCATTGCCGGAAGATGCGATGACTGCTTTGCAACATATTGCGCACATCGGACCTGTGGTCTAAGAAGCCGAAGCTCTCCCCCACACTCATCGGCACATACACATCAAATGAAAAATATCTGAGCCCAGTCAGTACCCAATCTAAGTTTTCCCATTCGACACGGGACACTTACTTAACCCAGGTACCCCAGTCTACGGAGGGGTTTGTATAGGTTTCCTCATTGAGAATGGAAACCCACTTGATAAGATTTTCATCCACCAGACCCTCAAACAACTGCACCCGCGATACCGAAAACTGTTCTGATCAGTTACCAGCTCTGGGGAACAATATGTAATGTGTGGCTCACTGCCTGTCCAAACTGCCGTTTGGCCGCTGCATAGTCAAGATAGTTGGCCTTGTTGGTGGCTGCACCCGGACAGGTAAAGTCTTGGGGATAGTCTGCCTTGTCGCTCTGGCGATGATACACCACCGGAATCAGATCCAAATCATTGAATGTCAGGTGGTTGGGACCACAGCGAACGACCGGGCCTGTTCATCAATTAGACCATAGAAAGCGGGACCCGGTGTAATTGTCTTACAGACCATATTTGCGATGTAAATTTTGGTACCAGGCCTTTTCTCGCCCAGTCCATACGGCGTAAAAATGCTGAAAGCTGGAGGCAGCGACCAGGTTCGGCCCTGGAAATCCTGACAATGGATGGAAGTACACTCGTCGCACTAGGAAACTAATGGCCCCAGCCAAGCAAAATAGCACGATGCTGTGGCAAATTTTCAACCAGTCCATCTTGTAGTGGGACCAACCTTAGAAGGATCAACTGCTAGTTAAGGGTTTTTTTAGATGGATACATGTATAGGATGAAGCAGGTCTGGCTGAAACGCCATGGTTAAACTACTTGCGTCCATCGGGATCGCCTGCTGGGATTAGAAACAGGTCTGTGATCTCGCAACCTGAATTCTGCAAGCCGAATTCCCCCCGGAGCAATTTCTAGCCACTTGTACTGTTGTATGCACTTTTACCCCCGAAATGTGGTCGGTGGGTTTGTGTACACATGGACCCCTTGCATATGGTGGGGGGAGGCGGGGTTAGAGTCGCTGCCTACGTGCCAAGGAAACGCGGGCCGGAGCCCGTCGGTCAAAATATACCTAGGTGAGGCGCTAAGAATCCTGCAGGAAAATAACTCCTACAGCTCAACACTGGCCTGTGTTAAAAGTGGATGATCACGGCTGCAACGCAACTATGGCGGCATTTGATTTAGATTGGACCTACTCGGTACTCCGTACTCCGTACATTGTGTGGAGTTATATGTAGCCTATCGGTATTGATGTATCAAATTTGAAAGTACTCCGTACTATGTACAAGAATAGTCAGCCGCTTATGCGGCCGTGTCGAGTATTTTTTGGCAGTCATTTTATATCCCACTACATATATTGAAAGCCAATTTTTTTTGGCGGGCTGAGAATGGCGTGGGCATGCAGCTGAGCTATTATGCGTACGTGCCCTTGATGCGCATGTGCTGGAACTGATTGGCTGTCAAGAACTCTTGCACTGGCTTGCTGTTGTCCACTAAGGAATCCAGTAGTGGACGGAGAAGCGCTGCACGATCGGGCTTTGCGAAATACGCAATCGAGAAACGTTCTGGGACCATATTACTCTGGTTCTCACTCTTTGCCAAATGCACCCGGTGTCGGGCACTATGCAGCCCTGTCCACATCTGAAGACAATCACCTACATTGACAATACACTCATGGGGGCCAGAACTGTCGGCCGGAACAAAGACTCCGCTACTTGGGGGCTGTTCCATCTCTAGCACTCCGTTAGCTCAATGCTAGTATCGAAGGATGAGACCATCCCAAATTGGAAGGTGGTATTGCTTACCCAGGCCCCCAACATTATCTTGAAACAGTAGAGTAATAGTGCCAAAATCCGTGTGTGCGGCAATGCGGGTGGCATTGGCAAAGTCAGCCTGATCCACTTCTGGATAGTGGGTGAGCCGCAGCTCGTTGGTCTGTGCCGCGTGGAGTTCACGTAGAGAGTGAACGGGCAACCCCAAGCCAATCGAAATAGCATCCAGAATGATCAACTGTGCTTCGTAACAGACGGTAAAGAATGAGCTCATTGTCGTTTGAAAGCTGTCGTGAACTCCTGCAGGGGGCCAAATATTGGAGTACAGCGGGTCTTCTTCCGATCCAATGTCGTAAGACTCCTAATGAACTGGTTAGACATGTAAAACCTAAATAAAATAATATTGAAAAAGTATGAATACTCGATATTTGTACCTTCATATCCTTGAGTAAGGGTTGCGTGGCCGAGGAGCGATAATTAGACACAGTTGATATGTTTTCCAGGCCAACGGGACTGAAGCCGCGATGGGGATGAGCTGTGGGTGGATGAGGCGACTTCAGCTTCTGCTCCATTGGGAGATCGAAGAATTTATGACTCTGGAGAGACGATGAGTGAGAGGATACTCGGACAGACACTGAGGGAATGTTCGCACCATTTCAAATGCCCGGTCGATGCTCTCTGGAGGGACACCATGATTGACTAGCCGTACCCAACCCGACTTGCTCAACCCGGAGATCAACTCACGGCAGAACTGATCTCGCTCGTCGGAGCTCTCACTATGAAATCTTGAAAAGTCGAGTTGCTCGAACATGACTGATGGATATACTGTGGGGAATATGGTGGAAGTTGCCAAAGTTGTAAATACTCGATAGTAGATGCTGGCAATGTAAAAGAGGCCTTTTCAAGGTAGGATTGCAGATCGATAGTGTTTTAAAGAAAACGTGGAAGTAATGGTGATCATATGTTGTGACACCAGATCTGTTGTTCGGTATGTGGATCACAGTGCATCTGCGCTGAAGCGGATCCTCGGGGGCTTGGGGCCTCGGGGCCATCCTGATCAATGACAGGTCTGCACCACGTAACACAACAGCGGTGAAACCTTCGTTTCTTACCGCATGGCTCTAACCCGATCTTGCATATGCATGCATTGCCTAGTGCGCACTATCGAATGGAAATCCACAAAGTGGAGATGATTCCTGTGTTCAATGCTCAACCGCTGATACCGAGAGGCCAGTGTTCTCAGAATTAACATTAAGAGTCGAGGACAACCTTCCCCTACAGTTGTGCAGCTAGAATATCCTTGATAACCCATTAGAATGGTTGCAACAAAGATGAACGAGGGTACTCAGCTACCAATTCCGGATGCACTTAATGCTGCATCACCTTCATCGCAAGAACTTGATGAGATCTGGGCTAGCAATACTGTTGTCCCAGAGTCCATCACAGGTTGTGTTCATGACTTGATTACTGACGTGGCGCAAAGACAACCAGATGCCCTCGCTGTTTGCGCGTGGGATGGAGATTTTACCTACGCTCAACTATCCACCTTAAGCGATCATGTTGCTCATCATCTCTGTGCAATGGGCAATCCACCGAGCTCCCCAGTCGCCCTTCTTTTTCCCAAGTCACGATGGACATGTGTTGCCATGTTGGGTATCATCAAAGCTGGATGCGCGGCCATTGCCCTTGATTCCACTCATCCAGATGCGAGACTTCGATCTATTATTAGGCATGCGCAGCCGAAAGCAATGATCTGCTGCCCATCTACTCGAGAAAGAGTATCTATATTGTGCGATTCACCCATTATTCAGCTCGACGATACTCTGTTGGAGACTGTGGGCACCATAAAACAGCAGACGCCTGATTTGCCTGTGGTATCACCAAGAGACTTAGTCTATATATCTTTTACCTCGTAAGATATCCACGATCCAATTTTCTAGGGGAATGAGAGTGCTAACTTTAATGCTTCAAACCAGCGGAACTACGGGTGAGCCCAAAGGAGCGTGTATTAGCCACGCCAACGTGAGAAGTGCTGTACATCACCAGGGCAAAGCTCTTGGCTTCCATCAAGAGTCGCGCGTCTTCGACTTTGCACCTTACTCCTTTGACGTGGCCTGGAGTAATGTTCTTCACACGTTGTGCGCAGGCGGCTGTCTGTGCATTGCCAACGAGCAAGATATGGTGAATAACCTATCAGCTGCTATCACGGCCTTTGAGGCTAGTCTGATCAATGTCACTCCCACTGTTCTGCGAACAATTAGTTCGGTTCCACCGACACTTCAAACTATACTTTTGAGTGGAGAGATGCCGTATCGAGAAAATGTGACTCAATGGGCTGGCCGTGTTCGTCTGCTCAATACGTACGGTCCCACCGAGTGTACCTGGAAATGTACCTTCTCGCGGCTCAATCGCTGCGAGGAAGGCCGGCCGGATATTGGGAAAGGAACGGGATTCTGCCTCTGGATCGTCAATGCCAATGATAGCAGCCAGCTTGTTCCTCCTGGAACTCCGGGAGAGCTGTACCTCGAGGGACCCATGGTTGGCCAAGGGTACCTGTCCAATCGAGAGAAGACCAGCGAAGCGTTTATCAACAACCCACCGTGGCTTTTATCTGGGAGCACTAGTGTCCCGGGACGGCAAGGCCGTGTATACAGGACCGGAGACCTAGTCAAGACCCGCTCAGATGGAAGCATCCTGTTTCTAGGGCGGAAAGATGTGTCTCAATTGAAGATTAGAGGTCAACGGATTGAGATCGGTGATGTGGAGCACCATGCGCGAGCTTGTCTGAATGATGCACTGACAATCATTGCCGATATTGTGCTCCCCCAGAAAACCGAGACTGCACTGCTTGCGCTCTTTGTGCAGACTAAAAATAAGGACGCCGAGACAGTCAAGACCATGATGAATAACCTTGCGCGCGATCTAGACGGTGTATTGCCAGCATTTATGCTCCCCAGCATCTATCTCCCTGTTGAAGAGATCCCGGTGGCTTCCACGGGAAAAGTCGACCGGCGAAAACTGCGAGAGCTGGGAGATAGCTTGTCTTTGGAGCAGCTTCTTCAGTTGCAGTCAACCATCCTGCCCGTTAAAGAATACCGTGACCCATCCACTGCTATGGAGGAGCATCTTCGTGAGCTCTGGGCACACGTATTGAACATACCATCGACTGGAATTAGCACCACAGATAGTTTCCTCCGTTTAGGAGGGGACTCAGTTGCAGCCATGCTGTTGGTTGCGGCAGCACGGAATGTCAATTTATCCATCACGGTGGCAGACGTGTTCAAGAGTCCAGTGCTGAGTGATCTTGCCCTCGTTATCAAGGAGGATTCTTCCTCTGCTGAAGGGGAAGAAATTGCCCCATTCTCTCTGATGGACCATCCTTCGGATATCCAAAGAATGCGCGAGGAGGCTGCTAAACTCTGCAACGTCGAATTGGCTCAAGTTGAAGATATATATCCGTGCACCGCACTCCAACAGGGAATGCTCTCTATCACAGCTCGAAGTGAGACCAATAACGTTGCACGGACACTATTTGAGCTTCCAAGCCACGCTGATCTCTCCCGGTTGGAAAAGGCATGGCTAAGTACCACTCGTCAAGCCTCAATCCTGCGAACACGAGTCATAGACCTGACCAGCAATGGTCTGGTTCAAGTTGTTGTCGACTATCCAACCATGCTAGATCGCTACGACAATATCACCGACTTCATCGAATATTCCATTCCGATGGGATTGGGGGTCCCTTTGTGTCGGGCTGGCCTGATTTCTGGAGAGTCTCCAAGTTTGATTTTGGAAATGCACCATTCAATTTTCGATGGCTGGTCCACCAAGTTGATATTGGATGCTATTGAAGCCGAATACCATGAGAGGGTGACACCCTCGTCCATCCTGCCCTTCCAGTCATTTGTGAAATACACAAAGGGGATAAACAAGGAAATATCATCGCTCTATTGGAAGGCCTACCTGGACGGAGGGTCTGAAACGAAGACTTTCCCGTCTCCTGGGTATCAGCCAGGGACAAAGCTTGATTTCAACCATAATGTCTCCGAAATGCCATGGACCCACTCGGGAACCACACCATCATCAGTCGTTAGAGCAGCATTAGCCCTGTTACTAGCCTCATACACCAATTCCAACGATGTCAGGTATGGTGCCACGATCAGCGGGCGACAGGCCACCGTGGCCGGGATCGAACGAATCGCAGGACCGACGATTGCGACTGTACCAGTCCGCGCTAAATTTGAGTGGAATCAAACAGTCGAGAGCTTGCTTGAACAGGTCCAAAGACAGACAGTAGAGGCCACTGAGCACGAACAGCTAGGACTGCAGCAGATTGCTGGATTGGTTGAAGATGCCAACCTTTTCCAGCTACTCCTAGTAGTCCAGCCGGCTCAGCAGGCAAATAGCCACGAGGTCGACGGTCTTTTCAGCCGGGCGAATAGTGTTGTTAGCAGCTCTAATCAACCCGGCAGTTTGAAAATTGTTTGCAAGGATGGAGAAGCCGACACTGTGGGCATGTACAACCCATATGCGATGATGATCATCTGCCAATTGCATGAATCTGGGGTTGAACTGAAGATCAACTTTGATTCCGGTGCCATTGCAGCCAAACAAGTCCAGAGAATGTCGATACAATTCGAACATTTGCTGCGACAGCTATGCTCGGAGGAGTGTACTCAGATGAACCTACGCGAAGTCACTGCTCTAACTAAGGACGACTTGGCTGATATTTGGACATGGAACGCAGCGCGGCTGGAGCCTAAGTTTGAATCAATCACCGACGGTCTTCATCGGCAAAGCGATGCGAAGCCAGAAGCAGTTTTGATATCTGCATGGGACCAGAAATTAACAGCTCAACAGATTCAGGTGTGGTCCGTAAAGCTGGCTGATCGGCTTCTTCATGAAGGTGTCCTTCCTGGGTCGATTGTTATTCTGGCATTTGAGAAAAGCGCTTGGCAGGCAGTGATAATGCTTGCAGCCCTCAGAGTTGGTGCGGTTGTTCTGCCGATGTCTGTACCGGTTTCCAAAACTCGAGCCCTGCAAATTGTTGAGAGCTTGCAGCCCCAGATTGCGGTTACCTCCACTTCGTCTGATTCATCTCCCTTCCACGAATTGATCCCAGTCCTCAGTATCGCTGATCTAATCACACCGGAAAGGAAGGTCTCCGGTGTTGTTGTCAAGTCCTCACCATATTGCCATCTGCCCAGTGATCCTGCTCTTCTTCTATTTACTTCAGGGTCCACAGGAACACCAAAGGCCATTGGGTGGAATCACAGCGCTTTATCAACCAACGTTCAAGCCGCCATCGCGGCATTCGGACTAACCGATACGAGCCGAGTCTTCCAGTTTGCTGGTTACGATTTTGATGTGAGCACAGTAGAGACTTTGGCTACCTTGCTTGCAGGAGGTTGCTTGTGCATTCCATCGGAGACAGACCGAAGGAATCGGCTGACCGATGCAATCAACGGCGACAAAGCCAATTGGATGTGTTTGACCCCGTCCGTGTCAGAGACCATAAACCCGCGTGATTTGCCATCTCTACAGACAGTGATATTTGCGGGCGAGAAGCTTGAGCAAAAGACTGCTCTTCGATGGCTAGACACACACAAAACCGTACATAACTGGTACGGGCCAGCGGAAGCCTCAGTGGCCACCTCATGCCTTGTAAACCATGACAGTTGGCGTCCAGGTATGATCGGGCAAGGTCGTGCCGGGCTAGCATGGCTTGTCGACCCGAAAGACCCAAACTTACTGGCTCCAGTGGGAGCAGTGGCCGAATTGTGTATGGAGGGCTATATGCTGGCTCGATATGCTGGAGTCAATGGCGCTGTGCTGAACAAGGAGAGCTTTATTTCCCCGTCGTGGCTGCAAGATGGCCACTGGAAGACCCCTGGTCGACCAGGTCCGGTATACCGTACCGGCGATTTAGTTACCTACGACGTGGATGGTCGTATCATCTACCTTGGACGCCTCCAAGATTCTCAGCGAAAGATCCGAGGCCAGCGGATTGACCTAGGAGAGATAGAGCGGTGCATCCAAGACTTTCTGGCCGGTCTGGTAGACACGATGCTTGTCGCAGAGATATTTTCTCCGGCTTGCGGTGACAATGATACTTTGGCACTCTTCATTAGTCCTGCTGATGCTGTTGACCGCGCAAATCCCCAAGCATATCTTCAAAGTGCGTGGCCGGTCGATGCTCTGGAGAATCATCTTGCGAGCATTCTCCCATCGTATATGATTCCCAGGGTGTATATACCGCTTAGTGAACTTCCTATCGGTCCGACGGGAAAGACAGACAGGCGGCGATTGCGAGAGATTGGAGGTTCCCTCACGTTGGCGCAATTAGCAAAAATACAACCAACCCGAAAGCAAGCCAGAAAGGTGACCACAGAGAAAGAGAAGCTATTACAGCAAATGTGGGCTCATGTGCTGGGGATTGAGCCAGATGTCATATATGCGACTGACCACTTCCTTCGCTTGGGAGGAGACTCAATTAGTGCCATGCGCCTCGTTGGAATGGCCCGTACGCAGGGCCTTTCCGTCACTGTTGCCGATGTGTTCGATTTCCCCGAGCTCGAGAAGATGGTCGAGAAAATGGTCCAGGGTGAAAGTCATGTGGATATGGAGGAGATTCCAGCATTCTCCCTTTTACCCCTTGGGGTCGACGAGTCAGAATGTCGATCATATGTCGCTCAAGTCTGTTCAGTATCGCAAGATCAAGTTCTTGATGTCTACCCCTGTACAGCACTTCAAGAGGGATTGCTGGCGCTGGGAGCCAGAAGACAAGGACAATATGTATCTCGTAGTGTATTGCCACTTCAAAGCGATATTGATCCAGGCCGACTCAAAAGTGCCTGGGAAAAGACAATCGCCAAGTTGTCTATTATGCGAACCCGAATCGTGGATCTCCCCGGCAAAGGGCTTGTGCAGGTTGTCCTCAATGATACACCCTGGAGGTCCGGTCAAGACATCCAGCAGTACTTGCACGACGACGAGGCGGAGCCGATGGCCCTAGGGACCCAGCTCTGTCGTGCGGCCATCATCGATCGCACGTTCATCTTCACCATACATCACTGCTTATACGATGGCAGCTCACTACCCATGATCCTCGAAGAACTCCAGGCCCAATATTACGATCAGCCAGGGAAAACGGTCACTGGAGTGGAGCATTTCATTCGCCATCTGAGCCAGATAAATACGCAGGAATCGGACGATTTCTGGAAGGCCCAGTTGTCTCGCGCTGAGTTCCGTTCGTTCCCTGTCTTGCCATCCAGCACATATGAACCACAAGCCAGTGACTTTATGGAGCACCCAATTGCCCTGGACTGGCCTTCCAAGGGAGCGACCCCATCCACAATCCTCCGTGCAGCGTGGGCGATCCTCGAATCACAGTATGTGGCCTCCAACGATGTTATCTTTGGCGTGACAGTGAGTGGACGACAGGCAAATATAAACGGCATAGAAAACTGCGTAGTGCCAACTATTGCAACGGTTCCAATTGCTGTATCAATCGATTGGGAGAATACAGTTGAGACATTCCTCCAAGTTCTCCAAAGACAGGGGTTGGACATCATGTCTTATGAGCAATACGGCTTGCCAAACATTCAACGGGCTCACGGAGACCGTAATGCTGGGTTGTTCCAGACCTTGCTTGTGGTCCAGCCAATAGCTACAGGGAACAGCCTGCATGAAGATAGCCGTTTGTTCAAGGCACGCAGCTTTGCCTCCAGTTTAGGCACCATGGGGATCGATCCTTTCAATGTATATGGCCTGATGGTCATATGTCAGCTTACCACCTCGGGGGTTAACTTTCAAATGAGTTTTGACCCAAAGATTACCGACAAGCGGCAGATCAAACAAATTGTCTGTCAGCTAGAGACAGTCATTCGCCAGTTGTGTACAAAGTCCCCCGATAGGATGACACTGGACACCATCCAGACAGCAAGTAATCTCGACCTGGAGCGCTTCTGGGCCCAGAACGCAGACCTACCACCGAACCCAAGCACGTTCGTACATGACAAGATTACTCAATGTGCCAATACAGACCCCGAGGCAATCGCCATTGATGCATGGGACGGCCGATTCACATACGGCGAGCTGGACAAAATCTCTACCATTGTTGCGCGTAAGTTAATTCGGCATATGGGAGTGAAGAAAGGGTCCATTGTGCCCTTGTGCTTTGTCAAGTCTCGATACATGCCACTAGCTCAGGTTTCCATCTGGAAAGCCGGCGCAGTGACCCTACTACAATCAGCAGATATGCCGGAGCAAAGGATGAATCGTACTTTCCAACACCTTGGTGTAGAAGTTGCCCTGGCTTCACCCGAGCGGTTGGCGACGGTCTCGAAGTACGCTCGATGTATTACCATGGAGCAAATTTTGGAGACCCCATTGGAAGAAATTATCACCCCACTACCCGCCCTTGAGATGGATAATCCGGCCTCAATTCTGGTATCCTCCGGCAGTACTGGTGAGCCGAAACATGTTCTCTGGAGTCACCGAGCTCTGGCCGCAAACGCAGAGGAACCGAGCCTGCGTTTGTCGGTAACCCCCTCTTCACGCATCTTTCAATTCTCATCGTACGATTTCGATGTTGCCACCCTGGAAACAATTATTGGGCTAACTCACACGGCTTGTCTCTGTATTCCATCAGAAGCTCAACGTCTCGATGGTATCGCGGCTGCAATTAATCACTTCGGGGCCAACTGGGCATTTATCACCCCGTCCACCGCCCGGTTGCTGTCTCCACAAGATGTACCAGGGCTGTCCACTATCGTGATGGGGGGTGAGAACGTGTTGAATAGCGACGTCGAAAGGTGGAAAGGGTATTGTGATGTCCGCAATTGGTACGGGCCTGCCGAATTCCCTGCAGTTACCGTCTACCCGGCCGATGAGCCCAATTGGTCAAGCGGTGTGATTGGACACATTGACAGCTGCCGCTGCTGGCTTGTAGATCCTCAAAACCGCCACAGACTTGTTCCATTTGGTGCGATCGGCGAGATCGTGGTGCAGGGACCTGCACGCGCCAGTGGCTATGTCGGAAATGCGTCTCTCACAGACAAGCACTTCTACCAAAACCCCGCATTCCTCTCTCAAGGTTTCGGGACTGCTCGTCCAGGAAGGCAGGGTTGTGTCTATCGAACAGGGGATTTGGCCCGATATGACTCCGACGGCTATCTGGTGTTCTTGGGGCGAAAGGATACCCAGCTCAAAGTACTTGGTCAACTAGTTGTGCCCAAGGAGGTCGAGACCCAGATTCAACAATGTCTTGATGGACCAGGCGAACACACTGAGGTCATCGTCGATGCCATCTCACCCCCGGGTGGAGGCGGAGTGATACTCGTGGGGTTCATCGTCACCCAAGAGGATATCAACCAATTAACCAGCGGACTCAGCCAGAAGCTTCAAACGGTTCTTCCTCGCTATGCAGTTCCATCGTGGTATATCGCACTTTCAAGTGTTCCTTTGACTACAAACGGGAAACGAGATCGAAGACGACTGCTTGAGATTGCTGCGTCGTCCACTCCATCCAGCCAAGGATCCACGAAACGGCTACCAGTAACGACCGCTGAGATCACGTTGGCGAGGTTGTGGTCTCTCACTCTAGGAATGGAGCAGGAGACAATTTCGGCCACCGACAGTTTCCTGCAGGTTGGTAACTCCATTGATGCCATGCGATTGGTAGGTACTGCTCGCCAACACGGCCTGCTGCTCACTGTGGCCGGGGTGATGGAATTTCCCATCTTAGAAGAGATGGCCAGCCTGCTGCAAAACCTCGAAGATGCACCAGATGACAACATTGAGCCGTTTACACTGTTGGATCCTGGCATAGATCAGAAGCTCGCCCGCCACCAAGCAGCATCCGCTTGCACTGTCAATGAGGCCGATATTGAAGATGTATTCCCTTGCACATCTCTCCAGACGGGTCTGCTAGCTTTAACAATCAAGTCTTGTGGGGATTACATCGGTCGCAATGTGCAGGAGCTAGGCCCTTCGATAGATGTCCACCGCTTCAAAAACGCGTGGGAAGACCTGGTGCGCAACGTGCCTATCCTTCGCACACGAATTGTTGATCTTCCTACGCAGGGATTTGTTCAAGTCGTGATCCGAGAGAAAGCCGCCTGGAGCAAGGCTGGGAGCGTGGAAGAATACCTGAGCCAGGATCATCAGTATCCCATGGGGTTGGGAACCCCTCTCATGCGTTGTGGATTGTTTTCATGCAAGTCAGCCAATGAAACATCTGATTGTTCCGATCCAGTGCGCTGGTTCTTTGCATTGACTATGCATCATTCGATATATGATGGGCCGGCTTCAGCCATGATAATGGACACGCTGAAGAGTCTATACTATGGGGAAACGCCTCTTCGACTATGTCCCTTCCAGGCTTTCGTAAAGTACGTCTGCAGTCGGAATAAGGAAGACGGAGCCAAGTTTTGGAAAACACAATTTGAAGGCTGCGAAGTTTCGCAGTTTCCACTGCTTCCCTCGGCTAGTTACCAGCCAAGAACAAATTCCACCCGAACAGTTGTAATCGACAACGTTAAATGGCGATCTGATGGGTTCACTTCTTCTACCATAATCCGTGGAGCATTCAGCCTCGTATGCGGCCAATATGCGATCTCGTCCGACGTGGTGTTCGGCACAGTTGTCATGGGCCGCAAAGCCCCTATTCAGGGCACGGAGAGAATCGCAGGCCCAACCATTGCCACAGTTCCTGTGCGTGTGCAAATCAAAAGCGATGCTACTATTCCACAATTTCTCCAATCTATTCAGGACCAAGAGCGAGAGATGGTCCCTCATGAGCAAACAGGATTATCGAACATCCGGCAAGTCAGCACTCCGGCAGAAGAGGCATGTCGCTTCCAGACCTTGCTCGTGATCCAACCACCCGAGCAGACTATGGACGATACTGGCTTATTTGTCTGCCGGTCTGTCGAACAGGATGAGGCCACTCGATACCATAGCTTTAGCTCTTATGCATTATCGGTGGTGTGCAACCTGGAGCCAGGTCGACTGAAGGTCGAATTTTGCTATGACTCTGCCATTGTCCAGTCTGAAACCATTCTAACCATGGCAGCGCACCTGGATCAGTCCCTTCGAAGTATGTGCACACAAGAATTGCCCCATACTACGCTGGGAGATGTAAACATGATGACACAGTCTCATCTAAATGACATCTGGACCTGGAACGCAAATTTGCCTGCCGCTATAGATCGATGCATGCATGATCTAATCAAGGAAGTTGTTCAACGCCAGCCCGACACATTGGCCATCTCTGCGTGGGATGGTAGTTTAACATATGCTGAGTTAGACCGGCTGTCAACCAGGCTCGCAGGTCACCTGGTGCAGATGGGGGTGAAAAAGAACATGATTGTGCCGCTTTGCTTTGAGAAAAGCTTGTACGCCATGCTCGCCGTCCTTGGCGTTATAAAAGCCGGCGGCGCCACTCTCCTCTTAGATCCCTCATTGCCAGATTCTCGTCTTGATGGTATATTGCAGCAGGTAGACCCCACTGTTCTATTGTCATCGATCTCCCAGGAACAGCGTTGTTCACGATGGGTGGCTCACCCACTCGCCTTGGGGAAGGGATCCAACCTCTTTGAGGCCGATGGGTTGAATGGAACCACCGAAAGTCACGACCTGCCATTTGTATCTCCAGATGATCTTTTATACACCGTCTTTACAAGTGGCAGCACCGGAACCCCCAAAGGATGTCTCATGCATCACCAACAATTCACCAGTGCAGTCGTCCACCAGCAGGCCACGCTTGAAATGAATTCAACAACGCGCCTGTACGATTTCTCCTCCTACTCCTTTGATGCAGTCTACTGGTGCCTCTTTCACGTATGGAACGCCGGAGGCACGTTATGTATTCCCAGCGAGGAAGAACGGAAAAGCGATCTGACCGAGAGCGTGCGTCGGTTTGAGACCACGCACATTTTTTTAACTCCCTCCACTGCACGATGGATAGACCCAAAACGTACTCCTTCCCTGCGCTATCTCTTTCTCGGGGGTGAGGCAGTCTTGCCAGATGATCTCTCTCGATGGTCCCCACATGTCAACACATTTGAGGTATATGGACCTTCAGAATGCTCTGCTATTACCCTCTATCATCGAGTTCCCAAGACGACAGCCGCTGCCGTGCACTCTATTGGGAAAGGCATTGGTGTTCTGACCTGGGTGGTGGACCCCGGGAACCAAGACCGATTGGCACCTCTTGGAATGGTAGGTGAGCTGTATCTCGAGGGACCTCTGGTGGGGCAAGGTTACTTTGAGAATGAAGAGAAAACAGCAGCCTCCTTCATTGAGAATCCATACTGGTTAGGTCAGGGCTCCCCTGATGGAACAGTGCCAGGACGGCGTGGCCGGATGTATAAGACTGGTGACCTTGTCAAATATCATCCACTCACTGGAAATCTCGCATTCGTGGGCCGAAAGGACACACAGGTCAAACTGCGAGGCCAACGTATCGAGCTTGCAGATGTTGAGCATCATGTTATGCAGTGCCTAATGGATCGATCTTCATCAGGAGCTGCGCCGACGGCAGTGGCGGAGGTTATAGAGCCAATAGCCACAGGTCGGCCGATGCTTGCCGTTTTTATCGACTGCAACCAAGCACAGTTGGCCGATTTGTTGCCCTATCTCGAAGCTGAGTTGCCGAGTCGGGTTCCATCCTACATGGTACCTGCAACTTACATCGCAACCCCATCTATGCCCATGGCGGCGAGTGGCAAGATAGACCGACGACGGTTGCGCGAGATGGGTTCCAGTTTGACTCTAGAACTCTTGGCACGCAGCGATGCCCCTACAACTACGTTGTCCCCCAGCACGGCCTCTGAGTGCCGCCTGCAAACTTTATGGGTTGAAGTCCTCGGTGTACCAGCCGACAAGATTGGGGCCGAAAGTAGCTTCGTTCGTCTGGGTGGCGACTCCATTTCGGCGATGCGGTTGGCCTCTTTGGCTCGTATCCAAGGACTGTCCTTGTCGGTTCATAATATTCTCACGACGCCTCGATTGTCCGAGATGGCGCAAGCAATGTCTACCTTGATTTCAACAGACGCTAATGAGATAGAAGTGATCAACCCCTTCTCTCTCCTCAAGCACGCCTCGGAACAAAACGTTATCTTGGATGACTTCGCGAGCCAATGCCGAATCGATGTCAGTCAAATTGAAGACATCTTCCCTTGTACGGGTGTCCAAAAGTCGCTGCTCTCCATGACTGCCAAACGCGCCAACTCGTATGTTGCTCGACTCTTGCTCAAACTGAGGAAGAATGTCGATGATTCACGGCTCATAAATGCATGGGAAATGGTCAGTAGAGCTTCTGCCCCCATCCTTCGTTCACGAATTGTGGACTCTCCAACGGAGGGGCTCGTGCAAGGTATCGTGGATGAACCGCTACACTGGGATGTCACCCAACCTCTGCAACAATATCTCCAAAAATATCAGACCAGGCCCATGGGTCTCGCCACACCATTGACTCGGCTTGTCATTGTGGAAGATGAACGCAACCAGGAGCGTTATTGTCTGCTAACCCAGCATCATGCGATATATGATGGCTATTCATTGAACCTTCTCGTGGATGAGGTGTCTAAGGCTTATGATGGTGCCCTTGATGATCATACCCCAGTGGCATCATTCCAAGCTTTCATCAAGCATGTCATAGCGGTTGATGCTGAGAAGACAAAGGACTTCTGGGGTCGTGAATTTGCAGATTTTGAGGCAATCCCCTTCCCAGCATTGCCTCATGCGGATCATCAACCTAAAGCAGATAGCACAGTACGACGTAATCTGGAGGCATTCCAGTGGCCACAGCGAGATGTCACTCCGTCAACCAGTATGTTCCTTTCCATTACCCTACTATGCTCCCTAGGGATTGCTGACATATGTATTACAGTCATTCGTGCGTCGTGGGCTATCCTCACTGCGCGGTACATGGACTCGGACGATGTGGTTTTCGGCGCCATGGTTACAGGCCGACAAGCTCCTCTCCAAGGTCTGGACCGCATGGTCGCGCCTCTTATAAATGCTGTGCCTGTCCGAGTCAAACTTGATTTCCAAGAATCAGTTGATAGTCTGCTCACTAACATCCAAAAGCAGTCCATCGACATGATTGCCTACGAACAGACTGAGCTGCTCACAATTCGGCGCATTGATACAAACACTGATAGAGGAAGCCGATTCAATACTCTTCTCGTTGTTCAGCCTGCAAGTCAAGGCCAGTCTGTCGATGATTCTAATGGCCCCTACGAGCATCCCAGGAAACTAGTGTCTGCAACTCAGGATCTGGATGACTCCAATCCAAATGCTATCATGATCATGTGCCAACTTACAAACACGAATGGCCTGCAGCTCGAGTTTAGCTTTGATTCTAGGGTGGTGGATGCAGCGCAGATGGAACGTATTGCCTCTCAATTTGAGCATGTCTTGCGTCAAGTATGTATAGCCACGACGCAGCCTGTCGATCACATTCAGACTCTCAGTGGCGCCGACCTAGGAGAGCTATGGGAGTGGAACTCGTCTGTCCCCTCGGCAATTTCTGAATGCGTGCACAGCTTGATTACTACAACTGCGCAGAATTATGGAGACCAGCCAGCCATCTGCGCCTGGAACGGGAATTTGTCGTATTTTGAGCTGGACCAACTTTCTAACCGGTTGGCCTCGCACTTGATGGCTTTTGGTGTTGGTCCCGGTACCGTCGTTCCACTTTGCTTCGAGAAGTCCATGTGGCATCCAGTTGCAGCCCTTGGAGTGATGAAGTCAGGGGCTGCGTGTCTCTCAATGGACTCGACTCAACCAGAATCCCGACTGCAGTCCATTGTTAGACAAGTCAATCCTCGGGTTGTTCTAGCATCTGCCAAAACTGCCGGATTGGCAGGTCATTTATCCGAGGCTGAAGTCATGATTATTGACCAAGATTACCTCGACAAGGTGGCTAAAGATATTCCCACCCAACATTTACCCACAGTTCACCCGTCTGATGTGCTATACGGTGCGTCTCTACTCTTCTTTTTTCCCTTTCTCCAATGACTGTACTAACTTCTTCAATATCAGTGGTATTCACTAGCGGCTCCACGGGAACGCCTAAAGGCGTTGTTACTACACATCAGAATTTTGCATCTGCTGCAGTGCATCAGGCAGAGATGCTGCGTATTCAACCAGGCACACGCGTATTTGACTTTGTCTCGTACAGCTTTGACGTATCATGGTCCAATACCCTTCAGACATTGATCCGCGGAGGCTGCCTTTGTATTCCTGACGAGTTGGAGCGTCGAAATGACATTGCGGGGGCCTTCAATCGCATGAATTGCAACTATTCCTATTTCACCCCCTCTGTGGTGCGATCCTTGGAGCCATCAAGCATGCCTGGACTCAAAACCTTGGCCATGGGGGGTGAGCCTATCCCCACCACCGAGATTGCGCGGTGGAAGCAGGCTGAGGCCGTCATTGGAATCTACGGTCCAGCTGAGTGTGCACAGGCCCTCACGTTCACTCTTCTCAACCCTAACGGGCGCAACAATCATGTAGGGTACTCATATGGGGCCCGAACATGGCTGGTGCAACCGGGCTATCCCAATCGTCTGGCCGCAATTGGCGCTGTGGGAGAGCTACTCATTGAGGGTCCCACGGTTAGTCGGGGGTATTTTGATGACTCTGAGAAGACTACCGCTGCGTATATCCAGAACCCATCCTGGTTGTTGGAAGGCGCACCAAGCGTCGCGGGCCGTCAGGCCACCCTATACAAGACGGGTGACCTACTTCGATACAACTCAGATGGTTCGCTAGATTTCCTCGGCCGTAAGGATGGTATGGTCAAGCTGCGAGGCCAGCGAATTGAACTGGCTGAAGTTGAATACCATATCCGTGCTAACCTGCGCCATCCTGATCTCTGTGATGGCCTTGCGGCAGAGATTATTACCCCCAACAACAGCAGTCCCATTCTCGCCGTATTTTTCGCCCTGTCTTTCCCTGGAGAGGCGCGGTCCGAGGAAGAAACTTTATCGAACCTGACACGCTTGATCGATGGCTTGGAGGATAGGCTTTCTAATTGTCTACCCCAATAGTATGTATTCCCTGATCCAACTCCGTTTTTCCACCTCTCGACAAGTGCGACTGGTGTTAACTATGCTTCTTTCCTAGCATGATTCCTGGCGCCTACATTCCCATTGAAAAGATCCCAATGACTACCACGGACAAAACAGATAGAAGAACTCTACGGCAGTTGGGAGCCGTTCAGACTTTGGAGAAGCTGGCCAAACTGCAGTCCCACGGGAAGACCCATCGTGTTCCCACTACCGTCATGGAACAAAAGCTGCAAGTGCTATGGTCGGTGGTTCTTGGAATGGACGCGAACACCATCAATGCCGACAGCAATTTTCTCAGAATTGGTGGAGAGTCCATCGCAGCCATGCGACTGGTGACAGCGGCACGGAATGAGAACCTCACGCTCACAGTCGCGGATATTTTCAATGCACCGCAGCTCTCTCAACTCGCCCTTTTAGTGAAGGAAGCCACTACGGAGGAGCCTCTGCCATTGTTGCGTCCCTTCGCTTTGCTCGAGACGGATGATCCAAAGCCTTTCCTCGCTCACTTTGTCGATCCGCTCCTTGACCCAGGGGCTGGGGCTGTTCTCGATGTGCTTCCTTGCACCGACTTCCAAACCTGTGCAATTTTGGATGCTTTCCAAGACCCGCCCAGCCGATTGCCGCATTGGGTCTTCGATCTTCCAGCAGATGTCGACTTCTCACGGTTAGAGAGGTCGTGCCGGAAGCTAGTAGACCACCACGACATCCTTCGTACAGTGTTCATTGAAACACACGGTCGATTCTGGCAGGTCTTGCTCGAACATTTGAATCCCGCGTACGACAACTTCCAGGCAAATAATGACGATGATATTACGGCCTTCGTTGATTCCATTTGTGAGCTGGATAGGAAAAGGATTCGAACATTTGGCTCTTCCTTTATTCGATTCATGGCAGTACGGAGTCCCTCTGGGCAGCACCGACTTATTTTCCGGATCTCGCACGCCCAGTTTGACGGTTTTAGCTGGGATACGGTCCTCCGCAGTCTCTCTTCACTCTACTGCGGCAACACTCTCCCTGACCAACCAACGTTTGCCCAATATATCACCTATAGGGAAGACGAGAAGGCAAACTCCTTCGCATACTGGGCCTCACGACTCAAACACGCTTCAAATCCCAACTGGAGTAGTGTAGATTACTCCAACCGTGTGTACACTACCATGGACCGGCTGACGGTGAAGGCGACGGTCCCAATGCCCGAAGGCCGGTTTGTTGAAGGGATGTCGCCCGCAACTTTATTCCATGCCGCATGTGCCATAGTATTGTCCCGCCAGTACCAACAAGCTCATGTTGTTTTTGGTCGCCTGGTCACTGGCCGGTCGATGCTTCCGAGCAGTCTGCAAAATGTGGTTGGTCCATCTATGACTGAGATCCCTATCAGTGTGCACATTGATTCCCATGCTACTCTTTCGGGCATTGCATTGCAATTACAGCGTCAGCTCATTGAGGATTCCCAATACGAAACCGCCGGCATGGAAGAAATTATCCGGAACTGCACTGATTGGCCAGATGACGCAAAGGACTTCGGCTGGCGGACCTCCTTCCAGCAAGAAGATGATCGTAACTTCACTTTCCTCGGGACAGAAAGTCGGATATCGTTCTACGAGCCGGATCTGCTGCCTCGAAACCGACCGGAAATCTATGCTACCCCACACGATGGGAAGCTTGATCTTGAATTCGAGGGTAATCGCCAGTTGATCAGTGAGGATGATGTTCAACGCTTCATTCGAGGTCTGGAAACAGTGTTGAGTGGTCTTTGATATGTGATTCGAGGAGAGCCTTTTATATTTCTTTTTATACTCCAAATTTCAAAAGTTCAGAAGATGTCAAAATCTTGTAGCTGTTTTTATTTCTTGATCTGGTCTAACCGTGCCAAGTCTACCAACAGCACTCGTTGAATAGCAGGGCTGGGTAGGTTATTTTAATCGCTCTGTGTCTCTGGAACCATTCCGACCTTCCCTCTCGTGAGCCTGTAAGCCCACAGGGCGGCAATCAAGCTCACGTCAACAAAGTCGAAACAAGAGCTCCGCCAAATATGATTGCATAATATGTCCACGCTAAATATTTTGGCAAGGATATGACTGTTACGACAATCGCCCAAGGTAGCATCCAAAGGAAGTTGGATCCAAGTGATTGGTAGAGATACCATCGCGGCGATGTTGCAAGAAGAATTGCCGCGATCTGGCAACTTAAACCATAAAATATGTAGGTCCAGTCGATATTCTGTTATATGTCAATGGGGGTTACGCTCATCATTAATTCCTTTCAGCACTTACCTTCCACATCGTTTGAGTGATATTTGCCACAACTGTCGAGTCAGACAGATAGTACGCAAATGCCTCTATCCCACGCAGCGATAATGCAATGCACATGATGGTCTCGAAAACCAATGCAATCAGGCAGGAGTGGAGCGCTGGCCGAATCAGTTCTACCAGGCCAATTCAGTAAGTGGCTCTCACAAATCGTAGCATCACACCTACCAATAATGTCTTTCCTAGTTGCCTCAGGGTATGTAGTGCCACTTTGAGCATGGAGTTGACCCCAGTTATGACCTACAAAAGCCAAAGTGGAAGCCTCCAATGCCTGCACGGGAACCATCACAAGCCCCCAGCGGATCGTGTTGAAGACCCCCCATGAAGTTGCATAGTCACTTCCTAGCAGAATGATTCTATGGACAAGCCACAGATAAATCGCATTTCGGATAGCTGACTCGGCAAATGTGTATACACTAGGTCTGATAAGTATCGACAAAGAGGAAAGTCTCCAGCGCAGTCTATGCGGACCATCTGTATCCTTTTGGCAACGTCTCACGACAACGGTGAGAAAGTATATCAGCCCGACCAAAGATGATACACTATCGCAAACAAGCCGAATAATAGCCTGCATGACAATTGTAGGTTGCCAGCTACCTACATGTACCTTTGAAATGACTAGTAAGTCGAGAACAATGTTGATGAGGAACTTGGCAGAGCTAATGATGAGCGGCACGTCGGGATTATCCAGTGCCCTCGTTGAGGTAGACAAAGCGGCTTCTATAGCGGACGTCATGGCCTGTACAGATGACAGCCGTACATAGGTGATAGAGGTTTGTCGCACTTCCACTGGTACGAATCCCGAGGCCAGAGTCTTGGAGGCAGCCAGGAATATTACTGCCATTATTATTCCAAGGACAGTCTGTGTAATGATCATTGTGTAGGCCAGGTTCAGTCGTGAGCGGACAGTCCGCGTAGACTTGTCCCCAATGACGAGCCATGCAGATCGGGGCAGGCCCTCGTTGAGCACTTCCACAATCACCCCGATGTAGGTGTAGATATCTGTCGTTACGACTTGCTTTGCGTCGATGTTTGCCACCCAGAGCTTGCTGAGGGTGCTGTACAAGGCTGGAAGGGCGAATGCTGCCAAGTTAAACAAGAATGAACCGAAATATCTGCCAAAGTCAAACTCCCTATTCGAGCGGATGGAAACATATACTCACGTTTCGCGACTCCATGGCTTAGGCTTTGGAACAACCTCTGGTTCCTCTGTCGATTCCTGCTCCCCCACCATGTTGCCTCGTACAGTAGGTTTCTTAGCAACATCAGGTTCCATTCCTAAATGAAGATATCCGAGTCACGTTCAGAGGGGTGAGGATGGGGTTTGGAAGAGGGGAACCCTCTTGGCGCATTATGCTTGCATTTTAAGGCATTGGGCGTTGATAGGCCCGTGTTGGGAATGGCAAAGAACATTGAAGCTAGAAGATCAGATAATTATAGCACTCTATATATTTGTCGATTCATTACGATTCATAAGGGCTCGTGAAAATTATTCATTTTCTTGATGACTACTTCATAAGGGCTCGTGCGCCTAACAGAGCCGCATGCCGGGACCCCCTTTCTTCCAGCCCTGGAGACATCATTTTCTTCATACGTAGAATGAAATTTCCAGTATGCCACAAAAGTCCTTCTCAAAGTGTGATCATACGGCTGTATGTTTGTCCTCTTCTCCTCATGCTGCAGTAGCAGGTTTCAGAAGACAAGCCCAACGGCAACGTCTCGCTGCGATCAAAGCAGACAACCGAAGTTTCCCACGAGAAGATAAATTCTTCCTGGAAGAAGACGACAGAGTTTTCCCTGCCCCTTTGTTGCTGCCTGGAGATGATCTTGCCGGAGATCCAGACCAGCAGAGCTTTCAAGAATGGCTTGATGGGGAACACCGCAATCCGGTAACTGCAAAGCGAAAAACGGTCTATGTCATTCCGTCTCCTCAAATTGACGCAAATGTTGACTTTATACGAACATGGACAACACCAAAATTTCCAGATCAGGAGCTTTCCACAAAGCCCCCTAGTACAAAGGATGTCCAGGACTATCTAACTGCCTTCTATCACGGTCTTCCTGTCAAGACGATGCCACCATCTACCTTGCGGTTTATTCCATGGGAAGAACCCAAAAATAGACCTCAGAAAAGGACAGGACCGCAGTACCTAGGTCTAAAAACCGGCGATGAGTGCGTGCGGATTCGCTCACGTACCTTGTCAAATGGGGTATACGGGGGCCAAGTCAATCTAGATGATCTTCTCGATGTTGCCATTAGCATTTTACCGGAGAATGCATATGCCCTCTTGATGCTTGTGGACTTCGATCTCTACGAGGACGACGATGACGAGTTCGTATGTGGCCGTGCATACGGAGGAAGCCGCGTTGCAGTGGTATCCAGTGCAAGATACAACCCCAGACTGGATACTATTCAAGATATCGAGCGTCTCCATGCATGGCCTGCGTCGCATTGTGAGAAGTACATGTCTGCATGTGCTTCAGCAGAACCAACTGCCAAGGGACGGAAAAGATCTCAGGTCAATACCCGTGGGTCACAAAATTCGACTTCGGAGCAAAATGGGCCTATAAAGGATGCAGTATCAGTCTACCGCTCCCTCCCAGAGGTAAATTCATCGCCTTCATTGCTGTCCGCGCTCTGGTTGGGTCGTGTTTGTCGGACGGCGAGCCATGAATTGGGTCACTGCTTCGGTATTGCCCATTGCGTGTACTACGCGTGCTCAATGCAAGGCACCGCGTCTATCTGCGAGGACGCAAGACAGCCGCCTTATCTTTGTCCGGTCGATCTGGCGAAACTTCTTTGTGCCACTTCAACGACTGCGTCTCAGCGATATCAGGCTCTTCTGGCGTTTTGTGAACGGCCGGGTAATAGTGATACACATTTCTTCGGGCCATTTGCTACTTGGATCCGAAGTAGGCTAGGCCAGATCATGGACTCGACTGGAGTTTCTTGATTGGCATGCTCCTCTTTGCTTTGTCATGCTGATGATAGCATAGGGATGGTGGGATTTTGGACGTAGATAAACAGTATATCTTTTTCCAACTACCTAGGTATGGAAGAATTAAGATTTGTATTCATTAGATTGATCGAAAATCTTGGAACGGGAACATTCTGAAAAGAAGCTAAATTCCCGGCAACCAGTCTACATCGCAGTGTGTACCATGGTACTCCGCAGATAAGACCAACCTTAGAACGTCCAACTTGGCTTATGCCTTCAAGACACACTGCTCCTCACATGTGACGTGGGACGTCTCGTCTTGTCTTCGCCGGTGAACTCCGGAAACTTTTTGACCTTGGTTTGATTTGGTATAACTGCCAGTTGTGATGCGGTATGGGTTTTGAGAGGACCGTGGATGATGTAGGAGCTCACCATAAAGTAGAAGGAATGGATTGTGTTGCTGTGGGGATATAAATTCGGCGATCAATTGAGGAGGCTGGGGCAGGACAGCAGGAATAAGATCCAGTTCCTATTTCTTCCATTTCAGCAGAAACGAGCCATCGTTTGGAGTCCTGAGATCCGAGAACGTTCCCATTAGTGATAGTTGGAGTCATCTGTCCTGCCAGAAATGTGTCCCTGGACAGCGGGGACCTTGCGAGCGGGCTAGTAGTATGAGAGATTTATTTGCCAAGTGCACTTCTTCTTCAAAACGGTGTATACTATCTAGATCGGATGTATCTGATGGCTGACCTGGCCGAGCTCATGTTTCAAGCTGAGAATTGGGGGCTTTCTGTTTGAGGATGTCTTGCTTTCAGCCCAGTGCAACCCATCCAGGGCAGAAGGTCGGATAATGCTGCATGGGATTGCCTGACATAGCTTTTGAGAAGCTTTGAGGCATTTTGCCGACAGATCTTGCCATTGACTGGTGGATCACCGATTAGCGATCGCGGAAAACAAAAATAGCAACTGTTTCAAAGAGAGTGTTTGACCCTAGCGGACCGTGGATCTGAGCATTGGGCTAAGGTTCGAACGTGTTTGAAATTTTGTCTGATCAGAAGGTGAGACATTCGGCACCCTCCGGAGCTCCAAAGGGGGTGTGGGGAATATAACACCTCGGTACTTTGGAAAAAAGGACCTCGGATCTTGGGTTTAACGTTTTTCCACATTTTGCGATTTCAACACAATAAACCTGCTTTAGGAAAAAAAACAATAGCACATCGTAGCTATAGTTCTGAGATTATTATCGGCCAATCATCCCGAATAAAAGACTATCGCAGCCAAGGAGAGAGGCGCTGGACTAGTTGAAGCTTACGGTTTTGGGAGCTTTATACATATTTTGCAAAATATGGAATGTTTTCTTTGTTCTAGACCGTATTTCGTACTTCGTAGTTCGTACGGAGTACTCGTACATCAGATATTAATTAAGAATTGTGTTGGCGAAAGCAGACTTATTGTTCAATGGGGGATCAGGGGGGGCCATCCACTCAAGCATGAAAACACGTACTTTGTGTATGCCCTTCAAATCCCGAAAAAAATTCTGTCGACCTGCATTATTTCCAAGATTGTTCCAAGATTTGTTGATTCCTTTTAGTCATTTAGTCATTTTTCCCGAGATAGCCGTAGCAAAGATACCCTTCTGCATTGGACCGACCCTGACAGTAGGTCGGGGAGCTGCAGCTATAGAGATGAGAACCTGCAGCTTGCAGCTTGCAGTCCCACATCTTACATCAACCTCTTGAAAATCAGGCCGAGCTCAATTTCCAAGGCGCAGGGGCTAGGTTATCTTGCCAGTTGAGAGGCTTTCCATCACATGCACTGTCTACAGCGCTCGTGGGGCTTGTCCTCGTGGGGTGAGACATATTGGATCCATGCAGATCACCACACTACCATTCCGTACAGAGTAAAGATTGTCGTATAATTCTGCAACTTTCTATTTTAGTGCTCTGTTTCAATATGTCTCTGAAGGGTTGACCACTGTGAAATCTTACCTCAAGATCCATGGTTAGGGTGTCGAAAAACGAACCGGTTCCCGAGGTGGATTGGGAGTTAGGTGGTTATGGCGCTTTTAGTGTTGTTTGAGGACAGGTACGGAGTAATTTGCGGGGCAGTGGAAGAGAAGCTTAATGGCTAGGGTTAGTCCTCGAATCCACTTAGCTGCCCCCTATCAACTTAGTGCTGTTTCGCTATATTATATTTGTGTGAATGACCTGACCCCTACAACATACACGAAACATCCGGCGCCATCAGGACACTAAAGTAGTCCAGAGATAGATTTACTCCCTAGGGGTTTTAAGGGATAGTTCTTCCTTCTTCCCCCACTCTGGAGGCTAAGTCATTTTGAGCATAAATAGATTATTCTTATTTGTCTTGCAACCCACACAAGTGGAGATTTTACCATACGTGAGCTGCATAACTTCATATTTCGTTCACATTCCAAGCCCGACTAAGTAGCGTCTCAACTAGTGCAGGAAGCGATACTGGAAGGGCCTAGATGCTGTTATCCTTGTTTTTGTGTCTGTCAGACTCTTCGTGGAAAGTCGAGGTCAACCGCTGTTGTGTTATACCTACTCCGTAGTATTATCTGCAATATTTGGTCTACGGCATACTCTTCACGACCTGTCGAATATAACTGTGTTTATTCACAGCGACCGTGTACTTTGGGACAGTCTCTGGCGTTGTACTATTGTAGATAGCTCTTGTGCCTCACAAAGAGTAGACCAAAATTTCAGTTGGTGGTTGACCGGTGCCCAGCCACTCCGTAAATAGCCTCGAATCCTTGATATCGTGTATCTTGAATTGACAGGTCTTGCGAGTTTAACGGAATCGGACGTGTCCATCTTTGCCTGATATGGTCAAGAGCGTGCATGACGTGCCTGGACTAATTCCCCGGGGCTGTGGGACACAGGAGTCGCAACGGGCCACTCGGAATGCCGCATATCCTTCTTAGTTCATAAGATTCAGATGCTTAGACTTGGAGTGCGGCCTGTAAGGCGTAGTACTCTATACATCGTCAATGTGTCGGTAGAGTAGAATATAGTTCAGCCTGTAGAGATAGAAAGGGGTTGATTCCAGAGTTTGATACAAAAAATTGGTTGTTAAAACGTTTCAACCGTTCCAAGGTCGATCATGTTGATCTCCTTCCCCTTATGACTTGGCAGCTTTCTTTTCTTTTTATATTCCCTTTTTTCGTTCTTTATTTCCCATTTGGATTTTCAAGGGGGCACATCAGCCACATCTTCCAGGGCTCCCAAATAATGAATCTACCTCAATGATCCGGATAGAGTAATTGAAATCCAGATTGGGTATGCTAATATGATACCTTTTGCAAATCTTTAACCAAAAATAGCTCGGACAGAAGGTGGTCCACAATGCGGTAATGCACTTGTTGCACCAGTTGTTAGCCTCAGGAGTCATGATCCACTTGGCCATGAAAATATCCCAAGTCTCCATTTCTCAAAATCCCTGAAGCCTAAGGGGTCGATAGCTCCAAATGTGGAATTGGAGACCGGGGTAGAACCAATATGAGTGGTTTCCGATGCGGTACCTTGAATCGATGCCCGGAAGCCTCCCGGCTCACAGTTGATCAGGGGTATATAAACAACGATGGCGATCACCTCTTCGAATCTTCAATCATTCAACTGTCTTTCTTTCTTTTTTCAGTCTTTCCAGTCTATCGTTAATTCCTCTGGCGGCTATTGCTTGCCTATCCAGTCTTTCGCTTCGTTATACCGTTCAGAAGTCTCTATACTTCCGATAGCCTTTGCCCTATACACTCGTTAATACAACACAAAACGCAACATGCGTTCTTCTCTCGTTCTGCTAGCCGGTCTAGCGAGCTCAGCTCTCGCCTACCCTACCGATAAGTCCGTTGAGCCCCGTACCCTGGGCCTCCTCAGTGAGCTCCTTGGCGATATCACCGTCGACGTGAGTGCTATCCTTGGTGGCGTGCTCGGTGGCCATGGCCACTCCTCTGTTGGACTTCTTGCTGGTCTGAGCGCTGAGGGTGCTGCCGCTCTCTCGGGTGGTGCTCTCGGCTGCAAGTCCGGTGCCATCCACCACAAGGCCAAGGCCGCCCTCAAAGTTTGGTTGCTCTTCCACGCCGAACTTGACCCCTCTCTCAAGAAGTCACTCATCTCGTGGTGTGAGGGTAACGACGAGCTCGTCCTCTCCGCGGACATCCTGGCTGCTCTGTCCGTGTACATCCCCGGATGTGCCGACATCGCTGCCAAGGGCCAGCTTTACGTCACTATTGACGGTATCTTTGAGGCTGCCAGCCTCGAGTCTGCTCTCGTCCTGAGTGTTGGTGCTCAGGCTTCCCTTTCCGCTTGGGTCGAGGCTCAGCTTAGTCTTGATGTGGCCGTCAAGGTCGGTCTCAATGTCTGCGCTGCTGGTGGTGTTGTCGGCAGTCTGTCGGCTGACATCAAGGCTTCCCTTCTTGCTTGGATCAACAGCAAGGAGTGTGACCTCAGCGCTCACCTCAAGGTTTCGGTCCTTGCCTGGATCAATGGTCATGCTGGTGGTGACCTTATTGAGATTGGTGCTCTTGCTGACACTGCTCTCTCTACCATCTCCGTTGGTGCTTCCGTCGGCGTGCACGTCCTGGAGTCCGGCCTTCTGTCTGTTGGTGGCCAGGCGTCCCTCGCTGCCTTCCTGGGAGTTGATCTCGCTGTTGGTCTCGCTGCTGATGTTAAGCTCGCTCTCGAGGCATGCGCCAAGGGTGAGCTCGCCACCGCCGTGGAACTTGACATCCGCACCAAGCTCGCCATCTGGCTCACCAGCTCCGACTGCTCTCTGGGCGTTGAGCTCAAGGCTGTCGTCCTTCTTTGGCTCTCCTTCGGTGTCGAGGTTGATGTTTCCGCTTCGCTGGACCTGGTTGGTGGCCTCCTCGGTGGTGTCACCGGTCTCCTGACCGAAACCGTTACCGATCTCAGCGTTGACCTCCGTGGTGCCCTTTCCCTCTGCGCTGCCGGCGGTAGCCTCATTGACCTGACCTTCGGCGCCCGTGCTGAGCTCGCTGCCTTCCTCAGTGGCTGCACTTCCATTGACATCGATATCAGCATCCAGCTCATCATCATCCAGTGGTTCACCGGCTGCAGCATCCCCGGTGCTCCCACCCCCCATGCCTCGTCTTCCGTTCCCAGCCTGCCCTCCAGCACCCCCTATGTGCCCAGCACCTCCGCTGTGCCTTCCGGTCCCGGTGCCTCCGTCTCTGTGTCTATTCCCGCCGGTACCCCCGTCCCCAGCGGTCCCGGTGCCAGCACCACCCCCTGTGATACCGAGACCTCGCAGATCGTCAGCTCCACTGTGATCCCCGGCCCCAACGGCTCCGGCTCTGTCACTGTCACTGTCCCTACCGTGCCTACCGGCACCAGCCCCGCTGAGACCCCTACTGGCGTTGCTCCCACCGGCACTCCTGTCGCTACCGGCCCCGCTCCCTCCGGCCCTGCTGCCAGCACTCCCTGCGACACTGAGACCTCCGCCGTCGTCACCTCCACTGTGATCCCCGGCGGCCCTAACGAGTCTGGCTCCCAGACCGTCTCTGTCCCTACCGTTCCCACCGGCACCAGCCCTGCTGAGACCCCCACTGGCGTTGCTCCCACCGGCACTCCTGTCGCTACCGGCCCCGCTCCCTCCGGCCCTGCTGCCAGCACTCCCTGTGACACTGAGACCTCCGCCGTCGTCACCTCCACTGTGATCCCCGGCGGCCCTAACGAGTCTGGCTCCCAGACCGTCTCCGTCCCTACCGTGCCTACAGGCACCAGCCCTGCTGAGACCCCCACTGGCGTTGCCCCCACCGGCACTCCTATCGCTACCGGCCCTGCTCCCTCCGGCCCTGCTGCCAGCACTCCCTGCGACACTGAGACCTCCGCCGTTGTCACCTCGACCGTGATCCCTGGTGTTCCAGTTCCTTCCGGCCCCGCTGCCAGCACTCCCTGCGACACCGAGACCTCCGCCGTCGTCACCTCGACTGTGATCCCCGGTGGCCCAGCTACATCTGCCCCGGCCCCTACCAGCCCTCCCACCATGCCCTCCGGCGGTAGTGACTCTGGTTCCGACAAGGTCACCGTCACCGAGACTGTGACTGCCACCGTCTGCGGCTGCGAGTAAAGCAGATACCTGGACATAATCCGAAGTCACGACCCTCGAAGGTCTCATATAGAATTTCCTTCCTCAACTGTTAATGTTCTGCTTTTTGACCCCTTTCCATGACAAGATGATTTTCGACAACACCGCCTATCCCACCCTGTGATTTGCTGTCTCTCCGCCTCTGGCGTCTCTGTAGATATCTAATTCTAATTCTAATCGGCTTGTGTGGAGATTGGAGGATCCTGTCATCATGTATATCGCATGTATATGTATCTCATGTTCTGTTGTGCTTATGTATGGTTCTGGGTTCATTGACAGAGTCTTCTCCTGGCGGATATCGGCATTCTGAAGACCCTTTGTTAACTAATGACTTGAGCATATATACTTTCTTCCCCTCTAATGGAGTACATTCATTTATCTGTTCTTGTGTTGGTTTTTTTGAGACAATTTTAGCGATATACTTTCACGTCTTAAAATCTGCTAAAAATGAGCATGTCACCAACTAGCTAGCTGAGGCTAATGGAGCTACAGTTTAGGAGAATATCACCATCTTTCCCATTATCAAGCACATTCCACCTTACAGGGTAGCAGAGCACGTCAATCATGATAAAAAAAAATAGTAATTGGAATTGTGAAAAAGTACATGTACAGCGCTAAAACGCACACATTTCGTTGGCGTAAATCTCAAAGTTCAAGTCACAAACGGCCAGTGTTAATCCCTCCCACTAGTTCATGCTGCTCTCGTTTAGTCCTGCTTTGGCTGTGAGGCACTGCTTGGCTTCTCGCTAGACGGGCGACGCATAGCAATACATCTCTCACGAAGTAATTTCTCACGGAACTCAGTTGAATGTATCCACGCTGAAAGCGGTTTCTTGGTCTAAGTGTTGCGAGTTTGTTAGTATCCCATTCATCATAGCAACTTGAGAAACAACATGGCATGTGAAATTTTTTAACGAACATTAAGTAGGAATTGAATCTGGGTGGTAAAGGATACAAGGTGGAGGTTGGACCAGGAATCTCTATTCTCAATGACCAACCTGCTCGGCAACCTTTGTCTCACTGTCATCAGTTTTGGACGGTTCATCAGCTTTCGAGGGGGTTCGGGTGGAGTCCTCATTCTCATCAGCCATCTTGCGTCGTTTCTCATCAGGGTTGTATCTTTCCATAGAGCGGCGCCGCTTGCCGTCAGTATCCTTCTTGGCGCTGCGGCTGCGGCTGCGGCTACGGCTCCGACCACCGCTGGGGCTGCGGCGTCGACGGTTCTCACCACGATCACGTGTACCAATACGGTCAGGGCTGCGGCTGCGGCTCAAGCGACGAGAATCGCGGCGGGCATGGCGTCCAGATGAGCGGCGGGATCGAGCGGGAGATACGGACTTGGGAGAGTCTGCCTTGCGCCGGGTGTGGCGAGGCGGCGAGGATACACTGCGGCTGCGAGAGACGGAGCTTTTTCGGCGGCGGTCTCCTCTGGGGGAACGTGAGCGCGGGGAACGGCTGCGGGAAATGGGTCTTGCTTTAACACGGTCACCGTAATCCGGACTGCTGCGTCTTCTCGCTCCTCCGCGGTTGCGTCGCTCGGGAGATACTGAGCGTCGCCTGTGGCGTGGCTCGTCACGGTTTCGGCGAGATGGGGACGATGGCTTTGGGGATCGAGATGGAGAACGAGTTCCGTGTGGAGATCTGGATGGCCGGCGGCCGGGACGATTACCAGGTGGCACGTAGGAGTCAAAGTCACGTCGCGGTAGAGGTTCACGGAATCGGTCTCGGCTGCGGTCTCTGGTAGGCGAAGATCGTCTGTTGAAGTCTCGTCCTCGACCTCCACGGCCACCGCGATCACCACGATCACCACCTCTTCCTCCACGTCCGCGGTCTGGTCGCTCGCGGCGTCTCACATCGTCCAACTCTCGTTCGCGGTTTTGGTCTTGTTCCCTTTGGCGTCGGAGCGCTTCACTGGCTTTCTGGGCATCGAGCTAGATTGTAGTATGATTAGAAAATATCCACGGTCGAGGTCACGCTTACAATCACCTTCTCTTGCATGAGCTCAAGCTTCTTAGCCTCGAGAAGCTCCTTCGGGACGCCCTGTGGATTGGCCTGACCGCTTAGACACAACGACCACAGCTCTTGACAGAACTTGGGGGTATCTTTGTCTAGGAATCCGGTGAGTTGGATTTGGAGAGATTTGATATCGGGCTAGAACCAGAAACAGACGTCAGCAAACTAGGGTCGAGACACTAGTTATCCGAGGGCCGAACATACGTAGCGTGGTCCCTCGAGATGTGCGAAACAGAGCTCGATAACAACGTCATCCTCATTGCCCAATATCTTGGAGATTTGACTTGCGATCCATCTACGTAGGTGGGGGAAAAAGCAATGTCAGTAAACCGGAGATACCCAAAAAAAACCCTGGGGAAAGTCACGTACTTCTTCATAACCTCAATATTAACCTTGGTCATATCCACCTTCTTATTGAACTCAGGGGGGAACTTAGTCCGCCTAATCAGCTTCGCATCCACGCTGGACGCCATTTTTGCTAAAGTCCGAGGTGAAGGTAGGAAGATCCATAACGAGCAAACGCGAGATAGATGTCCGCGGTGTCAAACTGCACTTCTGGTCGCTCGCGGGTGCCGTATTCCGCCTTGTCGCCCGATTTCCAAGGCGTCAACGAATTCGCCAACAGTCAGAACTCGACTACATCCATGGATCGCTAAAGCTATAGATTCTAACTTATATATAATCATTTCTGTTTATTTTTATTATATCTTTTTAAGAAAGAAATAAGAAGAAAATGATATGTTAGTATGCTAAGCTGCTTCTTTGTCTCTCCCTCCTGAGGTATATATGCCTGTGCCCACATAGACGACTACCATATATGTATGCACTCATCGCTCTTTGGCACTTTTATAGCTATAGAGTGACAAAGTTAACTTCCTGCAATTCACTGAGCTATGAAGGTCATATAAGCCAAGAATATATAACAATTTCGCATTCTCTTTGGAGTAATTATGTGAACTCATAGTGGTCAAAACACCTCAATGCTATCTATACATCTACTTTTCGTAAGATTTTCTTTCGGGGCTAGTCTGATAGCCTAGTATCTGTGGAGAATTGATCATTTCTGCCCTGTCAATGTTGAGAATATCTAACATATTAGATTTAGTTTCAGATTCAGATGTCCCTAGTAATATATCAACCATGTTGAATATTGGAAGGCAGTGATGGGCATTTAGATTGACGATAGCACCTCCACATTTACATCGTTTCAACTTAATCGAAACATAAACCCATACAATAATATCTGCCGATTGAGGAGTATGACGACGTTGCCAAGTTTAGTCTAGTCGTCTCTAGACGTATAGTAGTAAGTGGAGGTTATCCGGCCGATCCCATATCGGGGACTCCAGCCTTGGAATTACTTAACGTACTGAAGCAACTTTTACCAGAGCAAACTCGGGTATTACCAGCCTAGAGTTGTGTCCTTCTTTTGTGATCTGCAATGATCTTTGCTCAAGTCCAGAATCAATCCTTTCAATGTTCCCTGGTATGTTATGGTGTAGACGTCGCCATAGCAACAACAAACACGTGACTGTATAGCGCGCCCGCGACGAAACCTCAAGACTGGGCTTTCTCCAAGATCAACAAAACAATCGACAACTTTGGAGGGGCCGCATTGATCCACGACTTCAATGTAGGTATTATCGCCATGGCGTCCCCGAATTCCATCCCAGCATACAACGAGCTGTACCGACAGCCAGCCCGACCGATGTCCCGATCCACGGTTTCACGCTCGGGTTCCAGACGGGTATCTCCATCAACACAGGCTCTGCCCAAACATTACTCTGGGGACAGCTCCGACGAAGAGGTCCCAGAACCTAAATTCAGCGCTTCTGTAAAAGCATTGCTGCATGGAGATGGATTAGGGTCTTCGCCTCATCTGCAAAAGGCACATATGTCGCACGAACCTCGAATTGAAACATCAAGACAGCAAAGCCGCTCACCCCGGAATTCGTCCCCACACGACTCATCTAATGGTAGCCCGGCTCCAAGAGTCGTTCGTATAGGGGCTATCTCGTCGAGTTCTCGGTTCTCACGCGAAAGCTCCCCACTATCAAATAGCCAGAGCGCAGAACCAGAGCACCACAGCCGCCCCAATAATGATTTTATCACTCCCGCCCCACGCCAACGCAGTGTTCGTATCAATGTTTCGCGCAGCAACACACGATCCCCTGCCTCTGTCTCTCCTTCAGGAAAGCGCTCGTCGGAACGCAATTCGGGTGAAGAGTATGGTAGTGCAGAGCGCTCGGACAGTGATCGGAAATCGCAATACGATGACGATCCAGCGTTGCGATATGGCCTTTCTTCCGGATTGCGGGGCCGCGGCGGCGAAGAAATCGCTCCGCACAGCTCACTGCGTGTCAAGCGGGTTGGTCGACTTGCTGGAACTTTCTTGAACGGTCCTGCTCGGAGGGGCGTGCTACGACGTCAGAGCGAGGAAAGCAACGAGGAAAACCACCAATACCTCTCGGCTGACGGTGTCCGGGAGGACGTCGAAGGAGAAGAGGAGAATGCCGAATACCGACCTCGCAATCCAGCAAAACCTTCATCCCCCAAGGTGTCATGGGTCGACCCAAGCCCTCCTCTCGTTCGTGAATCCAATCGAGAATATCCCCTCCGCCCTGCTGAGGTTGAAGGTCCGTTTTCGAGGTCATCTTCGCCAAAATCATACGGCTCAAAGTCAACCCCCGCTTCATCAGAAATGTCTTCCAAATCCTCGATTGCGAAGGATCAACCTGTATTCAAGGTTCCTTCAATACCGGCTTTGCCATCGGTCCGTGACCAAGAGAATGAACCACCACCAACTTTCCGACGGACAAAGCCCCAGGGGTTGAATGTGTTGGATAAACCTGAAAAATATAATGTTGTTTACGATACCGAGAAGAAAGATGTAGCGGAGACCCCAGCAACCAACTCTGCACGAAAGATACTTGCCACGAGGAGCAACAACACCCCTCATAGGGCCGCTCCTCCTCCTCCGAAAATGTCAGTCCTGGAGACTGCTACTTCCACGGGAGGCGCATCGACATCACAATCACGAAAAAAGAAGAGTCAGGTCGCGATTAATGGCAAGCATTTCACTCGACTCGATTGCATTGGTCGAGGTGGCAGCTCGCGTGTCTATCGAGTGATGGCAGAGAATTACAAGATCTTCGCTCTCAAGCGTGTCAACCTTGAAGATGTCGATCCAGTGACTCTGACTGGATACAAGGGTGAAATCGACTTGTTGAAAAAGTTGGAGAATGTGGACCGTGTGGTGCGCTTGTTTGACTGGGAGCTGAACAATGACAAACATGCTCTTAGTGTGCTTATGGAGATTGGAGAGTCTGATCTTGAAAAGATTCTCACATACCGTTTGAACGCCGAAGATGCTGTTTTTGATATCAACTTTACCCGATTTTATTGGAAGGAGATGCTCGAGTGTGTCCAAGCTGTCCACGAGTACAACATCGTCCACTCAGATTTGAAGCCGGCCAACTTCCTCATGGTTCAAGGCCGGCTGAAGCTCATCGACTTTGGAATTGCAAATGCGATCCAAGATAACACGGTCAACGTTCACCGTGAACAGCAAGTCGGCACACCCAATTACATGTCCCCCGAAGCATTAGTTGATTCCAACGTGTCCCTCGGTCTACCCGCAAGTGTTGGAAAAGTTATGAAATTAGGAAAACCCAGCGATGTCTGGAGTTTGGGTTGTATTCTGTACAAGATGGTCTATGGACAACCACCATTCGCCAAGATCGCCAAATATTATGAACGCATCATGGCTATCCCCAACCCCCGTGTACAAATCGATTTCCCGGCCTTCGGCGTCGGTGGCGTTCCAGTGCCCCCTGGCCTTGTGAGGACTCTCAAGCGCTGTTTGCAGCGTGACCAGACTCTCCGACTAACTATTGAGGAAATGCTTGGTCCACGCGATCCATTCTTGCACCCCGATGCCCAACTCGAGGGTGCTGTTCCAGTCACCCAGGATATGCTTGGCCGTATTCTGGTCAACGTCGTCAACCACTGCAAGGCCCGCGGTGTACCCAGAGAAGAGGAGCTGGCTGCATGGCCCGCAGGCTTCTTTGCAAAAATAAAAGCAGCCCTCGAAGAAGAAAATGCATGACAACACCCAACCACTCTTTTCACTTTATTTCTTTTGTCTTGACTGCCCTATCGGCATTTCTCATGTTTCCTTGGTTAGAACGACCTAATGACTGGTGTTGGATGCGTTAATTCTTTTCTCTCTTGGTCTGCTTGGTTAATTTGCGAGATATCTGACTGTCTGTGTTTCTTTGCATTGTCTCTTTCTCTTCTTTCTGCATCATCCTTCGGGGTGTTTGTCCGACCCAGCCTTGTGGTGGGTATTTCTTGACGAATCTCGGTTTCAGCACAGCGTGTGGATTTTCATTCCTGTACATGATTTCATTAGCCTTTTCATCTTTTCTCTTGCATCCGGATGGATACTGTTTGAGTGTCAGCGTTCTTGGAGTGGTAATAACTCCCCATTTGGCTAAGATGTTTAATTGACAACATTTGCCTATCTTCATCTTCATTACTTGGATACTGCATGTTTCTTATTCTGTGAGCTACTTGGGAATTGGATCAAGTCTTTGACCCATGATCTTATGATTTCTTACAATGGAGATCCTGCTTGTCTTCATAAAATCATAGTTTATAAATGCCTGACTATCTAAAAACTAGCTATGTCCATTCAGAAGCCAAACATGCGGAATACTTTTCGTTTGAAATCAATGGACTTGACTTTGCGCCATTAACACCGCCCAAGAATAGAACAGTCTTGATAGACCGTATGTATCAAGAAAGGGAAATATAGAACTGCCTGAGCATGGTATTGAAGACAGGCGGTTGCCTGCCGGGAATGTAGAGGAAGTGCTTGTGGTCAATTTAGACGAGGAGGACACTATTGCAGGTTAGTTTGAGATATAAAATAAACATTAGGAATGATCGAAGCAACTCACGCATTAACACAACCATCGTTCTCAGGGGTGTTGGTAATTTGGGCCCATTTACCCCAGACAACCTTACCGGAAGTGGTAACGAGACCCAACTCGGAGACGTTGACCTCAATGATTGTTCCCTTGGTCAAGACACCCAGCTGGGTATAAAGAGGGTTCTGGGGGTTCTTCTTGACGGACAGGATGGGGAGTTGCACGGTGACAGCCAGCTCGGGACTGAAGAAGAAAAGTCAATATACCATATCCAACCAAAATAAACCGGAGGGTGAGCATTCTGCCCCCAAAGATAGAACATACTGTGTGACATTACACTTCTTGTAACGCAGACCCATGGGACGAATGAACCGCTCGTACTTGACGGGACGACGGGTGAAGTCGCTACCAACGAAAGTAGGCTTGGTGATCATACGCTTCCAGGCCTTCTTGTGGGTCTTCTTTCCGGTGTTGATAACCTTGAACATCTCCTCCTCGCTAATACCCTTGACCTTAGGCAGGGGAACAGCAAACTTAGCAGCCTTCTCGTTACGCTTGTTCTTGATAGCACTGGAAAGGGCCTTGGCGTTGGTCTCCTGCGAGCGATCGAGCAGGTACTGGGGAAGAGGAGTCTTGGAAGGCTCGTCGGGTGCGGCGGACTTGACGTTCTTCTCCTCCTGGGCCCTGATGCGCTTCTTCATTTGAATCTTCTCCTTGTGGCGATTCTGCTGGTACAGCTTGGCCCGCAGACCACGCAGGTTCTGGGCATCGTGGGACGCCTTGTGTCCCTCACGAGCCTGGCGCTTGCGCATGCGCTCATCGTGATCGAGGCGCTTGCCGTGCTGCTTCTGCCAGCGCTCGATATACCTAGTGGGAAAATGTCAGTTGGAGATCAGGCGGTGGCTGGCGGGGAGTGACGAACTCGTTCTGAGGCTGTAGGTAGAAAAAAAAGTTAGTAAATTGGTGGAATTGGACATTGAGAGGTCGGAAAATCATTAGGAGCTTACCATGATGAACGACGAATGAACAACACGAGGTGAATGGGAGATGAAGTTCTTGCCCTGAAGATCTAATCGAGACCGAAAAAGTTGTGATGCGGGAAAAGATAGCGAGGCACGTGACGCTCCTTATCGGCAAGGTCGTTTCTCGACTTCTTCAGCTTGTACAGATTAAGAGAAGAAAGGCCGAAGCTGGTAGGTAATCAGACATAAAAAAGCAGTGCTTTGAAATTAGGATCTATAATTCACTATTATAAGATTAGTCTCTTCTCGCTGTAAATCTACATCTTCAAGTCAGATATAATATATCACGTGATACTACGGGTTACAAAGCGGCCATTTGTGCAAGTAGTGAATTTCTCTAGTTACGGGGAAGCCGCTCTTCTATCCCGAATATCAATCACCGCAAACCTCTTCCACTCTCGATCATTGAGCATTGGCAAGCGGTCAGTCAATATGTTCTCACGCTCTGCTCTGCGGAGCCTCGCCTCCGAACTGCGCTGGACTGCGCCGTCTACAATTTCATCCGCAGCTCCCCTGCAGCAACGAGCATGCCTTCACCAAAGTGCATCTTTGATGAATTCGCAACAACCTCAGAGCCAATCGGCTTCCAGCCATCCCGAATCACCTCTCAGCGCCACTCCCCGGGCGCAAGATACCCAACCAAAGACTCACCAGGGCGTCAAGGCCTCCACTTTCGACGAAAACATCATGACACCCCAAACACGCGCACACGTTCCCATTGCGAAACAACCCGTTGCCCCGACTTTCACCTCCCCTCTCGAAGTGACAAAATCTCTCATGTCACAGCTCCCCCACCTTGCCGGCCAGAAGCCACACTACGTCGTCGCTCAACTGCACGCACGACCATACCTCTTGACAGAAGGTGATCACATTCGGTTGCCCTTCCTCATGCCTAAGGTTAAGGCGGGTGATATTCTGCGATTCAACCGTGCTTCGGCACTTGGATCCCGCGACTTCACAATGAAGGGCTCACCAACTATCGACGAGCGTATCTACGAATGCCGGGTTCGTGTGACGGGTGTGGATGCGGAACCGCTGCGCATCAAGGAGAAGACGAAGCGGAGACAAAGGCACGTTAAGCAGGCCAAGAGCAAGCACCGCTATACGCTCATGCGTGTCATGGATGTGCGGGTGAAGACGCCGGATGAGTTGTTGGCGGAGGGCGCGGTAGTCGTGGAAGACTCAGAGGACAGCTCAGTAATTGAACCCCGGTCATAATTGGGTTGTTAGGTGTTTGGGAGAAGCTGTTTTCAGGCGAAAATGTGATGCCGGACCATGATCCGAGAGTGGTTCGAGGTGCTGGCAGTACTAGTCGAGATTTGGTCTGACCTTTGGGCTGTTGGTAATTGTCGTGCCGCGATGCATTGATATCTTTGCGGCATATTGTACAGATATATCGATTTGGGCTGTTCTCTGTATGCATTGTATTCTATAGTATTGAATTTTTTTCAGAAGATCTCTTCATTGCAATTGTGTAGGACGTCTTTACATAGGTTCTTCCCGAAGTCCTAGTGCTTGGGCTTGTTCGAGTCACCATCGCATGAACGCTGAGTTTCATTCAACAAACCCCAATATCTCATCCGCAATCTTCTCAGCAAATGCACACACAATAGATTAGGGATGACCTGGCGGCAGAAAGGGGAAACTGCTAGCATCGACGACTCTCAACTATACACATTGGCCTGGTTGTCAACCACAGCCATCCTGTCATTCTTGCGTCCCATCTTGCATGTTGCTGACGCATGGTACACAGTATCATACTCGGATAAACGAGCTCGAGAATCTGAGCGTCAGTGGAAACATTAAAGCCTGAGAAATACTCCTCCTGCTCGGCGACGCCTAGCTTAGCCAACTCCGCCCAAACCTGCCACTGAGGTTTCAAACACAGGCGCTATTAGTATAAAGCGCTTCATCCTACACCATGATCTCCTTTAACTGCAGTTTCTGTCGGCAAACTTCCAATGATTTTTGTTGCATCTCGGCATATAGATGGAATTCATCCGCCACACATGCCCCAAGGAGCCGCTGGAAACCATCGAGGTCCGGATCCGCGCTCATTATCAGTTGCTTGGACTGAGAGACACCACCCAAGTTGGAATTGAAAATTCCTCCCGCAGATAAAGGAAGGAAGTCTTCATATGTGATAGCCTCGTAACTCAGGATCTGCTTGTTGAGAAGATCCTGAAGTGAGATTGGAGGCAGTTGCTCCTCCGATAATACGCTTTCGTTAACCAACTGATCACTCATTGGTGTCAACCGATAGGTGAAATATCCCAATCTCAGGTCGTGAATCTCTGACAGACTATCGGGAAACTCTTTGAAGCGCTCTTCCAGTAGCGTGTCATAGGCCTTTCCTTTCAAGCCCTTCTTCGCGGCGTCTGCATTGACTCCGTTCAAGATTCGATCATAAAGCTGGCGTCCTTCTCGGGTCAAAGCGTAGCCTCGCTGTTCCACTTCACCAAATCGTGCTGTGTGGGAGCCCTTTACATAGGAACCAGACGGATCCCTGAAATAGACAGTTTCCTCCAGTGCCTTGAAGCTTGTCTGCCGCAGAAGAATTGGACACGATCGTTTTGGTGGTCCCTCGATACGGTCCTTGACAGGCATTCCATGATCCAACATCAATTGTTGTACAAGATCGATATCAATCGTTCGGGGCGTTAAGTGGTTGATATGGGAGCTGGGAAAAGAGACGACGTCCGCAATCAGAGGATGCTCAGCTTTGAGCTGCTCGTATTCTTCCAGGGTGACTGTTGCTTTCGAGTGCCACCGGAATGTCTCCAGACCATTACTGATCAGCTCTGTGCATTGATCCGGTGTCAAAAAGCCCTGGCTCTCTGCGATATTCAGCAGGGCAAGCAGTCTGGGCGTGAATATGTTTCTTTGCTCCAGCGCTTTCTGCGCTAGTTTCCGAGATTCTTCCGTCAACAGTTCCATCCGCAAGACTGTCGTAAACACGCGAAATGGGTTCTTATCGAGCGCCTCTTGAGTATTTGGTCGGAAGGCGGTAGCGTGCATGGGAAATCCAGCGAGGCTGAGGTCGTAGTAGCCCACTGGGTGCATGCCCATCACAGCAAACATGCGACGAATTGTAGCCAGCTCATGCGCTGTTCCTAGTCGGATGGCTCCATGTCTTTCAACCCGATGCCGGGCGGGCAAAATATCGTCTGGGTTTATACTGCAATCACCCTCGATATTCTGGCTGTTTTGGACAGTTTTCGCGTCTGCATCCCAGACTACATCGATTAGGTCGCCGTAGAGAGGGACTTCGCTCTTGTACATTTCCGAAAGCGCATGGCAGAAGCGCGATCGCAGAGTGTTCTCATCGAAGGCCATCTGGAAGGTTTGTTTGCAGGTATTGGAGGTTGATCGGACAATGAACGGTGAGGTATGAGGGCACGTATAAAATGGGCGGTAGAAATGTTTTAGGATTGAGTAGAAATTACGTACAAAACGTACTATTAAATAGGAGGAGACCACCCATTTTATATACCCCGGAAGTGCATTGACTCAAAGTTGATATGGACTCTCGCCATGTTTACCCGCTATCTGACGGCTTCCGTCGGGGAGATAAGTCAGATGGAATAAGTCTGGGTGTCATGTCCAGTTGAACTCGGCTTGTAACTTCTTGTAAGTTTATAGAAAGTTGGCATGTAGAGACCCTACCCCCTTCGGGTGTAGGTTCTCCACGGAAACTCTTTCTTAATGCAGGATGTACCTTTCGTTAGAGATTCACTTATAGAAGGTACATACGGTCAATCATCAGTTTCCATCACGCCGTGGAGACCCTTTACCTGAAGGCGGTAGGGTTTCTTGTCAAGGTGACAGGTATACATAGTCTTTGCCTAATAACTGCTCTGTACATGGGTTGAATGTGTTGATAGCAAAGTACATCAGGTATTTATCCGTCGGAAGATGCCTTCCGTCGGAACAGCATATGGTACTAGTAGTATATACTTTCTTTGGTTTATTCAAACATGTTATTTAATGAGTAAAAATCATAGACTTAACTATCTAGTATATTCTAAGAAATAAATAACAGAGGTAGAAAGCACCTGTCCTTATATAGATCATGGCTGTGTTCCTCCCAATGTATACCCCAGTAGTAGTGAGATCAAAACATAGAATTCCTTTTTTTAATTCCCTTTTTTTCTCAAGCAGACAATAACATCCAAATTCTTCCCCAGACCCCGCAACATCCCGCCATGAAAGGCGAAGAAGTTGAAGATTGGCGGTTGGTTCGGTAAAGGGATGTTCCACTTGGGCCAACACCTTCTTTCTCGTTAGATTAGGGGGAGATCACTGCCCAGGTGCTTCCCAAAGTACAGAAATCTCCTATAATAACCATGGACGTGCCTGAAGCCAAAGCACGATGGGCTTCCCAACGCCGTGTGCCGTGAGCCTCGCGGGCATGCGAAACCTGCCGTGCTCGGAAGACCAAGGTAGGAAATGAGTTCTCTTTCTTTTAGCTGAAAGTATACCAAGCGTGTCAAAAGAATAAAATCCTCCCAACCTACGTTCTTCCATAGCTTATTGCCTGGAATGATGAACTAGTATTCAATTGAAGCAAGCCCATTCCCGGTGAATAATACATTCTGCCACACAAGGGAAAGAAAATGTGTCTGATATCTTCGTGTATTATATGGAGACATCTACGTGTTATTCACGATGGGAATAGTGAGAAGGGTAAGGCTAAGAAGCCACAGGAACTCTAGAAAATACTGTCCGCTATCGCAACACTCAAGAGGCTGATAAGTGATGAGGCGAGGGAGGAGGAAGAGGAAAATGACAGCAAGAGTCATAATCGGTGAAGCTTATTTATACCAGTGGACTTTCTTCATATCCATGCATTAGATCTTTCAGGTGTCCCGGGTCTTTTTAGAGGTCCTTTTTTCACTAACTCACTTCCAATACTACTACGCACCCACAAACTGAACCAGCACAAACCAGAATGGGCAAAAGAGAGACCAGCCCCAAAGCAAAGCCTGAAACCAAGGCTTCACTGAAAGAAGCACTGAAGGGATTGACTAATTCGGACCTGGCCTGCGCCCCTAAAGACCAAGCCACCTACGAGAAACATAATGTAAGTTCAATTCGCTTTTTCCTTTATTCACGAATGCTTCGATTAACATTACCGACTGCTTCCTTTTCTAGGATCCCACCCAGAACTGGCCGGCAATCCAATTGAGGATGCCTTCAAAGCCAATGTTCCAGACAAGGGAATCCCCGCATTCCATCAGCTTCTTTCTATGGAGTTTGGCAAGCTCAAGAGCACTTAGGTTGTCAATCTGACGGAGGATGAGCAGCTTGGGGCGGTCTGCATTTCACCGCAGAGGTCATTGAAAGCTACAGCGAGCTGTGAGGCGTTCCGCTCGTTGCCTCTCCGGTTTCTTGGGACTGGAGCACAATGGGTTGAACTTCTGTGCCAATCTAGATATCGAGCCTGCTATCCCGCGGTTCGGCATCGGTTTGTTTAACACAGATGTATGGCAGCCAGACAGCCAAAGCGTGGGCCATGCGTGATTTCTTTTACAAGGAAGATCTCTTCTATTTCTAGGGGATCCAACATCGACCATGTCATTAATGACTTCAGAGTCTCCATGGGCGTACTCGGTTTCCATTTGCAGCCTCGCACATGGTCCAGAGAGTACCTCTCGACAAACCATTTATTCAGTCAGGAGACTATTCATCAAACGAGAATTATCTAAATTCCAAAGCTGAAACTGGCATCGCTGTCCGAGGAGATTACTACTACACTGCCTTCCTTGGATATATAGGGCCACCGCCATTATCAAAACAATAAAATCATAATTCATCATCCAATCTATGTACATAATTCCTGTCTAGAAGAATTGGCGAAAAGAAAACCCAAAAGCAAGCACGAAGCATAATCCGGTCCAATCCAGATATTCCAAAGCCAGGGTAATTCCGTCGTCACAAAGTGACAGGTTCCAGTCCGCTGCGGTGCAAAGCAGACTCGGTACATGGGGTACATGCACCCATAATCAATAATTCTAAATAAATCAAGCGCTTCATCAAAATCAAGAACAAATTTCCGAAAAACGCCGTTGCAGAAGGGGGGTCATGAGAAGACGTCAAGGAGGGCCAAAAGACCGGAAATGAGGTAGGATGCGAGGTCGGGGCGGGGTTGAGAAAAATATATGAAGCCAAGGTGAAGAGAAGAGATGTAAGAGAGGTGAACGTGATCACAGGGGCGCCATAGAGGCTTCCCCATCCTCCATATCACTAACAGACGTAGCTGGCGAGGCAAGGCCCGACATAACCGAGCTCGAAGCTCCCGTGCCGCCGGCATCCATCATAGCCTCATCGTAAGAGCCAAGCGCCGTAGTCGGCATGCGTGGGGGTGCATTCTTGCAAGATGACGCCATGAGTTCCGCGATCCCCGGCTTCGCGGGGACGTGCTTGTGTAGCGCGGTGGCATTATCCAGACTTTGTAGGGCAAAGCCCATGAATTCAGCGTTCTTGTGGCTGACACCTAGAGTCCAGCGGTATTCACACAGCCGGACGCGGTAGAAGTCTGCCTCCTCGTTTGTCGGGGCGGTGATGCGAAGGAGCATGCCGAAGGAGCCGATAAGGGAGAAGTTGGTGCGTGCGGAGGCGGGCCAGAAAGAGCGGAGGTGAGCAGGGCGGAGACGGTTGACAAAGTCCATTGCGGAGATCAGGCGAGTCTTTGCGGCAGAGCGGCAGATGTGCGCGAGATACTGGTCTGTGCCTTCGGCGAGGAGGGAGCGGACGATGCAGCGGTGTAGGGTTATTTCGGTGGCGAAGTAGGCGAGGTGAAGGGCACCGTTACGGGCGTGTTCGTCTGTTATTGTTTCGACGAGTTCGCCGGTTGAGGTTTCCATCTTGAGTGATGGTGGAAGGGAGGAGAACCAGTCCTTGAGCCGGATTTGGGCTGGTTTGGCCTTTTCTAATATCATGCGTGTACGCTGGTTTCCGGCGGCGGCGAACTCTTCAATGGCGTGCAATGTATAGAAACGGTCGAGAATGTCGGAGAGGATGGTTGTTAACGCGACCATGTGGCAGAAAAGAAGAGGGCCGTGGCCGACGGCGGTTTCATCGTGCGAGGAGTCAGTGCCGGAGGAAAAAGCATCCGAGAAGTCCTGCTCCACGAGATCCTTGACCGTCCAGTTGAAGGCGAAGATATGCGAAGGTCGGCCGTGCACTAGAGACGACCATTTATCCTGCATATACAGCGCCCACGCGAGGCGTTTCCGCAGGCCCTTCTCCCAGGTCTCCATACGCCAGTTCGTGCAGTCCTGGTGCAGACCCAGTTCGAAAGCGGCCGTGACCAGCTGACCATTTAAGGATGCCGTAGCTAGAGTCGACTTCTGTGTCAACAGGAGCCCTGCTTGGATGGTCGAGACACTGGGGAATTGCAAAGAATCCATCAGCAGCTTCAAGGCCGAAGCCTCCAGTCGTGCGGCATCAGGTTTGCGCGCAGTTTGCGAGGTGGCACCGACGTCGACGAACTTCAAGGTCAAGACGTAGACTGCGGCAAGTAGTAGCGGTGAGAGGCCACGGCGCTCACGGTATGATTGGCGGAAGACTTCCTCTATCAAAATCGGGAACGAGGGATGTACATGGTCGAAGAACTTTTCAATCAGTGTTGAGCCGTAGGGAGCGACCATGCTCTCAATAGCATCGAGTGACACGGCCGAGTCACTAGGCACGGTGTCGACAACACGCATGAAGGTACCGTCGTCGGCACATCTCCGCACGCGTGAGTTCGAGACTGTGCATTCGTCGTATTGGTCAAGCGGAAGATAATCCAGCAATGTTGGCTCCAACTCGGTGGTCATGCCAATATGCTGGGTTGACTGGTTAAAGAACCCGGGGCGAATCATGTTCACTGCTAGCGAGTGAGACTCGGTCTCCGGGATAGAATGTGCCGATTGTACTGTAGAGGGTCTGGGAATTGTTAGGGCACAAGTTCTCTCTATATATGGAGCTGAAGTATATCCCCAGGTTGGAATTCCATACCGCTTAATTCCTTCTGTGGGCTCCTGCCCTTCGTCCAATTTCCTCTTCTTAGATGGAACCTCGGACTGGGCTGTAAGGGTGAAGGTACACTCCTGGCGATGAAAGTCGCATGAATAGCATTTATTGACCATTTCGTTCATGGCACACCTGCTCTTTCTGTGGAGACAAGCGTCACAGCTAGCTCCATTCCGTACGCGGGGAAGGGCCGAGTTGATAGAGATGGGGGATGGAGAGAGCGCTGGGGTCGAGCCCGTCTTTCGGCGGAGATCAGGGGAATGGGCTTGGGAAAAGCCCGAGGGCTGGATAGTGATAACGGTAGCCATGTGGACCGGAACTCTGGAGGCAAGGTAATCGGGCAAATAGGAATGGAGATAGAAGAGGTGATAGGGTCTTCGCGGAGTGTACTCCAGACGTGTAGCTCCGCAATCTAAGATCTAGCGTCAAGATCTCTTTTCTGAGTATACCGAGTCAGTCATTGGATGATATCATGATAAGAGAGACACATACCCTTATCAGAAAAGAAAAAAAAAGTTGGTTATCTCCGAAATAAGTTCACGATAATCCAAAGCCGGCACCGGAGATCGAAAACAGAGGTATATCAGGCAGACGAACCTGCAAGTGACTGCAGCAGGATGAGATGCCGAATAGTTCGCTCCGTCATTCCTACCCGTTAAAGATCTGGGGAATCAAGGGAGGAAAAGAGAAGAAAAGAAAGAGCATTGAAGATATGATGACATCTACGATCGAATAGGTAATATAAACTATAGAAATACCGAAAATTGTTCCTCTTTCCCGAGTACCAGACGATCAGCTTTTTCCTCTCGTAACAAAAACCCCATTCAAGTTAAGCAAGTGACTGACAATTATGACACTTTAATTGTCAAAGATAAGCTGTCCCTTGCTGATTGGTTCTGAAACCAAACATTGCATTACGTACTGAATATGCTTAGGTCATCATTTTCTTAGTTCTTACAGAAGGGGGTGGGGATAACTAGGTATAGATCAAATAGTTAGATAATAAGAACCTTAGAATGACTCGATCGGATTTTAAAAAATAATAAAAAATACTCTAAAAATATTTAAATCTCCCCTTTTTCCTTGTCCCGTTCCCCAGGGATTGTCTTCCTGCATGAGATGGCTTTCTGACTGGTCGAGTGAGAGTTGTACAAGGATCTCCCGGGCCAATCATCACCCAGTGATAACGGCTTTCCACCCGACCAATCATAGTCTGTCCCATACTAAAGTCGCAGTAGTGCCCGAGAAACTCTGCAATCAAAAACTGTGGGGTGAACGTAATGTGGAGGGAAAAGCCTAAGAGCCTATATGTACTCTATACAGTCTATGCACTCTATGCATCTCAAGTACTTGTTTGTACCTAACTCGCTGTGCCCTCTGACCGCTGTGCAATCTAATATGTAATACATTGCTCAAACAGGATGTTTTAGCCTAATGATAGTCGGAGTGGAACGTCCCGGAGTCAAGGATGCGTTCCCCGGCACATGCTAAACTGCTACTTCGGTGGCAAACGGAAGAGCACGGACTTGGCCAAACTGATGCCCAGGGTATGTCATAAGAAATGAGCTGCAATGGTTGGCCCGGGGAGGTTTCTATTATGAATCACCAATTCCCCCATATGTACCTATGGTATGTTAATCCAAGGTTGAAATCCGTTGCACATGTGAGGATCGTCGCTTGGAAATCCTGCCCAAACTAACAAAATAACGCCTTCAAAACTCCATGCTCCTAAAATGAGGCATCCACGGTGAAAATGCGATCGGCTTCTGGCGTATGTTTTTATTCGGTGAAGTTGCGCAGCTTGGTCAGCTCATCCAGCAATTCTTGCAAGTCTCCATCGGAGATCTTGTTCTGAAGACTCGGAATCAGAGACTTGGCCTCTTCGGCATTGTCACAACACAAACTACCTGTTCAGAGGAAGACCCCAGTCAGTAAATCTGAGTTTACCATGTCTTGGCCGATGGGAGGGGCAGTGCAAATCAAAACTCACCCAGCTGCGACCGCTCAAACATCTCCAGCTCGGTGTGAGAGTTCAGAAGGCGTTCGACTGCCTTAATGTTCTCCTCGTCCTTGAACCGGGCAAAGACATCCAGGTAATCCAACGTCTTGGTCAAGTTTCTGTAAAAAACATTACAGATAAGCATTCGATCTCAACATCGGATGATCTGTGGTCCACTTACTCCGGCTCTTCATATTTGTTACCCCCGCGTCGCTTGTTCTCCAACACCTTGTGGATAACGAGTCGTGCTTCGGAAAGTGAGAGTGTATGAGTGTGTTGGTCAGCGCCCAGCTTGAGCGTGGAGGCGGCTTCGAGCTCGCCTTGCGGCAGCGCACGCTTGCGGTGCGTAGGTGGGGGCAGTTGGACGCTCATTGTGCGATTTGAAGGGCGAGATTTCGTAGGTTCGGGTATGCAGCCTAATGCGTCTGGATCGAATGGATTGGTGAAAATAACTTGCTCGAAGCTACTTCGTCGATGCCGTGTATCTGCTGTAAAGAAGACGAGGTGACTTGTTTGGCGCGAGGTTGATATCTGCAGTTTCAATTCCGGCATTTCAGGGCGGTGACGCCGTTACCGCCTCTTCCTCGAGAACTACAACAATGAAATCCGATGGGAAACTAAAATCATTGTACTTATTTTTTTATTACTACTAATACTATGATAGCTGTTGTTTCTTGGAATACCAGTGTCTCGTTTTTGTTCATTGAGCAAGTCCTAAACGCTTCATATATAGCTATGCAACAACTCTATACCTTCCGAAAAGCGACCTCCCGCGGCAGACGGAAGCTAGCACAGAACATCTGCTTCTTAGGACTAACCAGCCTCACATTGTGAATAGCGAGTTCCACTTCCTGGTTACCCTTGCCTCCCACACAGTCATCGACAGTGATCTTGTGCCCGATACGCTCAGAGATTCTCTCGCAGATATCGATGTGATCATCCACCTCGTTATCTGAGTGTCCCGAGAAACAGTAAACGTGGACCATGGGCAGTTTTTGTTCCGTGTTGGGCGCGAATATTTGTTCCTCGCCAGCATAGAGCCCGGGGAAGGCATCGAGGAATTCAATGGCCGTAGCAGGCAGGTTCATAACATAGTGATTAACAATGGTAGGACGGGTGTATTTCTTCGGCGCGGGTAGCGGGGCCCCGTTGCCTTGCGCAACCTTACGCTGCTTCTCTCTGCCCACCTTGGGGTGGATGGTAACGGTAAGAGGCTTTGCGTTCAACAACAACCGACCCGAGGAACGGATAAACTCGCGACCATCCTGGTTGAAAGGAGTAACGAAATCTTGCACCTTATTACGGGAGATAGCATCTTGCATAACCTCAAATCCGTGCGGGTTGAGATCGTTGGCCCAGACGAAAATCTTCTTCCGGCCTGCTGGCACGGCGAAGGGACCGACGCCGGCCATCACGTCGCAGACCATTTCGCTGGGCTCGAACTTCTCGACCAGGCGGCGATGCTCGGTCTCCAGGCGGCTGTTCCAGTATACACGGGCATAGTCGAACCGGAATTCACAGTCCTGCTCGTGCTGGATGACATTAAGGTCATTCTCGCCGGTCAGCAGTTCGAATGGGAAGGTGCGGAACTGGCTGTGTGAGCCGACATCTTCGGTTTTATTGATGACGGTGCGGACGGTCGGGTTCTTGTCCATAAGAACCTCGGCAAGTATGTGCTTATATGGCAAGTATTGGGCGCGGAGATTTAAATGCACTGTTTCGTCAGTATTGGGTTTATAGCCAGTGACTCAGACGAACATACAGACATGCCCCACCTGAGTGAAGCCCTGAGGGATCTCTTCCATCAATTCCTCGGGTAGGATTGACGAGATGATCTCAGCTATAAGAATTAACAGTTAGCATGGAATACTTAGCTGAGGAGAAAACATGATGGCAAGCATACCGTATGACCAATGGTCGTATTCCAATACCAATTCGTAAGGCCCCAAGGTGACCGTTCCCTTATTTATGAGCTCGTTGATAGTAGGCGACCATGTTGCCTTATCTATAAACTTCGATTAGAAACTATCCATCAATGTTACGGCCAATCCAAGCCCAATAAACATACCATCAAGCTTCAGGTCTTCGCGCAACAACATGGCCTTCCACATCTTGCCATCTTGATCCTTCACCTCACGGATAGGGCTAATGCGTGGCAAGAGCAGGATGTCGCGGCTCTTGACCAAATCCTTCCGCACGTTCGAAATATCGCTTGTTTTAAAAACCCGGGCGACGGAGAGGGGCACGTTTCTTCGGAAAAATGACCGGTCGAGGGTGCGCATGGCACGGTTCACAGGGGGTCGGAACATGGCAGGGGTCTCGTGGAGAGTAGCCTGCTTGGAAGCTTCATCTGTCGGTTTCATTGGAGATAGGGAGTGTTTGGTTTTGGCCTGTTAGGTATTGTCTCCTTGTTCAAAGCTCAAGGCGCATTGCGGCGCGATAATTTATTTCTTATCGGCCACGTGACGTCTTTATCTAGATCTATATCCTAAAGAGTACATGTGAAATGTAGAGTAATATGTCGGAATTGGTCTTAAATAATTATGGATATTGGTTTCTGATGATTAATTCAATGGACATCTGAGCAACTAGGGAGATGTGGCTCACTGAGTAGTATTTGGCTTTATTTCTCCCCTACGCCAAAGTACTTTATATCCAAGGATATCAACATTTGAACACTACATCTAAGATAGTCTAAAACGTGAGATCTTCCCTACACATCCGTATTTGGAATACCATTGCCACCACTCACCATTTGCCCTAAATCTCACAGAGCCGGGGGGCATTTCATCGTCGAGCGGTGCTAGGCCCAAATCTTGGGCTAAATCGGAAAATGATCAGATTATTCTTACTTCTTACTATATTGATAAAGCTCGTCATACTTTTTCACTGAGCATTCTGACTTCTTATATTGATAAAACATGTTCATGATTTCCCTGCTTTACAAAATGTTGAGACAATAGCACAATAATCGCAGATCGCAAAGCTATCATATCATCGTAACAGTTCGTGAGAGGGGTGGCCCACGCTGAGCCAAAAGTATACTGGACAACAGAGTTCCAATCTCTGAAATCAACACTGGTGGTGTCTGCTGCATGTGCAATCTGACTCCAAGGTTGCCTCCTCAATAGGGGTTCATGCCCTCAATAAGAGAACGATCCAGTTCCCTCTGGGCTTCCAGATTAGAAACACGGTCTTGCAGCTTCTTAATCTCTCCATCCTTCTGCTTTAATGCCAGCCGCGTCATATCCCGCCCACGGATAATCCCCTGCGTCTTCAACTCCTGCCGGTTAAGCAGCGAGACCACCTCGTCTCGCGCTTTGTTTGGCAAAACAACACTATGTTTTTCCAGAATATCGAGTAGACTCTTTGCTAGATCCGAGGTGTCGAACTTCGAGTCTGCAGAGAGGACATCTTTATACTTGCTGGGCGTGGGTGTCATGCATAATTCCGCAGACGAGGGAGGGAACATATCGGTGCGAGAGGAGCGCGATGAGAAAGGTGTCGCGGGTGTAGACCGGTCGTAGGAATAATTATCATTTGTGACTTCTGCCAATTTGCGCTTGCCGGGTGAGGTCACCGCGGAGGTGCGGGGGGTCTTGAACGGGGATTCCGGATGGAAGTTGGGTTGCGAGATGAAGCTCTCGGTCTGGCTGGAAGAGAGTGCCTTAACAAGCTCATCATTATCATCCGAGTCGTCATTCCAGCCAAACTCATCTGACGCTTCTGAGATCATTCTGGCCTTAGCTGTCTTGGGGGGCGACTTGAAGTTGCGTTGCGGGGTATCGATGAATCTGCGCTCAGTCTGTGGAGTAAGTAGCCCGTTGTTCATACGGCCTGGGGTGCGCCTTGTTGGGGTGAGCGCGATAGGGTCGAGTTCGGATCGAGAGTTGGCAAGAACGGCTGCTTGCTCACGCATTGTAGCGTCATCTGCCCACAGGAAGAAGCTGCATTTGATGTGTGAAGGCTGCGCGCAAGTCCAAACTATTTTTTAGGTCAGTCACTAACTCCATATAAAGATATTTCCCAAGCATCATCCTTGGAAGCAAGATTCGACATACACCATTTCCCAAAGTTTGGTCCCTGCTTCTTAGTTTCGCGACGGACGGCAACCGGCCGGCCTGGGCAATTACAACACCAAAGGCCATTCTTGAAGAGGCCACGTTTCAAAGGCGCCGTAGTTCCTGGTGAGCCTGGGTATTTCTGCGGGGACGACATTTTCGACAGTTATTTCCCCAGATGTTGTTCACAAAGGAAGATGAACGTGTTGTCGCCATGGAAACCTGCTTATCTTATCGAGACTCCACGAGGTCTTGGCACTTTTAAGACATTCTATGGAGTCTTCCCCAGGTGGATTATACCAGTGCTATGAATAGAATATAGCATACGGAGAATCATCCGAGACAATGTCGCCTATATTCATCCTGATCACAGATGACCTCATGTACTGTTGAGGCTGAAGTCGGATCTCCACACATCCAACGCCATTCTTATAAAGAAGCTTAACCCCACGTCGAGTCAATTCTTATATACATTCCTTTAACCACCCCCATGATCAACTACTCATACTTCGATACCCTTTTAAACGCCGCAAATGCATACACCATGCGTGGCCCCACAAGGACCCCTCTCAACCCTCCCTAAAGAACTATATTTCGCAATATCCGATTTCCTCCCATCACCATCAGACCTAAATGCCTTCACATGCACCAACACAACAACCTATAACCTCCTAAACAACACCCTCTATAAGCGCGATGCAACCTCGCCAAACCCAAAATCCCTCTTCTGGGCCTCAACAACCGACACCCCCTCAACAGCCCTAAAATCCCTCTCCGCAGGCTTCGACATCCAATCAAAAACAGACACAGACCCGCGGCTAAAAGGCTGCACCCCAATCATGCTAGCCGCTTTACACAATAGCATCGCGGTACTCAAACTGCTTCTGCTAGATGACGAAGCAAACCCAAACACCCTCGACAGAAAATGGATCCGCCCGCCGCTGTCCTGGGCCGTCAAAGAGGGCCACTCAGCCATAGTGCAGACCTTGTTGAATGATGACCGTACAGACGTCAACTTGCAAGATAAGACGGGTGATACCGCACTTATGATTGCCGTCAACCACCAACCCAAGATGATGACGCTACTTCTCTGTAGCGGACGGGCGGATCCGCGCGTGCCAAATCGGCAGGGATGGACGCCACTCAGCCGTGCTGCGCGCGAAGCAGATGGGGATGTGGGCTTGCTGCTTGCCAACCATTTGCGGCTGATTCTGGAGGGGGACGATGGCGCTGTGCATTGCCAGCATGTGTTTTTCTATGCGGCTATCATGGGGCATGTTGATATTGTGCGGTATTTAGTGAAGTATTTGGGGGACAAGCTTGATCCCAACGCCGAGGGACAGCAGTATGGGCGGGGAGCCTTTTCAATTGCGGCTTCGGCGGAACGGGTGGATGTTGTGCAGTTTTTACTAGAGTGGGAGGTTACGGATCCTAATTTGCAGACGCATTGGAAGAGACAGACACCTTTGTTCGTCGCTGCAGAGAATGGGCACGAGGAGATCGTGGGGTTGTTGGTTGGATGTGAAAGGGTTGGGCTGGAGATTGCTGATATGCATGGGACTACGCCGTTGGGGGTTGCGACGGAAAGAAACCATGGAGGGATTGTTAGGAGGTTGTTGACTGGGTCTAGGCGGGCTGATCCGAATGCTCGTGATGAGAACGGTCAGACACCGCTGTTTAATGCTGCGTTTCACGGTCACATAGGTGTTTTGGAGCTACTTCTCGAGGCGCATGGAATTGATCCACAGTTGGGTGATACCGATGGGAAGACGCCGTTAGAGGTGGCATCGGAGAATGGCAATCAGCAGGTAGTGGAGGCGCTGCAGAGATACATAGACAGCCTATTATGAATATTCTGGTCTCAATTATCATGGCCCATCTAGCGTGCGGTCCCTATCATATGCTATATCTATCTAGTTCCCAAACCTCGGCACAGCCATGAGCGAGACAGCAAGTAGAAGCAAGCGAGCAATGGATCGGTGTAAGGACAAAAAAATCAGATAGTGGGAATCAAACGGGAGAAGCCATATCTATGGCGGTATCACGAATGTAGCAAAACAATTCTAATATCAGCATCTAATCAGCAAGCACATGCCGCAACATGATACCAAACGGATCAGCAAGCTTGAGAATCTCCGTAACCTCGGGCTTGACGGGTTCACCCGCGGTACGGCGAAGTTGGTCCTGCTTCTTTGTCCGCCGGCGGCGCTCTACGGCGATTGGATCGTCCATGTTCTCATCTCCAGAGTCTTCATCAGAGGCATCAGAGGCTTCATCTGAGATAGTGAGGTCCTCCAGATCAGCCTGTAAACCCGGTGTTAGCCTTAAAATCCAAATCCATTTTTGAAGTCGAGTGGGTGGGGGGAAAACATACCTCGTCAAGACCGAAATCACTACCCTTGAAAGCTATAGCCCCTGGAATAGTCTCCCCAGATGTACCTTCAGCAGCCATCTTCTGGCGAGTCTTGTTCAGATGCCAGCGTTTCCGGTCTTCTTGCCACTTGATAAGCTGATTGATTTCCGTGAGCGCAAGGTCTTTGTCGATCTGGCCAACTCCAACAGCTCCTTGGAACAAAGCATTGATGTCCATTTTGCCTCCGGCGGGGCCGTTGCGCAGGAAATCGAGAATCTCCTCGATCCAACCCATTAGAGACTGGAATAGGCCGTTATCGTGCTGGTGCACTTCGTGGATGAACTTGTAGAAGTTGGCCTCGTGGCGAGCACACAGGTCGATGAAGGCCTGCACTGTTTGGTTCGGATCGGCAGAGGCATCCTGGCGCTGGGCACTCTCAATGACACTGATAGCATCGTCGGCAAATAGAGCAAAGTCCGTAATGCTGTTGTATACGTTGGCAGATTTGTAAACTCGGACGAGCGGCTCGTAGAAGATAGTGAACAGATCGCGGAAGAGCTGCAGTGTGACTGGCTCTTCAACAATGCCCAGCATCATCGCCTTGTCGCGCTGGCGGGTGTAGAGCTTCAGAAGCTGCTTCATGTGAGCGAACCATTGGGCGCCCTGTTGCATTTCCAGGTCTACGTTCTCCACGGCATAGTTCCAAGCCACGTAGCCGTTGAACACCTTGCCAATCTGTTCCGGTGTGAGTTCTGGTGACAGTAGTTCGGAGCGAAGGATGGCCACAATAATGTCGACATCGTCGGCGACAGCCTCTGCTCGGATCTCATTCTTGATGTCTTCCTCGGCATCCGCGAAGCTCTTGAGTTTCTGAGTAAGGACAGTATCTTCAACCTTCGAAGCTAGAGATTCAATTGATTTTTGGAAATCTTTGATGCTTTCGTTTAGTGTCAATGAGAAGATGCGTTGCAAAAGTGACCGTGAGCCGAAGGGCTGGGCCATGAAAAGGTCTAGAACACCAGACATGACTGCAGCAGGGTTAGCGATGCGAATCACATTCTTCATTAGCGTGTAAGGAACCAGGCCGTGGATTCTCTTCGCTTGTGAAAACAGTTCAGGGGAGTTATCCTCGGCAAGGAACAGATGGTATATTGTTGCAGCAACCCTATTCAACGTTAGTATGGCGAAACACTCAGGAAATCAAACAACATACTCGATGCGGAGCCACTCAGCAAATTTCTGATATTGCGGGCTGAGGTCTGCAATTGTGGGCTTCTCCCGGATCTCGGCGAATAGCTTTGTCAATCCATCTGAAATCCAAGTGAGATTAGCAAACCATGTTATGCTGGAAGGAGCTCGCGACTTACTGCTCTCCACAATATCCCGCCGGAACCGCTCCATGTACACGTCCAGCTCCGCCGCCCGTTGCCTAGCAATCTCATAGAATCTCTTTTGTTCCTCAATCCTCACAGCATCCATGTTTTTCCGTTTCTGGACATCAATCAACTCTTCCTCATTCAACTCGATGGGGCGACCAGTCAAGAATTCTTCCATGACCTTCGATTCGGCAATACGCTTGTTCTGCAATATAGTGCGCAGGAACGCGCGCAGCGACACACGCTGCTCCTCCCGGTACAGCACAGTCGCCCTCGACACGTCGCTCGTTGATGCACGTGGTGACTTCGTTGATCGCATTGATCCTCGGGAGATCGATCGCCGAAGGTCCCCTGCGGAAAGAGTTGGTGCAGAGAGCCGATCCTCGGCAACACTCGCGTCCTGTGTGGACAGAGATGAAATTGACGAAGCGTCATCATCTGCACTAGCGCCCCACCAGCTCGAGGTGGAAGAAGACTTGTTCTTACGAGGAAGAGGAGGGAGTTGTTTTCCTGGCAGCTCGGTCCTCAGTCTCTTGTGAAGCTTGACAAACTCTCCATATCTCCTCCCAATATGAACCTCCTGTTTGTCGTGGTGACGAACTCGAATAATGAATTCCTACAAGAAGATGTTGTCAGCAAAAAAGCCCAGCTCCCAAAAGAAGGCGATTTTCCGAATTATGAAACTTACTGCATGTTGATGGTATCGCACTGTCCGCTTGACAGAGGTTGTCCGAACAGCGGCCACGTTCACATCCCAACCATTGATTGAATTACCCTCGGGCATATTAGCCAGCAGGCCCGACTCCTGAGCACCACGCTCGACAATCTCCATCTCCGAGAACTGAATGCGCTCTTCATATCCCGACGCGGTCGGCACACCCGAAACCATCATAAGCTCGACGAGCTTCTCGCATTTCCGAGCCAACTTGCGGCGCTTTGTCTCCTCCAGTCGATCCTCCGAAGACGAGACATGTTTATTGGCGAATGATTCCAAGAACTATATCTCCAGTTGTCAGTCACACTCTGTTCCTCCACGGTTTCCATTCAGGGAAGCGAAACACCCACGATTTGTAGCTTATCCTGCCAGAACTCCTTTTCGCGCGCTTGGTCGAGGAATGGGAAGTTTCGAACGTGGTGAACAAAAATATACCTCAGAATAGGTAGCTCCGAGTCGACCGGTGCGACCTCACCGAATTCCGATCTGAAGGGGGCGCCGAATCGCTGGAGCGCGGTAGGGGAATTTAGCTCGAAGATTTCACCACGGACTTCGCGGGCGATGAGCTCGCGCTTGAGGTCTGCGCAAATTATCTACATGTCAGCAACTGTAAAATCGGAATATGATCATCATATCCTCCAACTTACAGTGTTCCTGCTTGCCCGTCAAGACCTGGCCTGGTGGTGGGGTTGCAGCCGCATCTCCCTTACCGCTAGGGAATGCGGAATCAGGCGATTGTGTTTCCAGCATGTTGAGCGGTAATTCTCCTCACTTGAGAGGGAAGCTGAGTCCCTAAGAGGTTGAATCGCACAGCCAATGTCTAGGTGATGTGATGAAAATTGTCGGAAGCACAGAATGTGTCTGCCTAAAAAGGCCGGTTGATGCTGCAATCAAGAGCTAGCAGGGCTGAACAATACAGAATACTGGGTCTCACACGATTGTTTCTGTGAAAGATGTGGGAACAAAGGCAATGGGGGGAGGGGCTGGAGCGGAGCAGGAGTCGGGAGAGAAAAATGATGTCGTCACCCCGTTGACTATTTACCTTAATCCTGACACCTGTAAGCCTATATATAAGCCCTGGCGCATATATATTAAGGCTCTTTGTTATACTGCTATATATACTTATTTTTTTAACCCAACTCCGCCCCCAACCTATTTTGATCGCCATCACACTTGACGTAGTCCATCACATAACACGCATGGGTCTTGTACGCCAAGGCTGATTATAGTGTTGCCTATATTGAAATCGTACTAGTTCTGCGCCTTACGAGGCGAGATTTCTCTCGGCAGTGTCATCGGACTATCATTATGGATTCTGGAGAACCAAGTGAGGGAACTAGGATATCTCTTTCACTTGGATTGGTAGGGAAATTGCTTGGAAAAGGGCTCGGACCACTTCCTTTCATCTGGCAATTTAACCAAAGCGATTAGATCATGTAGAAGGAATACAGAAACTACTATGCTCAATATGAAAGATAGAGAGAAATAAAATCAGGGCTTCAGCCATGTTATTTGGAGTAGAAAGATTAAGCTAAGATCAAAGCTGGAAAAAAAAAAACAACCCGCATTTCCATCGCTGAGAACATTAAATTCGCTTCAGAAAACAAAGCATTGAGAAGAGTATTTGCGATAGTATTTGCGAAATCCCCTAGGAATCCCACCTTTTTACTTCATGAATTCCAGCTCCATGTCGCGAGGCAGGTAGTGACCCTGAGGCTGCTGGCCATTCCAGGGCTGCATGCTCTGCAGAGCGCGCTCATGCTCAAGAGAGGGGAACATCTGCTGCTGAGGCTGGTGGTATTGAGCCGAGTGGTCGCTGGGAGTTTGCATCATGGGTTGAGCACCGCGACCCATCTGAGCGCTCTGGTTGTAAAGGGTGAAGTCGTTACCCGCCTGGGCCTGGAGTCCATATTCGTAGCGCTCAGAAAGAGTGTCGCCGACGTTACAAGAGTCCGGTGAGTACAACATAGCGTTGCCCTGCGCACCAGGAGAGAGGCCGGGGGGCTTTCCAGAGGCATCGTAGGAACAGTGGTTGAGGTTCATTTGCTCGTAATCATTCGAATAGCCCTTCATCACCTCGAGGGAATGACCCTGGGGGAGCTGTGCAGCCATCGCAGTGTAGTCCTCGTTGGTTGGGTACTCAAGGTTGCTCCAATCCAGGTCGAAGTTGATGCTTTCAGTACCGGTGAGCGGGGATCCATCGAACGACACAGGTCCCATCAGGTCGGGAACTGATTCGGCAGATGGGATAGACATGGAGTTCATGGACTGGCGATGAATCTCCAGGGCCGGAATCAAGCCGTTCGGGTCACCGGCTTCAAATTGACTCTGGAAGCCGCTCAGGTTCACCGAAGTCGGGAACGAGTTGACATCGGTCATCAGATAGGGCGATGTTTCTCCGAATAGGGGGAAATCCTCCCCATGGGCAAGCGCAGGGGGGTCGGCAAAGTTGAACTGGGGATTTTCAGGCCAGTTGTAGGTCTGGTCGCTGGGAGAAGGACTAGGGCCAGGAATTGGAGAGGCAAAGTCGGTCGTCTTCGAAGCAGGAGTAGACACACTGGGAGTCTGAGGAGTGGCCTGGGCAGAAGAGCCTCGCTTGCTGCCATTGCGGCCGTTGTTCTTGGATCGAACATAAACCCATCCATGGGATTTTTCCATGTGCTGCTTGCAGTTGCTTGCACGCTTCGAAGCATAGGGGCACTTGTGGAATTGACACTTGAAGAGGGTGGGTTTGTCCGAATGCCTATCGTTCATGTGACGATCACGTTCTTTCTCGGTGGGCCAACCTTTGGTGTGGTAACTGCAGTCAGAGTACTCGCACTTCCAGGGGCGAGAGTGTGTCTTCTCATGCTTTCTGTGGATGGATTAGCATTTCAATTCTTAGACTTTGATTCAATGAATAGGACAACTTACGTCAAATCACAGGGGCGCTTGAAGACCTTGTCGCAGTCGGCGCACTTTTGATTGATGTTCATGGGAGGAGCATCCTTCTTGCGGCGGGCCATAGAGCGCTGAACGCCCTCATCGACCGCGTCGTCGAGGCTGATAGTACGCTTGGCAGCACCAGAAACATCCGCCTCGTGGGGCTTTCCAGTGGCCATGGAAATTTTCTTTCCGTCTTGCATGATTACAAGTTCGGCAGGCTTCCCATTCTGGGAGAGACCACCTGCCAGGGTAGCCTTCGGGATGCTATTTTGAATTAGTTAGGTTCCGCTGTCCGAATAGAATAGGATATCACATACGTAGGAGATTTAGATTCCGTGGTAGAATCAGAGCCCTGAGTCGCCTGGACTCGCTCGCGTTCAGCACGAACCATTGCTGCGTATCGTCGAACCTGTGAAACAAGGTCAAGGAAGTATCCGTTAGTGTAAGGTCGATCGGCCGGTAGTCGTTGATCACGATCGTTGAGGTGCGAAGTCGAAGTATGCAAGCACTGGATTGTAAACTCGCAAAAGTTGAGATAAGAATCCCGAGAAGTGGCGGAGTTCTTTAAATATAGTAAAAAAAAAGAATAAGCTGACCAGAACTCCATAGACCCATTAAATAGAACAATGCATTGACTTACCGGCGCCAACCACAATAGGGTTTTCTCGAGGTCACGCAAACAAACAATCTGCTTATTGATGATGCGCTGGGGAACACTTCGGACCAGTGGGTGGAATGGTTTCAATCGGGGCTCTTTCAATATAGGAACAAGCACAAAACGTTCAATCTGTTTGCAGGCGGCTGGGCCCAATTGACGTTTTGGCGACGAACCAGTATCAAAAGCCGAAATAGAGCTTGTAATGGCAGATTGCTTGTCGTGAATACCATCATTCACTATTCATTGTTAGGGCTCAAATAGGGAGCAATAGGGGACAAAGAACAACAATGTATTCTTGTGGCATGTGACACCTACCTTTATTTTGCGAGTCAGTGAGCCCCTCTTCGCTACTGACAGAGGTTCCTAGTCCACTGTCGGACTCGTGGCTATGCTCTTGACGGGTCTTTTTCTCGTCTTGTGGGATGGGAATGCTGCGGCCCTCTTCATTTGAGGAACGCGGAGAGTTAGACATAGACTTGGAGTTACTGCGCACTAACCCACTCTCCACAGGACTCTCACCGCCAGCGACCTGCGAATTCTGGTCTTCGGTAGGTTCCAGAGTCAGACGGCCTAGGATGGAAGTCATGCGCTCTTCAGCAACAGCGATGGCTTCCAACGAAGTGGCCGAGCGATGAGGTAGGGAGCGGAAGTTCAAGACAGGGTCGCGATCACTCGATGGAGGAGAAGTGGGGGTATGGAAAGTCTCTCCTTTCTTCAGGGGCATCTTAGAGTCAGGCGAGTCACTCGACAGAGTGGGAAGGGCAGTGTTTAAGATGGGCCGGCGACGCGGGTGCACCCGCGATGGCTCAGTCTGGATGGCAGACATTATTGGGCGTAATACTGTGTCGACAAAAATTTAGCACATCTGTTCGGACAAGAAAGGAACAGTGGATTGCGGCTGATTGGCCCATTCCATGACTCACCGGAGAGTTGTCCAGATGATTCGAGAGGTGACGTACAGTCGAGTCAGAGATGCAAGCCTCGATTTGATGCGGATTATCTCCGTTCTTCCGTATATAACAGCACCGCTTCTCTTGGATATCAACCAAGACTGATTAAAATTGACACAGTTGAACCGGTATGAGGCCCTGAATATCTATCACGATAGCGATCGTCTGATAGTTGCTGGATGAACATGCACTCCTAATTCAACGTGTCGCGGGGGTCGGAAAACTCCAAAGCGGGGTTCGACGCAAGAGAGGATCAAAAACACCAGCCCAAATGGGTTTAAATCAACGATAGCGATATCCGAAGACGAAATGAATTCCCCGGATTCAAAGTGCTGATGGGATAATGGGATTCCAATGCTGAGATATAACGATTAAGATGGGCTTCCAAGCGGTGAGCCCCACTAAATATGAAATCTGTGAATCCTTAGACTGAAGGCAGGAAGAGCAATAGAATTGGAAATGAAAAATAAACCCGAACGCAGATGATGGGGGAATAAGCGGATCAAGGAAGAGAAGGGACTGGAGGCTCATTGCGTGTTGGATGTCTGCCTGATAGACGAAGACACTAACACCAAAATGGTATAGAATGCGAAGGCTGAGCACATTCTACAGTCTGTGATTGGTCTTGGAAGACGTTTGTATGGTAAACATATAACGGTAATTAAACAATCCAGCCTTGCAGGTGGCTCCCGCGTGGCCCCCAAGCGGGTATCGTAACGTTTCTCCACTAGTTCCACTGGGTTCTTAAAATGGAAACTCGGGATCCGGAAAGATCAGAATTTCCGTCCCAAAAGAGCCTCACCCCAGCCCAGGCAGCATTTTTATTTCTTCTCTACGCGTCCTTAATCCAAAAAAGATTCGTTGATTTGATTTTTCTACGGTAAAAACTCGGAGTCAGCATTTTGAGTTTCACCTATGTCTACGTCACCTATTACTAGGATCATGCCATAAAAAAATCTGGGCAGGGAAAATCACCAGGGTCATGCTTATTGGCATGGAGCACCGGACGCCCCAGGGTCTTGGCCCCCAATTGACCAGCAAAGAAAAGGGTCCCACGACAGCCAACCAAAAGTGAACGACTAGTTTTTAGGGTATGCCAGCTCACAAGAACTCGTTCTAGACCAATAGTAGCCGGTTCATTGAGTTCACAATAGCACATGCGCACTTGAGCCTCCTGTCACCGCTTGTATATGACCGGCCCAATGGTACTCCGTAGTCTAATGTCCTGCTCAGCCTCTGTCGGACCCGTAGACGAAAACGAAAACGAAAACGCGCCCGTTGGAAACGGCTTAGTAATGCTGTGCTGATCGGACCACCCTGGGCAGACTCTCTGCTCGTATCGACCCTTGTCTGACTCCTCTTCCTTGGTGCATAGCCCACCTACCTGTCAGTCAAAAAGGACCAGCTTTCCAAAGAATACGATTGTATGCTTGAGCCAGGTGTTTGTAGCATCTCATTTACTTTTCCAACACTGTACCTGAATTCAAAAGTATTCATATTTGCAACGACCGACAACGCCAACCTTGTTAGAATCTTATATAGTTCAGTTCATTCATACAACATATGCCAACCACATTCATGGCTATACTCTTACATTGTAGCTGACCACACTCTGCAATGGTTCTAGGCCATGGGATTGGTATGGGAGTCTATCTCCCTAGCGCGCCATCTGGGGAAAGCAATCAGTCAACAGCATTTTTCATTCCCGGAATGAGTCCCATCTACATCACCTTCGGCACGGTCACCCGTCACCAGCCTGACTATTCCAGGCTGCGATATTATTAACTCGATATGCAACTGCCTAATGGGTTTCTCTGGTCGTCTGCTAAAGAATGTCGAGCAATATTTCAGCTAAAAACCCAAGTACCACGGATGAGTCTGCCTTGACCATGGCGAGAGTTGACAGATATATATCTCCCCAATTTGGCCGAACTTATTCCAATAACAGAAAAATAGAAATAAGCTTCTAAATATAAGCTCATCCCTTCGATCAGATTGGTCAAGGCCTCGGGAGTCAATTGGATCCTACCCCGAATGATGTCAGCTATTTGGAGCTGGGGAACCTTTTGTTTAACACCCATGGACGCTATCACAAGCAGACAACAGCCAATGGGGTTAGAGAACGCTTGCGACTGAGATCGGACAGAAAGCCATACATTCTTAAGTATTATTGGGGCCATCTTGCTAATTTAAGAAAAATGCAGCAGAAATGTAATGTACATATGTATATCCTCTCTAATCATGCATACCTCCGTACATACTCCCCGACTTGGACCTCGGCTTCGGGATATGGCAGAATTGGGGGGGCGGTGCCGAGATGCCCGCGTGTTGATTTCCCCCGGATTCTGGATCCGGCGAACCTCGTCTTCTCCCCTCAGTAATTCGCTAAATCTGGCGCGGGATTCTGTAGGACATATTCTCATGCGTGCTTGTTAAACCGATGATTTGGTGATTGCATTCCGTTCACATCTCCTATCTCCCCCGCTTCATTTACCGACGGCAACCGGAAAAGACACCGCACCCATGGACTTCGAACAGTATGGGCAGAGCTCCCAGCAGCCTCGACAACGGAGAAAAAGAGCCGGAAAGCGGCGATTGAACAATAAGGCACCCATCGCAGCACGTTTGGCGCTGGATCCCCAGCTGCGCGGGAAGGTCGGCATATTGTCCGAGGATCTAGCGAATGACCTCTTCCAGCAGCAGGCCCTCCAAGGTGAGTGTGAAGCCCTCTCGACTGTTCTTGATAATAATGTTAACCGGCTCGTCTTGTTCTGACCAGATGTCACGACTTCCGATGATGGGGTGCTTTATGTTGCAATTGCCCCACATACGCCGACTTATACCTCTGTGGAAGATCAGGCTTGGACGATACTCCCAGTGCGCATCCAGCCCACAGAGAGATCGCCGGTTCCAATGTCACACTCGACAGTGCTGTTTCCTGAATCGGCAGACTCACTCCAGCCTTTCCTCCAGGCTTTGGGGAAAGTTGACTCGTCACGCAACTCCCTACAGGCACACCGTTCCGTAGAGATTCGGATCCTGGATGTCGCCCCGATTCACCTCGATACAATCTTTGTGACCGTTGAGCGGCATCTCCTCCGCAATCATGATGATGTTCAGAGCAAATTTGGTGGTGGATTCACGAATGCGCAGGGGCCGAATGGACTCTGGGGGAAGGCCGGGAAGTCGGTAGAAGCCAAGAAGTATTCGAAAAGGGCTGCAGCCGATGCAGAACAACGTCTCACTGCAGCAGTCCGTGAAGCATTGGGAGCTCAGCGCATTGTGCATACTGGAGATGTGCTGCCCCTTCCACTCCCTTCTCATCCCATAACTTATGCGCCACCACCCCCTGCGCGGATCTCATTTTGCGAGCCCGTTTCGCAAGGCTTGTTGATGTCGACGACAAAGATCGTGCTTGTCCAGGCTCGCCCTCAAGGACTTCGCGCTCAACAAACTGTGCCCTCGAGGTCTGCGCTCCTGAAGCAAGTAGCCGAGGACGAAGCTGATGACACCTCCAACGAACAATTCTATTCTGCAGCCGAGGATAAGCCTGGCGAAAGTGGGACAGAAATGGAGGTAACATCAGCTGCTGAGGAGTCAGAGACAGAAGGCTCAGCAGGATCCATGAGTGACTCCTCGGATGATTCTCTGGAGGACATGATTTCTCTTAGTGCGCCTGAACTGCCACAGCCACCATCGGGGGTGATGTCTTCTTTGACTTCGGCGACTCCTAGAGCCGGCGGTCGACGATCAGATGGAATCCATACCCCCGGGTCTGTGGCATCGAATTTCACGTCGACCACCATGCGCCCTGGCCGGGGCGGGGGCAAGACCTTCAAGGTGGAAGGTCTCCTGCAACAAGTTCCAAATGAGGTCTTGCACCCCAGGCCTCGGGATGATGAAGACGTCGACTCCTTTGTCTTCGTAGATATCAGCACCCTCGCCAAGATCGGATGCTTCTCTGGCGATTGGGTCAGAATCGAAGCCGCCGAGGAGCCCCAGCTGAACATGTTTGCCTCGCTCAAATTTGGAAGTTTCAACGACTCCCCTGAAGACTCGGGCGATTGGCGCCCAGTTAAGATTTTTGGTCTTTCAGGTCTTCCGTCCTCCAAGCCGCGGTATGCCATTAATCACTCAGGTGAACGCCGATCCAGTATTTCGCAACGTGCACCCACCCGATTGACCCCTTCAGTTTTCGTTCCTCCGTTGCTTCTTGGTAACATTGAAAATCCCAAGTACCTGCGGATCTCTCCTATGACCTTCGCTACTCCTAATGGATCCTCCAAACCTGGCATTTTGCACCAGATGAAGAACACTGCTACTAAGAACCCGCCTTTGGCGAAAGAGGTCACACTGCTCAAGGTTTCCACTCCTCTCTCAATGGATCGGGTCCTTCAACCAGCGCTATTTGCAGGATTGAAGCAGTACTTTGAATCACGCCGCCGTATCCTTAAAAGTGGTGATTTGGTCGGAATTAGCGTGGACGAAGGACTTGGCAGAGCGGTGTTCTCTGGCACCGCTGGCGGTGACAGTGCCAGTCAGGAGGAAGACATCACTATCCGGCTGGGCCAAGGTGTCAATGGAAATAATGCCGGGGCCCGCAAAATCGGCGTCGCTTGGTTCCGTGTCGGGCAGGTAGCCCCGACTACTGTAGAGGAGCTGGACGAGACAGGCGAAGATCAGTGGGGCGGAGTTGCTGTACTTGACCCGGCGACTACGCGCATGGTACAGGCTGGGAGTGACGTGAGCCGAGTTCCTGGCGTGTTGGGCAACGGATGGGAGTATTGGCTCGGCGTTAAGACGATCCCAAAGAGCGTTCATGATGTCCCAACACCTCATGGCATTGTTTCCGAACCACCTCAGTCCTTTATCCCATCATTGCAGCAGCGAATCCGTGATCTGATGTCTGCTGCCACAAGCCCGCGGGCTATTCAGCTAGGAATGAAGCCTGTCTTCATTCTCCTCAGATCTCAGCAAAGACATATCGGCAAGGCAACCGTCGCAACTCGAGCGTGCGCGGATATCGGCCTCCACACATTCCCTATTGATGCGTACGACATCTTGACAGAAGGCGGCGCGAATGGTGGCGATGTCAAGACCGAGGCATATCTCAAAGCCCGAGCGGAACGGGCTTTCCACTGCGGAGCAAACTGCACCGCACTGCTGATCAGGCATATCGAGGTTCTAACCGCTGATCGCATTGTCACGGCAATGAGCGATATCTTAAACGATGCCAGAGTTGTCATTGCCACCACCACTGATGTTGAAACTATCCCCGAAGGTATCCGCAGCCTCATCACCCATGAGTTCGAGATGGGTGCCCCAGAGGAGAAAGAGCGTGAAGGCATTCTGCGAAATGCTGTCGCAGAGCGCAGTATCAGACTGTCTGCGGACGTGGAACTGGGCACCATTGCTCTGAAGACCGCAGCTCTTGTTGCTGGAGATCTGGTTGACGTCGTGGAACGAGCTGCCGGAGCGAGAACAGCTCGCCTCGAAAGTCTGGCCGAGGCTAGCAAGAAGCTTTCCGGCTCTGAAGTCTTTGTCAGAGACGTCCTGCTGGCAGGAGGCGACGGTGCACGAGGTGTCACCAAGGCAGACTTCGACGCTGCTGTAGAAGCTGCGCGGAAGAACTTTGCCGATTCGATCGGTGCACCTAAGATTCCAAACGTTGGCTGGGATGATGTTGGTGGATTGACTAATGTTAAAGATGCCTTGGTCGAGACCATTCAGCTGCCGCTCGAACGGCCTGAGCTCTTCGCCAAGGGCATGAAGAAGCGCAGTGGTATCTTGTTCTATGGCCCGCCTGGCACCGGAAAGACTCTGCTGGCCAAGGCCATTGCCACCGAGTTCTCTCTCAACTTCTTCTCCGTCAAGGGCCCCGAACTGCTTAACATGTACATTGGTGAATCCGAGGCAAACGTGCGCCGAGTATTCCAGCGCGCTCGGGATGCTCGTCCCTGCGTTGTCTTCTTTGATGAGCTGGATTCTGTTGCGCCCAAGCGTGGTAACCAGGGAGACAGCGGTGGTGTTATGGACCGTATCGTCAGTCAGCTGCTCGCAGAGCTGGATGGAATGAACGGCGGCGAGGAGAATAGCGGTGGAGTTTTTGTTATTGGCGCGACTAACCGTCCTGATCTGCTTGACACTGCACTTCTCCGCCCTGGTCGCTTCGACAAGATGCTCTACCTGGGCGTGTCAGATACCCATAGGAAGCAGGCGACTATCCTTGAGGCTCTGACGCGGAAGTTCGCTCTCAACCCCGATGTCTCGCTTGACCGCGTTGCGGAACAGCTTCCTTTAACTTATACTGGCGCTGATCTGTATGCACTCTGCTCTGATGCCATGCTGAAAGCTATCACTCGAAAGGCCACTGCGGTCGACGAGAAGATCAAGACTCTGCCAAATGGCCCCGTCAGCACTGCTTGGTTCTTCGACCACCTCGCCACGAAGGAGGATGTGAATGTGATGGTAACCGAGGAGGATTTCCTGTCTGCTCAAGGAGAGCTTGTGCCAAGTGTTAGGTTTGTGCCCACCTCATTCTCCATCCTATCCTACCTCTTATCTCCCCCTCTTGGTGACACACCATGATACTAACCCCTCGCAGTGCCAAGGAACTCGAACACTTCGAGCGCATCCGTCAAACCTTCGAAGCAGTGGACAAGTCAAAGCAAGACCCCGCCGCTGCCGCGCCACAGACTATCGCAGAGGCAATGGAGGCATTTAACCTAGGCGGCTCGGCCACACCAGAAGAGGCACCGACCACGAATGGTGACAGTCACACAACCGGCAGTATTCACGGTCGTATCAAAGGCCTGAACAAATGGCCAGGAAGCCTTGTCCGCAGCACCAGCGGCCAGTCAACAACCAGCAGCAAAGGCAAAGGAAAGAGCGTCAGCAAGAAGGGAAAGTCCCGCACTGGTGCGGGATCTGATGGATCTGTTGATGGTGACGATGAGGATATGGCAGATAGTGCCAATGCCGAAGAGGATGAAGACGAGGATGATTACGTCGTTCGGACTGATCACTTGAAGAACCCCATGGAGGAGGTTGAATAGAAAGTCTGGCACTGTCCGTATATTTTAACGTGCCGGCACTGTTCAGCTGGCCGACCAGGCGGCCTTTGTATCTACTATACTGATTTGATATACCTATTGTTTATCTGTACATTTCTAATCTTTTTCTCTGTTATTACTACCTAGGTACACACCCTAGCCTTCTATCGTGATCAGCGCACGTAGGTCAACGCTGCGGTTCTAGACAAGATGAAGTTTTAGATCTTTCAAGCAGCGATTCTTTCTTAATTGACAGGACTATCGTTTTCTCATTTCGAATTTCTGGTGCCCACTACTTCAGGAAGCGCAAAGAACTGGATTCCTTAACAAGCTTATTCGCAGAATGGCAGGTCAATGAAAACTCCAAATCATCAGTTAGTTTCATTGTCTCAGTAATCATGTCGAGGATTTCTCTTGGCAATCAGTCCGATTTTCCCAAACAATGCGACTCATTTGCTTTCCACATGTATTCCGGCTTTTGGGCTTTCTGATCAAGGATCGGGCTCGAGAGAGAATCAGGAATAGATCCATGACCTGGCTGCAGAGCAACTCAATCACCTCGTCATAATAAATAGTATCTTTCTTCAAGCCTTCCTCCCCTTTGCCTGTGGTCACCCTTTATGGTCGCCACTGCATTGTCACCATTAGTGAATAGAATGATCGGCAGATCTTACTTTTGTCCCATTTGTTCTAAGATTATTAGCAGCCACATACATCCCTGAATAGCTGTATCGAAAGCAATGTCCTCCGCCGTTGTGCTGCTTGCCGCCATAATGTCTTATTTTCTGGATGACCAGCTAACTGGCCCACCGGCGTAGTAGAACACGAAGGCTTCAATTCTCTTGCACCATTCCATTGGTCAGTGTTAGCTAACACTCATGCACTCACTCCGGATATGCTCCATCATATCAGAGTGGGAGCGCGCATGAAACACGCGACGGTAGATGACCACCTTCAACTCGGTATCATCCACCTCGGTGGAAATTCCTATAGCCTTTAGTTGCTCTTCGGTGAGGACGTCCATGTAGTCTGCCCAAATCGAAATACATCTTGCGCACCAGTGGAGTGCGATCTCGTCATTTCATTGAGGTACGGCCGTCCATTTCGGGGCATATTGCCATGACCTCCAGTTGTTTCCCTGTGAACTCGTCTGCGAAAGGTTCCCAAATGGTAAGAAATCCAGCACACCAATGGAGTGTTACCGCATCGTTGCCTCGGGGAACGACCTTGGCTCGCATCGCAGGAATAGTCTGCCCAGATCGCCAGTTCGGCCTTGTCCACGACGAGCTCACTGAAAGCCTCCAAACAATATAGTATATCATAGATAAATATAGTAAACTTCTGCTTCCCCACTGGCGTGTTTGTCATGTCAGGTCGCAGTCTCGCACTTTCCGATTCGCTTCCCTCCACAAATTTGGGGTTTGTGTCTCTTTCTCCTTGTCTCTTCTTCTTACTTTTTCTCTTCGCGTCTACCTTCTCAATCCCTTCCATCAACTTTCCATCCTTCCCAACCCCAAGGTTTGCGTTATTATCCACATAGAGTGTTTATCCCATCACTAACATGACACTGATAGGGTTCTTCCATTCGTTGACCGCGCGCGTTTCTCCAGAGGCTTCTGTTGTTGCCTTCTCTCCAACAAATTCAACTTCACATTCTTGTGATTTGCACGATGTCCCGCAGAATGCCTTTCACGCTGGACCCGGAGCAGTTGTCCTGGGGACAGGCTTTTGCCAACAGCTGTGAGCCCGCCACGCTGCTGAAAGTCCTTGCAAAGAGCCCCCGTAGCCTAGAAACTGGAATCATTGATATCGAGGTGAAGCCTATTCCAGAGGTCATCAGACCGAAGGAGAAGCCTACGAAGGACTTGGGGAATATGAGACATCTTCCGAACGAAGTCGTGGACATGATTGTCAACAAATTGGACATGCCTAGTGCTATCAGTCTGTCATACGTCAACCGCATCGCCAATCACTTTGTGCAGCAAAGCCCGGTTTCATTTCTGAGGCAGTGGGCCCCCGGCATATCGAGGATTCTTAAAAGGACCCAGATCCATAAGAACTGGAGCATTCGTGAGCTTAAAGAAGCAGTTCTCCGTGAAAAGTGCGTGGTATGCGGCGATTCGTGTGTTCAACTCTACCTTCCAACGATGGAGCGTATCTGCCACCCATGCGTGCACGACAACCATGCATATTGGTGTCTCCCCGTGGAGCAGGCAGCCTTGATCTTTGGCCTTGACCTACCCGATGTCATTAATACTCAAATCATGTACCTGCCGCGGCTGAGCAAGGATGGCGTTGATTTTTTGGACGATCTTGGTGCCTGGGTTGTTCCTGTTAAATTGGCGCTGACCAAAGCCCTGCAGAGGTATGGCACCCGCAAGGGTATTAAGCGTGCTGTGGAGGGCAACCAATCAGGTACTGACGAAGAAGAAGAGCATGGTAACACCGATGAGGAAGAATTTGTGATCGAAAATGGGCATGACATCTATCGCGCTGCTTCCCTGGATATGCCCACCTCTGTCACAATGCGTTTTCTCGTGTCATTGGGAAATCATCATCGGCATGCTTATCACCATGAAGTTACCTGTCGGGTGCCTGTCGTCAATCGAGACAATACGCGCAAAATTCTTTACACGTGCCGTGGCTGCACTGCCATGCTCACGCATCCCAAGATAGAATCAATTTCCAATAGCCACATGAAAATGATGGGGCTTGACCCTGACCTCGACAAGTCTGAGCGATCGTTTGTGATCTTCCGTCGCGCCTTTCGTGTGTGGACTGTGGCCGAGATGATGGAGCATGTTCGAACCGAGTGCATTGGGGGTTGGGTCCTGCTGTGTGTTGAGAGTCGGGAAGAGTAGCCATAGGTAACTCTATCGCCTTGGATGCAAGAAGTGATGCCAGCCAGTGATGGACAGCGGAGTTGGAGTAGGAGCAGTTGGGGTCAAGGGGCTTTTGGGGTCGTTCAACGGGCTGTATTTGCCGAAACAAGCCATGACTCGCTATTTGAACAATGAAAGGTTGGAAGATTTGAGGATTTCAATTTCCATGGACGATATCAAGATGTGGTTTGGGAATGGGGGAGATGGGCCAACAATGTATGTGCGTGGCCGATCAATGGCGAATTTGTTTTCCTTTGTTTTATGTAAACGTACCCTTCAATTCTCACAGATATTTTGTTATCTTTTTCCTTTCCTTTTCTCTCTCTGTATCTCCCTAAAAGGAAGGACATCTTGGCTTAATATCTATGTTTAGTTCTGAGTGGAGTGATTCGAAATACCCCTGGAGAACAACGTGTACATATGTATTATTTTGGAGAGCAAAATTACAGATACCCAGTCATAGGAGATGATACGCTTGATGGAATAAGGTCAAGATCAAATCTGGAATGCTCCACATTTTGCTTCTGCGGGTACTGATAGACAATCCAATACCCATATGGCAGATAAGAAAGAGCATGCCATCGAAAAGGAGTCCACCCGGTGAAGGCAAGAGATATCTATCTTTTTACATAGGAGAATTTGTCTCCAGAGATAGCAACCTTGTAAGGTTTGCGGCCCACCGCTCCACATATATTCGCCTCCCTGAGCATCTCGGCCCAATGCATTGAAACAGGGACAAATGCCGTACAAGCCTACAACAGTAAAGCCAAGGGTGTTGGCCAAGCCATGAGAACTTAATATATCTTCATTTATCACGCATATCACGCGCTATATTTTCGCATTTATCCGTCTCCAAAGATCGTCCACTTCCCCCAGTGACATTGACTTCCCGCTAGTCAGCATGTGGGTCCATAATTGACCAATGATACGTCGATCAAGGCATAAGCACTGGGGCTGCCGCCGCAAGCCATGGATCGTCGGACCGCGACTTTTTCCAAGGGCTCGGTGGCCCGATGATATCGCAGCTTGTAACTGGCTGAAGGTGCCGCTCTCGGTCCGCCGGGCCAGTCACAAGCTCGGCTGGTTATCGTTTCCCTGAGTTCCGAAGGTTCTGTACCCCAAATCAGTTACATAAAACTTCTCCGTACTCGGTCTAATTCCCCCGCGGGGAGCCAACGGTAGCGGAGAACGCTGTGAAGATTAGTAGAAACTGATATTCGAAATTCTGTCGTCATGTTCCATCCGGGGCCTGCTTAAGATCCCTGTTCCTCCTTGCCTGATCTTTTTCTTTTCATCCACTTGTTGCCTGTGGTACATACTCGCCATGGACAAAGACGAATACAATAACGATGATGCTCAGCTGGCCCAGATGGGTCATAAGTCTGAGCTGAAGCGAAACTACTCAATGATGTAAGTGCTACAACTCAACACGGACTCCTGGATTGTGCTAACCTCTGTGTTCATTCGTGAAGTTCGATGCTGGGTCTTGCTTTTGCCATTCTAAATGTAGGTGACGCGACCGGCAGCATACCAAATTCCATGAGAATCAACAATTGACACTGGACAGTCCTGGACCGCTTTGTCGGCGAGTTTATCGCTCAGTTTGCCCTCGGGAGGCAGCACTAGTGTTGTCTGGGGTATGTATCCGCTCGGCTCTCTGTCTAATTCTCATAATCTAGGGCTGACATGAATTTCAATAGGTCTTATTACAGCAGGAATCTGTAATTTGTGCATGGCCGCTTCCCTAGCCGAGTTCCTTTCTGCATACCCCACCGCCGGAGGCCAATATCATTGGGTCGCTGTGACTTCATGGAGAAAATGGATGCCAATTCTTTCCTGGATTACGGGCTGGATCAACTGCTCTGGCTGGGTTGCGCTGGTCGCAACCGCTGGTCTTTTGGGCAGTCAGCTCATTCAGGGTGTAATCTCTCTTATGAACCCGGTACGTTATTCTGGGCTACAATATCGATATATTTGACTGACTTTCAGATCTAGAGCTATAACCCCCAGCGCTGGCACCAATTTCTAATTTACTGCGGCTACAACATTATTGCCTTCCTTATCAACGCCTTTATGAATAACCTTATGCCTTATGTCACCAAGGCCGCTTGTGAGATACCCTGTATCGAGCTGTCGGGGATCTTCTGCTAATTCCCACAGTCATCTGGTCTCTGACAGGATTTGCCGTCATTTGCATCACCGTACTTGCATGTGCCTCGCCGAATTATAACTCCGCAGAGTACGTCTTATCTGGTCGACAATTCCTTGGAACAAAAAGACTGACAAAGAACAGATTTGTCTTCACCGATTTCATTAATCAAACAGGATGTAAGTTTCCCGGATCATTATCAATGTTTCTTGAACTGACTCTTGCAGGGCCTGATGGAGTTGCGTGGTTGCTTGGGGTATGTCTTTTGGTGGGAGAATTCATGAGCATATCTAACATATTCATAGCTTCTGCAAGGCGGTCTTGGTGTTACTGGCTTTGATGGTGTCGCTCACATGATTGAAGGTAGGTTCCAGAAGCTTACACTTAATCATGGTTCTAAGGCTAATGGATTACAGAAATTCCCAATCCCTCGGTTGAGGGACCTAAGATCATGATTTATTGTGTCGGTATCGGTACCGTCACTGGAGCAATCTTCCTTATTGTACTGCTCTTTGTGGCCGGCGATATCGAACCAATTATTAATTCTGCGGCAACTCCGCTCCTTGCAATCTTGAAGAATGCGACTTCGAGCAATGCGGGCGCTATCTGTCTCTTGATGTAGGCCTCACTGCTCTTCCGTCGCTTTTTTATTGTACTGACACCCTCTCAAGCTTCCCCCTAGTCTGCGCTCTGTTCGCTGCAACCGCTATTATGACCACCAGCAGTCGTATGGTCTATGCCTTCGCGCGGTACGTTATTATGGGCATTTTATCTTTCGAAATTAGCCATTATACTGATATTAGTTATAGTGATGGCGGTCTCCCTGCTTCTCCCTTCTTCGCTCGTGTTCACCCCAAACTAGGTGTCCCCTTGAACTCGCTATATCTCAATCTAGCCCTCATCACTATCTTCGGTTGTATCTTCTTGGGTTCATCCAGGTAAGCATATGCATAACACGTTATCCTGGATATTGCTAACATCTCCAAGTGCTTTCAATGCTATTATCTCAGCGTCGGTGGTGCTGCTCGGCATCTCATATGGAATGCCAATTGCAGTGAACTGCTGTCGAGGAAGAAGAATGCTACCAGAGCGCTCATTCAACCTGCCAGAAAGCGTTGGCTGGGCCCTCAACATCGTAAGAAATCTTCCCTACAGTTTTGCTGAAGCTATTACTGACTCAAAATTCTCAGATCTCGCTGGTGTACATTGCCCTGACTACTATCCTCTTTCTCTTCCCCCCTGACCTGCCTGCCACTGGTAGCAACATGAGTAAGTTGGCTCTCTCTTTTTTGTGATGCAAAAGAACAAAGCTAATTCGACGTGATAGATTACTGCGTTGCGGCATTTGGTATTGTCTTTGTCATTTCTGTCATCCAGTGGTTTGTAGATGGACGCAAGAATTTCGTCGGTCCCCGTATCCAAATGGAAGTCTTCAATGGAGAGGTTGGTGCTCAGCCAGAGCAGCCGATTCCATTTGTTGAACGGCACAAGGATTAGCGCTGCAAATGGTCAGGATGTACATATAGTGTAACTTTATGCCGAGAAACCTAGAAATAGAATTCCTCGCAAGCCAGGCAAACTATCTCAATGATACAAGTTTCCATATCTAACAACTGTTGGTGCATGTCTGTGGCTTCTATTGGAATTATTCATCTACCATAATTGTATATTTCCATCTTTCTGAAGCAAGCTGTGTAGCAGCTGGAAGTCGTCCACTCCCGCCCGACTGGATTCATTGGGTTATCATGTGACTAGATTGATAACCCAAATTTTCCTACGTCATATCAACTTCTACTTCACGTGACGGTTTCCCAACAATCCCATCCAAACAACTACTACACACGGCCTCACTCATCGCCACGATGTTTACTGTTCGATGGCCATCATTACCGTCGCTTGGCTTGTTTTCATCCCCACCAACTCAGGCGATTGATCTGCCCCCGGTCAACGTCCATGAAACCGAGACAGCTCAAGACAAGTCGGCCCGGGCATTGAAGCACCTATTGAAATTGAACCATGTCGAGAACTCGTTGTTCGACTGTCGGAATTTCCCTAACCAGTTAATACATGTGAGTGATCTGCAGTGCCTTAGTAACAAAAGCTTCTTATGTATGCATTCCTCGTCATTGGTCCATGACATTGACGCTGCTTGTAGCTCTTGAGCTCCTCCTTTCTGCAAGGGGCAGACGCCGATACTTTAGGCCGGATATACGAGGAGGAAGTGTCTGATCTAGTTAAATGGAAGGAATCACCAGCGGAAATCACTACTCTTGACTGGCGAGGCCACCTGGGATGTCGAGGGTGGGTTGCTGGGCTTGTCTCAGCCTTTCTCCAGCTTAGGACTCCTCGCTAACGCTAAGCAGATTTGATCGAGCTTTCGTGGACTTTTTTGAAGATCAAATGGTCCACTGCAGCTATGACTGGAAGGAAGTTGTGGCCGAATACCTGTTTACCGGCAAAGAGCCCATGTTTGACTCTATAATGGCTTCTCGTATGTCTTCATGCTCCCCGAGAACGCTGGGCTTCACTTTGCATGCGCTAACCATGTATGTAGTCGGATTACCATTGATCCATCTCGCATACGCCTTTGAAATGGACAGTCGTGAAATCGCAATGGAAGCACTCGCCCTTGCAGCAACTTGCCATAATGACATATACAAGTCCCTGGAGGACACTAAACACTCGAAAAACGAGGCATCATATGAATCAAAGTCACTCTTTGCAATTCTCGACCTGGTCCAGAAAGATGAGGACTTAGATGGCCTCTTTCCCACTCCCGGCAGCGACAACCTCGATACCCTTTTCGTTAGCCGCAACGCCGTACTTCTCAACCACTGGAAGGCATGGAAGATCGAGAATCCAATTGAACAGTTCCGCGAGAGCCAGGAGCTTGCGGCTGCCTTGCTAGTTGGAACAGCTGCAGGCGATTCGACCGGGCATTACGATTGGTTCTTCGCTTTGAACCTCGCAACCAGCCACGCGGTCCGTATCATGCTGCCTTTCATACCCCCACAGTTCCAAATTTCTCTTCTTCGACAATGGTGGTTAATCTGTGTTGGCATCTACGTCGCGCAACTGCGGCCCGAGATCAAAATGGACCAAATTCGGAATTATGATCTGAATGGAAAGGACTGGGAATGGGTCGCTGAGAAAGCTGTCAATGGTGAATTCTCATCCAATGTGTACTTTGTCAAGACCACCCGAGCACTGAAGGAACTTGCCTCGACTTGGGGCGATTCCGATAGCTTCTTCTTGAAGGCTGCCGTGCGATTTGTGACTGAGTTCAAGCGTTGGCGTGGTAACTTTGTCGGATATGAGCTGTAGGCTTTGTTCATGTCTTTTTTACTCCACTCAACTCAAATATATATACAATTTAATGAATAATTGAAGAATATATATTGATTGATGACCGCTCCTTTGGACGCTATTATTTGAAGTTACGTATGGGGTCACGTGTAAATATTGAAGTTGTTGACTATTTGCACTGTTTGCATTTGAGAATCGCGATCGTGAACCGAGATCACCACTGACATCAACTAATATCCACTAAGCGCAACATGTTTCTCATGGCCTTAGACAGTCAGAAATTCTCAGGTCTGCGTGATTGCTAGATAGTCCCCCCGTTCGTTCACTCTCTTCCCCCTTACCCTTCTGGCCTAGGAGCATCAAACACCGCAAGTCATCGAACACCATCCCTGCCTGGGACACATTCGAGCGTGCACAACCCCCACAATGCAGGATACCGATGTACCCCTCTATCTACATGCGGAGTTTCTACCAAACATTCGCCAGATAACCCTTTACGTATCCCTTCCCGGGACTGCAAGATTTGATGGAATCCGACCAGATATCCAACTCTCAGAATCAAGAAAAGCAGTCACGGTCTCCCTATCAAAACCATTTGAATATGTCACAGAAACAATCAAACTACCAGCACGCGTTAATGACGCGTCTCGGCGCGTGTTGAAAACAGCCTCTGGGCCAGCAACAAAATCAGATCCCAATGGCGCTGGGGATCCCAGCTACGATTTTTCTTTCCGCATGCAGGTCGACCCCGACGAAGAGGTGCTGGCGCCTCGGGATGAACTAATCGATGAATTTGCGCCCTGGACAGCAGAGGAAATGTCGTCGTCGACCCGTATTCGTTGTCGAGAGTGTAACCGAGTTTTTCTTGATTCCTCGTTAATATCCCAGTCAGTTGATCAGGGAACAGGCGAAAGCCCTACCCCGGGTTGGATTTGGAAAGACCTTCCAAGTGGCAACTGGGCTGAAATGATGGATTTCTGGCATTGCCACAAACCTGACCCCCATGAAGGCCACGAGAAAGACGAGAAAGACACTGCGCTCGAGATCGAGGAACAAACCGCACAGACTAAAGGATATGGTGCGGATAGCCACGTTGTGGCTATTTCCGGCACAGTGTTTGTTGATATTGCCACTTTCCTTCTTGCTGAAATAGACTGCACAGGATTGAAAAAGGTAAGAATTTTATATCCCTCTCTTATTCTCAGCATCGTTTTATCCTGTTCTTTATCCCCTGGAACCGGGCAACTTAGAAGGGGACCACCCAGTTATCAGTGGGGTGGCCTCCGATACAATTGCCCAAGATGGACGAAATGCACTTTGTGTATGTGCAATCCATGGCGAATGTGGTACTCTCATAGGAACAGGATCACGGACTAGACGGGTAGTTATCCTCTCTTCGCAGATGGATTTCGCTCGTTGCGTTTGCGATAATGGACTTGCGTGAGCTGCTTTCTCCCTGTTTTGTGACTCAAAGTGTTCTCTGTTTTCAGCGCCGGCTATCTCAGCAGTGGAGTGGGCGTGATTACAAGAGTCACATTATATTATTCTCCTTGTGTGATGTGATGTGAGCAATATCTATATAATCGTGAACTTGAATGCAATGCCTTTCCTTTCACTTCCAAGTATTTTATTCAGCGCAATAGTTACAATTCCCGTTACAATCACAATTTGCTGACAAGCAATGCAATTCAGGGCAACGATGAAGAGAAAAAATCGAACATTGAAGTCTCAGCACAACGAACCCTCGACTGCGCAAACTGCAATTCCATAATCGGCATGGAAGATCCAATCGCTAAGGGATGGCGACTCCTGAAGGCCAATGTATCCCTGAATACCAATTCGCCCAGCTGTGAGGCAGACATTGCAAAGTGGGAGGTCCACCCAGCAGAAACTATCGTTGCTGCACAGTTACTTGAATTGATCGAGAGAGAAAGCGCCCGGAGATTCGTCGTTCATTGTGGCCAGAAGAGCGGTCTCGTGGTAGGTGATATTCCATTCCACTCCAATTTCTTCCGAATTTGAGGCATTGTAGAGAATCAAAATCTATAGATGACACCTGCTAACGAATATTGTACTTGGCAGCTTTGGGTCTTCAATCCAGACATGCGATACTCGAATTCCAGCGCAGGCCGTAGTATCATGGCTCAGCAAGCGATGAAGGTATTCTACCAGAAGTCTCCCGATGTGGATGAGCTGCTCCATCCGGAAATTGGGAATCCCTCGCCCTTGTCGGTCGAAGAGTTGGAGTTGCCATCTATGATATTTGAAGCAATGTCACAAGCGTTGACTGGGAGTAACGAGATGCTCCCACTCTCTGCTAGGAGGTTTAACGAGTGGCAAGTTGGACTTCTGAGTCGTTTCAGGCGCGAGAAAGCTTGAGTTCTTGGGCTTTTTTGTATGATACAAAGTAAGAAATGTATGCGGCAGATCTAGGCTGATAATGCAAGCATGATACTTAAATTATTCATTGTTATCCTTTTCTTCTCAATTTGGGGTTGAAATTATCGTAGCCACGTGTTATTCTAAATCTGAAGGCTTCCAGCGCCCCATCTAACCATCAAAGGGTGTCTCAAAGGGAGGCTCAGCCTGGGGTGTGAGACGAGCGATGTGTCGGCGCTGGCCATCCTCCCAGTCGAAAACGGCAGAGTGGCAAGCCACACGGTTCTGCGAAGGTCAGCGTCTTTTCTCATATTGAAGAAAGAGCAGGTCGGTGCTATAACTTACATCCCAGACGACAACGGTACCGGCTTTCCAGCGAATACGAGCCTGAAGGTCCTGCGACAAGGCGATGTGGTCGTACAGGAACTTGAGGAGGTGGTCTGATTCCTCTTTTTGTATCCAACAATGTAACGGGTGACTATGCGACAAGAACGGGACATGTCAGATTTTCCAAGTCTTTCACCCAATGTGTTGATCCAAACTTACACTGAGGGTTCACGTAAAGTGCCTTCTCGCCAGTTACCGGGTGAGTTCGGACAATGGGGTGCTCCGATGTAACAGGATCACGGCGGGCAATACCACCGCCATTCAAACTAGCATTAATCTGCTCGAGACCGGAGTGTACAGCCTTCAATCCGTGCAGTCGTTCCCGGAAGCCAGGCGACAGACGCTTATATGCCTGGACCATGTCGGCGAACAGGGTGTCACCACCTGTGGTGGGGCCGTCGAGCGCATACAAGAAAGTTGTACCTGGGGGCTGCTTCTCGAAGGTGACATCCGAGTGCCATGTAATAGTATTGGTGCGCTGCTTCAGGAAGTTATCGCCGGTGCGGTCGTCAGCACCACGGAAGACAAGGTGGATTTCTGGGAAGCCCTTGGGTGCCCCTGAGGTCTGGTGGATGTGGTGTCGGCCAAAGTAGCCGGCATAGTCGACAACCTCTTGAATCGGGCGGGATGCGAAGTCTTGGTCGCGGAAGGCTGTTTTAATTTGTTAGACTCGAAGGTTAAACGAGGGATGGAGATCGAAGCAATGTCTCCAATTACGTACCGACGACTCGTCGCTGTGCAACATAGAGGGCCAATTGATCTTTGCCCTTGTCAGATAGTTGGCTTAGTTGCACGCCATGGATCTCAGAGCCAATGAAAGGAGTGATCTGGTCGACCTCAACTTGGCCCTTGGGCAGCAGGTCTGGGAAAGAGGCGTCGGCATCTTTGCCGTGATCGTAGTGCTCGAAGAGCTCCAGAGGAGGATATCTGGAAGTCTATTAGATATGATAATCATAGGGATGTGGGGCGGCATTAGGGCTGGGGTAGAGGCACACCTTTCTGTCTCATTATCCCAAACGGGCAGATATTCCGGATAGGATACAGGAGGCACCTTGTCTGTGCCCCTAATCTCTAGCTCCTTTTCGATCTTGTATCCAATCAAGTTCTCCTTGTTCTGGCCGCCGTCCGACTTTAGCGGAAGCGCAACAGGCGGTGCCCGAAGGCCCACTGTCTCAGTGAGGGAGGGAGCCATGTTTTAGGATTGATTTTCAGAGAGAGAGAGAGAGAGAGTGTGTGTGTGTATATATTGCCTCTGTGATCAGATATGATTTCTCCTCATCTTTTTGGTCTCGTATCATTGAGAGTTAACACCAATATATAACCAGCTCGGCACGATCAAACCGAGAACACGAATTGCGCCATCATTGCGGGGGTTTGCGGTACTTGCGGGACGACAAGATGCCAATGTAAGCTTTTCGCGACCGTCGCGAGCGAGCCGACGAGCCTGCGGGGTTGTGCGAGGTGGTACTTTGTATATTGTATAGCTCAGTACAATATAAGCGTACCAGTCCCCTTTCAAAGTTAACATGCTATGTTGGTCGAGCATGACGTGATAGACAAATGGCGTGCGTCCACTGACAATCGCCGTCATTTGAGAAGAGTACGAATTACTCGGATATACAAAGTACATCGATGTTCGGGATATACGATTCGTGTCAAAATCCACTATGGCGTGATAGATAACTCCCCTCGCGTAACATTATAGCAACATTTTGGAAATACTTGCTTTTTGGCTTTGACTTCTACTACAATTCAATGCTATTATCATGTTCGATGACTTGCAATATAGCGTCAATGGTTTCAAGGGGGAATATTGAACAGATGCCAAGACAAGGGTACAATAGGTATTCCGCATTCCATATACAGTACGGAGTAGTTAACATGGCATAGAGTATCACGTACTCCGTTCAATACAATGCTAAACTTCATACTCCGTAACTCATGTAGATCTCCATGAAACAGGGTGGATTCTGCGGAACACCCCTGCTTGATATGGCTCCGCCCACTCGTTGACTCTAACGTCACTCCCACTACACTTGCGTGATTCAGCCAAGCCAAAACCCAACTAGACGACATCCGTCGGCTCTTCGTCTATTTTCGAATACTAATCGCTAATTGCATGAAATCTCTGCTATTTGAAAGGATTCCCATCTACGTTATCACGATCCTGCAGAAGGCCCTTACGACTTCGAGCCTAGGCCGCCTTGAGTCCACGTAGTCAGCCCTACTAGGTCGTAATTAGGACTCTAAATCACCCATGCACATCATTTCGGCAGTTCCACAACTTTCTCTTATCAATGTTGTGACTTTTACCTTTTCACCTGGCCCACACGTGCAGAGGCCAATGCGACACATCTGCTAAATATGGCGTGATAAGTAAATATCAATGTCGCCTTGCTGCCTTTATATGAATTAATGCCCATCCAACCCAAGCAAAGCGTCTCTTCTTCCATTTGTGATCCGAGTTCCGATCCCGATACTGCGAGATGACGGTTGAAGAAGCCAATAAAACGGCCTCCGATGCCTCGGGCCTTGACTCTAAGGCTACGCCGAGAGTCTCATCCGCCGAGTCTTCGTCTTCGTCGACATATGACGGTCCTCGCGCCAAGCAGACCGACTGTGCTTTCGATACTACTGAGGACCCGCGGTTCTACAAGCCCATTCCTGAATATGAGGGTGCCCATCGCTGGGACCCGGACTTTGAGTGGACAGAGCAAGAAGAGAAAGCCGTTGTCAGAAAGGTATGAGTTACTGAACCTATCATGTATTGTGTTTATAGCAACTGACCCGTTCAACAGATTGACTGGCGCGTTTGCACATTTGCTTGTATGACATTCTTTGCGCTCCAGCTAGACCGTGGAAACGTCGTCCAAGCCACATCAGACAACATGCTGGACGATCTTGGCATGACCACAAACGACTACAACACTGGTCAAACAATCTTCTACCTAACATTTCTCTTCGCCGAGCTGCCTTCTCAGCTCATTTCGAAATGGGTCGGCCCCGATCGCTGGATTCCCGTGCAAATGATAAGCTGGAGTCTCATCGCCTCGTGCCAGGCATTTATTCAGAACAAGAGCGGGTTCTTCGCGACCCGCGCTATGCTCGGTCTTCTCGAGGGTGGCTTCATTCCAGACACCATCCTCTTCCTATCATTCTGGTACAAGTCCAAGGAGTTGCCTATCCGGCTCAGCTTCTTCTGGGTGACATATGAAGCAACCTCAATTGTCAGCGCTTTCCTTGCTTTTGGCTTCCTCCACATTCGCCAATCGGATGGCACCGGTGGCTGGCGGTACCTTTTTGCCCTGGAGGGTTTGATCACCGGTTTGATCGGTATCATCGCTGCATTCTGGATGCCGCCTTCACCAACGCAGACCGCGGGCCGGTTCCGCGGTAAGAATGGCTGGTTCAATGAGCAGGAAGAGAAAATTATGGTTAATCGTGTGCTGCGCGATGACCCGAGCAAGGGATCCATGCACAATCGTCAGGCCGTTACGCCCAAGCTGCTCTGGCAGGCCCTGAAGGACTACGACATGTGGGTCATCTACCTGCTCGGCCTGACTTGGATGATCCCTAACACACCGGCTACATCTTACATCAGTCTGGAACTGAAGTCGCTCGGTTTCAGCACTTTCAACACGAACCTGCTCACTATCCCGGCCTATATCATTTTCATTGTCAATCTGCTAGTGTGGACTTGGGTGTCTGAGCGGTTTAATCAGCGACTGCTGCTTGGTGTCGGTGCTGAGCTCTGGGCTCTGGTTCTGTTGATCGCGTTGGAGGTTATTTCTGAGGATGCTAGTCCTTGGGTGCGTTGGGTTCTGTTGATCATGTTGATTGGCATGCCTTACGTGCACGCTATTATTGTTGCAATTACATCGCGCAATGCAGGCTCTGTGAGGACGCGAACGGTTGCTACTGCTGTCTACAACATGATGGTGCAGGCCAGTAACATCATTGGTAACAACGTGAGTCCCTTGTTCCGGTTTCTTTGTGTGCTTAAGTTATCATAACTAACCATCACGTCCAGATCTACCGCACCGAAGATAAGCCGTACTACCACACTGGTAATAAAGTCCTTATGGCTCTTTCGGTGTGGAGTATGGCGATATTCATCATTGCCAAAATTTACTACGTGACGCGTAACAAGTATGTCAACCAGTGCACTCTGATTGGTCGAATTGCTTTTGCTAATCTTCGCTTCTAGACAAAATGCCGCCATCTGGGATAAGATGTCCAGCGAAGAGCGGTCGCGATACGTCGTTGAAAACAAAGACCTTGGAAACAAGAGGTATGTCTAGCAGTTGTCTCTTGGCTGTGCAACCGAATGCTAATGACCGCGCTACAGAGTTGATTTCCGATTTTTGCACTAGAGATACGACTACATTGTCTGGCACATATGTGATTGGGGGTATAGAGACATTACCTAGACTTTAAAACATCAAATAGAACAAAACAATGAGCTGAGCTCATTCGGCATCAATGTCATCAAATTGCGAAAGACGTACATTCATCAATATATCGAGTAAAAGCAAAAGTTATGTTCTTCTTACTCGCCAATGACATACTCACACCCCTCATTTCCAATCCAAACCTCATGAATCTTTCCAGCAGGAACATCAACCCTATCTCCAACTCCAAACGTCTCCTTTTTAACTTCCCCATTATGCAATTTAGCATTATCGTCAGGGTAAGTGATTGTCAGAGATCCACGGCGGATAAGGTGTGTTGTCAGACCGCCATGCGAGTGCGGGGAATAATGGGCGTTGCTGATGAGCGAGGTCAGCATCAGTACATGCATGCACCCGCAGATGATAGAAAGACCTATTTGCTGTGGGTAATTCAATTGGCTCCCTCATTTTGGGTGTATCCTCTGTAGGAAAACCATCCATGTACGTACCTTCTATCTGTCCAGGTGAAAATATGTCGAAACCCCCACTCGCGGACGAGACACTCGCTCTCAGTGCGTGTTCCGGTGGGATACTTTTCCGTCATGACGATTTGGCTTAGGATCTTCGAGTTCACTTTCTTGTGGATGCAATAAAATATACTAATGGAAGTTCAAGCCCGACGCATACGTGTGCCAAGTCACTCGGAGCTTGTCCCTTTCCGTTTTAGGGCTTATCTCTTGCCGCTTTACGAAAACCGAGGGAAGTACAGTTTTATTGGCCTCGTTCTAGCCTGAATTTGCAAAGACACCCTACATAATGACGATATGAGAGGGAATTGGAGGATATGACTAGCCCTGGAGAGCTTCATCACTTCGAGGTCTGCCTAACGTTGCACATAAACCGGGCCATTCCCCATGAACCCTCTCCAAAACAGCATCAGGTCAAATGAGAAAGCCCTCTGCGCCAAAGGAAGCTCGATACGTATCATAGCTATATTTACGTATATATATATATATAGGTTAGAGTTAGAGTTGTTCGTGTATGCACTTTCTATACATTTTAGGTATGGGTGAATGATGTCATATAATCTGGAAACTCCCACGTGGGGCTATGTACTATTTTGTATGCACATGTTGTATATGCAGGACAAAAGTACTTGAAGAAGCCCAATTTAATGTCAGTTGTATTTCTACCCGATCTGATAAAGTGTTGGTGGACTCGGCCCGATGGTAAAGATAGCACCCGATTATATTTGTTAACACTATATCGACTGGCGAGGGGAAAGAAATAATGTCGTATCTCATTATCAGGAAACGCTAAAGAAAAGAGAAACAGAAACACCATGGTAGAAACCTGTTGCACCTTTCGCCTGAGGTTTACCCGGTGTCACATAAGTGGTGTCAATCTCCAAGATATTCGCAGGCCTTCCGTGTATTCGGACATTGAATTCATTCTCGAGATTCAAGAGGGAGTCTCCATATGATTGGGAGGGGTTATGATGTGAAGGAATCAGGTCATATCCGGGAAGCATGGGCACATATGACTTCACACAGTCTTTTTCCCCATGATAAATGTGCAACACCGGACCTCAAGCCTATCATGCACAAGGTGTGTGACAGATGTGACAATTCTTGCCTGGGATAACCCAAACTTCTTTCCCTTGTGCTTGGCAACTTGGGCATCGCACACCAGGCATCTATGGGATAGTCAGTATATCCTGATAAAAGTAGTGGAAATACCACATCGATGAGGCGGCATAGGAGTACGAACCTTGGAGACGGTAGAGGAGTTTGAGCACACCGGCCCGGCACATTTGGAAGAGCAAGTCATGGTACTTTGGTAGGTATGTAGGTCAAGAAAGGATAGAGAAGGGTATGGATAGAGTTCTTTGCCGAAGCCCGAGGATAGCGTTTTGATTTCTCTTAGGTCGAAGTATGAAGATGGGAATAGGATGAGGAGGGGCCCTTATAAGGCCTGGAAAGCAAGGAAGGAAACCAAAAGAGAAAGAATAAATCTAGTTCACACTGGCTAATCAGAGGCAAAGAAAAGAATCAAAGAAATTAAAAAAACAATAAAAAAATAAAATTGCAATTTCAATTTCAAAATTAAAATATCAAAAACCTAGTTGGCAGTCTCGGTAGTTCCCGCTCAGCTGGGTCACTACTTTCTCTCCTCCAATGATATGAGCCAGTAACAGTAGATAGATGATAGATGTTCGTCCTGACGGCTTGGCTTTTTGCTGCACAGGCATAAGAGCCAAAAAAGTGAGCCAAAAACAGAGTCATCACGACCCCTTTTGTACGCCACTGGCCCACTAAAGCCAATCACAGCGAGGTCCTCGGCACCTCCCGAGGCCTCCTGGCCCTTTGAGTTCGTGGTGTTTGCTTTCTAAATCCCAAAGAATTAGCGATTCAAGGGGATCAGACAAAGAAATGGGTCTAGTGCGCCTCGGCAACTTGCATCAATTCACCGATACTTCAAGGAAAAAGGGGGCAGACTAGGATTGCAACTCTCAGCACATTTAAGAGTTGACGTATCAACCCCAGAACCCTATACAGATCCAAGATAGGTCTAGTGCTCGGTCATCCTCGGTCATTCTAGTGCTGTGATTCGTTGATAGTATTCGACATGGGTCCCGAGGTCCCCTCCATTCCTCAAAAGACGATCCGGCCCGATCATTGGCTGTATCACTATGGCCTGTTTGTTCCAACGCTGGCATATTATCGCCCTGTTGCGTATGCAAATTTCATGGAAGTGACGCATGAACCCCTCCACCAGGATCTGTCAAATGACAAATACCTACGGAGTACATGTACATCTGAAGAACCACATCGAGTTTTGTCGTTGATTCGCCAACTACTCCGTAGAGGCCCAGAGAATCCAAGTGGGAAAACAAAGGTAGACGTCTCATATTGCGATTCTTTAAGCGACGTAGGATCACCTTCGGCCACAACTTTATCGGGGGATTTACCGGTCAACTTGACTTATTTGTTAGCCCCCACTAGCCATGTTGATCAATCTGATGCATGTCGCTTGGCACGTTGATCGTTCTTAATGCTGCGCCTTTCAAGGTGATCTTGTACTGGTTTGACTCTCGGTCTCACCGATCTTCCTCTAAATGACATGAACCCCACGGTTGGGATTATGGCTCGCAGCATGCAAGAATTTGTTGGTTCACCTACGTACTATCTTACATTGGCTAAATGTCTTGAAGTCCAAGGCTGGGCTGCTACCCCACGTTCTTACGCATGTCGTGCCAACAGTCCTGTTTGTTTAACGCCATTATGTCCGTTGTATTCCATTTGCTATGTCACCGCTACTTTTTTTTCCGCGTCCTCTAGGTCTCATAGTAAGTACTCACATAGCTAAACTAGCAAAATCAAAGCGAAGACTATTCAGATATCACCCAAGTCACAGATTGCGATGTGTGCATCTACCTTGGCGCTCTTCGGGAAACCAGCATATTATCGGACCCTCTTTGATTATACTCATGCGCAGCATCGGTACAATGCATATCATGCGGCTAATAATTAAATTCTCTTCTAAAGTGATATATGCCACCAGCACGACACTGCATACAGCACGGAGTAGGGACCTTCATATGCACCCACTTCAGATGCCAATAGAGCCGCCTGGCTAAAACAAGACATGATCAACCCCAAGCTCGGCCCTTATGCCTTTATCCAGACACCCTCGGCGAGAAAGTGTAAAGGCCCAGACTAATGGGTTGTTTCTAGTGACTGTTTTCTGTCACCTGCGAAACTGTAACATCCACGCTCTGCACAATGTAGTCCAAAAAAGTCCGAAGAGTCCAAATGCCAACGTCCAATTGTTTCTGTGTAACGTCCTTGAATCAGATATGCACGCTGACTGGCATGATTGTATCTCACAATCCCGATCGCTAATCTGTAGCCTGTCACTTTTGACCATATCGAAATGAGGTCGAAATGAGCTTGTGATACGCATGCTGAAGGACTTGTCACATTTGTCAGATGCTGGGGTGCCGTTCTGCAACCTTTTTGTTCCTGATGCTCCTAATGTGGAAATGTGCTGTACGACATGCTGCCCAAACCCTGCCCAAAGACAAACGGGGGCTCTGGCGCTGTGTTTCTCTGAATGGCCTTCAAACTTGCTTTGTAAGATGTCACAATTTGTCGCATACATTACGCTATACTACTAACAAATCTGATGCACACTTCAGTGAGAACATCATCTGGGTAATTAAGTAACCCGCTTCACAATATTAACCAGCAAGATACCCCCAGTCTTCTCGCCAGCGCATTCATGGAGATGAACCAGCCGATAGCCCTCCCGCAGCCGGTCAAGTCGGATGCAAGCCCACGCAGCCAAGGGATCACGACCGATCTCGTCATCCTTGATCTTGAACCTAAAGAAAAGAAAACAGAATCGAGTCAGTCGCTTGTTTGTACATAGTGCTTGCATTCTTCGAACGTGAAACGCATTATAGGGCAGCGTGCATGATAGTGGGGTGGTGCTGAGGAAAACTACAGGTCGCCCTGCTGAGCCCAAGCCCACACGATGCATCGTGTTACGAAGGGGGAAGTCCGGAAGAAGCAAATACCAAGCCCAGTCGTCATGTTCATGTGATGCGGGCAAGTGCATATGTTCTTTGGCGGGTATCACAATGCAGGGTTTATGCCTGCATACTCGAAAACGAGCTCATATGATGGGGGGAGGTAGAAACGCAGCAAGGGGAAATGTTGCAGAGCAAGGGAGAGGACAAAGCACGAGGCAGTTTTCTCGATACATCGATGTAAGCAAGGAAGAGATTGAAGAGAAAGACTAACCGTAAGAAACTCAGCTCCTCAATTATTCCCGTCACGGTCGGGAACTCCAATTTCTGACCCTTGAAATCCGGGTTCCGACCTGATGAACTCTTCGTGCACCGCCTGTAGCTGCTTTTCTCTGTGTCGGAGCTGGCGTCGTCCTGGTCCGGGGCAACATCACCTTCCGGTTCTTCGACGTGCAGCTGGCAGTTCACATAGGGTTTGAATCCCCTCTCGCTGTGGTCGCCTGGCGGCAGAGAGAGATCTTGCGCGGCGAATATCTCGATTGAGAGGGTTAGGCTGCGGCGCTGAATGACATCTGTCGGAGATTTGCTGCTTCGGTAGCCAGAGGGCTTCAGTCGCCAGCCGTGGGTTCCCACAAACATCCCGTGGTTGAGCATCATGCCCTTATCTAGGTTCTGCCAGTTCAATGCTACTAGTTGAGCGCCACGTCGCCAGTAGAATGTTGGATCCAGGTTCGACGAGGTGACTCGGAATGCGTACGGGTAGATACGCATCAGAGATGTTCGGTTGTGCTCAAACAAGGCATCGCGATGGTTGGCATGGGCTTCTCGCGCTGCTTTCTCGGAGAGCGAGAATACATGGAGAGGAACTTTGGCCTCTATTGATCAAATTAGCATCGCCTTCATGACCATATCTACAATGATGCAGCATACCCGGTTGATCAAAATGACTGAAATGATATGCGCGAGTATAAACTGCCATCTTGGCCAGAGCGTCAAGAATCTTTGATGGCTTCGGCGACTGCTGCCCCGAGGACTTATCATCGGATTTCTGTGGCGTCAGAGCTTCTCCTTCGGGTTTCTCGTCCTCGCCGCTGAGTGGAACACATTTGCTCTTGATCAAGATCTTCTTCTTCAGATCAGATAGCGAGGGAAGCTTCCCCCATCCGGAGGAGCCTCTACCAGCAATCCTTTCCACGCCTCCAACATGATGTCAACCATCGTCTGTTGCTGCTCAAGAGACGCATGTACCTCGAGACTAATGACCAGTGGAAGGTCACTGGCAACAAATGCACTGTCACGGATTGTATAGCAGATTTCACGGAATGTAGTTCCCTTGGTTAGGGTATGGCCATGCAGAACACGGGGCTCAACGGGAACAGGCATCTGGCTTGTCGCGGTATCTTCGTCCGATGGTCGCTGGGGCGACTTGACGGATTTGCGGCGAAGGACGCCATCAAGTTTGGCTTCCAATTTGGACGCGACTGATTTTTTCGGTCCTTTGGCGGGTTTTTCCTGGCCACTTTTCTTGACCTTCATCTTCTCTTTCAGCTTGCTCCGCATACTCCTCCCTTCTTCCGTCTCTGAATCACTGCTGCTACTGTCGCTGCTTATCTCGCTGTCGCTTGATTTGGGGGTGTCCAATTCTCCATCCCAGACATCGATCTCGACGGACCTGCAGCCGCGGAGGAGGACCTGTTAGAGCATGAGTAAATCTTAAATTCCTGGTCCTGGCAAGTCCTAACATCCATGGAGCGTAAATGGCAGGATTATTCTGCACAGCATGAACTCACAGATGTATAGGCACTAGCAGCAGCGTCGCTGTACAGCTGATTACCCGTCAAATAGGTGTTGTGGCTCGACGAGATATAGTAATCTGAAAGAGGCGCGGAAAGATCCAGGCCTTCTTCTGGTCCCATCGCAGATGAGTTCGCATCTTTCATGTAGGCACGAAAGGCATCCAGAGAAGCCAAAGCGTCGGTGACTGGCTCAGGAGAATTGGCGACGGTGATGTCATGTTGCATTTCATTGAGGAAATAATTTGTAGTTGGAGCATATGCACCAACAGACTTGTAGATCTTCTGGATATGATCGTCCAAAGATGGGTGGAATTTCTCCACGGTGTGTGTCGGTGTCGTGGGTGGTTCGTGGAGTACTAGGTGTTTAGCACGGTCCACGAGTGATTCGACTTTCTCCATTTTGGACTGATATATTGTTAGTGGGCTATTCTTTTCCAATAGGGAATATGCCGTATAGGAGATGCAACCTTATGGACGTCGGGTAATACCTGGAGGGGTAGGCTTATTGGCGAAGGATTGCCCCGCTTGTTTTAGCGGATATGTCAGGTATCTGTTTGTGAATTTAGATCGAATAGAACATGAATATACGATGCACTCCGTACATGTAGAAATCACAATATGCGATGTGAGGAGAAAATCCCAATGTGACCCGTGCGCCCAAATCCCCCACTGCCAACGTGGCACTGCCTACGAAGTAACTATATCATTGTGGATATACAACATAGAAAGTGCGACTTTTGAGTTTCAACTTCAAAATGAATTCATGGTGTTTTTGTCCTTCGAGCACGGCTTGTACATGAAAATATGGATTTATCCAATACTACCTTGCTTCACAACTTCGCGGCTTCGTAGCTTCGCACGAGCCATGAAGTATCAGATTAGTATCAAGCCGATTAGCTCAAGGTCAAAAAGCCTCTTGATAAGCAACATTACATTCTTCTTTGTGCTCCGAGGCCGAAATTCCAGCTGATAAATCAAACCCCCGCTCTGTTTGAGTCGGGCCGGCTTATAAGTAGAACTACTCAACAGCTTGGAGTTCAACAATTTGAACAGCTATCTCAAGCTCAACTCTAAAGATATACAATCTACTTATATTACACAATGACCGAGTCCAACATCCATTTCTTCGATCTCCTATCTGTCCTACCAGGTACGAACCAGACCCGAAATTAGATGACCGCAGTGCAAACAGACCATTAACTCAACCAGGCCCTTCCAAGTCATGGTCTCCCAACACTCTCCGGACGAGAATGGTCCTTAATTTCAAGGGCATCCCTTACACCCAAAGCTGGGTATCATACCCCGACATTGCACCTTTACTCAAGGCTCATGGCGTCCCACCTGGCGAGTCAGCGACACCTTACACACTACCGGCAATCAGCCATAAGGGGTCAATAACGAGCAACCCAGACGGGATACTCATGGATTCCGAGCCGATCGCCATGTACATCGACAAGCTGTACCCGTCACCCCCGCTCTTCCCTTCCGGCGACGCAAGCTACTCGCTCGTGGTCGCCGTGCTGAAGATAATGAGCCTGATGTCACCGAGTATCAGGTCGCTGATTATTCCCAACGTTCCATCTGGACTGGATGAGCGTGCACGGGAGTACTTTATCCGGACGCGCTCTGCGGCTTTCGGGAAGCCGCTTTCTGAGGTCAGGCCGACGGACGAGGCAGAGTTGCTTGCTCTGTGGCAGCTTGTCGAGAAGGAGGCGGAGACGCTGATTAAGATGCTGAAGGGTAAGGATGGGAAAAAGGGGCCGTTTTTGGAGGGTGAGAGGGCTGGCTATGCGGATATTATTTTGGCTTCACTTTTGGCTTTTCTCGAGCGCTTTGACGGGGGTATCTTTGAGAAGGTTCTTGCTCTTGGGAATGGGGAGTTCAAATCACTGTATGAAGCTTGTTTGCCCTGGCTTGAAGGGCAGGGGGAGGAGAAGGAGTGGCCGATTCCCCAATAAGTCATATTTTTCGGGGATAGAGGGGACTGTTCGGGATACTCTGCGGCGAGCTTAGATCTGAGACAAGTATCATTTGATATATAGCACAATAGAAAAAACAAATCAATGTAATAATACATCCGGGGTGCTCCAAAGGGCCCGGTCTATCCAATATCCAATGCAATATCGAGGCGGTTATGGGCGCCTGCGGCACAACCCCAACAAGAAAAGTACAATCGCTTTCATGTGTTCCACTCGAATTGACATGGAACAAGCCTACAGACCGCGCAGGAAGTTGGACTCCTTAATGGCCTTTCGTCTGGCATCGCGTGCACTCTTGATAATCTCCGAGCGCTGCTCCAAGCCCTCGGTGGCATCGGCCATGGCATCCGCTGAAGGTGCGTCGCGGTTGTAGGGTGCGGGGGTGATATCGTGAGCGTGGTGGTGAGCGGGGATCTTAGCGGCGAGGGGACCAGTGCGAGCGGCCAGCTTCTTGTCGTAACGCTTTCGTTGCTTCTTGTTCAAGGCTGTGACAGGGTTAGCATCTTATGAAAAAATAGGAAATCTAGGAGATATCTTACTGCTTGGGTCAACACCGCCCTGCTTAGTCTTTGCGTCCTTGCTGGAATCTCCCAAAAGGTTCCATAGCCAATCTGGGTACTCGGAATCCTCCTTGGCGAAGACATCCGGCTTGTTCTTGAAGTAGTTGAGTCCGTTTAGTTTGGTTCCGGCCGGGCAGCTGCTCGGTGGGCGAACGGTAGTCGGTTTTGTGGAAGCTCCGGGGTTGACATCGGCGTGAACGCCTTCGGGGGTGCTCAAAGGTTGAGAAACACCCGGGGTAGCGGAGGAGATGGCGGACGGGGTTGTGAGGTCGCCGACCGTGGGTTGGCGGGGGGATGGCGGAGAAGGAGTAGCAGCCACAGGAGGGTTGTTATCACTGCTGTATGAGCGGAATTGGCTGCGAACCAGAGGAAGCTGGCGCGCGCATGCTGAAGCCGTCCGGATCACTGGCTGCTGGTTGAATCGGGAGAGCATCGTCGTGCGGCAGCTTTTGCAGATCATTATGGCGGGATAAATCAGAGAAAGACAGAGAATAGACTAGGACGATATTAAAAGGTTCAGTAGAAGGCACTGGGTGACAAGGAATCCCAATTGCGTTGAGATGCAATAAAACACGCGCGGACACAGCTGTCGCAGAAAACTGCGGCCATATTTGATGCCAAGACGGAGATCGGTCACGTGATAGATCAACAAATATGGTCTACGGCGTAGGGCAGCTTCAGTTCTTGCCACAAGGCTCTGGCCTGTTTATAGATTACATATGAGACGGATGAATATCTTCGGTATACCGCAACGCCCGAAATGTCTTGTCCTGGCGCCATCATCCAAACCGGTTGTGTAAAATGTCATATCACGTGACATCACACAGATTTGCACCACATCCAGTCAACATCTACGGATTAGTTCTCGACTACCAGTTTTCATCGAGAACCTGCTGCAAATTCCAAGGATCAAATGGGAACTTTTGTTAATTTGCATATAAATGAGAAAGCGACGTAGTTATATAAATGACTTTGTACACCAAAAGGAGAAAACGACACAGGGACCGACCGAGAATGCTCGCCAGTCATGCAACTCTGATCAATATGCTAAACCAAACAGAAAACAGACAATCATTATACTGAAACACATGCCTCTAATGGGCCATTGTTCCGGTGAACAGGTATATTAGGAACAGGCAAAAAGGGCAAAAAAAAAAACATAACTGTCATATCAAACCAACAGTATGAGGACGCGCTATGAAGACAGACCACTGACATCCAGGAAGTTGCAGATGTCCTGGCACGCATCCTTCAGGCTCTTTTCTGTCTTCCATTGAAGCTCTTCGGTCGACCGGTCGACGACGGCAACGCAGGCTCCAACATCACCTTCGCGACGTGGCGCGGCACGTCGAGGAATGGGCTTCTCGATAACAGACTCCATAGTGCTGACCACGTCCATCACAGAATTTCCCTTTCCAGTTCCGAGATTGAATGTGCGGAAATTCTCTGTCAGCTTGCCCTCATTGGCAGAACTGAGCGCGGCAATATGCCCCCGAGCCAGATCACTAACGTGGATGAAGTCACGGACGGCAGTGCCATCCTCGGTTTCCCAATCTGTCCCAAACATGGAAAGTTCGGAATACTGGCCGGTCATGACTTTGACAACGACGGGAAGCAGGTTCGTTGGTGCCTGTCTTGGGTCTTCGCCCAAAAGACCGGAAGAATCACAGCCAACGGGGTTGAAATAGCGGAGTGCAACAATGGTCCATTCGGGGTCTGATGCGGCCAAGTCGGCTAGAATGGTTTCACAGATCCATTTTGTGCGTCCGTACGGGTTGGTGATTCCAGTACATCCAGGTTGAATGGATTGTTGTGAGCCTTCGTGATCTGTGTAGAACTCTTCCTTGTGAACACAGAGTTCCTCTTTCAATGGAAGACCGGAGGTTGCGAGGGTTCCGTATACGGTGGCGGAAGACGAGAAGATGAAGGTCTTGATGCCGAAGTCTCCAAGGATTGTGGCAAAGTCGACAAGCCCGCTGACATTGTTGGAGTAATACTTCAGTGGCTTCCGAATGCTCTCCTCCACGGCTTTATAAGCTGCGAAGTGAATGACTCCGGCGATCCTCGACTTGGGAGTTCCCCACCGGGAGGGGAGCTGGTACTCCTCAAGCAGTGGCTGAAGAGCTTTGGTGTCGCGATAATCGTGTGCATGTAATCGCAGAGATGGCATCTTCGTTCCATTCTCCTCGTGATGCTTCTTGGCCAAGAGGCTGATACGGTCGAAAACATTCTCGAATGCATTGCTAAGATTGTCGATCACAATGACGTTATAGTTTGCCTTGAGCAGCTCAAGCGTGGTATGACTACCAATGAAACCGAGGCCACCAGTGACAAGAATGTGGCTTTGCAAAGGGATTCTGTGCAACAAGTCATGGAGATTGTCGAATGGGTCTCCAGCCTCTGTTGCTGGTGTGTCCGGGGCGATAGGAGATTGCACAGGACTGCTTGCGTCGGACCTTTGGGGACTGTCCGACCTCGAAGAAGAAAATGATGTTGGCTCAATCATGGCGTGAAGTCAACAATGAATGCCAGGTAAGTTATGCTACCACTGCAAACAAAGAGAGAAAATGTTCTATGTTATTATATGACCAAAACTAAGTTATCCCGATTCTTTGGTGGGCCCTTAACCAAGGTTTTATACAAAACAAGCGAGGTACCTGCGTTGCCTCACTCCGATTCTCCATTTGAGTTCATCTATTATGCCATCCTTCCTTGGCGAATGAGGATCTAGCACGGTCCGCCGGCAAAAATAGAAGAAAAAGAAACAAAAGAAACAAGCATAAGCGGAATAGAAAAAAGCACAAAGCGAGCGTAAGAGGGGCAGGCACAACGAACTGGAACAGAACCATCGGGGCAGGATGCCCCTTGGTGGGCCAGGCATACGGCTGGGCCTTGGGATATCATTCTGTACCTCCGAATGTTCTATGTTGTAAGTGCCTCCTGTACTCCGTACGTCAGGGTCTCAGCTCGAGCTAGTATAATAATGGAATTATTATCATTTTTCTTTATAACAATTTTTTTATTATTTATTTAATATTTTCTTTCTATTTTCGTTCTATTTTCTACGTCTCAGCCAAGACTCTTTCTGCATATGGTCGAGGCCCCAGATCCATCTTCGGCCGTACGTTGTAGGGACTAAGTCTCAGATCGTGTTGACCAGCAACTTCTTTCGATTTGGTATTTTAGTTGGCCACCATTCTTTGAAAAATTCATGCTCATATGTAGAAGCGTTCGCGAACCCACTTTCTTCGTTTCAACTTTCTCTCTGTAAATCCCCCAATATGTCTGATTCCGAAAAACACGTGAGCAAGCGAACATGTCTTAAGTCGAAGCGTTCTCGTTTCATCTTGGCAATCGTGGTCCTTATTGTGATTATTGCTGCCGTTGTTCCCTCCGTTGTGGTCACTACTCTCCGCAAGAAAAACAACATGGGTCCGAAAGCGAAGGTGTTCGTTCCACTTTACGTATATCCTGCGCCTGAGGCGTGGGCTCCGCTGGAAAATGTGTATGTTTCTAACCCTTTTCATCCCAATTTCCTTTCTCCCCATGTTTCCGGATTGCTTTCTATCCCGGCCGGCAGCCCGCCACACTATGTCGCGCCGTTCGGGCGCCAAAGCATACCATCACATATCAAAATTAAAAGAAAAGAAAAATACAATCGAGAAAAACAGCTGCTAAACGCCACAGGATATCTGCCCACCCCAATGTCAACTTTACCGTCGTAATCAATCCAGGAAATGGTCCAGGGCCTGACTCTCTCCCGGATGGCAATTACACCCGTGAGATCCCAAAGCTCACTGCTTACGACAATGTGCGTGTTTTGGGCTATGTTTATACCTCATACGGAAAGCGCAATGTTTCTGCTGTTCGCAAGGATATCCAAACCTATGCGGACTGGCCGACTAATTCCTCCGACCCCAACCTTGCGGTTCGCGGAATCTTCTTCGATGAAACCCCTCAGCAATACGATTCTCAAACCTTGAAGTATCTGCAAGGGTTGACAGACTTTGTCAAGGACCTTGGTCCTGATCAATTTGTGAGTTCTGCAATTCTTTCGAGATGTATTTTTACTTTACAGCTTATCCACTGCCCATACAATACACCCCCTGTCTCGCATCATCTTGGACCTATATTTTTGTTTCTTTATTTTGTTTTATCCGGTTTGGCCTTGTCTTTTCCCTCGTTTACTATTCCCATGTCACTTTCAGAGCTACACTATGGCTTTATTGACTTTTATCCCAACACCCCATATTCTACTCCGTACCCCAGCCTGCATCACAATGGTTTCCCCTTCTGGGATACATAGGCGAAGTCCATTGAGCTAACCAAAACTATCAGGTTGTCCATAATCCCGGCGCTGTCCCAGATTCTCGGTACCTTGCAACAGCTGATTCAACTGTTGTGTTCGAAGCTGCCTACACTACTTTCCAGGAAAGGCAAGGCGCCAAGCTGTTCACCAACATCGCGGACAGCAATCGTTCCCAACTTTGCGCCATCGTTCACTCGGTGCCTGAATCTGTTGAGGGCAAGGACCTTCGCAGTCTGGTCAAGCAGGTGCGCAAGGTTGCGGATGAGGTGTACATCACCCATCTCAGCACAGACTATTATGCCTCGTTCGGGGCCAAGTGGACTGAGTTCGTCGATCTGATGGCAGCTTAGGGGTATGAATTTCTGTTCTTAGATTACTCGCTTTAGTTTGATGTGCACATATTCTTTTTGGTATAGCTAGCATGTTTTCACATTTGGTTTAATGATTCTACGAGTTGATTTTTAGACTAATTTTTAGTCCATATGAATTTTCATGATCTGCGCCATAAATTGGAATGGAAAATTTTCTCTTTCGCCTTTTACCCCTTCAATGCACAATCGCTAGCCGTCTTTGTTAGAGGTCAGCTATACTTTTTAGGCCAAGGTGGAGTGGAGTCCAGGGTGGAGAATACATAGACGTATTGTGGTAATTTTCACTCTTTTTTTTACTTTTCGTTTTTTTTCGCATGCCAAGAATAAGATACATCAGTACATACCACTAAACAACAAAAGTGCATTTATTTCGACCACTAATGAAGTACCTGTCAATTGGATCATGTGGCAAAACAAAAGTATGGTTGGCTCGCGGAGCATTGTAATTTATCTAGAACCGGAGAGTAGGGCATCCTCCCCTCGATACGAGGTATAGGTATAAGCTAAACGTGGCTTAACCTGATCTGGCTTGATCTAACCTCAATGTTGACGATATAGAAATGCTCAAACATCTTCCTTTCCTGGATCTCAATCTAGACCATTGTTCTTTGAAAATGTCTCTGAGTTACCGCTCATCCGATCGATCTATAAGACCTGCAGATAATGTCCTGTAGACCCACAGCGAATGTCATTTCAAGGCTCGGAAAAACTCTCAAAATACCCCTGCAGGATTAGCTCTCAACTATCCTGGCAGGGCATATTAGACAGCCACCGTTTCAATTGGTGATGGACATCATCCTTTGTTCAAGATTTGGATATATTCAACTGGAACATTTTGAGACAGACTCTAATTTATTATACTAAGTCAATTTCTCAGCTAAAGTATGTTGCGAGTCTCAGTGTAAAACGATCAAAGACTGAAACAGCAGCGTGGAACATGACCTGGACAACAGATTTCGGGTATTGACGTTTACTATTGGTGTAGATCATCGCTATACATATTGTCCAAATTCAGACTCCCGATGCAACGCTGCGTTGGAACATGAACAATGTACGGAGTACTCCGTATGCATGCAGGTTTAACGTGGTTCAACTGCGGCTGTACCGAGTTACAAACCCGACCTGCCCCATTCCAACGGGGTCATATTCCAGGAACCAGGCCGGCGTGGGATGTTTTTACACCGAGACATGATACACAGCTGGCAATTTCAATGAACCCTTCACCGGCCACCCGTCCCCGGTCCCCGGTGCAATGTCAAATGCCACAGTCCCGGGCAATATTCCTCCTTTGCCCGGAGATGATTTGTATGCATCTTCCGCCTCTGTCATACCCCTGAAATTGAGCGCTGGTGGCGGAAGCCACTACCTCGTGGCATGGCCGGGTATTTCGGAAGGAAAAGATCGATCTATCTCTTGGCTTCAGGTAGCCGCTAGGGAGAACCGAACTAATACAGTAAGAGTATCGCCAATCACTCCTGTCATGCATCGCTGGTTCGACTCCATAGGGTCTTGAACTACTCCATAAATAAATTTGACTACTTACAGACTGAAATTAGTCGATCGCTGGGCGCTAACAGCATAAGTGTCAAAGATCAGCGTTTGGGGCAAACTCATTAAGGACACCGGGATGGGTTTTTGCTGCGGCACGGTCAGCTATGAACATGCATGGGTGGACACGTCTAAATCTGAACAAATTCCGAACTGTTCTCTGCGCGTGCATCCAGGTTCGAGGTTCAGTTCGCATGGCGTTCGCCATGCAGCCTTTCAAAAAGCCACCAATTTAAATCGGGCATTGCAATCGAGGTTATTCACGCCCGTTTTCGTCAACCATGGGTCGTAGAGGGTCCAGTCTTGAATAAATTTCGCCTAGTATGACCATCACCAGATCAAACTTTTCTAATCGATCCACCACCATCCCGCTTTGGGTGTTAGTTTCCGTTATAGCAACCGTGGGCCGTGTTGCAGAGATTTTTACTCCGTACCGGGCGGAGTGAACATTAGTCCAAACAAGTGGAGGGAACACGGAACACAAACCTAGCCGCTTAGGGTTGGTTGGAACAGGGGTAGATCCGCCTAGGTGAGCCACTCGGGTAACCGATCTTAGCGCCTTTCCATCCCTTGGGTCCTTGCTTTTAGGACCACGCGAGGCGGGCAGGTTCCAAGGTACGCTTGTTATTGGTAGGCGGGTATATCACACGTGGCTATGCCGAAAGCAGAGAAGTAGAGAGAAAGAAAAACAGACTAAAAGTGATCGCGCGTTTCTACTGGCCATTCTGGTCGGGAGTGAGCATCGGGAACTAGAAACCCAAAGTCCTGCCGTGTTCTGAGATCGGCTGAGACATGCAAAAAATTTCATGCGATGAAACCAGGTCAAACTACTGAACTACGGTTGATGGGAAGAGAGGAGGCTCTACGGAATAGACACTGGACCATCCTGTGTTTCGCAAGTGGTATGAAGTATAACACAATATGGTAAAAATAGTACAACATACCTCTCTCGGTAAGTAACACTCTACGTGTGACTTCGGTTTTCAGTCACAGGGGGATTATGCAAGGAGCTCCCATGAGGATTTCTGATATGTCTATTATTATGGCAAGTCTCAACAAAACTCGAGGTCTGAGCAATTGAACTACTTGGGTACCTGACAATTGATACGTAAGATACATATAAATAACCGGTCTAACGTCTCGGTATGTAATCAAACCTCAAAAAGTACTTGCAAAAATACTGCAAAAATACCCCAAACATATTGAAAAGCAAAGTTACCGAATGAACCCATTTCCCTCCCCACAAAGGCCCGAGACGAACTTAACCGAGCATTTCCAAGGTTGGATGAACTCTCAAACCTAACCAATCAGACCAGTAAAGAACTTCGATCCACCGCTCCAACGCATCCATTTACCAGGTCTGCCAAGACTAACATCGTCTGTCACTGATCAAGTTCACTTTGGGAAATACCATGCCCGCTCATTGCGCTAGAACTCCTGGTTTTGTTTCATTGAGACCAATTGGGCAATGAGAGTGTATTAGTAATTGCTTTGTTCTACTTCAAGACTAGGAACAAAGAAGTGATCTATAATTATACCTAAGTACCCGTGGTGGCAAAATACAAGAGAAAATGGACAAGGATTAAGTCCTGTTACCTACATATTCGGTTTGACGTGTATCCGGGTACTTCAGAGCTTTAGTCAAATAAGCCATAAGCAATGTCTAATACCTTTTAAAATGACAAAAAACAGCTGTTGCCGGATGGTTGTGACAAAAGCCGGGCATTAGTAACCTCGCCCAATTTTTGCGTCACGTCACGCCATGAACAATCCGGCCACGCGGAAAACTCGGGGAATTGGGCATATTCACTAGTGGTAGTAGTCACAGCCACTAGGGACTATAGTATATGCATACAAAGCCGCTAGAAATAAGAGAAGTTTGCGCCGACGATGGCGCTGGTGATAGTTGCTCTGTGATGAGATTTGGGCTCGCATTGGTGCCAGTGCCACCCAATGCCACCCAATGCCACTGTAGAGTTACGGCATGTGCGCTTGAAATAAGCTGCTTCGTCAGAGTGGGTGAGCATGAGGTGAGTACAACGCATACCCTGGGAAAAAAGGTGTCGGGCGACTGTTGTCAGGCTAGCGGGCTCCAACTCAGGCAGAAAATGCCGATTATGTGCTCACACTAGGCTTAATTATCGTAATGGGCGTGCTGATTTCTGACACCAGCGTTTTCACTTTCGCCTTTTTGAGCTTGCGAGTTGTTGTACCGTGGTCCTGCGTCTCGTCGCCATCTATTGAAGGCAATGGGAGCCGATGGCGTCATTTTGAGGGCGTTGATGAATTAGAACACGGAGGGAAAGGTGCTCTTTGCAAAGTATCAATTGCCGACAATGACGAGTGCATTCTAGGGATTCTATAATTCTATCTCGGCGTCATGCACTTCGTAGGGACCTGCCAATTTACTTCTTCTTCTTCTTCTTCTCAGCCCCGGGGCCCAATGAAAATACAGTGCTTAAAGGCTACGAAAGGAAAGAAATCAAGGATGATGGTGCCGAAAAATCAAGTCTTAGTATTTATACATGCAATGACAACTCCCAATTAGACAAAACGAGCCTACTCCAAGCATGAAGCCCCGATCACGGGCAGTATTCAACCCAATTATCCAAGTCCATGTTTTTGATAACAGTTGAAAAGTTGCCAGAGCTGTTGGCCGTACAAGCAGAATTCGCCTGGCTGGTCGTCACAGACTTGTTGTTGTTGGTATCATCACCCTTGGGGTACTCGATGTGGAAGACAGGCTTGTCTGCCCCAATGAAGGACGCATAGGTATCACACTCCTGGAACTGAGCACACTGCTCATTGACACACCACTGCATCTTATCAATGACAGAGTCGATAATACCTGCGCCATTCTTCAATCCAACTGAGAGACCACGGCTGTGGGACTGGGAAGCAAGCCAATTCACGTAGTCGATAGCCTCAGCCTTAGTGAGATCAAGTCCGTTCGGGTTGTCGTACCCGTCGATGTTGTCAGGGTCGACACCGTCGCAGCCCTTGGCCACGGCGATATCAAGACGTGCCTGCATGATTTTGCGTACGTTGGCGGACTTGACGTTCAGCCATTTCTCGCCGGGCCATCCGTCGAGATCCTTGCCCTTGTCTGCGGCATCGAAGTCGCCGGCGTCATCGCGCCAGTCCTCGAACGAGCCGGCGGAGAAGTAGCAGATCACTTTGCGACCCATTTTCTGAAGGTCTGAGATGACGGTTTTGTTGTTGTCGAAAAGATCAATGTCGTAGATGGGTGCGTCCACTGAGGTGGAGATCGGTTCGTTATTCTGGGTCTTCAGTATAATCTGCCACTTCGTGCCAACAGCTGGCTGCCATTTCACGGTTGTGTTTGTTGGTGTTGTCGTATTGGAGCCGGAGCCGGAGCCCTCGTTGCCGTCACCATTATCATCATCTCCGCCGTTCTTGAGGCCAATTCCCAGACCGACACCCAGACCGACACCCAGACCGATGATAACAAGAGCGACGGTTCCAAAGATAAGAGCCTTCTTCTTGGTCGACCAAGCCCACCAGCCCGTCTTGGATGATGGTTCACCCATTAGGGTAGATTGTGAAGTGGGAGATAAAACGAAGAAGCTTAGTTGCTGGTGTGTAATATGTTGATGAGATCGGGTGTGGTAACCCAAATCGCGGGGTATTTGTGTTTAATGAACGAGTATGGGGTAGGCCACGGGAGAAAGATAAAAAAAAAAAAGAGGGAAGAGAAGATCAGCAGGCACTAGCTCGGGAGATGGGCATCTTTAAGCTCAAAATATACAGGGGGCCAGAACGCAGGGCCGGGGGCTGAGGGAGATCCTCTAGGGTACAATCGGAAAGACCTGGATGTTAGAGTGTTTGAAAAAAGCAAAGCTCAGCCTTAGATCCCGGAAGAAAATGACTGTCAGAAGACCCTGAAATCACTTGAACGGGCAAGGTAGAGGGTGATCAACAAAAACGGGTGTGCAACGTAGGAAATGAGGGTGCCTAGAGGACTACAGAGGGCTAGAGGGGGCTAGAGGGGCCAAAGAGGGCGGTAAAAGACCCCGACTCACCTGGAAAAGTCCAGGGCCAAAAAATTAAATAAAATAAGGTGGTGGAACCTGCTGATCTGATCCGCTAATTTGATTATCTGGGTCGATCTTGATATATTATCTCATATAGTAGGAGTAGAACAGTATTTTGTCAATATTAAGAGAACTAGGCAATGAGGAAGAGAGACAAGCCACAGCTCAGGGGCTGACAGTTGAATTTCAAATTGCCAAGATGGATCAAATTTGAGGGCAAAGCCACAGGATGTTTTGTCGCCCAAAATAGACAAACCTTGGAAGGAAAAAAAGAAAGAGAAATCTCAGTTTGCCAAGCAGTACTATGCTGGATTGGGAGCTAATGGAGCTATTTCGATAGTTGTCTTTCTATACCAAACAAAAGTGGACAACAGCATCAGAAGGACTTGAGGGGCAATCGAAAGGTCTACTTTGCACTCCCAATGTTTCTATTTGGAACATTGCCAATAACCTCAAAGGATAGATGCATGTGCTGGCAAGCGCCTTAGCCTAGAATCGCAAAAGTCGGGGTTGAGTTTTTTAGCCGTCACAAATATAGTATTATTGTATTGTACTTTGGTAATTACCACGGAACCCGAGAAAATAGCGTTTTTTGCGAAACACCCGAGGAACCCACTAAATTCCGGTATTCTGCTAGCCCTAACCAAACAGCCTTCCGACAGCCTAAACCAATTTGAAATGTTGACGATCAGTCACTTTAAAAATTATCCAGCGCTAACTTGTTGGGCCCTGGTCGAGGACAAGGATACCCATCACCTGATGCATTGAAATCTTCTCTGGATGACGCTTATGTGCAGAGCAAGCTTAATAATGACATTTAGATTTGAAATACTTGCACCTACCACTATTAGTACGAAGTTACTCCGTACTATTACTCCCATTTATGTTTCGAATTGAACACTTTTGTTGAATCTCTCTCCCTTCATGGCCCGCTCTATCCACAGTCCTTCTTGGCTAGCTAACATCTCGAAGACGCTAAAATAGACTACCAGAGAAAAGCTAAACTCGATGGCGCTAATCCCAGATAACCCAATCGCCTGATTCTTCCCTTCCCGCAAATCTGTTGGACGCCACACCCGCTAACCGAAACAGGTCCACTGGACTAGGCAATTACAAATCCGAGTCTATGCGGAACACTGAGTACGAAATCCCGAGCTCGTTAGTTTCGCTTTTCCGAGAGAGAATTTAAAGAGCTCGAGCCCATGCCAAGATCGCGATTAACAAGCTTGGCCGTTTGACAAGTCACCACTCTATTGTACACTTGACCTGTTTGATGAGTGTCTCGCCTAGAATACACGCTAAGGTTTTTTTCCTTCTGGCTGATTCTATGGTCTCGTAATATTTGTTTCCGACACGTGCCGCTGCTGGAGATAGTCAGAAAAAAAAGAAAGAAAAAAAAAAGCGACAGTAGCAGTGGAAGTCAGAGTAAGCTCCAAAAGCCGAACCCACCCCCGGCCGCAGGCATACATGGCATACATTCTACATGATTACCAGGTACTCCGTAGAGCGCATTAAATCCGAGGCCGGGTGGCTTGAATGCCCAGGAATCTATTCCAGCGGATATCGCCGAAGTGGTGCCATCTTGCGGCCGTGATTCCCAAATTTAGTGTTGAGCCTCCTTGTCACGGCCGTGACTCAATCGAGTAATTTTATGCAGTAGCTGCATCAAAAACACATCGCTTACATGGTTCCCCGCTGTAGGTCTGGAACCAGATGTCATGGCTGAATTAGATTCCTCTATGCACCCTGCAGGTAGACTATATAGGTGAATGTATGTACCAGTATCTCAGACATACAGGAGCCTATACTTGCATTTGCACTACATCCACTGGTCTCCTCCGGCTTCAGAGACACGATCTTTATTTTCCGAACTACTTGGCACAAGGTCGATTGCCCGGATGGTGGTTTTGTATTGGGCGGGGTGGATAGCATGGTGATGGTGTGGTAGGGCGTGAGAGACAAGTTAGGCCCTGGTGTCATTGCCACGACTGTGCTTATGTTCCTGGCCCCCCCGTACGGGGTAGACGGGATCGACTTGCCGGTGTTTGCTTTTGCCATGATCGGTTAGCTTTAGATGGCTTAGTCTCATCGGTAAAACGAACTTCTTTCTTCCTGCTTTTGGTTACATGACTCGCGTACAAGATGTGCTGAAAGTATCTTCCACCTTGCCCCGGATCAGTCGGATAATGGCGTCCCTTAGCTCGTATAGCATTGTCGACATTGTCACCTCGGACCTGCAGCACGAAATTGCTGACACCGTCCCCCTCTGCCAGACCGCCAGATGACATGTCCGAGGGTAGTATCGTGAATGTGAGGACTTCTTTTTCTTTAGGAAGGAGGCTGTTCAGAACTCTGTGCAGACTAAGCCTTAATTATGTATTGTGCTGAGAACCACTACGGAAAGTCCGAGGATCATTCAGAAAGAATCATTGTATATTATCGTATAATTATACTTGATATTTCCAGACATTAGAGAATACAGGACATTCAATATTCGTATCAACAGAAAGGCAATGGCTGTTTTCTCCGTCACATATATAGAAACCATTATTGATAAAAGGTACATCGACCTGCCAAATGAAGGCAGGTCGATCATCTTTGCAACCTTTAGAAGGAAATAGGGGTGGAAAGAGTGAATGTGACAGGGGAGCCAGAGAGCTTGACCCAGACGGTCAGGGGGTCAGCACCTAGCTGCTCAGTGGCGAAGCCCTGGGTGCTGGTAGGAGCAACAGGGAAGGTCACCGGGATGGGGTCAGTGCAGGTATTGCCAGTGGCAGAGACAGTGACGGCAGTGATCTTCTGGTTGCTGGTGGCGTAGCTCAGAGAGTAGCCGCACTTGTCACGGTTGAAACGGGCAAGGAAGGAAGCGGACATCTATGAGGAGTCAGCACATGAACGAGAGATTGTAGCGTGTTGAATAGGATTTATCTTACCTCCTGGTGGGTGAGTGTGACGATGGGCCATTGAGCCAGGCGGACGAACTCCTGAACCTGGGTCTCCACCCAAGCTTGCATAATGGAGTACTTTTCAGACACGCCGTTGATGGTGATCGGATCAACATCAATGTTGCGGAGGTTGGCCTGGTGGAACATGTAGCCATCGTGGAAGAGGCCGAAGAGATGACGCATGGTCTCACCCTTCTCAATAGCCAGGAGGTCCTGGAAGGTACCGGAACCAGCAGAGGTGGCGATCCATTCCGCAACGGTACAGGCAGGAGTGTCGCAGTTATAGTAGATGCGAGAGGCCCATCGAGGGTTGACCTGCATACCCTCGAAACCGTTGGCGGCAACAGTTGTGAAGAGAGGCCACATGTTATTCTGCGTGTTCAGAAGGGCAGGGCGGGTGTTGTCACCAACACAGTTGGTGATGCCGTTTTCCCACCAGGCCCGAAGGGCATCGCCATTGTGCAGACCAGTGATGGCAGGAGGAATGATACCGTTGGAAGTGAACTTGGTGGCCTTGTCGATACCGACGGCCTTAAGCCAAGCCTGGTTGAAGCTGATCTCCTTGTAAACATCGCTGTAGGTGGCATTGTCCTGCTCCTCGTGGGTGAAGGTGTGCGAAATGTGAGCGAACTTGTTGAGGTTGCTTTCGGTGGTCCACCAGGCCAGAAGCTCATCCATGGCAGTGCAAGTAGCAGTCCAGTCGTAAGTAGTGGGCACGGCGGGCCACAGGTTAGTGCCAGTTCCAAGAGGTTTGATCCACTCGAGGGGAGTGTCAGCAGGTGATGTATATTCAATGGCAGCTCCGCAAGCACTCCAGCCAGAATCCGAGGTATCGGAAGAGTTCTCGATGTTTCCGTTACCGTTGTGCCCGACTTCAACGAAGTAAGAACTGCCGGCGGGCATCTTGGCGTTGATCTTATCAGTCCAGCTGGCAATATTGCTCAGATCCTGGGCGCGAATACGGAAGTTATTACCAGCCGGCGAGTAAATTTCAGTCTCGAGGAACATGTCATCAATCTGGGTGTTCAGGTTGACACGGCGGTATCCGGCGTACAAACCGCGGGTAATCCAAGTGATCCATGCGTGCTGCAGGTAACTGGATGTAGAACTCCACGTAGTGTCGAAACCGATGAAGAAGGCCATCTGCTGACGGCCATCAAAGTTGTTGATCACACCAGCGACACTCTCAGTAGTAAAGCCTGTGGTGGGGGCAAACGAGGCAATCTGCTTGGTAGAGGTGGTGTTGCTGATAGTCGCAGGGTAGTGCCACAGACCACTGGTGCTGACACCTGCACCAGTCTTCAAGCCAGATGTGGGGAAATCACTAATATCGGTGAATGAGACAAGCTGCTCAACGCCGTTGTCACAACATCCGCCGATAGCAGATGCACCAAACTTGGGACCCGGGTAGACATCATATTGGACCATACGGACACCATATTCAAGCTGGTAAGCATATAGCTGGTTCCACTGATCAGTGGTCAGGGCACTCTGGAAGCCCAGGGTACCACCATACTCATAACTGACTTCAGAGGCAACGACAATACCACC